TCCGGTTTCTAGGTAGCGGTTAAATCGGTCCGTTATCAGCGCGATGGTGTTTTCGTGGCAGCATTTGAGGAAGTCTGCGCTTATTTTATCACTACCGGCTAATTTCCCATTTGGGAAGGACCGAAGTGCCGAAACAATCTCCTCTCGTAGAAATGGAAGGGGCCTATCCTTGACTTGCGTTGTCGTAGGCGTAGGCGCTTGTGGGCCTCTACTCGCAAAGAGCTTCGTGTAAAATGATTCCGCTTCCTTCTCCATTTCTGTTCTAGAGGTGAGAGTTCTGCCTGTAGTAGAGCATTTGAGGCATGGAATCAGTGATTTGTATTCGTTCATGTCTCGCGCTACTCTCTTCAAGCTTTTGCGTTGATCGGCTGCTCCTAGTAACCGGGAATTGGTGAACTCCTTGTGATCTCGTTCGATTGCTTCTCGGCACTGTTTTGAGAGGTTCTTGAAATTGGGATCGGACCTGCTCATGTTTCGTCTGCGCGAGAGCAATTGTTGTGTTTCGACAGAGATCCTATTGGTCCGGTGGTTTAATGGTTTAACAATGGCTTGGTCTTGTAGTAGCGTTGTTAGATTAGAGTAATCTTCGTCAACGCTGTTGGCTACTGGAAGACTAACAATCGAGCTTATTGTTTTAGCCATCTCCGGGTCCAATACTTTCTTCGGCGCCTTTCCCTTTCTGTTTTTATCGTACTTCAGCCAATTTATGTTGAAGTGGATGTTCGCACGGAGAAGGCGGTGGTCGCTTCCTACTGTGAATGATGGCAGCACCGAAGTATCTGTTACAAACCTCCCGTTGGCTAGGATGTGATCGATTTCGTGCTTGAAGAGGCCATCTGGACTTATGAAAGTCCAACGCTTATGGGCTGGCTTTTGGAAAAGCGAGTTTGTGTGCCATAAGCGGTTTGTTTCACAGAAGGTCGCGAGGAGTTCACCAGCAATGCGAGACAGAAAATTGTAAAAAAAAAAAGAAAAATGCAATGGAGTTGCTTTGTATTTTTATATCAATGGTTTTCGACAAAGGCGCTACGGACAAAGTTTTGATAAATTTCTTGTTGGTCTAAGAAAAATAAGTTTGGTTTGGGTTGATTTTTGAAAGTTAAAAAAGATTTCTATTCATATTCGAAACAAATGTGAGCAAATTACGTAGCTCTTTATGATTTTTATTATAAATAAACGGGCAATGCGAAGAAAAAAAAAAACACTTTCTCTCCTTTTTTTGAAATTATCTTGAAACCATAAAATTATTCTTCGCTGCTTAAATTTTTCAAGGTTTCACACACGTGATTTTCAACATTTTCAGTAACCTCTTTGTTAGTTTTTAAACTTTCCAAATTTCTAGAGAATTCCGAAAAGCAAAAAGTGAATTTTTAAATTTTATAACTAAAATCCTATCTGCTCTTTTTGTGTTTCTCCCAAATATTCTGAAAATTTGCGATTGTTTTTAATTGACTTCCAATTGCTTCGATTCACTGTGACAACAGTCAAACATCCCGTCGAATCGAAGCATTAAGATAACAAAATATTTCAATTCATTGACTTCATTGAGTCTTGGCAAGAAAACGACGAGGTAGACACAATAAAATACTCAAAACAATACCAATTTCAACAAGGCTATAATACAAGATTTGAAGGGGGATAAAATGCATGGGAAACGGAATTCTAAAAAATTGGTGGAAATGGAACAAAAAAAGTGGGAAAACACATCTTCTAAAACATATCTGATGGAAAAAAAATTCATTGCATCTAAAATTCAAATAAAAGCGGATACATGCGTTGACCAAGGCGAAAGTTTATCGAAATCCTGAAATGAAATATTATTGAAAAATAACTTAAAATCTTAACAAGAGAATTCGTTTGTTTGCCCTTTTTTAGTAATTGAAAAATTCGTTTTTTTTTCGCAATTTTTTATCAAAGCCCCTCCCCCTAAAAAATTCAAATTCTGAACGATCGTTTATCATAAATGTCTAGCCATTTTGCTCAATAAATGGCCTTGACTTACGCAATCCCGCGGGCACGTCTTATCTTCAAAATCACCATAATCTAGCTATTTATCACATCAAAATCAACGCAAAATTGCGTAATTCGTCACTCTCGTCGATACCGTTCAAACGCAATTCAAGCAAAAGAAACACACAAACAACTCCCATTTATTCGTTTGAAGACCCCCAACAACAAAAAATATTTTCGAAACGTTTTCGCTCAGTGCCGTTCGCCGTTTATCTCAAATTGCGCAACTCAAAATCCCCTAAAAATTGCGCAATTCGTGCCAGATTCAAATCTTTGCAAAAAAAGGAAGCTCAGTCCTGCAAAAAACCAGTTTCACGTGTCGGCAGAATCACAAAAAACACATATAAATAGAGTAAAACAAGTGCCAATTAAATTTCCGACAGCTTGTAATCGAAACCATAAAATCTAGGGGAAAAAAACACGGCCGAAAAAGCTCATAATTTGTCGGAGATGCCATCGGACATGCAAAAGAAGAAGAAAAAAAAAACGTCGTCGCTGACATTTAACACCTGTCGCTTTGCTTTTGAACTGTCTTCGAAATGACTTTTATATCCGCATAATTTTAGTCATTGAATTTTTTTAAAAGCCGTATAGGATTTACAATAAACGATTATCGTAAATCTTTTTTTTTTAATTTCTCTATTTCACGATAAGAAATTTTATTTACAGATTTTTTAAGTTTAAAAATTTTAATTTTCAAAAATTCAATCCCACAACCTGAAAATTACTCAATTTTATTAGAAAAATTTAAATTGTTAAAATTCAAAAATGAAAATCGAGAACGTTTACCAATTGTGTATACGTGCGGTGATTCATGTCATTTGTTATTTTGTCAAGCATTTCGGGAAAAATGTGCTCAAATTTCAACATTAAATCCCTATTAAAATTCAACCGACTCAGGTTTTTTCATTCATTTCGACCTTCTAAATTACGTCTCCCCCCCCCCTCGTTGACGCATTTGTTGTAGCATATTTTTTAATAAAAAAATGGATGAGCATTACACATACACTAGCGCGCACAAAATGTGTAAACTCCAGTCAGGCAGTACCAGCCAGCGAACGCTGATTCATACTTATTGACATTCACACTATATCGACTCCAAAAAAGGCAAAACAATACTATTAAAAGTGCACTATTTGGGGTACAAGCATATACGATACTTATACATTAGAAAACAACTCAATCGTTGTTCGGTCATCATGATTCACGCGATTCCAATACTTCAATTTCCGGAAAATCATTTCCCGTCGTCTCATAGGACACCTGCGAATAATGGGATGAGCTTTCTCTTCCACCATTCGCTTTTCATCACCACATTCGCGCCTCTCATTATTTATGGGAACTGCGCGAAACTCAACTGGCCATTCCATTAATGATGTCTAAACTTTCCGGAAAAAACGAATTGGGAAAATGATCGCAACTTCGCCAAAACCGGTTGATTCCAGTGGTGACCGAATACATTACATGGACCATTTCAATCGGAAGTTTTTTTATTGTTGTTCAGAACTCATCATTGTCAATTTCATTCGATAATTCCCTTAATCTGCCGAGAAGATCCCCCCGAAAATCGTTTCGCGTTCGGTTCAAAACAATAAAAAACGTTGCCGACCTCGAATCGGATCGAATTGAATTGAATTCAATGAAAAGAAGTAGAGGAAGAGGAGGGAAAAGGAAGACCACAATTGCCAACCGTTCGTTTCAACTCGCCGCTCAACTCGTTCACACAACCAAACCACTTTTCAAAACTACTCCCACTCCCTACCTCGTCCTCCTACTCTTCCTCATCGAAACCCAATCGAATTCAACACAGTGTATGGCACCAGTCGGGCCGCTTCTCATCATCTGTTCGTTCGCACCATCGCGCGGAATTCCTTTCATGTGTTCGATATACAACCATCGCGCAGAATGAAACTCTTTTGTGCGAAGAAGAAGAAGTAGATTCAATTACATCAAAGAAAGCAGCGACCTTCTAATTCTAAAGAATGCCAAAGACTTAAAAGGAAAACCTAATCACGGTGCTCATGAGAAACCTTTCTCCAGAAATTCCAAAAACTACCATTCTCCGAACTTCGAAATTGTCCCCCGTACTTTGAAAAACCGAATTGATACCAAAAAAACCTTGCGTCATTGTACGAGACGCGAATTGCGTTCAAAACCATATTTATCGACGATAAATTATATGTTCAATGACTCGACGTTCACTCAAATAGTTAGTCAAAAAAAAAGGAGAGTGACCATGTCGCACAAAACCACAACCAACTGGCCTTGAAAATTCTTGAAGGAGATGCAAATTCGAACCGATTATGCAAAATTTTCAAGGAGATTTCGGAGAAAATTGGCAATCAACGAATTCATTCAATTTCTGCTGATCACTCAAATTTTTGGGGAAAACAATCACAAAGAAGAAATCTTTAAAAAATCTAAATATTCTCAATGTTGAAATTACACAAAATATTCGGAAAATCGCTAAAAATAATTTGAAATTAACTCTGTTGTTGACTAGGGAAGACAATTTGGGTTTCGTCAAAATCCCTACGCGTTCTCCCGTTTGCACCGCCAACATTTACACCCCCGTTTTTTTCCCACCAATCTTCACCCATACCATGAAGCATTCAATGGCGCATGAACACATTTAATGTGAATTGCAAATCCCACTTTTACCATATAAGGTGTACAAATTCGAGTTTCAAACCGAAACCAGCGCTCAGCGGGCAGCTGCCACCAACAAATCATCACACCATCGCCGACGTCACCCAAATCGTGCGCCAAAATACATGTCGATGATGATAAATGATGACATGACCCAATTCAGGATGACAAGCGGCTTCATTCAAATTGACTCCGCAAAACCCGCCAACATGCCGACGATAGCTAATACAGTAATCATCGACTTACCCCGAAATGAATGTGCTATGGAGATCGAGTATAATGTATAACGAAGCACCAGTTTGAAAGCTGCTAATTATGTGAGCTCGACAAGCCATCGGCATTCAATAGTCGCCAGCACCAGAGGTTCCCGAAACACGTTGGCGTCTCGGGAATTTCTTGGCGGGCGGCGAACGCGGAGAAGCGACGATTGCGGTGTCGGACACCGACGAGAGCTTGTTGGGAGTATCATTCTTGTGATCAGCGCTGAAAATTTCTAGTTTTTTTTTTATTGCGTTCATTCCTCATCACTTACCTTTTCGCCTTTTCATGATGTTCAGATTTTTGCCGGCGGACACCGACGCTTTTCTTCGGTGCACTTTTTAACACCAATTCCGACATGACGTCTACAGATGCAGAACGGACCATTCCGGGTTCACGAAGACGCTTACGTACTGGCATGTAATCTGAAAACAAAAAAAATGCACTTGAAAAATGCTCATTTGACCCCTTATAGTGTCGTATTCTAACAAAAAGGCTCCAAATAAGGGCAACATCTATATTATGTTATCAGATCAATTTCGTCGTCGTCGCCACACCAAAAAGAAGAAGAAGAAACAAACGCCGCAAAAGTTAAGCCGATTGCGCAATGCCGACCCAAATATTGATACAAATCTCAAAACCCACAATTTCGTAGAGTATGGCGTCAGCCTGTGCATGTACACGGCAATTACGGCGTTTGCACCTTTAAGCAGATGGGGGAAGAGGCAAATTCGAAAACGATTCCCATTTCAAGACTTAATTGTCGTCGAGGGCAATTTGCATAATTCACAACACCTGGCTGCGTGATTAATTGGAAACAATTTAAGCTGCTTTCGTGTGGTGAATGTTCACTTCTTTTGGAATCATTTTGAAACAATTTCATGAAAATTCTTGAAAAAAACTTCAAACCAGGACCACAAAGTATCATCCTCGTGTGCGCACCGCTCTAGTTCATCCGAAAGGTCACTGGTGTCAATTTCACGCATTTGTTTATGGGTTTAGTTTCGAACGAACATTGACCACATGGTTGCGTCATTTAACAGATGTTAAACTATGCTTACTCGTCAGCTTTGTCTGCTTCAGCTCCGATTTTTTGATGGTTTCATTCGCGTGTCGAATGGTGAGACGAGTCGCAGATCTAAGAATAAACAAAGTTTGACACGGTACGGCAAAAGAGCTCCGCAAACACGTCAATGGCAATTCACGGTGCTCACCTGGTAACGGGCTTCGTGTATTCGGATTGCATTGAAGTTGACGAGCATGCGGGTTGATGTTCTTCTTCAGGAATTAGGCGTGGTGGCGGTTTTCTGGAGCGAAGTTGCCGCTCATGGTAGAAGTGTGGAACCTAAGTCATTATCTTTTTTTTAGGAAACATTTCAAAATTAAAAGCACGTCAAATTAAATTCGTTCCGAACAAGCGCAATTTCTAAAAAAAAAAGACCGTTTTGGAAAAGAAAGTGAACATTTTAAATTATATTCATATTTTTCTTTTGATTTACCGAAATATTTTCAAAACGCACTTCAATATTACAAGGATTTTTCAAACAGTCATTCTACCTCTTCCGCGGGAACAGCTTCAAAGTGATAATCTCCGGCTCCCAATTCGATTGGCACGTTATTTACGAAATCGAAATTCCATTTTCTTTTGTCTTTATCATAGAGCTCATTGAGCTCCTTTTTTAAACTTTCATTGATCTAAATACCAAAAAAATTGCGAAATCTCATTGGAAAAACTCACTTTATTCGTGTCAGGTCTCCCAAAAAGACATCTACCAACGGGTCGACGTCGTCCGCAGATTTTCGGCGTTTCGGCAATGGTTGTCATTTGCTAAAATTGCGAAATTTGATAAATTTAAAACCGAAACTGCTCGATAAGACGGTCGGGAGTCAGTATTTCGCGGTTTTCGAACAGTTTACGAGAAGAAAAAACATTGTGAGGGAAATTCTGCGTGCCGATAGAAGCGAAAGAAAGGAGAGACGACAAAGAGGCGCACTCACATACGGATGGCAATCTATATCGATCGGCGATGGTGTGACGATTGTAAAATGAGCGCATACGAGATGCAGAACACGTTGGATTTCAACTCTTTTGTTGGATCGCGCAAACGTGAAACATTCGCAACATTTTTGTGTAGAAAGAAGGCGAGGGATGGAGCGCAATCTTGCACTTTTGTTATTGCAATGCACTTTGTGAGAAAACGGTGTTTTTCAGATGTGAATGTGACAAAAGCAAGGTGAAATTTTAAAAATAAAAAAAACAAATTTTGAAAAATATTTTATGTTAATGACAAAGTGTTTGCGGACGATGCGTCATGAATGACATAAAATCAAAATATTTAATATTTATGACTGGTCCAGAAACTATAGTTTTCAAAGTAAGAAAAATGGTTTTTGTCATCAAAAATTTCCGGTGAAAAATCGCATCGACTATCCTAAAAGGATACCATTTTCGGAAATCGTTCGTTTTTGGGTGGCATCTTTTCTTCTTGAATAGGAAATTATTCGTGCTAACCTTGGTTCTGTTTTTGTTTCAAACCCCCTTCCATCAACTAGAAAATTCGCGCTTTCTCCCACAAATTCAATCATTTATATTTTTTTTCTTGTCCATTTCGTCTGCCAGCTGTTGCGCACATCGATTTCACCTCGAGAGTGAAACGATTTCCGACGACGCCGAATTGCGTAACATGCACTGCGCACCTGTTGACAACTGCACCACTGTCGATCCCCCACCACGTACGATTATCGACACCTTCTATAACCGATCCACTTGACAGCAGTGGCAGATCATTAACCGGACAATTACAATTAGGCACTCTTCGACAAATGGCCGGATTGCAACAACAGTTGGTGCCTACTAAGTGGCTCAGCTTTACGCATATGGCGCAACATTTGGAAGGATTTATGACTTAGTTTATAAATTGCAATTTGTGCACTGGTTGACAACATTATAAACAATTCGTGATTTGTCATTCGATATCAATCATCCCATGGTTTTTTGTACTATAACAAGTTCCCTCATTCAGGAGTCATTGTGTCTCTAGGCGTTATCAAATTGAAAAAAAGGCGATGCTACACAAAAATTGGAATTGAAAGCTCTCTATACACTTCTTATCTTATCAATGTTGGCACGAAGCCAATGGTTTGTCGAATCAGCTCCTCAGAGTCACTTACGCTCGTATTATTGATCGAGAACGCATGTTCGTTGATTAGAAAAGTAATGTGGAGCGAGTCATAAAAAAGGCCGACATTAATTAACAAAAAAAAAGGAAGGTTCATGAATATAGTATTGTGATGAGGTGTGACAGCCGCCCGAGATTCTCACGGGAATTCCGAAGACGATCAATCAATCATCCCTTTGGAGGCAAGCTTTTTTGCGGATTTCTCAAATGAGGATTCCCTTTTACGGTTGCAGCGGTATAATGTCAAAGGTTTGACGTTTTGGAATGTAAACATGCCGTCCTTAAGAATACAATTAGAGCGAGACGCACTCATTTTTTGCATGGATGGATTGGAATTCGCAGTCTGGAGACTGAATAGCTTTCACCTCCAACATGCACATTTATGGTTTGCAAATGAATCGATAGTAATAATTTCTGAAGTTGTTCGACAAGTAGCAAATCTGCTCTACCGTACTATTCCCGCCATTTGATCAACGGCAGCTACGTCAGGGGTCCCAACACATCGATGTTGGCAAACTTTCCCATCAGCGTCACGTTAAATTTTCCTCAAGAATTCCCTCAATCAAATTAAAATGCCACCCAGTTTCCCACACCTCGAATTCATGCGATTAATGTTGTCGCCAGACAATTTCGCGCCAGCACGGTTCGCTCTGTATCGATGGCCAAAAATGAGAAAAGAGAAACAACTGTAACTTTGTGGTCCCGTTTTCGGCAAACCTGCTACAAATGCGGGGCATGTTGACAGCGTGTGCGCAGGTGTCTTCCGATGAGTGCCAACATCAAAAAGGCGTAGCGCTCGCGCATCTTTAATTAACTGTCATGACATGCCCGTATTTGCACATTGGCGATGTCGTTGCGGCCGCTTAATTAGACGAGCCCTTCTTTCATCGCTTTACCATATTCCGATGCATGATTTATGAGGATGCGGGACCATTCTTTTCGTTTCCGCCGTGTATTGTTTATTCTGATCGGCGGCACTGCATAAAATTTGCATACGACCGCCGGTTTATAGTTAATAAAATAAAAGGAGCGGCTGGTTGAAAGCAAACGAGTAGCATAAACAATCGAATAGTCAAAAAAAAACATCTGCCGCATGACACATTGCCGAGCCGCTTTCAACAGGAAATGCTTTACCTTAAACATTGTATTGTACGTTTTCCCACTTTTTTGTACGTAGTTATCGACGAGAGAAGAATGATATTTCTAACGCAATAATATCCAGATCATTATAGCAAACGCGCCCTATTGCACATTGATGTTTGTTATTTGAAATTTCCAATTTTCTCGCTCATCGACTTTCCTAAAATGCCTTAATAAGGCAATTTTTATCAGCAGGCTCTATCTATTTACGGTTTCAAAACGGTGAAATTTTGCATGTCATCACTTCGTCGATGCTCAGCTTTCCATACAAAAAGTCGTAAAAATGTTAAGAGTTGGAGAGAGTCGAGAACACCGTTCATCGATCGTCTCTCGATTTGCAATTCACACTCGACAGCTTAACTGTCGTTTTTGTTGATAACGCTGTGTTTGGAGATGAGAAGAAGCGCCATCTTCTTCTTCTTCTTCTTTTTTTCTGCTGAACAAAGACGCCATTGTTTGTGCCGGCAGCAGAATGTCCGCAGTTGCCAAATGGGTGGCGCGGATCGCCTGCGCCACACTGGGCACCGAGATGAAGAAGCCGGTTTTTACGACAAGTCACACCAAATGGTGTACGACACCCAGCGTGGCGAAACGACTAAACGTCGAAATTGAAACGTTTTTGAATGGGACTCAGCCAGCAGACGCGAAATAGCACGCTGTTAAAACCGAGACATGACGATGGATTCAAGGGAATCATTTTGTTTTCATCGAATGGTTTCCATGTCAGAATTGTCCGCAGCAAATATATATGAAAGGAATTGGGACGAAACCCACAATTAACCTAATCGAGAGCATTTTTGAATTCGGAATTAATGAGTTCTAGACAATTCGTCAATGTCACCCGGAGAGGAGACACACAACGTTATATAATACAATAGATTAGTATTAGTGCGCTGGTGTGACCTCCGTATATCCCGAGCCTTGACCCTTTTGAACCACACGAGTACACATACAGACAACACAGTGCCATTGATCCCGTTCAAGTGCCAACCTCTCCTCCATATGCACATTTTTTATTGTTATCCGGAACCGAGGAAAACAAAAGTAGGAAAAAATGCTGTGAAATGTCGGCAGATGAATTTTATTTTACATGTTGGAATTCAGCCAAACGCTTAGTTCGTTAAAGGCACCCCCCATCACACCAACTCATTCTGCTTATCTGATCTGATCGACGTAAACTTGTGGGTTCATTCGCAACTGATTTATAGTTGATGGTTTTATGAGGTTCACCCCACATTGACATTTTTATTAGTTTCTAACGGCGAGCGAGTCGAGCTTACCTGAATGGAGCGTTGTGTCGTGCTCAGCATGGTACCAACAACGGCTGTCAATTCGAGTGCCCGATTTCTGCGCATGCGAAGGGGGGGGGGCTTGCACACGAGCAAGACTCGTTCAAAATTTCCGAGGCTGAAGTAGCATGACACATTGAGCAAACAGTAATGATACAGTCGGAGTTCGGCCAATTCATTGCGGCCTCGACATTTGAAAACATTAATTGAACTATTCGAATAAACGGGTTACTGTGTCTCGGATGCCAATCCAATCAAGTTTTTTTTGAAATCGATACATTCGCTTCAAGACCCATTAAGTTTTACGATGTACATCAATGTAAATATGTTATCAAGAATTATTGACATTGAGTTGCGCAATTGGCGTTCCCCATAAATCAGTTGCGAAACAAACTGTTGGCTTGTCATGTTGGCCTTGGCTTCAACAAAAAAAAAAACACAAGAATTTTCGAATAACTTGGGTTTATTTTGCAAAATCGTTTAACAACAAGAAATTCGCGGGAATTTCGAGAAGGGTTTTGTCCGCGTTCTGCGAGTATCGCTGATTCGCATATCACAGGGGTCTCGGAAGGAAAATGAAACAGAAAATATTATCAAGTTAAAATACATAGAGAACTATATAAGGCATGAGAATGGGACTAGAATGAATAGGTAAAGGAGGAACACAAGAAAAAGGAAACCCGTTTAGAACTGGCGAGCGGCTCGCCGCGGGGTTTGCTGATCCTTCGGCGACCTTTGAACCTTCCTTCTTCTAATCGGAATGTAGTCGGTGAGCTTGTTCTGCCGCTTCTTCGGTGTCTGGCTAGTGCGTTTCGCTAGCGGCACCGGCTCGAACTCAATCGACATTTCGGATTCGGTGGAGCACGTCGAGATATTCATCAGCGAAACATCCTCCTTGTCAGAAGTGCTCGGACTGCTCATCGGACTCTCATTCGAACTAATATGTTTAGTTCTGCAATAATAATTGAAATAGACAATGATACTTTGGGAAGAAATGTTGAATTACCTATAATATTGCGGAACCTCTGCTTCGGTGACGGCCTCATAGATGTACAACGAGCACGAAGCTTCGTCGAGTGGAATTCCAAGTTTGAAATCGAATCCCCATTTCTCCATGTCCCGCCGATAAATCTCTTCCAGAGCGTTCTGGATCATCTCTTGAGTGGCTTCTTGTTGCTCCGGCGTCGGACGCCCGAAAAGACAACGACGAGCCGAGCGTTTCTGTGTGACGACCAACGACATCACTGAAATATGACAAAAATGAATATGAAGTAGTTTGAGAGAGGGGGATGGCGATGAACGAAAGCGAATCGAAAACGAGGCGAAACGAAAAATGACAAATTGTGGCGCAGCTCGTATGCGGTCGGGCGAGACGGAACACATTTGAATATCTGAGGGGATCCGCGGAGGGGTGGGTGGAGTCATATGCGCGGCGAGGGTGGAGTATGGAGGGTGTAATAGTAGGGTGCAGGGTGGGTGGCCATCAAAAGGCTCGGACGGAGGTCACGCCAACCGTCCGCCCTCCGCCATCAACCCACTCCGACCAAATACGCATCGGATTACTAAAGGACTTCGGCGGCCGCCAAGTTTTTTTTCGGCGAGATTTGACCTGGTCAACAGAGTTCAACGACTACTGTACTCTTTTATTATTGGTGCATGCGTGTGTGGGTGGGTTGATAATGAAATTGTATAAGGGTATTGGACTATTGCCAGCGATGATAAGAACTGGGTGGCTGTGCCAAAACATTGATCTGCCGTGTCGTACAAGGTCAATGACCAAATTAGAAGGGCCCTTAAGTGGTATTCAAATCAACATATTGAGCCGGATTGCGGTGGGATGTTCGGTTGAATGAAAGAGTTCCGATTTGGATTTCTCTTAGGGAAATAGATTTCCAAAAGCTGAACAGGTGTGTACTACTGAATCAGAATCTCGCGCGTGCGTATTGCGTAAAATTTCTACAATTGTATTCATTTTGCGCAACATTCAACGAAATATTTTAGCTATTTTCAAGAAAAAAATCTAGAAACATTTTCAAGTCTACTATTACTAAAGGTGTTCGTTTTTTTTCCATAACTATCCTATTGCAAAAAGCGAAAAAAAGTAGCCTCAATGAAAAAATGCATAAATTAGCGCAGAATTGAAGCAATTTCAAAAGGTTTAATACTAATAAAACACCAAAAAAGAGGCGAAGCGGTAGTGGAAATGAGTCAGTGCACGCTAACAACAATAATAATAATAATAATATCAAACCTGCGCAAATAAACAGTAATATTGGTATGATAAGGATGCAAGGCGAATACTAGGCTGGAGGGGGTCGAAGGGGGTATAGAGGAGAGGGTCCGAAAACAAAATGAATGCGTTTTGTGTGTGTGTGTGCAAATATATAATGTGCCAGCCGGTGGCTCATTGTGCCAGATGTTCGTGGATTACGCGAGACGGGTGGTCGAGATAGCGAGAAGTGCGAGAGACGCAGACACGCGTCCATCAGGAAAAGTGTAATTATTATATGGGCCACAACAAAATGCCATAATTATGCGATATATAGTTGTGTGCGAGAAAAAAAAAACAACAACAACCGAGAAGTTGGAGTTTTGAAGCAGCAGCGGCAGCAGCAGGGGCGGCAGCAACAACACGACGACGACGACGATGGTTCTTTGCCGCCTCTCGGCGACGGGCCCGCCGGCCGACAGCCAAGCCCCGCCCCGCCCTCGACTACACCACGCCCATTGGCAACACGCCCGACATTGAAGGGGAGGCGAGACAACACGCTTCGATGATATTGTGCACTTGTAAAATGTTTGGAGGAGAATGATAAGTTTTGTGGGCGATGATTTGATAATCGCCAGCAATGCCGTTTTGTGTGCCAATTTATGCGTCTTTCTGGAGACAAATGTTATCAATTTTGAAACATTCACAATGTATATTAATAGAAGAGAACGCAAATTATGAAATCGAAGCTTTTTTTTGCAATCGCGCTTCGATTCATTTCGTTTTGAAGAATTGTAGTAATTAAAATCAAGAAATGAACTCACGAAATTGTCCGCAGGTGAATTAGGCTATCTTCGGGGGTCACCTGGGTAATTGTGTGATTTAAAGGTTTATTAAATTTCGTTGTTATTAATTGACCAAATTAGGTGTGGGTAAGCGATGCACATAATTAGGTTCATATTACATTTAGTGTAATTATGTACACTACAGTGAGCAGAAGATAGAGGAAGCCCAATATGGTAAGCATCTGTGCAAGGTAGAAGCTAAAAGGAAAAAATTACAGTGAGGGGCATCTAATCAAGCCTAATATCTCGACTTTTCATCTCGTTATTGTCATTGAAAAAACCAACCAATTCATCATTTTGTCGAATTTGCAACATGTCGATTTCGAGCGCCGATATCATCATATGACAGGACATCGGAGGCGGCATAAACAATATCGCTGTAAGCGGGTTCCAAACGCAAAAGCCTACTGTAGATCACGGATTGTGATTGCGCGAAATGTCGGTGTTGGATGGGGAAAAGGCGAACAAATGGTTTGGTGTGTTTCGACCAAATTTCGAATGGGGTTAATGATGAGCGACTGGTGAAACCGGCGCTCCTTTTACGGCCTCCGAAGTCTATAAAACGAAGATGAATGGCTTGAAGAGCTTCGCGGATAAAGTAGGCCGATGACCATTTGTTATGAACGCCGAATCGGCATGCTCCTTTAAATTGTACCGCAAATAATCTATAGAATTTTATATTCGTGAATAGATAAATTGGAATGTCAAAAATCAGAGAAGTGAAAATGAATCTGCGGACAATTTTGGAGCCCAGGATAGATTTTTAGTGAGGTCTTCTCGCAATAAATGGATCTCCGGCGATCCGAGTGATTCGTAAGAACTGGTTGAGATCACTTTCCCATGTGTTTACTAGGGTCTCCCAAAAAATTGAAACAACTTTCACTCATTTTGAAACACCCGCCGTCGCCGTCTTTTGGCGCCATTTCACATTCGGCCGAATGTTTTTGCGCGTTGTTGTTTGGCGCACTGCCAGCATCCGTCCGCCGATCAGCTGGGTTTTGGCAGAGACGCGAAAAAAAAATGATGTTGCATTTTTGTGGCGCTCGAAAAAACACATACACTCGATGGCGCCCACACGCGCACCACCCCAAGACAATGAGACTGGTTTTTTTTAGGCGCGAGTGTAGGAATTTTTGAAATCGAATAGCGAATGGTCGAAAAAAATTCGAAAGGGGAAGGATTAGGAAAAAAAAACAACGATTTTTGCGGGTGATGGAAAACCGAGATGACAGCTAAAAAAAGGGTCGAACAAAGTGCGTAGGACAGCTGTGGGAATGAGTCAGAATTCAGCAATTGGTCTTGAATTGAAAAACTGGAGGAAGAGAGGCACCGAATACAAGGAGAAATGAGGATTCAGGAAAAGAAAAACGAGTGAAGCGATTGTTTCGAGGCACGAACTCAAATCCATTTTGACACGAGACAACTTTTTGAGATGAAAAGAAGCTTTGTGTAAACATGGGGCAGATCCATTCCAAGGTTTTTTTTGTAGAAAAAAATACCGAAGGTAACAATCGAGAAAAATCCGTTTTAACAAAACGCTAAATCTATGCTAATCAGAGATAGAGAAGAGGGGGGGGTAAGGGGAGTTTGGGGACCCATGTTAAGGGACCCGCTTCCGACGTGCACTAGACACTGGGCGTATTCGCAAAAAAAAAATCCGTAAATATCTGGGGAAGGGGAAGGGGGAGTTGAGATCTTGAATTCGGAAATAACGGCGGCTTGGAAAATAGATAATCAGACGATTTTTGAGCTCGTGGGATACTAATCTTTATCACTGATTTTTTAGTCCTTCATATTTTCATAATTTTTTTTTATTTTCATATTTTCACAAATTAATTTCCCGCTTAAATTGCGGAAAATGCGCCCTATTGTATAATTTTGTCTCGCAAAAGATGGGTCCCTTTACGGGGGATATTTACGGCACGTTATTAAATGAGGCATGGTCCGTGTGGAGTACACAACACGCGTCTCGTCGTTTCAAGACCATTCCTTGGTTTTATCAATTTTTTTTCCAGTCGTGCGACATCGAGAATACATGCTAGTGGCGACTTTTCACATACTTGTTGTTTTGATGCCGGAAATTGAAATTTCGAAACTCGCGCCAAAAGTGAAATTGAGAGATTTTGAAGGGCAACGCGTGTGGCCAATAAATAATTGCGGTTGAAAGTAAATCGAATGAATGACGGTGGCAATTTTTAGTTTCTCTTTCTCGTACCGTATTCGGACGATTGAGAACGCGTGCAAAAAAAATCATAAAAATAGGCGCATTAGACGCGCACCTAATTTGCATTCGATTCCGTTTCCTGTGAGAAACACGCGTTGTTTCGTACGGCGAGAACGACAATATTTATTCGCGTTTTTATGAGAGCAATAAATGATCGAAAATGACCAATAGCCGAGTGTTCGGACAATACGCTTTTTAGTGCCAGTCAGTACTGTTTTATTGTAGAACGGCGGAAGTGGACGGCGGATTCGTTGTGGTTTATAAATTGCATAACCATGACACCCGAAAATTCATAAAGCGATAAACTCAAAACATGTCCGCATATGGATTTTTTATGCAAGAAATAATCCAGTAAATGCCTATGTGAAATGATTTCATAAAATTAGGAAAACTCAGGCCTTAAAATCTGGAATTTCGTGAAAAAAAAACAAGAATTTCAATAGATGTAGTGTCGGCGTACTGTACGCGGGTAGATTTACGGGAATGTGTCTTTCTCTTGGTCTCGCACGGATTAAAATTTCAAATTTTGTGGACCGGTTCGATAATTTTTTAATCGAGATTAGAAATTCCAAAAAATGCCAAACTCATGAAGAAAAAAAATAAATAGCGTGAAAACAGCAAAATAAGCATTTACGCGTGGCGAGAATACTACGTATATTGGGGTTTTAACAGCAATATTAGACATACACATTTTTACTGTCACCTAATTTACGCTGTTTGATTCAAAGTGTATCCGTAGACCCGTTTAGTATATTTACGCACATGCGCCTTCGCTTTGGTCTCGCACGGATTAACTGGTTATTTTGCATTTTTGAGATCTTTAATGTTTCATTTTTTATTTTTTGCCTAAGTGATATTCAATCGTATTCAAGGAAATGATATAGACAATTTCGAAAGGCGTACCTCGTAAATCTACACGCGTACAGCAGTCGACGGACGGCTTTTTGAAATTGCAAGTTCTCGAAAAGTGTCCAACAATGCGAAATAATCGAGCAAAAATGTTCTTTTCTTTTTCTGCATTACTCCATTAGTCCACCTCCCCCCAAAAAAAAATTTAAAAATATCATTGCATCGGTTTTTTTTAATTTTTCAAAAAAAAAATCACGTAAAAAAATCGAACATTCGAAAAAACAATCTCCTAATATAGAAATTGGGTTCTTGCAACAAATTTCGCGTTTTTCTCTTTAATAGCCATCCTCGAATACAAAATTTTCTACTGAAAGACGCCAGGCTTTCATTCTAATGAAGTAAGTGTTGATATACGCATGTGTAAATTTATGAGTTGGTTATTTTATATTATTGCCGGCGTCAAACGACTGAAGAGAGGCGGGGCCTTCAAATTCGCGAAATCAGTTTGAATTTAAATTTTTCGTTGACTGAATATTAAATGCGCGTACGCTATAATGCACTGTACGCAATCTCGCGTACTTCTCATCGTCTCAAGACACCACTGCCAATATATATTTTTTGTTTATTTCGGACGTCTAGCAAAAACATAACAAAATTTTGAATTTGAAGCCTGAATTCTGCTCAACGCAAAAACCATAAAACACTTTAATCGGCCACCAAACCTAGATTATTTCATTCAAATTTGCCTCGATCAACAGGCAATAACTCAAAAAAAGAGGAGTTCCTCGCGGCGATAATGATCATCGACGACGACGACAACGACGAAGAAGACGGCGACGAAACGACAACGACAAATCGATGAGCGACAAATTTTGACGATTGGCCGCTTGCCACAATCTTATCTTGAGGCGAGAATCTGTGTCGGCGGCCGTCCCGAGGCGGAATGCGTCGAGAAAACAATTCAAATCGTCATGTTGCTATTTTGGGTCATCCTGAACATACCAAGACACGAAAAAAAAAGCGAAGAGCGATGAGATCCAAACCAGATATTTTTCTGGACTAGGGAGATGTCTCAAGAAGGACGAAATTCCGAAAATTCCGGAATTGCTCACGTACTCGTTTTTGATCACGAATCCCAATTCATTCCTTACAAATAATTGATTCGAATTGAACTTTTCAAAATCAAGAAATGAGCAGTGTGATGACTCAAGATTCAACCGACGTCTCGAATGCTGTCAAACTGTTACGAGACACGACGAAAAACCGAGAGATCGTCGACCGTTCGGGACTCCGAATACGATTCTCGGGTCTGCTGCCGATCAGCGAGCCCGACGAGCAGGATCGCGTGTGGGCCGCGAGCATTGTGCTGAACAGTGAGGACTTAGAATTTCCAAAAATCTCATACAAATTGAGAGCATCGACGAAAAAACGCTTTAAGGAGGCTATGAAATCGAATCGACCGATCGGTTTGATAAATCAAAAAGAAGTCAAAGTTATCTCGGTATTACATTTTAATAATCAACTAATAACTCGTTGAATGAATTTCTAGTATGAAATAGTGGAAAATGCAATTCCATTCACTACGCTAACGTTTTTAGTCGATGGTAGCCCTTATGATGTGCCGCTTTTCAAGGAAGACAAGGCTGATTATTATTGGATCGGCAAAGAGACCAAAGGTCAGTCAATCTTTGAGATTCTTCTGAATTCGACAACTAATCTATTGTTTAGTGCCTACCGCTTCTCAACTTTACGAGCAAAAACAAAGTCAGCAGATCAGTGCCGAAAAGTCTCCGAAGCATATTTCGCCGGGAAGATTTGAGAATCTACCGGAGGGCCTCAAAAACTATCTACTAGTATTGATTTCAACATGAGGTGTTGCCGATTTTGCGAAATTAAGGAAAAAGATGGACTCAAATCGATTTGTCGATTGTTGGCTCCATTCACGAAGGAGGTATTCAAAGAGCTCGCCGAATGCGAGAATCCGGATTTGAATATTCTGAATGGCGGCGAGGAAGTCGTCACCGACTGTAAGCTGGCTGAAAATGCGTAGTCATTTACCTGTATTAAGTGATTGCCGATGAAATTCTACGCAAATTTGACGCCTCAGTTCGGCAGTCGTTCGGATCGGCATGAAATTTTGGAATTCATCAAATGAACTGGAGAATAAACGATTTTCTTTTTGAAAATGAAATGTTTGCTAGTGCTCGATTATTTGGTGTTTCTTCGATCTGTTTGAAGGTTCGTCGGGACTTAAAATTATCAATTGCAAATTTGTAATCGAGATAACGAAACTCGTCCAATTGCCTCCAAAGCCGGCCGCCCATCTTTTTTCGGCGCCGGAAATTGCCAAGCTTTGACCGACAGAAAGCAATATATTAAACAATTCAAAAAGCGGCTTTAATAGATGATTATCTTGTATAAGGGAGGGGGGGGGGCTACCACTCGGTGGTCTTCTCTAAATTCGAATCTCAAAAAGATGACCTTAAGATTGGAATCGTGATAGCGGTTGGTAACCGAAGTTGACAGCAAATTGGCAGTAAAATTGAAAAAACCCGACAAGATGCGGACCGAACGTGAGGGAAACGATGATTATCGAAATTGGTTTCGACGAGCGCGTTCAGCTTATCATTTTACAACCGATTATTGACATTGTATGCAATTGCAATGTATAATGCGAATTATGGCTGAATGGTGGAAACGCAACGCAACGAATCCGCTTAATTATTCAGTTTGACGATTGACGTGCAAATTGGCTGGTTACAAGATTGACAAATTGCAATTGCTTTTGTCCAAAATTTGGCACAATTGCGGTCGCGCGAGAAAACTAAAAAAAATCACGGATTTCGATTGCGATGTTCAGCGACGTCAGATGTATGTATGTTGAAATGAATAAAGGGGACTCGTCAAATTTTGCACGGATAAATTTTTTTTCGGTTTTTTTTAGAAAATTTTAATTACGAAGCAAGCTTAATATGTAATCAAAATTCTATCAAAATTAAGATAATTAAATTTTCTAGCAGCATTTTTACATTACTTTTATAGATCCGTTCTTATCCGTTATGATCATGAAATTATCATCTAAATCAACCTGCAGCTGCCCCTATAGTCACCAATAAATATTTCGCATGATACCTGGACAAAAAATATTACATCGTAATTGCTTTTTTATTGTGGAATACGGATGTTTCTCGCGTACATCATTCTCTTGCACTTCCGACTGTTTCGCACTTTCTGTGTGACGATCAAATCTGAAAATAAACATTATACACTAACATTCACATTAAAAAATTAATTATACACGAAAATGCTGAATTAAAAAATGAAAGTGCAAAAAACAGTTAAAAATAAATTTATATTTCGATTAAAATTTAAATTAAAAAATAGTGGCCGCGGACTTGTGTTTACCGGCCGCGGACGCATTGGACGGATCGCTGACAGATGGCGTCGTTCACTCAAACTTCCGTCCAGATACTCTAGTTTCAATGGCGATAGAAAATAGATCAATTTTAGACAAGTCAGGAAAAAGAACTATAAGGTAAATGTGACAAGACCGTAGCATAAAACGCATTCTTGTAAATCGACTGCTTCAAATTTCTTCTTTTCGCCGAAAGACCTACATGCTATAATTGATATTTTCGCTTTAATTGAAATCGAATCCCGGTCGGGCCCTGTAGGACCTGGTTCGAGACGATGTATTTCATTTTGTAATTTTTTTGAGCCACATTCAGAGTAGTCTTCTTTCAACAGACTTACAGTGTGCGTAAAGTCTGCTAAAAATCTTGGCACACTATACAACATTCAAAAAGTAGCTATGCAGATTTGGAAAAAATCTCTCGAAAAACTAAAAAATACTAATTTTGCATAGAGCCCGCATAGTGCTTTTAGAGTTTCTTTTTGCGAAATCTGAATTATACCATTATAAATTTATCTAAACCACTAAAATATCTGTTCTATGGACCTCTTCAGTGTAATACAATACAAATTCATAAACCCATTAAAATATGGTATTTATTGGGGAGATTTATTTAAGAATGTGCAATTCGAGAATACAAGCTCCATTTCGAATTCGCTATCGTACAAACAGATTTTATTAAAATAATCGGGTTTCAAAATGTTCGAATAAAATTGAATAGCTAAAATGAATTCACTCAACCGATCAATATTAAGCTCATTTATTTATTTTATTCGAAAATATGCGAAAGCGTAACCTTCGAAGTATCTAGTAATCCAAATACAGTCAAATAGCGCGTATCGCATCTGTTTGCGCATCCCATTCACACAATCTAAAAAACGCGAACGTCGTTCACTCGGGTTACTGTATATGGGTATGTAAATAAAGGCAAATTTGCACACTGTTTGCTCGTCAACTTGACGTTTATTCGTTCGTCGATCACGCCGTTTCGAATTAAGAAACTCGGTATGTCTGTAGGAGTGGTAAAAGAATTCGATCGGATTGCGGATAATGTCAAGGCCAATTCAAAAAAGAATTTGCCGCAAAATCACAACAATACCGATTTCATCGAGTTTTATCTTGGATGGCGATTTGCCGCAAAAACCTCTACTTGTTTCATTGATTTCGATAGAGATTAGCAATAAAACGCGGCCGGCGGTGACTGGTAGAGGCTGTCATTGCGGAGAAAAAAATCGGTGTTGAATCGGCCGCAAACCGACGACGCTTTTTTTAATATAAAAGTTTTGTAATAAAAATGGGTCGACGATAGCACAGAAATTGGATAGAACTGATCGTCGTTCACGATCATTTTCAGAAATGAAAAGTGCGAACGGGGTATATGAGAATAATTCAGAAATAAAGGAATTCGGAATGCGAGTTTGAAAAAATATAAAAAATGATGAAAAAAAAAACGAAAAAATCGCGAAAAGTACGGAATCGACTAAAATTGGGTTGAAATTCTGACATATTTCATTTTTTTTAGTCGAAAACGGAATTCGGCTCAACTCCGCGTTTTCCGCTTTGACCCAACTTGGTTTGAATCGTACTGCTGTCGGTTCTCTACAGTTTTTATTAAACATTTCATTTTGACTTTTTTTTAATAAAACATTTCACCAATGAAATCATGCTGAAATCAGTGGTCTTCTTAAATTTTGAATGCACAGCGAAATCGTGTTGGCATGAAAAAAAAAGCAAAATAAAAAATAAGAGCAAATAAAAAATAAAAGCTGGTGGAAAACAAAGTATGGAAGCATGGTCGTGAGTTGTGCGTTGTGCAGATCACTTCAGATTCCCGCAAAGCTTAGACGCTTTGTTAGATTTTTTTAAAAAGCGGTTCCCATACTCAGTCTTCATTAGAATTTTCATTGTTCTGAGTAATAAATCGTCGAAACTGTGTCATTTTTTAACAATTTTCAAAAATTATCAAATGGTCGAAATATTGCGCTAACAATTCGTGGAATCTTTATGAGAAACACTTTGTCAATTGAAACACTTTCAGATAAAGTAGATATTTTGAATCTAGATTCTTCACATCATCAAGGTACTTATTGGGATTGCTATTCCAGAATAAAAAATAAAATGTATTTCTTTGACTCTTTCGGATTTGATCCCCTTCAGAACTGCAAAAGCATCTAAAAGCCCAATAGAGGAATATAAAAAAATCAGTCATCGGGTTTTTTTCTCGAATTTGAAAATAAAAGATATGTTTGGATATTATAATCTTAAATTGAAATCAAATAGAAGATGAAGACCCCGCAATGATGAGGTTCCCTATTTTGAATTTTTGGTGGAGACACGAAATGAAGTCTTGCTCTGGGGATGTATAAGAGAAACATCATCTGCGCTTTCGCCTGTTATAAATCCGGCTCAAAAAACCATTCGAAACCGATTGAATATAAATTCCCACAAATCTTTAGAGATCCCCACTACAAAGGAAATGTCGCTATATTCTCTATAGGTTCCCACTCTGGTAAATCAAAACCAATCGTATTCGACAAAATTCGGCTCTAGAATTAACCTTATCCGATTGGAAATTCTGCGGATAAGATTGTAAAATTGTCGTATCCGATTGATTTTTTGGGTATTTTCGTGTACGATTGGTAATTTGTCGTATCCGATTGGTAATTCTACGGATAAGATTGGTTTTTTGTCGAATCCGATTCGAATTGAAATATTAAAACAAAACGGATTCGAATAATTACCAATCGGATTCGAAGAAAATCTAATCGGATACGACAAATTACCAATCGGATACGAAAATACCCAAAAAACCAATCGGATACGACAATTTTACAATCTTATTCGTAGAATTACCAATCGGATAAGGTTGATTCCGGGGCCGAATTTTGTTGAATACGATTGGTTTTGATTTACCAGAGCACTTGCTATGCATTTTTGGATGCCTATTCTAAAATGTGTGGGCGTGTTCTTGTCTGTAGGGAGCTATAATGAGGTGGGGACCACTTCTGCGTTTTTGTCAAATAAAACCTTTTTGTAGGTATAGCTTCCCATATTCATATAAATACTTGCGCATTCTCGAATGCATTTAGATAATTCATTTTAAAAATACAGAAGACGATTGAAAATAATCACATTGAACAACGAAACGAAAAGTGTCGAATGAATAGCGTTGAAAACTTGAAATTAGGAGAAGAAAACTAAATGACGGAATGAGATAAAATGATAAAACAAAAACAAATCAATTACCAATGTAACAAATAGGGGCAGGGTGCGCAGGGATCGGGTAGTGACAGAATAAGAAGAGGAGATCATATAATTTTATACAAAAGATCAATATTCACATCCACGGGTGATAGCTAGGTGGCATTCGGGATAGGTTTTCAGCTTTTCGTGCACGACACAATTGAGAAGCAATATCATCACGTCGCAATTTTGCTTCGGAAGAGTTTGTATCTGAAAACATTTGCATCAAATATGGTCGGAGTTCAGATGTCTTACTGTCTAATTTTTTTAGAATCTCGTTGACATAACTATTTGTCGCATGGCATACATATATCTGAAAATTTTCGAATTACAAGCTTAAATGACACTATAGATATCATAACTTACCAAATCATCAGATTCAACATTATCGGCATGCTCATCCCAAAGAAGAGGTCTCATAATAATTTCAGGTTCTTTTCGAGACATGCATTTCGCCATTGCCGCCATGCACCACATCAAATCGCCATCGAGAGACATTCCGATGAATTTGAGCAGATTCGGTGTGAGTCGGAAAGGCACATCATGACAGTTTTTGTTGATCATTTCAAGTCGAGTTCCTTTCGGCGCCAATTCAAATCGATAATGTACATTAACAAGAACGCCGGTATTCGCAGTTATCATCATATCTTCCAAGGTCAATGGTGTCAGACTACAGTGCGACTCCATAACTGAAAGCACAGCGAGACACTGCACGAACTTCTTGCGCATCATGTAGTACATGGTCTTGTCAGGATAACGAAGCGTGAAATAATCCACGAGAATTCTGTCGGAGACCATATCGCGCACAAATTCTCTGAAATTTTGATAATGTAGCGAGAAGCATAAATATTGAACGCTTACTCATAAATTGCGCGTTTCACTTGATACGATTGCATTGGCTGCGGAACAGCTTGAGCGATACCGCTTCCATCCGGCATTATCATCGACGGCACTTCAGGATTCTGCACCTGACTCGATCGTTGCGCGAATCTTTCAAAGAACATGTAGACCAAATCATCAGGCGTCATTCGCATCTCGTGGAACGATTGCGCCAAAATATCAATAGGGTGAATAATCTCGTACGCCGACACCGGGTTGATCATTCCGCATTCAACTGTTTGGAAGTACGGCTGGACAACTGTAAGAAAATGCAGGTAAATGCGATTACTCGAGTTTTTTTCGGAAAAACTTACAGGCAATCTCGTAAATAAAAGTCCTTGAGCTGGCTCTCATCTGAGTCATACTCGGCATGTAAAGATACCGTCTTGCCGTCTCACGGTCCTTCTGCAGAAGTGTGTTGACATGCGAGAATAGTTGTGGAACGCGGTTCGTTTTTTGAGGCGTCAAATATTTTCTCAAATAGAACGACGCCGTCTTTCCAGTTTGGGCTCGGATGTTCAAGCATCGTTGAACTTGTCCTCCACGAACGATTATCTCGACATGCGGATCAAACCGAGAAATCATCGACACATATTGTCCTGATTGGTTCGGCTAAAATATTATTGATTTTTGAAAATTCTAACCAAGTAACTTACCGTATTTGGTGTATTATGGTTTCTGACGCGTAAAACATTCTGGAGATCGTACGGCATTTCAACACATCCAACCCGATGCGTGAATCTCGATAAATAAGTGCTCGTAATCTCGATGGGAACCCGTTTTGGAAGAGATTCAATTCTTTGCTTCAACATTTTGATCCAAGCAATCACAATTTCAACAAATTTCAATGGCTGGATGGCTTCAACTGACAATGACAAGTTTTTGATAAACGTCGAACTGGTTTCCTTGACAAACTAAAAAAAAAACACACTCTTTTCAACTTTTCATCGTTAACATTGATGATAATACCAAAAGTTCGTCGTCGGATTTTGGCGTGTCCTGCGCAGATCGTGGTACTTCTTTTTCGAACGACAACCTCTTTACATTCTCCTCGTTTCTCAAATACCCTTTGCCAACTTCCAATTTTCCCAAGTTAGTAATTTGTTTTTCATTGAAATTGTAGAATCTGTTGTAGTATTGTAAATCGCTATTCAGATTCTCAATCCAATCTTTCATAATTGTCTGAGTATCTTCCGAAATCATTGTGTCATTGAAAGTTGCATCCATATTAGAAGACAAATCCCTTTAAATTCAATCATTAGTTTTCATAATTTTGAATGTTCAATCTTACTTGAAAAGCTGCTCTTTCAATCCGATAGCATAGCGCAAATGCTTCTCAGCCCAAAACTCCGGCATTTCATCTAATTCGTGGAGAATGCGATGGAAAACTCGAATATCAGTTGGTCGATATCTGCAAGCAATTCGGAGAAGCCTCACACAAGGCGGAGCTTCTGGGAATGCGTCTTCATCACTACACTGATAATCTTCATCGTCTAAATTTGCAACTTCGCACAGTCATAATTAAGGAAAAACAGTAAGATACCTTTTTCAAGAATAACGTCGATTAATGGAATCGGGAACACATTGCGAATCGCATGAAAGACTTGCATTGGGAATGTTGGAGTGATCTGAAAATGAAATATGTGAATGGCCTGCGTCACGCAACTGCGCAAAATTGGCAAAATGCCAAAAAAACAATGCCAGTAGTCATAGTGCAAAAACGAGTGTTGATTTATGGGCCAAAGAATGAGGATAGGTTAAAGGCGCACATCATGCACCTAGACCTCTTTCAAAATTCTTGGTATTTAGCCAATTTTCTATTGTCGTGCGACGTCGGCAATAAAGTAATACACGATACCTTGATAAGGAGGCTAACAAACGGCGAACTTGGAGTATGATTGATTTCGGCAACAAGTTGAGGAAGCCAATACAACCAATTGTATGCATTCAGCGAAAGTAGATGATTCTGGATTATCCTTCCAAGAGATTCAAACGATTTTGGACCGCAAATCGACAAATGTTTCGCGAGCCACATAATTCTCGAAATATATTTTCTCGCTTTCGGTTCCGATTCGGCGCGCGATGCCGCGAAGTAGCAAGCCAGTGCTTGTCTACCATACTTCAAAGCACTGTCCTCGGTAACTGGAGATGAGAAGAACATCTTGTAGGCATGATGCCCCCAAGATTTCATCAAATTCACTGTTACGGGACTCAATTGATTCGTCTTGAAGTCCACCAATTGTGCCGCTGTCGAGTAGCTCTTCTCAGCAAGATCGATTTGATTGAGTTCCGAGTGCACATTCGCCCGCTGATAGAACAATTTGGCGATTTGCTCTCTATTCATCTCTTGAATCTTAACATCTTCGAGAACTTCTAGTGTCTCCAGAAGAACTTCACGTCGTTCGATATCATCTTTCGTCATTGCCGCCTGTACTCGAAGAGCTTTTGCGTAATCGCACACTTTTTGATGAGAATCAAGCATAGGAATAGTCGGCATACAAGCGATTCTGAAATATTTCAAGAATGAATATTGAAATTCACAAATTCAATCTTCTACCTGTTCATGATATCTCTTGAGAGATTCGGAAACCCTTGCTGCCGAGCACATTTAGCAATAGTAAGCTGGCCTTGGGCTGCAGAATGAATAGGGAGTATCGAATGATTGGTCGTTGCAGAGGGAATAATACTGGGCACCTGCGCCTTTAGAACATTTGGTTGTAAAGTATTTAAGTATTCACGAACGTTGACATTCATCTTTTCCCAATTCTCAAACCGTTGAAGCACTAGAGAATGAATTTGTAATCTCCAATCATACATGGTAGAAACGAATCTCAAACCGTCAGAAACGGTTGGACTTCGGTTTCTGAAATAATATTCAAAAATAGGAAAAAAAATGTAACACGCGATTAAATACCTCCATATTTTGATTAGAACTTTCAGATCTTGAAGAAGTGGTCCCTCGAATTTGCAGTTCGGAACTTCTATAGCACATCGTAGATCAGTTGCCTCTTCGACTTCTCGAACAAGATTCATCCATTGCAATAATTTTGCATGTGAATATGTTACAACTTTTGGAAGTGACCTCCATTTGGCAATATGTGCCTATAATAAGGAAAAACACATTGAAAATACAACAACTGGATTTTTATCTCACTTCAACGCAATCTTGAACTGCGTGCTTAATTCTTTCCTTGTGTGCGTCAATATTGATATCATTGTTTTTCATTATAGTGAGCATCGTATTATACACAGTAAACTCCGGGAAGAAATCATTCGGAATGCAACCATGAATCTGATTGCGACATTCTTCGACGACGTTCCAATCCGGAATATGAAGACCAGCTTCAATCAGCCCTCGCGAATATTGCATGTCTTTGTTGTTACACACATCGGCCACATTTTGCCATTGCAATAGATCAGCGCAGCAACTAAGAATGAAATTTGCATTGAACGAAAGATTCGAAAAACACTTACTCAATATACATTTGCATCCAATTATCATATTCCTGGTCCAGCAGGGGTCCAATATGACGATCTGTAGCAGGCTGTCCATTCACTAAATGTGCAATTCGTGTTAGAAAAGTATTTCAGAAGAATAATACCATTCATGTTCAAAGCGAGAGAGTCGGCAATCGTCGTCATTGCATTTTCAAGAATCGTCTGAGCAGTTTCGGTATCTCCCTGAAACAAGAAATCCATATTCGGCAGTTTCTAAAAATAACCAACCAATTGCATTGCAGCGATTACTTTTCCCGTCGTCGATGTAAGTGCTCGTTTATCCCATACAGCAGCGTATTGATCGAATTCGGTCAATTCAGAATACAAAGCAGCCAATGAATCCAAGACATCCTAAAAACGAACGATTCGTTTTAAGCACACACTTTCAATCAACATACAAAATCTCGCTGATTTTCTTCCGGAATCGGCAATTCCATTACGAACTGATTATTCTCTTGTCTTCCAATCTTCACCGCCTGCTGTTCGAGCAATACAATTCCAGTATGCCAGCATTCGTGTCGAGCCGCAATAAATTGTACGAGTTTCGGCGGAAGCGGGATCACTTGGCTCATAGTATTGAGCCAATCTGCTAAGACACTTCTTTCGTAGCCCGACCGGTACGTGTTATGAGTTCCACTCGACAAGAAGGGAAGAATGAGAGGTTGGATGTCAGTTATCTCTTCAGGAGTCAGAGAAGCCCAGAATGATTTAAACAACACCATCCACATATTCGCCACACAACCACTGCTCGTTGGCACGGCGAATGCGAAATTTGAAACAGCATCGATAGTCTGTGCGAAATCAAACTCGGAAGCCTCGGCGAAAAGTGCGTTCTGCTCATCCAAAAGAGTTTTTAGCCTCTTCTCATGATCTGTTTGGCATTCTTCCATGTCGTCATCCTCCAATATTTCCTCTTTTATTTTCGGATCCGGTTCATTTGATTCAGGCTGAAAAGATGAATTATTTATTTTTTTCTTTTATTTAACAGACTCAAATTACCTTGCTTGTATCGTCTTCATCTTCTTCTTTAATGACATCCTTCAAATTCGCCGCGAATTCAAACGTTTTCCACGGTGAAGAACAATTGAGCATGAGAACAAGTTTCCTCTTGAATCCTTCTTTCTTGGCGGCTTCCTGCTTTCCTTTGATGTTGACGCATCGAAGCATACTCCACAATGCATGCCGCAACCAATAGTATTGTCCGAATCTCGACCATTCTTGATCTTTTAGGATATACTTCATGCGTTGAAGCATATCGATCGACGATAAATGCGGCCACGTGGATTCCCATATCAGCAAGAATTTTTCGCGGATATCCGAATCATTGCTCGTCAATCCCCACACAAAGCCTTCCCACAATCGACTGCCCGCTTCTGACATTCGATAGTCTGTATTCTCATAGGCACGAGCGACATATGTCAGAAACGTCGTGTACAAATCTTTAGAGCTTCTAAAAATGGACAATAATCAATAAAATGAAAAACAAAAATTACCTAAAACGCGCTTTGATGACTTCTTGCACTTTTAAAAGCAATGGAAGTGAATATTGTAAAGTGAAATCATTATCAGTCGTGCTGATGAGAGTACCGACCACTTTCAAACAGCTTTCGACGACCTAAAAAAAAGAATAACTTGAAATTTGAAAACTCAAAACCTTCTCATATGAACTTCTTCCAATCAAGTCGGACGCAATATTCAAAAGAATGACTTTTCGTGTTTCAGTTGGCAAAAAATCAAGACGCGGTCGAATCAATTCCATTGAAATGCATACCATTTCAACGACGCCTGAACGAATATCCAATAAATTTCAAAATAAACTTATCGAAATACCTTTTTCTCGATGAGAGTCTTGACCATTCTGAACATAACACAGATGCTCGCGAGCTGCTTTTTCAGCAACTTTTAGGAATGAGTTGAGACAAATCGCATCAAGATACCCTGGTTGATTTGAGCAAATTGTTCGTACCAATGAGAATGCAGTGAAAAGTGCAGCAACTGGAGCTTGAGGATTCCTGAAATTTGACTTTTTTTGAAAATTCACCAATTATTTTTACGGAACGTACTTGACATTAAGAGTGAACTGATCATTGAGATATCGCGCAATGTATCGATTGAACTCTTCCAGCTCATCCAATCCAGTTTGAGATGTCTTCGTCTTCTCGAACAACTTTCCAACAAGCTGATTGACGAGTCGAACCAGCACTTGAATTCCGCTGTTCAAACAGGATATGATTCCCTTCTGAAGTGGCTTAAGTGTCTGGAGAAGCAATTCTTTGGGCATCGTATTGATCAAGTTCAAAATCAATTCTAACGAGCTTTGCGCAGTATTAACGCAGGTGGTTAAGGTCGCCGACGTTCCACTGCCTTCCAATTTCGAATTGATGAGCTCGGGTGGAATAATCATGTTCTTGTCGAGACCACTAGGACGTATAGTCGCTATTCTTCCCCAAACACACGGTTTTAATGCAGCTCTCAGCAATCCATGACACTTCTTTATCAATTCGCTGGCAACCGAAAGCATTTGTTGTCCATTCTGCATCGAAATGTTCGTAAATGTAACACAGAATCGAACAAGCATGTTGACAATCTGATCGATATGCTCCTTTGATATTGGGTATTCGGAATTATTCATTTTCTCTCTTTTGATGAGATTCGAACAAATCTCATCGTCTTTTTCCTTGTCGAACACTCCTCCTTTGAGTGTTTCGAGCATTTTGTCAACTTCGAGCGCGTCTTCAGCGGTTACGTGCGTTTGCGATTCGGTTTTCTCAATTCGAAGAAGGTCCCATTTAATTACCATCTCACAAACTTCTATAGCCAATCGACGAGATTGCCATCTGAATTTTCAATCAATAAAATATTCAATAGCAATTACAACATACGCGTCAACAAAACTGTGTGGAATCACAAGTGACCGTTGTACTGAGTTGAGTAACGGTGTTAATAGCTCATGGCGAACCGGATAATAGACTCGATAGTTTCTGATGATCATTTGACTGAAAATTGGAAAAAAAATGTTATTAAAAGTGTATTGAGAAAACACTCACTAAACATGTTGAACATGCATCAAATTGTGGCACTCATCCAGAAGAACAGTTCGCACATATTTCAATATTTGTGCATGACCATCATCCATTCTGATTGGAACCGCTGGCGTCAGAATATCAATTGCCTTCCGCACTTGATCGCGATTATCTTGCTGATAAGTTTGAGTAAGAGTTTCGAACACTTGAAGCACAATTTTTCGGTTGATTGTGAATCGTTCAATAATGTTCGCAAGGAAATAGAATCCAGTGAACCTCATCGTAGGATCCTGATGATTGGCCAATGTGAGGCATGGCCACGCGAACAGCATGAATGTTCGCAGTCTTCCGCCTTGTTTCCTAAAAAAAGTTGTAGACTACATGGATTCTATAAAAATAAAAGCTAACTTGAAATTGTTGTTATGAATATGATGAGGAGCATGTTGGACGAACAATGTGCACAATTGATAAAAGACAATCACCATTCCGTCGCTCATTTTCTGCCGATGTGTGTCAACGACCTTCGCCAATCTCGAAACAAGATTATTCGGATCGTTCTCCATCCCATCTTGTGATCCTTGCGATTCACCAACAATCTGAGCAAAATAAATCATTGAACATAGAATTGTCTATGTCGAAATTACCGAATCAACGTCGTATCGTTCAAAAGCCCATTGAAGAGATGGTATGATGAGGTATTGAATAGTTTTGACAACTCTTAAATCGGTAACCGTTTTCTCCGGATTCGTTTCGAATTTCTCCATGATTCGCAAGAATGCTTGTCGTCGCCACATCAACGGCATTACGGGAATCACTTCATTCTCCAAAAATGTGCGAACGAATGTGAAATCGGTGACAAAATTGCCAATGAACACCGTGATAACGTCGAATAAAAGTTCGAAATCGTCGTAGTATATTCTGCAAAGAAAAGAACTCATATGAGCGATTTTTAAAATATAGATACTCACCTCAAATATCTCAAAAAGCATGTCACAATGAGTTTTGGAACTTTGAATTTGTGCTCAGTCATAAATCGAACAACAATCTTTTTCAAATCATCATCATTTGGAGATCGAACGACGTATCGCTGCTTGAAATCCGTATCATTCCAAAGCTGAAAATTAATTTCATTTAGAGCCAATTATAAATTTCGACTCAAACTTACATCTTTAAGTCGATTGATTGGTGAATTTGGTTTCGTATACCATTGTGGATGAATTCGAAGAATTGTGTTCAAAATCTGAAGGGCAAACAATTCTCGATGGCACGTCTTCATCTCATCGTATGGTTCTTCAACCCATTTATCAGAAGCAATATCCTGAAAAAGCATCAATTACAGAACTCTAAAATTGCAATGAAAATTCATACAAATGATTTTCCCTCCAAAATTCGTTCAAGCCATTCGGAATTTTCCATCAAAACTGTACGCAACACTTGTGCTTCATCATATTCGATAATTCGACGCATAAATGCTTTTCGACTTTGATCTCCCAAGGATTCAGTCGAGAACAAAAATGAGAGAACTTGTTGAGGATACTTCGAAATCACTTTCGTAACATCAGCAGTCCATCCATTAATGATCTAAAATTAATCAAATTTATATGGGAGAAGATTTTGAATAAAACAAACATTTTGCGCATAAATATATTCAAATCCAGCAGCAAATTTGACGATATCAATGACCATTTGTGGTGTTATCGTTTCCAAATCATTGCAATTCGCCAAAATTAATACAATTTTGGCAATCGTTCGGACTTCATTCAGATGTCGAACTTTTTTCGTTTCTTCAGACTGCTCATTTTCCTCCTCGAGCTCATTTTCCTTATTTTCATTATTTAACTCCTCCATATTCCAATTAACAACATAGTTCTGGAAAAAAATTAGTTAGAAATTGATATATTTCCAAACAATATGATTACGGTAAGGTTGACAGCCATCGTTTTCGTTAATATTTTCGGATTCAACCAGAAAACTCGATCAAGTCTGTGAATATCATCCAATAGAAGCTTCGAATGGCTCGGAAGCGTTGCTCCAACTCGATCGAGAAAATCTTTCGATGCCAAATTAAGGAATGATAGTGGAAGAGGTGCCAACTGAAAATGTTAAATAGTAAAAGAATGCTGATACTAATTTCAAACCGTTCTTAAGATCTCGTGTGAGCATTTACTGATAACCTCGATTTCCAAATTGAGATTTGCTCGCAACGCCACAGTTAGCAATTTTTTCAAAGAATGGGGCCTATTCGAATCAAAGATGTGATCACCCGTCAATCGATCAATATCAAGCCCCCATTCGGCTCTCAATTCCATCACATTATCATCAATTTCCATTGAATCGATATTCGCGACACCTCTGCAACAAAATACTGATCAGTCAATTATTCGTTTGTTTTAAAATCACCAACCGTTCTTTCACTGCTTCTCTGTTCAAACTGTAGATTGTCACAATGCATCTGATTGCGTTACACCGTAAATTATCAATCTGATCACATATCGGAATCGGAGGCAAAAAATGGGAAGCGCAATTCTCGCATTTCTTGTAAATTGGTCGTTGAAGAAGAATTTGAGATTCGGTTTGTGCAAGATCGACCAAAAATGTAATAAATCGCCTCCAGCGGTCATAATCTTGAGCGAACTCGTACATTCTCGGTCGAACATTTATAATGTCGATTAAAGCTGCCAATGAACCAATCGAGTCGTACAACGACATATACCTGAATACAACAATCAATTAGTTGCCACATTTGACTCAAATCACTAACGGCATAGTATTCAAAATGCGTTCGACATCCGGTACAAATAAATCCCGATACCTATACATAAACCCGTCAAATGTTTCGGCAACCTGTCCAATTGAATGACACTGCTGCAGAAGAATTCCAATCTTTCGCCGGACATCTGGACACCCGTGGAAATAATGTCTGACGAAGGCGGGTACAAATTTGTCGAGTCTCCTCTCGACTTCATTGCGATCATCAATTCCAATGAGCATCGCTTTCAGCAACTTTTCAATACTTTCCATTGCCATGTCGACACTTCCTGATGAGATCTCATCAACAGATCCGATTATGACTTCAATGAATCCCTCAGCAATCGGTTCCATGAACTCCTCGATAAAGATTTTCGGATATTTTTCGATCATATAAGAGAGAGCGCTTGAACCGCCAAGTCGCGCAAACCACGAAGGACCATGACACAAATTAATAATACGTTCAACTAAATAGCGGCAAAACGGAATTTTACTCATCTGAAATATCGAATAATATCAGTCCACAAATGAATTGGAAATACCATATCAGGATTTGGAAGAGCTGCAGCGCAAATATCGTTTATATGTCGAAGGGCAACCATTGCTGAATGACAAAAGTCCTTGTTGGAGTCCGAAAATGCAGTGCAAAGCGCGTCGACAAGAACGGCCGAATCAAGACACAAGAACTTAGTTCGTTCTTCATCCGCTTTTTGTATCCATTGTTCGCCGCCTATGAATTAAAATTAGAGAGAACTCAAACCAAATCACCAACCTGCACATTCAAGTAGACCAATCAGAGCCAACTGTCGAAGGACGGCATTGAAAAACTTCAAATATTGTTGGCGTATGGGATCTTTGGTGACCAAACCATCTGCAAACCAATCTTCAAGTTTATACATTTTACAAATTGAAAGAAAACATACAAAATAAGACTAATAAGGCGTTGATGAACAGCAAACGATCGTTTTCTCTGGGACATTTGTAAACAACAGAAGTTCCTTCATTGATTTTGAATTTCTTAAATTAAGTTATATTTTCCATTAACTGTGGCAATCGACAAACCAAGAATATATGTTTGATTTGATCGATCATTCGTTTGATATTCTTATTACTCATGACCTGTGGTGGACCAAGGCCGGTGAGAAGAACCGATTTAGCCAGCTCCATACACTGTTTCCTCAAATGTATGCTCGGAAGCACCGGCATCGCCACAAGCCCCACCTGAGAGATGGAATCGTTCGGTGTCGAACTAATGCGCATCTGCTCAACCGCATTTTTCATCACGTCACTCAACGGCAGATGAATGCTCAATTTGCCGTCCAAGCCCAATCGCGAGAATTCCATGTTTACAAATGACTGTGAAATCTCGGCAGGCGAAGCGAACTGTAGCATTTGCGGCTCATTGAGCATTCGGCGATTGGCTCCACCAAATTTGCCAAGAATTCTGAATGCGCCCGCTGTTGATCCGGGATCGTTGGAAGTGGCGACGACTCTCCAAAGCCCTTGCATGAGAGCTCCTCGAACTGGCACCATGTGCTCGAAAAGAAATTCGGGTTGAAGGTTATCAACGCATAATTCAAGTGTTCGCAATCCTAAAAGAGTGCTTAATATATATGTATAGGTATGTAGCAAAAATTGTGCTACCTTGTTGAACTAATCCTTGACTTCCATTTAATGCACAAACCAGCGGGTCCATAAGCAATGGCAAATATGGAAGAAGTGATGAGAGCCTCACCGGCACGGTCAGACAGAGCTCGATAAACAATTCGCGCATTTGAACACGATGTTGTCCCGACTATAATGAAAAATAAGAATTATTGAAATTCAGTATATCGTACCTGAAGTTTATTCAAGAATTGCAACAAATTCGGCAAAAGCGGCAAAAATTTTCCGTATAATATGTCATGTGCTCCACCGCCTATCGAACGGAAAAGTGCACGAAGTAGGAGGAAATAGTTGAGCGGCTCTTTCGCAGACAGCGCCAAAACTGTCGCCTGACGAATGAGATCAGGAAGGAATGGCTGAAAAATGAAATTATTCACAGAATGCTTGCGGTTAAATGCGGTTTACCTTGAGCATTCGTTCTCCTTCAACATTCGGGTGCTGAGTTCCAATGGCAGAAAAAATAATCTTGAACAGTTTGACATAGAGACCAGTTTTCTCAGTGCTAACTAAACAAAATGAAAACGTGAAAATGAATTACTAATTTAAACACGCTCACCAGAAAGACACTTCATTCGATCCATAAGAAATGACAGCATTATCGAAGCAAATGATGGAAGCTCGTGCCGTACCAAAAATGTGTTGATCATGAGTTGCAGAGGGAAATTCCTATAAATTCGTTGTAAAATACAATATTCTTGTACGATTCTTTTTACTTGAAGATTCTTTCGAGACAAAAATCCATATATTTCTCAAACAGCTCTCGAAAAATGCTTTCTTGGATTGTGGTAAACTAAATTAAAAGCAATAACTATGAGAGTAATTAACTAATTGAAAAATACCACGCTGGCAAGAGATTCAAGCGTCTCTTTTTCGTCTTTGGTTCGATTGCTTGACGACGAATGCCGACTAACGGGAATCACGAAGATATCCATGCACATTACACCATATTTGAGAAGACGCTCAAACAAATCTCGCTCCCGCGTAATATGATAAGAATCTGAAAAAAGGGAGAACTTTAATATGAAAATTAGAAATTTAGTGAATACCCATGGTTTCCCTCGTATCCTTCATTTGGATAGCAACAAATTTGCACGTTTGAAAAATGAATTTCACCAAATTCCTTCCATCAAGCAATCCAACAGGCGGAGCATTTGGCTGGAATACAAATCATTATTTTGAGTAAGAAAAAGATTACGATGTTACCACCGAAAGTGATGTTAGAATTGCATCCGGTGTATTGAACATTTTCCCGTCCTTCGTGGGTTCGGGCAACGGCGTAAATGGCAGAACATTGCATTCCGGCACTGAAAATTCAATACAATAAAAATTTACACAGAACAAAAATCTTTTTAAAAAAAATCTTACACTTCGAATTATATTCGAGCTCGTCAATCGAATCAATCGACAATCTTCTTGGTCGTATATCAATAATATCATCATCACTTTTCCTAAATGTTAGTATTTTTAAATTTCGGTAACCAAATAAAAAACATACGATATTTTTTCAGGAATTTTGTATTCGTATTCGACTTCATTCCGATATTGTTGGAAAAGAAGAGGCAAATGATAATAAGCGATTACTTTCAATTTCGCAACTAGTGCTTCGAGAACTTCAGTCAGAACATCTCGAGTCTACAATTTACACATTAAGCATCATAAAATAGTAAAAGCTCATTTATTCAATATCTAAACATACACAAACCGGTTCTCCTTCTCGTTCCTTTTTAACCAAACATTCGGCAATACTGTTCAGAAGACGAGCCGACATGATTTGCACTTGAGCATTCGTCGTATTGTCGTGAAGTTGTCGACAGAAAATGAAGGAAATACTGAAAAAAAATAATATTTCAAGAAACCGAATAAAAACACATACTGAGAAAGCATTTCGTACGTCAGTTGATTTCTCATATGATGAAGAAGATCAGCAAGCATTTGATACATGAAAACTCTGCACAAAAATGATTGAAATTCTAGGAAAATCGCCGAGATTATATACCGTAAATTCTCAATAGAAGTGAATCCTGTTCCAAGTAAAGCAGTTTCCGAAAGCATTCTTGGTAAAAGAGGGAAGAATTTCATTCTCAAGTCCCCAGAAACAAAATATTTCATAGCGACAAGAACATCTCTGAAAATATTAAAATGTTGTAAGGCAAGAAGTATTCAAAATACTTTCTAGTCGCTATCAAATCCGCCGGACAATGCTCCAGCAATTGCAAAAGTCCAGTCACGAGCTGATCAATGTGTTGCGCGATCATATCCATGAACTAAATGTAAAATATCAAATAGAATATGGTGAAGAAAATAATTACCGCTTGAATTTTTCCCATGATGTTAACAAACGACAAATATTTCGTTTGAGCAATGCAGAAATCGTCGGCAAGCGATTGATTTATGTTATTTTTCATGTCTTTCGGAAGACGAACGTTTAGAAAATTGAAACCAAACTTCATAAATTCAAGAGCCTTATGAATAAAATAAAAATGCATCATAAATGAAATGTTTCAAATTACCTCGGATTGAATGCTGGTCTTATAATGTTGATAAAAGAAAACGACAAGCATCGGAATCTCTTGGAGCATTTTGAACGATTGGGTTGCAAGAGGAATTAGTGTATACTGTAAAAATTTATTTTATCTGTAACTAAAATCAGATTTAACAAAAAACCACAAACCTTCGTATCAGTTCCATTCAAAGTTATCGTCTGTACGTAAAAACACGATTTAAGATAGTCCGAAATAAGCTCTTCATCTGTATAATTTCCAAACGGTTTTGCCATATCCTTGGCAATGAAAATCTCGCCGTTGCTTGCCAAATTCGTTAAGTCGATCAAGATTTTCTTGAACGCCTCCATTGTGCTGCTAATTTCAGGACAATATGTGATTTTTCCAAAGTTTCGAGCCTGATCGATGAAGATTTTCATAGCCAATATCGCGTTTTCCTCATTTTCCAATGTAATTAACCGCAGCATTTGTTTCATAATATCTTTAGAAGACGATTTAACCGACTACAATTCATTAAATCTCATAATTAAAATATAGAAATTGGGTTTTACCTCAACACCAGACATACGTAATATAATTTCAAGAACAAGTTTCCGTAAATTCCGCGTGTTGTTCTCCGTGATAAATTGCGGAGCAGTTGTGCAGAAAATTTTCAGAAAACTCTTCACGAGCTTCTCAACAACATTGTGATAAACAGGAAGATTGTATACTTGCTCAATGCTCGTCCAAATATCCTGAAGAGTAGTGTCCGTTTTAATATTTTCGAACGAACTATTTTACCTTTAATGTTTTCAACTTCACGTCATCCCTTTGGGAAGAATCATGCAGACCAGCGATTCGATTCTCAATCTCGATTGTATGAGCATTTTGATGGTGCGTTGGTGGTAGACGCGGTTGTGACTGATACGGCTGTACCTGCTGGTGTTGTGTTTGTTGCATTAAATTCAGATGAGATCGTGATGCTTGTACTGGGTCCTGCCCCATTCCTGATGTTGACGGGGATTGACCGCGTCCCATCGACGAGTTCTGCATTGTGAACTGAAAAGATCCTCTCAGTTATCCAATTTTCGAAATGAACAATTGAATGAATAAGTACAGGGATGGCAACAATGTAAATGAATATGCTCAAATGTGCGAAGAAACGCTACGAAACAGAGCACCAGGTGGTGTGACGTCAGAAGAGGTCACACCAATTACGGTAGTATTGGATCGTACTATAATTTAAGAATTGTGAGATATTCTTTGCTAAAGACAATATGCTATGTATTAAGTAATTCAACCTAATATATTTTTGAAGTGGGATTAATTTTATTTTGAAGTCAATAAAATGTTACGAGAACAGACATTTTAAATGTGAAATGAAAATAACCGTTTGTCTTTTAAACTAAATGGGTTTCCATAAATATTAGAAGATTTGAATTTGAAAATAATAATAAAAAGTTAAACAATTATCATGATTTTTACTAAAAAAAAAAATCAAGAAATAAAACGAAAATGAGAGAAATTTGAAAAAATAAAAATTTGAATTTCTAACGCACTGACTCGGAATCGGTGACACGTAAAATACGCCATTAATTCTGCTGGCGCATTTCTTGAACACTTTCATCGTGGAATTTTTCGCGATTTTATTCCAAATTAATAATAAATTCTATTGATATTCATTTCGATGGGATCGGTTATAACAAAAGAAAGTATCCTAGAAGACAATGTGTATCTCAAGAAACTTGCCGGACTTGAGCCGATAATTGATAATGATCCGTTTTGGAATAAGTTTCTCTCGTTTAGCTTGAAATTTGAGGAAAATGACGAGTAAGTTCTCCAAAAAAATATACTTTAACGATTTGAATATTTAGAGAAACAAGAAAACGATTTGAAGTCGCTCTTGATGAGCACTTCCAATGTCTTATGTACAATACTCAGACAACAGGCAATTTTGCTGCTTTCATTCGCTTATTTCTTCGAAGAGCAACAGAATTAAAGCTTTCTGAGCAATGTGATAAGTATTTAAACCTTCTGAATAATTCAATGTTAAATTTGGAAATGTTTTTAGCAAGATTTATCTATGGCAAACGTCCAACGCATTGCTCATTCTTCGATATATTGCCAAATTTCTCACGCAACGAATGGTCGAAAAGGAATTTGTGCGGGTGTTTTCCAAGGAAACTACTACTTCTGTTCCAGAAGAACCTTCATCGTCAGAAGAAGATGATGATGACGAAGAAGTGGATAATAATTCAAAAGGGGATAACCCGTCTAATGAAGAAGATGTTATTATAAAATTTCAAAATACTGCTGAAGAATTTACCTACGAATTGACTGCGATTCTAACCGATCTGCCTGTCAAGTAAGTTCAACATTTTTTTTTTAATTTAAACGGGATAATTCAGTGAGGCTACAATGGCAATTCATGTCGAAGCAGTCCGATGTTTAATCACACTTCTTAGCTCTCAACTCTATAACGACACAAAAATCGATTCATCAATTCTCTTCAGATTTTTCATTGACGGAGCGTGGTGAGTTGATTAATATTTTCGTAACGCTAATTTGGGAATTTTTCTGTTAAAGTATTTTATTTTCTTTGGACACAAAAAAACGTGGTAAATATCTTTAATGACACTAACTCTTGAAAAAATTGGAGAAAGGTCCATTAATTTTTTTCGAAATAAATTTGCGAGATAATCTCAATAATGTAGTTGTATTTTTCAGTGCCAAGCATGCTTCTGACCTAACAAAAGCCCTACTGCATAATTATCTTGCTCATAATTCGGAATATCATTTGACCGTTCAAAAGCCGCAAGAAAGTATCGTTCTTGGTCTAGCTTGTAAGTGAATCTTTTCAAAAATTCACTTTAAAATGTTTCGATATTTAGCTTCAATGTGGTCAATGGTTCAAATGGCCGCTGGTCTCGAAGCAAGAGAGGAAGAGAATAATCGACCGATTACTCTTGGGAACTTGAGTATTCTTCTCCTTCTGAATCTTTCATGTCATCAACCTTCCGAATCAACGAATCCATTCAAAGAATCTCTAGCACAGTTTCAAAACGCTCAAGAAGTCTCAACGCTTCCAACACAAGTAGTAACCTTCAAAATTGATTACAATGGGCTGTACGAGAGATTGTGTGCAACGGCTTCCGAAGAGCCACCAATGCTTCTTCTTTATATGCTCCTTTATTCAAACTCAGGTTTTCGGAACTACGTTTTATCACGAATAAATCTCGAAAATTTGGTATGTTTTTGAAACAGTATTCTGAAAAAAAGAACTGCTACGTTTTTAGGTCATTCCCGTTCTTCGTATTCTTCATGACGGCGCTGGCGTATCAAATAACCCTCACCATGTCTATCTTTCACTAATTGTTATGCTCATTTTGAGCGAAGACGATATTTTTTGCAAAATTATACACGAGACGGTAAAAATTTTATTTGTAGAATCTGTCGAATTTGAATTTTTCAGGTAATCAAAGATGTGAATTGGCTTGATCATGATTTCAGTGTTCGACAAATCTCTTTGGGTGGTCTCACTGCACTTGTATTCATTCGTGCAATTCAAAAAAATGCACTGAAAACGAGGGTTGGTTGAAAGAAGAAACATTTTTTATGGCGTAAATAAGGTCAATGAATTTTCATTGCCGATTTTATTAGTTCACAAAGAAATTTCTACCCGTTAAATTTATGATAGATTTTATTGGCCGTTAAAAAAAACATCGAAATTAGAAATTAAAATTAAAGCAATTCGATCTGAAAGAACACTAGAGAAGTTTTTGTTTCAGATTCCCAGCGGAACATTTTAGAACAAAAAATGTTTTCCGTGTCCAAATCTAAGAAATTTGTTTTTATTTTTGCAGTTTCAGTTTCTTTTTCACAAAAAATAGGCGAAAAGCCCATTATAAACTGAAACCAATGTGATATCTGGAAATATGTATTGAATGGTTTTTAGGATCGATATTTGCACACGAATTGTCTCGCTGCTCTTGCCAACATGTCATCATCGCTTAAAAATCTAGCGCCAATTGTTTGCCAGCGTCTTATTTCACTTCTTGAAGTAAGAAAATGCTAAATTGCGATACGACAATTAATTGAGGTTTTCAGCTTCTGACGAAACGACACACAAAAATGGTGGAGCATATGAGAGTAAGCAGCCAATTGGATGTCGCTGAAGGACAACCCATCAATTTTGTATGATTTTGCCCTTATTTTCTTATTATTTTTATTGGTTTTAGCATGATGATATAACCGCGCTAGAGGAAGGAATTCGAACGCTTCTAGAAATAATCAACGGTGCACTTTGTGGTGGATTGAGACATAATGTGCATTTGGTGTACAATCTTCTGTATCATCGAGCACTCTTCGATGCATATTTGCAACACCCAATGTTTCAAGTTGGTCTCAATATTTACGTCAAAGCATCTTTTATGTGTTTAAGGATCTTCTTGTAAATATCGCAGCAGTGATTTCGCACTTTTCGGCAAAAGTTGTTCATGTAAAAGCTGGCGATGGAGCAACAATGCTCGAAATAATTGAGAAAGAAGCGAATGTATGGCCGACTGATAAACTTGCGAAATTCCCTGAGCTCAAATTTAGGTATTTTATGCGTTAAATGTGTTTTTGTATCACTAAAGCATTAAAAAAGAACAGGAGAATGAAAATAGTTATTATTTCAGGTACGTAGAAGATGAGAATACTATAGACTTTTTCGTACCGTACGTCTGGCGCCTTTCTGTTCAGCATTCGGGTATACATTTTGATATTTCACGTATCAAACTTTTCAACGCCATGTCAATTCAATAGGGCCGTTCATTAATTAATCTATAATATGCATGTTTTACCCTCTTTTAACAACCAAACGCCTTGTAACCGGTATTTCAAATATGATAAGATGATGCCTTGGCCTTTTATTGTGATATCAAAAAAGAAACTATTTATTTATTAAGGAAAAACATTTTTTTAAAGGAATGTATAATAAATTATTCGGTTTAAAGTCCTTTGTTATAATAGACGTATGTTGGAGGATCGGGGAGTGCGAGAATCTGATCGCGTAATGGCTTCTCAAGCTTCTTAACTGCGATGCTGCTCTTTTGTGGGAATAGAGCGCAACAGATTGGTGTTGAAAATGCAAGCATGAATCCGCAAATGAGGACTTGAAGTGGAGCTGCCATGGATGGGCGGTACCAGGAGCATTTTGACATGCGGTCGAATACGATGGGACCCAATACCATGTTTGGAGTGGCCATTCCAACACGGCTCAGCACCACTTGTGGAATTGCGTGCTTCGGCGCTTCAGTCGAGAAACCGAGAGTGCGGCCAGCAGCGTCTTCTACTGGAATTCCGTCAATGAATTCTCTGAAATGATCATATATTTCATATTATTTAACTTTTAAAATCACTTATTTCGCATCATTGGAATATTGATAGCATTCGCTACAGCAATTGCAGCAAAAGGAACAAGACGAGCCAACAATGGTGGAGCATTCTAAAAAAAATAAATAATTGCCACTTTTATTTCTGTTGAACTCCTCACCTTCCATTTCTTCAACCCAAAATTAAATGATAATGCTGATACCAAAGCTCCCGTCGTTGCTGCGCAATACGACATTAAAATCGTCCTTTCGCTTGATTTATGAGGTCCTGCAACGATTTTTCATCAAAATTCACTCATTTTCACACCAAGTGCAGCGTGGGGAGTCACTTGTAGGCAGTTAGTGGCATCTGGACACGCAACCGCGATAGCGCAGGCGGTTAGAGATTCGCGCGAGGTTTGCCTGTGCGAGTTCGTTGCCGCCCGCCAATGACGATATCTTATACTTGAGCATATTTCTGACTTTCTGTGAAGTACAGTGTTACCCTCCGATGGCCTTTTTGTGTTTTTTACAGATAGAAATGGTTGATTTCAAAATACTGAATAAATTTCGAAAATTATCAATTAGTCAAAAAATAATACCCCAAATTCGAAAAAAAAGGTGCACGGCAGCTAACTGTATCTCTTATGGGTCTCGCTGTTTTCTTCAACATTTATTCGCAGTACCCATTGCATTTTCTGCAAAGCTGCTAGGAAAAATGCGTATTTTTTCTATTTTTATTGTATGAATAGGTCCATTAATATTCAACCAATGCGCAGATTTACACTGATATTGCTAACTTGAATTTCGCGACACCGATCAGTCATTTGAAACCGGCAATGATAGTATTTTTAGTGTCTCGTCTTTCACGTTTTTTAAATTTTACAACTGCGCCAAAATAAACCAGTACAATTGGTTTTTATGATAATTTCTACCTAACAACGTGGTGTAAATATCCCCGCGCGCAAAACAATACTATGTAGTGTTGCGATTGCCAAAATCTACATCTGAATGCATCATACGCAACGACTTTTTTCGATATTAACCTTATGGATTCCGCTGGCCATCCCAAAAATTTCTGCAACACAGTAAAAATATGAAATTATTACCACTCCGATTTGTATAATTCACAATTGCATTAAATGATTGATTAATCCAATGAAAGAAGACAATGTGATGGAATTTTTTGTAAAATGTCAGCATTCCTCCAGTAATAAGCATATTGCATGGCACTTGTGCACTCATTCGGCCTAAAATGAACATTTTCTCGCCGGTGTCCGGATGAAAAGCTGAATCGTATAATGTTTTCGCTTTCCACAACTCATCAACCGTCATGTGTGGATCCAATTTTCCCTGGCTGAAAAAAACTGATGTGAAATCACAAGTATTTCTGCTAAATTTACTTGTAATCTACGACTATTTTTCGTGCTTCTTCCAGCTTTTTATTCGATGCGAATAAATTCAAGCAATTAGCGGTGCTAAAAAAGTGATACATTCTTCCTGAAATTATTTAGGGCTTCAAAAAAGTTGAAAATTAAAAAACGGTTTACCCTCGAAAAGATCTTGGTTCCATCGCGGCTTTGAAATATCAGGGAGTTGGCCGCAGTTCGAGAGACGTTCAGACATTTTCCGGATATAAACTGCTGCTCTTTTTTAACTCTAAGAAAAAGAAAATGAGAAAAACGTGGGGAACCTGGTGAACGTGGAATGCCAACAATTGAGTCCGCAATCACTTCACGAAAAATTGCACTATTTAACAAAGGTTTATGAGCCTAGATACAAAGGCTCATGAGCCTAGATAGTCTCTCGGCGATTCAAAAAAGACGATCCGTGGATGGTTTCGGTTAAAACATTGGAGTTTCACGAGTGTTCCCAAAAACTTTCGCGGTTTGTCCGAACAGTTTTCTACCTTACGAGTACGACACTCCGACCACACAGCGCCCTCAATTTAGCGTGTCGGACTAACCCGTGGGCGAATTTTGTTTCGACCGAGTTCGATGTTTCCCCTGCGTCCCGATCGAATCGCTGAGTGAAAAATTAAATCAGAAAACGGAATTTCGAATTAGTTCCGAACAATAGTCCATCAGAATACAAATATAAAAAAAAACTATTGCGGAGCCGAAAACATTTGTATTCGAAATGGAGTCAATTAGAATTTAGAAGAAGCTTGCTGAATCTATTATACCCATATTCGTACTTTTTTCCAGACAATTTGCGTCAATTCTGCTGAGATTCTTATGAAATTTATTAAATAATTAATAACAAAAAACAAAATCAGAACTACAATCGAGGCTTACAATAAAAGGATAAAATAAAAGTTAATTCAAACATGAGGAGCTAACAGAGGTGAGAAGTGGAACATTGAACAAACGATGGAAGAATTATACGTGCGATGACAGAGTCTCATGACATTTGAGTGACTTAAGCCCCAATCGAAGAGGCCGAATCGTCTTCAGTCGAATCCATCGACGAATGTTGGGTATCGTCCAGTTTGTTGTCAACATTCTCGATTTCATCCGTTTGCGAATCGGATTCATTGTCGATCGAATTCGAGTTCTGCGATTCACTATCGATCGAGCGGCGACGGCAAGGAACAATGCATTTCACCAAAGTGCCAATTATCTTCTGAGTTTTGTTCGCCTGCATTTTGTTGAGAATAGAGAAGAAGAAAAAATGGATATAATTCTGTCGGACCCCCGACAAAATACATATAAAAATCATTTACCTTACATACTGCTACGACGACAATACTTATCAGCGCACCGAAGATGGCAACCAAAATGCACGTTATAACAAACTTAACTGTGTCCGGATTGAACGACAACTCTTTTCCACTCTCGGTCGCAATTCTCGTATGCGCCTTATCCATATTTTTGAATGTGATCTTCAGTTCGAAAAATTCTCCATTAACTAAAAAAGGAATATTTCGGAATATCTTGAAAACGACGATGTTACGAGTGTAGCTATCGTTCAATGTTCCCGTGAATGTGGTGCGAATATTTTCATAATTGGGAAGGTCCCGAACAACTCCCGTCGAACAATCTTGGTATGTGCCTGGAAAATTGAAATGAATAGGTCGAAACCGTCAAACCAAACCCAAAGAAACCCCATTGTGAATAATATCGATGGTAATGCAAGGATCCGAGCACAGAGATATCGTCAACTGGAAACAATTGAAGCATGCAATAACATCCAAGAATTGGGAATGTACGTACCACTTCAGGATCCTCCGAGCAGTTTAGGAATATGCCGCCTGACACAGCAATCACACGTGTACGATCGTCGGTTTGGAGAGCAGCCTCGTGTTGCGCGAACTGAATTAGAATATTAGTGTGTCGAGAGTAGCGAAATAATTTTTCTTACAACAGATTTGGAAAGGCAGCGTCTGCATTCATTTAAGGTCACATATTTCATTGTTTCTCCGATATTCACTGAGGTCATGATGATGAGCAGACAGAGGATTTCAGCCCTCATGTTTGAAGATCGTCCTTCAAATTTTCAAATAAAAAATAAGGAAATGTCAGCCGGAAGTTGATAATAAGTGATTTAATCAAACAAATATTAATTTAGATCAGAAATCGGTTGGGTCAAAATTGCGCCCAAATTGTGTTTAATTAGAAAAACAATAATAATAATAATTTATAATTAGCTAGATAATAAAAATTGAGAGAAACGGGAAAAGAGCAGGCAAGCGCCGAAGCGAACGAATGAGACGAGCGAATGCGACGGTGTCGCCGAATGGTGATAGAAATGGGCGGGATCGATGGTGGGCGGGGCTATTACGAAATACTGGAAAATACGTGAGATTGGGAACTTTGAGACGACGACAGAATGAGGTCAACCAGAAGAGGCTCATTCGCTACTGTGAGCAATTATGAATCATATCGAACAATTTATCGTGGAAAGTTATAAGCAAACAGATAGTGTTGATGGTGTGGGCCAAAATCTGCCCGTCGTTTAATCGATTCAATTTTCAGTTGTGCAGAAAATTCAAGGAGTATTAATTTTTGAAAAAAGTTGGTTTATTTAGTAATAAGTTCAAGGCAAGATAGCGAAACAATAAATTGCAAAACCCGACGAATTCACATAACTCTTTAATTTTTCTTTTCGGCATTTATCAACTTTTTTACTGGAATAATTCAAATTCTGTGTATGCAAACCACAAGATATAAAGTTTTACTGCCCTTCTTTTACAATACCCTTCTGGTTTAAATTGAATAGATTAGATATATTCACTGTTGAAGTGTTCGCCATAAAGTGCATCAAGTATCTGGCAATTGATATGTGTTATATTTTGCCATGAGATTTCTCTTCATTGATAAATAATGGCTAAAAAAGATGAGAAAAGCAGGGAGAATACGTCGTAATGGTTTTTGTGTGTACTACCATTACACAAAAAAACTTATCGTTTGCACGAATGTGCATCGGCTGCGCAAAGTCGAAAAAATGATTGAATGTGTATCTTGTGAATTGGCATGATGAGTCAATTCGGCAGCGCAGATTTTAATTATTTTTTGATAATTAAAAGAAAATGAATATGTACGATTTCTTTGTTAGAAATGAATTTGTCCTATTACATTTTTCGCTTTACAAACTACAAATTTGGGGGCCCTCAAGGGCATTTATTCTCGAATATTTAGCATGTATTTTTGCACTTTCTTGTATTGCTGGTGTTTTTCTTCGAAAATTCACTTGAACAGAAACAGAGGCCGTCATCGCGTTCATCTAAGTCTATTCAAAGTTTCGAACTCTAACAAAGATTTCTTTGCAACATTAAAACCCCCGATTTATTTCAAATTTATATTATTTATTCTTCTTCATAATCAGTAAAACATATGGGCTTTGTCAGAGCTAATTGGAGGTTTTAAATCATTTGAGATTTGAATTTTTTTTGTGAAGCCATCTGTTGATTGGCTCGAATATCACCCTCATCGGACACGCATTTGTTGCCGCCACAAATGTCTAGACATAAACAAAAGAACGAATTGACCTGACCCTATGCACATGTGCACGTATTCGAGAACTTGGGTCGGCGCCCGTATGCATATGACAACGTTTTGAATGTCGCGGTGATTGCAAAAGGAATTCGATGATTAATACAAGTCGCGGAATCATCCTCACTTTCCGAAAAGACAATCGGATGCCGCCAAAAGTTGAGCGACAAATAGCGGCACATATTGTAAACTCATCAGATGAGTCATAAGTTTCCCATACTCTCAAGGCCATATTTTCGAGCTGTCGTTTTTCAAACTTTTTGAGAACAATTGGTTACAAGGGGTTAGGCGAGAATTTTGTTTCCCAAAAATTTGAATTCGAGAATTTTGTTTGAAAAGAGTTGCATAACTTGCAATTCAATTGATGAATAGCAGCGGTATGTTTGATGTGCGCAACCCGAATTGCGTAGCTTTCGAATTCCAGCCAACCATTTGAATCTATTCAAACATACGTGATCTTTTGAAATTATTTGAAAAAATGAGGATTGCGCAAAAACTTTAGAAATTTGAATTCAATGGCAATTTAAACTAATGGAAATTTCCATTATCAAAATTTAAAAGGAAAAATGAAGCTTGGAAAAAGGATAATGGAGGATTCAAACACAAGGAACGTTTGAATAGATGAAACGAGCGCACAATGATATCAGCAAGTCTGTCTGCGACAACTCCGCAGCCGCAGCCAGCCAACCATCTGCTGAATTGGATATTTGCAGAAGAAAGTGAAACAAAATGAAAATTAATGCGATTTATCCTATCATACCCGAATAAAGAACACAAACAAAAAACCAATTATTGATAATCTTCGATTGGTGGGCAAGTGCACACCAGATTACGGTCTCCGAATTGATCGTCAACTCTTCCAACAGTTGGCCATGACTTGTGGTGGCACCATGGTTTCGGGAATGCAGCCAACTCTCTCGGGTATGGTAGGTTCCATCCATCAGATACAACTTTTTCCAGAGTATGTGGAGCCATCTAAAATAATGGTTTAAAACAACGGATTTCGATAAACTACGGCACCTTCAATGGATTCAAATGCTTATCAAATGTTCCATTTTCAACCATTCGAATTTCTTCACGAATCGCCAATAGAGCTTCAACAAGTCGATCCATTTCCGCTTTGTCTTCCGATTCTGTCGGTTCGATCATCAAACAATCGTGTACGGGCCAAGACATCGTCGGCGAGTGGAATCTGCAAATATGACATTATTGCACACATTCCGCGATATTAATTCCCATGGCATTTTCTTGTGTAAACCAAAAAATGTAATCAAATTGGAATTGGAAAAAATCGAAACAAAACAAAAAAGCGAGATGCTCACCCATAATCCATAAGGCGTTTTGCTACATCAACAACTTCGATTCCAAACTTTTTGAATGGTTTGAAGTCAACGATGAATTCATGAGCAACTAGACCTTGTTCATCTAGAAATAATCGATTATAAGCTAATACTAAACTAATATGAATTAATGTTCATTTATGTGAGTGATAGTCTCAAACTTTTGGAATTTGAATGAATGAATTTATGTACCTTTGTAAACAATTCTGTAGTCGTTTTCCAATCTCTTCGCCATATAATTCGCATTCAAAATGGCGACTTGTGTGGCTTCCTTGAGTCCATTATTTCCCATCATTCGAATATATGCCCAAGTGATGGCCAAAATGCTCGCTGATCCATATGGAGCCGATGCGACGGCGCCAGTTTTGCGACCGGCAATCGGTGATAGGCAATGGCCCGGTAGGAATGGCGCCAAATGTTTCTTGACACCAATTGGTCCAACTCCTGGACCACCGCCTCCGTGTGGAATGCAGAACGTCTTGTGGAGATTTAAATGCGACACATCGCTACCGTAATCGCCTGGCCGGCACAGTCCGACTTGTGCATTCATGTTGGCTCCGTCTAGATAGACTTGGCCGCCGTGCTCGTGAACTTTGTCGCAGACATCTCGTATCGACGATTCGAATACGCCATGAGTTGATGGGTATGTCACCATAACAGCAGCCAAACGGTCAGCGTACTTTTCTGCCTGGAAAATATTTTTTGTTCTCATTCGGCCCGCAACGTGGTAAACATCAATGCTGAATCTTAACCGAATAACAACATTTTGCCATATGTATTTCGCAGTCTGCAAACACATTTTGAAACAAAGGAAGGTGTACCTTTGCGGCTAAATCTTTGTAGTTAATATTTCCATGTTGATCAGAATCGACAACAACTACTTTCATGTTGGCCATTTGAGCTGAAGCTGGATTAGTGCCGTGAGCAGAGGTTGGAATAAGACAAATCTTGAAATCAAATCATTATCGAAAAAAAAAATAAATAAAACCAACGTTTCTCTGTTCCTCTCCTTTGTGCTTCAAATAGTTTCTAATTGAGAGAAGTCCGGCGTATTCGCCATTGGCTCCCGAATTCGGTTGAAGGCTTAAAACATAATTATTTTCGTTTTTCCTTCCATCTTTTTCCTACCTGAAACTGTCGTATCCGGTGATTTCACACAGCCAACTCTCGAGGTCTTGGAATATCTGCTTATAACCCTGTGCTTGTTCGGCTGGTGCAAATGGATGGATCGACGAAAGTGTTGGCCAAGTAATTGGCTGAATATTGGATATCTTACAAGATATTCTTAGAATAAAACTTACAATAAGTTCTGCACTGGCGTTCAACTTCATCGTGCATGATCCCAAAGGAATCATAGAGTGAACAAGAGACACATCCTTGTTTTCGAGACGTTTCATGTATCTGAAAGTTGTATTCAAATTATTTTCAGGAATCTAACAACCGATAATTTCAAATGCCAACCTGACAAGTTGTTGTTCACTGTGATAAGTGTTGAAAATTGGATGTTGAAGGTATTGCGATGATCTAGCATGCGGCGAATTTCCAATCAACGGGCATGCCATTTCCCATCTCTCTTGTCTTAATTTGGTCTGAAACAATTGATATTATTCGGCAAATCTCAAAAACAGAGAAATCACCAAATCTCTTTCAGTTTCCCCGTTGAACGCATAAATGATATCCATAAGGTCTTCAGATTTCACAGTTTCATCCAGCGAAAGTCCAACACATCCATCATCATAATATCTTGAACACATTGAAATAAGAAAAGGAATTTTACGAATCCAATACCTGAAATTGATTTGCAATTCTTCAGATCGTTTCTTTAATTGCTCAAGGGATTCCCCACTCTTCATACGAATTTTCAGTGTGTCGAAATAATCCTTGTGCTCAACTTCGTGTCCCGCATTCTTTAAATCTGAACAAGGTCATTTTGAACACATCTCTTCATGGAAAAAAAGAAGAACAAATTTTAAAAAATTGTTCAACAATTAAAATCGAGTATTTTCTGGTAACTCAAAAGCCATCGCATTCGGCACCGTAATTTTTTTTTAACTTTTCGGATCCGCTTCGAACATTCTTGCAACCGATTGGTAATTTTCTGTACCCGTTTGCTTGGATCATATCTGTTTTGACTTACGATGGGCAACATAAGCAGCGCTTTTATGGACTCCTTTCGCAATTTCTGCAAGTCTCTTTGGTCCGTGATAAACGGCATACATAGCCGACATATTGGCGAGAAGAGCTTGAGCCGTGCAGATGTTGCTAGTGGCTTTGTCTCGTCTAATGTGCTGCTCACGCGTTTGAAGAGCTAATCGAAGAGCACGGTTTCCATTCGCATCCCTAACAATACAATTTTGGCAATGTTTTTCACATATTTATACTTGGTAACTCCAATAATTCGTCCCGGCATATTTCTGCTCAGCGAGTTTTTAGCGTCAGTTTTAGCGACTGCCATAAATCCAGCATGTGGTCCACCATATCCGAGTGGAACTCCAAATCGTTGTGCGGATCCAACGGCAATGTCAGCTCCAAGATCTCCAGGTGAACGGAGAATGGTGAGTGCGAGAAGATCAGTTACCATAATAACAAGAGACTTAACCGATTTAAAATCATTTTTTATTCTTTCTTTTTGCTTTTTACCTTATTTGCATGGGCTCTTTCAATAAGTTCGTCGAATTGATGAATCCTTCCCTCGGTATTTGGATATTGGACGACAACCGCGGCAATTTTGTCATCAAACTCAAGATTTTCCACAGCATCCGAAATTTCAAGATTGATTCCCAACGGATCACTTCGAGTTTTAACGACATCCAGATTTTGTGGATGTAAGAATTTATCAAGAACCACTTTGGATCTCTTTGTGTATCTCGCTGCCAGCGCAACCGCTTCGGCAGTTGCGGTAGCTTCGTCCAAAAGACTGGCATTCGTCAGAGGAAGTCCAGTGATATCAGCGATCATCGTTTGATAGTTGAGTAACGATTCCAATCGACCTTGCGAGATTTCCGCTTGGTACGGAGTATACTGGGAGATCCTTAAATGGTCAAAAAACAAGATGACTTTGAATCAAAGCTCTACCATCCAATATTTTGAAGGATGTTTCTCTGAATGACCGCTGGCACGATTGTGTCGTAGTATCCGAGACCAATGTAGGATCTATAGATCTTGTTCTTCGATGCAATTTTCTCAAGTTCTTTCAGCATTTTGTACTCATCTAATGGTGCCGGCATGTCTGAGAAAGATTAAATAGTTTTGTAACATATTTCTTCTTGAATACCTAGCTCTTTCTCTACCTTTATCATGTTGGGAACATTCGTATTGGTGAGGTCATCAAGATCCTAAATAACAAACGACATAATATTTGGTTTGGCAAAACCAATACGTCAACGGCGACAGTGACGTCTTGTTGAAGATTTAGTTTCTCATTGCGTTATGTGTATGCAGAATACACCATATATTACGAAAAAATGAACCTTGAATCTCTCGGCACATCACATCGGGCGAAACGGTGGTTTCCCTTGGTTTTGGCGATTGCATTAAATGTCATTTTTTACATCTCTACATTGAAAAAATGTGTATCGTTTTTTACATTTTTATTACATGAAGAGGTCAATTTTAGGAAAACAAAAACCACTGTTTGAATTTGCCAGATGGTTTTTCATTTTTGTTTATTTATGTCTTGTTCTTTCTGATCTTGATATCTAACCTTGAAACCGACAAAATCTAGCATTTGTTGTTGTTCCAGTCGAGTAGGTCCGATATGTCTATCAACAAATGCATCATATTGCAAACAGCGAGCCGATGAGCGCACTCGAGCCGCTTTTCCAATGGTTAGTAGTCCTCGTCGAAGCATTTTCAGCCTAAAAAATGAAAATCCCGAATAAATAAATTATGAAAATGCGCGTGTGACGTAAAAAGAATAAAAATGTGTTTCGGTACAAATGCACCGACGTTATCAATCAAAAATCAGAAGGTGAAACCGATTTTATCAAGTTAAAATTTGACCAAAAACGTGTCGACGAATTTTCAAAAAAGGAAGAAATTTCAATGATTTCAACAAAATTGTAATCATTGACATTTTTTGATCGAATCGAAGGAAGTTGAATGAAACCTTTAGAACAAGGTCAAATTTTGCAGAACATTTTCGCGTCCTGAATTTTTCGATTTAATATTACGAAAACATCTCAATATTAAAAGCTGTTCGAAGTCATTTATTTGTATTCAATCACGTGGAATTTAATGTAAAAGAGCTTTGAACAGCGTTCATTAAAAAAGCGATTATTTAATAAATTTTTGAGTTTTTAAAAAGAATTCTCATGATTTATTTTAAAAATAAGATAAAAAATGAAATTTGCAGCAAATAGCGGCGACGGAATTTTGAAGTGATTCGGGTATCGAAGCGCATCACCCCACTAGAATTTTCTTATCTCATTTTTTTCGTTCTTACTCGGTTTGTTTCGTTATCTTTCTAATCGTCAATTTTATTGTTATTTCAATTCACAAAACACACACATATATATAAAATATCGATCCGAATGCAATGAACTTTTGAATCGAATATTGTTTTGGTGAATAGAAAACGCATGATTTGAAGTAGGTACAATGACAAAGGTAAGAATATATAGAGAAACGTATACTACTAAATAAAAAAGAAACATAGAAATACAAAAAAATCAAATTCTAAACAGATAATGGAGTAGACATGATCGAGATATAAAAAAATTTTTCAAGGGTCATTTTCAAGGAATTAGAGGGCTATGCGTTTTTTTCTTCATCATCTTTTTCCTTGTTCAGCTCCTCTTCTTCTTCTGGACGAGGCTTCTCCAAAATCACGAATCCTTCGTCAACCCAAAAAAAGTAATTCTTCATTATTTTCCAAATTCAGAATTTCGTGATAAGTGCAACTTTGATAGTCCGTTAATGTTTGATAATCAATTTGATAATGATGCCTTCAATTTGCGATCATAGTTCTTCAGACTAATTAAAAATAAAACATCTAAGCTAGACTTTCTAATTGCGTGTAATACGTTTAGAAGGCCTCGAAGCGATACCGTCGGCGTCAAGCGACTGCGGAAAATTGGCGAAATTAGAAAATAAATACAATGGAAGCGCTCTTGGACTAAAAGTGTAGATTCACCCTTCACAGAATGAATAATACATTTTATAATATAATGAAGCAAGTATTTGGTTTTAAATTGTCTTTATTTAATGGTCATCGATGATTTTAAGTTTGTAAAAAATGTAGGCAGCGTACGGCGACTAAGAGTTCACAAGCGGTGAGACCTTTTCGTAAAGTACACTCGTAAATATACAAGCGTAAAACAGTCGAAAGACGCCGGCTTTATACCGTTTATCATCTTGGGGGCTACCGTAGTAATTCAGTGTGAGAAGGGTTTGTATATTTAATTTACTCACAAATACCATCGCAGAAAAAACGAACCCCTGGGCATTTTGCGCTTTTGCTAATAATTCAAATTTGGATAAATTCATGGGAAATTGGATTACCGTACTACGGATAAACAAACGATTCAAAAACTACAGGATAATTATTTTTCCGATTTTAATGATAATGTGCGATTATTCTTTAAAAAATCAATGTGGTTTAAAAATAACGCCGGTTGTTTATTATTTGAAACAGTCCCTATTTCGTATCGGTCAAAATTGTTCTATGGACTGTTTTTTTTTCGTTATATTTTTAATATTATTGATTCATTTCCGGTGCTACCGCCTACACGACTTTTCTCTGTGCTCAAACTTGTAGCATTATCAAACAGATTTGTACCAAATAACAACATACTTTATCTTCATCCTCCTCTTTTTTCTCATCGGATTTACTTTCGTCATCTTTGGCATCGCGAATTTTTACAGATTCAGCGTTCAAATCACAATCAGCCTTAAAATGATTTTGTTTTATTTGAGAAATATATGGAAAAAAACCTTTCGTTTTCGACTTTGTTCGCCCTTTTCAAGTTTAAGGAGATCACTCAAAATATTGAAAAATTGTTCAGCTTCAGCCCCCGTTTCAGTTTTCTGAAAATGGAAAAAGAATGGGAGAAAACCCAATAAATAACTTACAGAGAACCCGAATTTAAGAAGAAATACTTGAATCACCTTGGATTCAGGACCCATGGCAGAAATTCGAATCCGCTTGTCAGGTCTTTCCAAGACCATGTCCGCGAAAATTTTTGAATTGATTACAACTTTAAGGGTTCCGGATGTTCTTGCGACAATTCGATGATGTGTGCGACCATTTTCACACCGTTTGTTTATGCGAAGAATAGAGACTCCCTTCTCCACATACTTATTCTTTTCTTTGTCGAACACCCAGATTTTACACGATGCCTTCAATATGTCAATAATTTGTAAACAAATATGTTTAAATACCTGGAATATATTCTCATCAGCCTCTTCGCCGGTTGTGAGCTCAACAATTGACGTGCTTGCTTGTTGCTTCATCGCTTCTTTCACACGTTCAGCTTCTTCCTTGGCCAATTCTCGGAAATCCCGTGTATCTGGTTTCTGAAAAATGTCAATTTCGATAATTAATTTTTTACAAATTGGCGAATACCTCGTCATCCTTCTTTACAGCGGTTTTAAACAGATCAGTTGCGGAAAGCAGAGTAGTATCGTCTTCTTTAGTATCCACAGTTGCTGCATTTTTTATCACGCGATCGGAAATTTTCGAACCAAAAACAAATGAATTTGATGAATTCTGTTGATCTTCCCCTTCCTGAAACTACAATATGTGGTTATTAAAAATTGGTTATGGGAAATCACCTGGTCTTTTGGTTTTGATGCTATTTTTTCTAAAACATCACCCAAACTTTTCTTTTCTAAATGAACGTGATTCGTTGTTCTAGCGGAGGCAGTGAAATCTAGTTTACCTAAATGAAAAGGCTCATTACATTCATTTTTTAAATAACAATAAAAGTTAAACTTACTTTCTGACCAAATTTTATCTGCTTTGTCTGCAAGTGCGGATTTTTTGAAGGCAAATTTTCTGGTGGTCTCAGTCATCTGAATTATATATTTTTTTTGTAAATATACACAGAAAACGCTCATTGAGAAGTGTTTGAAAGCAAATTCTTATGAAAAGTGAAAATTTTCAATTTTCCACAACAAAATATTTTTCTTTTTAAAAACGTAGACGGCAAAGAAAAAAACTAAAAGGAATATGGTAAAATCGCTGAACCAAAAAGGAACTCACAAAATTAAAAAAAAAAAAGAGAAAATTTTGAAATTCCAGAAAAGCGCAAAAAATCGCATAGTTCCAAAAATGCGCCAGTACCCTGTTCTTGGCGCATATTTGGTTTTTTTTCAATAGCTCTGTATTCGCGCAGAAAGTTGCAAAGATATATACTGTGTTTCAAATATGATTGTAAAATTTATATTTTTCTTTTTAATTGGTGCAGTATATGCAGTACTAGAGGTGTGAAACTAAAATTCAAACGATTTTTCACATATACTATTTTTTAGCCAAACTTCGAATCGACTCGCTGCCGATGCATATGCCCAAGTGTTTCGAAATACCAGTTGAACTCAACAGATAAGCCAGAAAATTTCAAGAGGCGATATTATACCAAGACGAATATCGAACCGAGTTCATGGTAGCTCATTTATTTTCAATTTTTAAGTGGATCAATTTAAATTTGAAGCAAATCCTCAAACATTGTAAAAAGTGAAGTTTTGAATATTGTTGATGACTCACACATGGACGCATTTCTGGCGAATTGCGATTGCCGTTATGAATCCAGAAATACAATTTTGCTAAAGGCAAATGAACAATGACAAAAACTGTTTCAAAGTCTCATCTTCAGGTTGTTGTTATTTTCGTAATTTGTGTCATCGCAGTTCTCACTGGTTATATGGTCTTTCTAATGTGTCTTGATCCAATGCTCAGAAAGAAAAAGTTAACTATAAACTACCAACAACATAACGATGAGGCATGCTTACAAATTTCTTTCCAATTTGTTCATATCATATTTTTAGATGGAAGATAATATATTCGCAAACTCAGTCTCGGAGGATGAATCTACAGCAACTGCTGTCATAGATCCAGCAGGAACAACTCGAGCTCGAAACACTTCCAATGTGCTCGGACGCGTCGAGGCCGAACAATCTCGCTGGATGAGAAAAGTCGAAGAACAGCGACGTAATATTTTCGAAGACCATACAATGCTCAATTAAAAACTCGGTTATTTTAAACTATTTATTGATTGTAAATAATGTATTAATGAATATAACATTTATATTTCGTCGGATTATTGGTTATTAAGCATCAAGCTGATTATCCTTGATTTTCAGTTTTGCGTGAGAAGAAACGCTGAATTTTGACATAGTTCTGAAAGAAAGTTCAACTGGCATTGATGAAAGTGGAAGTGTCGAAAATACCTTTGGAGTAACAGTGAATCTATGAGAAAGACCTTTTGGAATGATGAGAAGATCTCCCTTCTCAAGTTGGACTCTGATCCATTGATCGTCCTGAAATCGAGAATAATTATGTTTAGAAATTTGCTAGCAAGTTTCAACCTCGGGCTCAACATCATAGTAGCAAGTTCCATCGATAACGAGCGAGATGACATCCTCGTTTTGAACATGCGGCTCATAGAACTGCTCGCACTGAAATTGATGTGTGAAAATCGAATGACGAAGAAGTCGAACTATAAACCTTGTCCTCGAATTCAGGCATAGTTTCAGCAACAGTGAACATGTCAGAGAAGTTGACATTCTTCTCCGATTTCACAGCCGATAGACGCTTCTTCATGGCAGCAGTATCCTCCAAATCGACCTAAAATGTTTTGAATTGGTTTTTTTTTTCTTTCGGCACCCATTATTAATCGTGCGAACCTTGTAATATTGGACGCCAGCCAATGACGACAAGTCGGTTGTGGTCAATTTTTTTGGCGGGAAGACGTGATGTGGAAGGCGACGATCTCCACATGGATAAGCTTCCATTTGCCAGATTTGCATGGTTTCGCGTCTAAAACAATTACGATTTCGTTCAAAACACAGGAAAATGGCAACAACGGCGACGATGATGACGATTATAAACAATAGCCAGTCGGCAATGTTGCGAATGAGATTTTTCGAAACTCAATCGCCTATTTGAGATGCTCGTTATGGGCAGAGCCTAATGTAATCTGCACAATGCGAATGATGCATCGAAACAATATGATTTGATTGCCTCCAAACCGTTTTCTAGACTACAACGAATATTTTCTAGCTTGTCGTGGACGCAGAAACTTATGGCAAAAGGAAGAAATAAAATAAAGAGACGAGTTTGAATTCCCCAATATCTCTATTTAAAGGGGGAGGGGGTTGATTGGTGTAAATAAAAGGGCGTCGAAGATTCGGTGCCGCCCTCCATTTTGAATTCGACCAAAACAACAAAATGCCGATATGATCAGATGGAGGAGTTTTTGATGTCGACGTTGGGGTCCACATAACAAATAATTTTCAGACAATTTGAAATTGTGTTTTTTTTTTTCGTTCGAAATTGTTCCTGTTTAATAGCCGATAAGCCGATGTGGATTAGCTCGGGTCGATTGCGTTCACATATAGTTAGTTAATGTTGACCTCAATACCTTGTTTTTTTTTCGTAGACTGAGGGAAGAGTCATAACTCAAATGAAAGCGAAATTTTCTAGACTATTCTTCAACTAGCCTCATGTTATTTTGAGGGTTGATCAAAGTCCAAACAACGTTGTTCTCGCAAAAATTTAACAGATTTTTGAATAAATGTCCCAAGAAAATTGTTTTTCGCGAGATTTGATAGATTGCGAAAACTGATTGCACCGATGGAACAATGATGATACAACTTGATTTTATTAGAATCGAAAGATCGCTTGATCATCGCGCCAATTCCGAGATAGGTCACTGATCATATTCTCCTAGAATATTCTAGAAGATTTCGGCATGATCAAGCTTCCAATCAAACCCGATTTTTCGCTCGATTGTATATTCGATTTACGCGATTTCTGTTGAAGAAATTGCGACGAAAAAACACGGGAAGGTTTATGATTTGCAAATTTTCCTGCAAATTCTATCTTAAAATCTTATGCAATTTTATAAATTTAAAAAACACTTTCAAATTTCTACTCCAGCATTTGGTTAATTTTGTTGACCCATCTTAGTTTCGAAAAATATTAGAAATGAATGTAAATGGAATTAATTTAGATTGCTAGAAAATACCTACAGATAAAATGCTATCATCCGTAACCGCTATAAGGGAACAAGGAAGGCTAACGAACACAAATAGATGACGATTCTGACTTGGAGATCAAAAGCCGTCTATAAATACATAAACAGAGGATCAGGTTCCGAGAACTCGGATAAAATCAAGCAAAATGAGAGGAAAAGCTGGGCCCAGTGTCGATAAGCGATTTGAGTTGACGATAAGTTTCGCCACTACGAATGCCATCAAGTGCCAATTCGATGGCAAGCTGGATGACAGACGATTCCGGCTTTGAACCAACCCGAAATATTGGTTGGGAGAGGCGGCGTTTGGAATGAATGGTATCTAATCTCGAAAATCGCACATATATAGACATAACACGCTTCTTGGATTTTGATTTTATGAAGAAAATTGGGGGAGGAGATGCCTGATGTCCTGTTTAGATACACAGCAAAACTTGCAGATTCTTATTTTCAAAGTTATAAGCTTCTGATCTCGAGATCTTCGATTTAATAAAAGTATTGCGAGATAAAAAACAAAAGAGCAACAAATCAAAAAGGCCAAATGATGTAAGACGTTTTAGGTAAACAAAGAAGCTGGTTTAAGCGTCGTAAAAGAAAAGTAACGAAAAGCATAAACGTTTTCAGTTTCCTTTGTTGACCATTCGATGATCATCATGGCATTCCGGAATGCAAGGCCACTTCTACGAAAATTTTTTTTAAATAAGGCTTTCTTGGAAAGCTCATTTTCCTGCCCAGGCGGATATACAATTTAAATCTTGCTGTGACGATTGAAGATCGCAAACATGCCAAAAATGTCTTGGGCGAAATCCAATTGAAAAGTGAAACTTGTGCGTATAAATAGACTATATAAATATATTATATTATCATTATATTTATCGGCGAAGGTCATTAAGCAAACACGCAAAAATTGACGAACTCGATGTTTTTGCGTATGAAACAGGTTATATATTACACCGTTAATACATATTTTCATTTGCGTGCGCGTTTCTTCTCATATGACGATTATGAATCGGGTTTTTTTAACGCGCTTTGAGGATGACATAAATCGGCAAAATCTTGCACATCCGAGCTCTGGAGGACATTTGATCTTTGAATATCGACCGCGAGCCGGACGGTCCTCGTTCGTCCAAAAATCAGGCGATCAAACTCGATCACGCTTCCATTTATCTGATAATTCGCCATGTGAGCCGGTCAAACAACCAAATATTATTTTTTATTAAATGACGGTGACACACGACAAAAAAAAAACTTTACACAAACATGCGAGCGACTTGGAGGCGAAATGGAAGAATTCGTATATAATTAGAAGTCTGGTTTCCGATTTTAATTGGATCGCCTTCGAACACGAGCAAACACTTGAACCAAACCAATTTATTTAAATAAATTCAACAAAAGTAAGTCAACAAGTTGAATGTAAAAAATGTTTGGGCCGAACCGGGAGTCGAACCCGGGACCTCTCGCACCCGAAGCGAGAATCATACCCCTAGACCATCCGGCCGCTGTGAAGAACGGCCGAGGCGCCTTATATGCGCGACAAGCTACCAATAGCCGCCGAACCAACCTTTGCAGAGCTCAGGGGGGCAATATGAGCCGATTTGAATAAGCGAGAGTTTCGCGTTATCGTCGCCTATGAATACGTTGCCTCCGTTATCTGCTTTCCATCCTTGAGACACCCAAAACTTCTGGAAATAGTCTGTTGTCGTTGGTGCCTCTTCTGTTGTCGTCTGTAAGATTTTGAATTTCTTGTGAAATTTCAAAACATTTCTAAATAGATAACAAGGTCTTATATATATATATATATATATATATATATATACACAATACGTTTAGAAAAATCTACGGATATATGCTTAAGTTTGAGCAGAAAAATGTATTCTTTGATAATTCGCTCAGCAATTTGAAATGGACTAAAAATTCATTGTCTCAAAGTCTTAGGCCTTATTCCAATTGCCAAACGAAAGATAATCGAAAAAGACTTACAATAAAACCCACTTGGAAAACTCATCTCATAGAGCGCGAGGTTTTCGTGTTCGGTGAAATAACTGCAGTTTTTGGGATTGGTGCATTATTGCGTGACAGTGAACAGTTTACTGCACATTTATATGCGCACAGTACTGTGCAAGAAATTATTACATTCACAGAAAAACGAGCTGCACGATTTACGATGAGATAAGATAGCTTCGCAGATTATCCAGAGTACGACTGTGAATTCCGAATGTTTATACTAAGATGTGAATTACACCGCCCGAAAAAAGTTAACCAAAATTATGCAAGGCGCTCGTTTTTTGATGCTAGTAGATGTAATTTTCTATGAAGGCGTGATTGTGACCATTTTTGGAGAATTTCTGTAGAGAAATCGTTAGTTCCTTGCATTTGCAGAGGTTTTTTAGTCCGGATCTTATCAAAATTCAATTTCATCAGTCGATTTTTTTTCGAAAGTTTTTTTCTGCAATGGAATTGCCCCAAATGCCATCGAAACGCATCACTGTTTCTACCAAAAATTAGCCACCATAAAACCATACTCATTTTCCACATCAAATAATTAATTTCATATATTATAGTTGCGTGATTGGATTCTACCGAAAAATCCCGAAATCTGTATTTTCTAAACGAATATTCGGCGAGTTCGAAAAAACGTTCGTATCCAAAAAAATTCTCGAAATTCGAGAACTCGCCGAATATGCGTTTAGAAAATACAGATTTCGGGATTTTTCGGTAGAATCCAATCACGCAACTATAATATATGAAATTATACTATTTCTGCGTTGATGTGAGTCTCGCAGCAGCCGACTCAGCGAACAACCTGCTGCGTCGATTTACTGTGAGTTTGGCTTGCAGCAATTGCTTTTATGGAGCGATGCAACCACAAAAAAAATAAATTTCTTGCGTAAAAAATTATTTTCTTCTTTCCGGACCAACGTCAGGTGAATTTGGTTTGGGATTTGAAACGCCGATTTCAAAATTGAATTCAAGGCTTAAACATACATATGCGTACCAATTTTCAGATTGATATCTGAAAAAGTTGACCAAATGTAGTTTTAAAAACTGAAAATTAGTATTTTGAAAGCGTTTCACATTTGATGATGAGGCCACCTCGATGAACTCTCAGAAACAATTTCAAATTGAAGCTGAAAATGACATTGCGGACTTATGCATTTTATTTGCCGACAATATACTTATCTCTACGACCAATTAACCTAGAATTTCCGATTTTTTCGATTTCCTATCTAGTTTTCATTATATTTTTATATTCTAAAGGTTGCCCACACCTCATTAAGAACAATTTCTTCTAAAAATCCTTTGAAAATAAAGGAATGATGAAGGTTCAGATCAAATTATAGAAATTCCTTATCAATTCAATTGAAATAACCCACCATATCATCAGAAGCATTGGTAGAACCTCCAGCTTCTGCAGCTCCACCACATATTTGACATGTTGAGCACTGGTTGCACGGAATCGGCTGTGAAATGATTGCGCAGAAAACAGCAAAAAATATCAAAATGAGCTTCATTATTTCGAACAGGCCAAGTTTAATCAACTGAGAATAAAGAAGAATGGATGAATGGATGGATGGATGAGGATATGAAAGATAAGAAGGAACAAAACTGGTTTGAAGTGATGGATTAAACCACCAAAAAATGAATTATCCTTTTTTGCAATTTTGATTTCTCGAAAATCACCAACAAAACATTAGTTGGAAGCAGCCCATTGCTCCAATTCCTCCATTGTGTCCATCTTGCGGACCTTTGGACGAGAAGGAAGTGCAGTCTTGGGAACCTCTGGAAGTGCGGTTGGTGGGAGATCGGCAACTTCCTACAAATGAATTGGATCGGTAATATTTTCATAGAGCGCAAATTACGTCTTGAAGCTCTTGAAGCTCCTTGAGCAAATCGTCTTCATCAGCAACATCGCCGATCGGAGCAGAAATTGCTTCATTGAACTCTTCAGAAGTGGCGAGACCGTCAGCAATCTCATCCATTAAATCGTGAACCTACATATAACATTGTGTAATTCTTAATAATTTTCAAATGAAAAAATACCTTGTCGATGTCCATTTTATCGTGCTCTTTCTTGAGAGTCTCGTTCGTTTTTCCAAGCACATCGATCACCTCATTGTGAAGTCCGACGTTCTCCAATGCGGTTCTTTGAGCTTCGAGTTTGGTGAGCATCTGCAGAAAACATCATATTCCACGTAAAATCACACGAGTCTACTCCGTCAATTCGATTGAGCTCGATCTCGTAATGCTTCTTGCGTCTCAGCGCGGCGATCGCCATCTTCTTGTTGCTCTTGCTGTATTTCTTTGCATTTTCCACTTCCTAAAATTGCATTTTTTAGTCAAAAATTATCCAACTCAAATTTATCAACCTGAGCGATTTTCTCCTCAAAATACTCTTGTTTGCGAACAAGGAGATCTTCGGCATCCTTCAAATTTGAGATTGCGTCTTCCGCCGACGGCGCCTTCCGCTTTCTTGACTTCTCCTTGATTTTTTCCTTCAATTTGTGAGCTTCCTCATGAAGACGCTCGAAGAAGGACATTTTGTCAAAAAAAAACCTGAAAATGATGTGTTGTTGAAAAAAAAATTTGAGGGAAAAAATTCGTGAGATACACACGCACAAACACATAGAGAACGAGGGAAAACTAAGGGACATTTTGAATCTTCACGGCGGCCGACGGGGCACAAAAAAAACGGAGAGAAATGCGTTGAGATAGAACACGATTTGCGGAGAGCGCAGACGAATCGGCGATGAGAGATTCGAATTTACAAGTTTGCTGATTTATTGCGCTTTTTCTTCAAGATTTAAAACGTGAAGAATGACGAGAAATAAATTTTGAAGCGAAGCCGATCAAATTCGAAAAATGCTAAAAAAAAAGGTTCCAACATTGAAATATATTCGTTAAGATATATGAAAGAGCTGAAATTAATTTCGTTCTTTCTCGCGATATATTATTGAATAACTCTCAGTTTTATGGAAATCGGCCATTAATTTTTTTGATTTTTTATATCGAATTTGAAAAACCAAACAAAACAATCGATTTTAGAAAGACACTGGACAACAAAAAAAAATAGTTTAGAAAACAAAAATTCTTATCAGTTCAAGAACTTCATCGAGAATCAAAATACACAAAGGGTAATGCAGAGCGAATTAATCTCTTTCGCTTAAAGAAAAAAAAAACAAGTAGCAGAGTGGTATTTGTTTTCGGGACGATAATTATTGATTCAAATTTTGAATCACTTCAGTCAATTGACTCAATTCTTATACGGCTTCGTTTTAGAAATAGCTTCAATGGTTATTCTTTGCATCGCCAAAGAGATTTAAAAAAAAACATTTTGGAAATGTTGAAATTAGCATGAAAATGTCGATAATCGGACAAGTTATAGTATTTTTAATCCCTCATTTCTTATGTATTTCCTTTATTTTTTAATTTCAATTTTATATCCTTTTACAGAAGAAAGATCGCATAATTGGATTTTTTATCTGTGGAGAAAATGTCGGGTTGGTTCAATTTTGAAACGTATTTTTTTTAATTGGAGTAGTTTCTAATACCCGATAATCGATATTATCAAAGCTATCGAACAAAAAAAGAACAGAGAAAACGAAACAAAATGGCAGCACGAAAAAAAATCTACAACACAAATACTTGGCGGGATTTTTCTTCGCCTCACAAACAACGAAATAGTGCGCCGCGAAGTGAGGTCGGCCCAAATTTCGTATAGGGCATTGTTTCGCATAATGCGCCTATAAGTATGGTATTTGGACACCGCGCAAGTGTTTAGAGGTCAACTTTTCAACATTCATACAACGAACGGAAACATTCAAGATTATTAAAGGGAATTACGGGGTATTCTCGTGGTTGTTAATGAACACAACGTCGTTCAAAATATTATTTGACGGCGTTCGTCGAAAACTAATTAGAATGAACTGATCAACTTCACCCTCTGCCTCATCAAAAAATGAGAGAAAACAGATTTCTTGCACATAAAACTATCATAAATCGGGCAATATATAACTCATTTTGAATGTTGGAAAAACCAATTGGAAAACCGACAAAATTGCTATTGGACATTTATCGCAAAAATTCGGAGAAATTGACACCCGCGGGTTCAAGGTTAAGTATACGATAAATAATTTAATAACGAACATCCTCATATGAATTTCTTCTCACTTTTAAAAGTTGTTTGGCAGCCATGTTGCGAATCCAATCCGCCATCAGAGATACCTGTTTCGTTTCTTCATGTAATTGATAATCTTACGTTATAAACCATTATGATCTTAAAAAGTAAATTTTAATATATCAAACTTTAACTTTATCTTATTTCGCAATTTCTAACATCAATCGAATGAAATTTGTTGAAATTATCCACAAAGAAAAAAATACAGCGAATTGAAATTTTCGTCAGTTTTGTTTCGAGAAATATAGAATTCATCCAATAGATTTTCGAAAATACGGTTTCATTCTTTTTTTTTAGCTATTTTTAAATTCTCAAATGAAAAAAATATATATATAGTCAGTAGTCATTCAGCGTAGTGTCAGCAAGCCGGTCTTGGTTTCACTCGATCGCCTCCTCATCATCACCGTCGTCACAAATCTATCAATTTTGTGGCTTATCGGTTTTCTATTTTTTTTGCCGATGACTTCGTGCGTCTGTTTCCTATTTTATTCCGCCGTCGTCTCGTCTTCATTGTTATTTTATAATTAGCCAATTTTTTTGGCGTTGTTGTTCCACTTTCGAAAAAAAAATTGAATGCCACACCTAATTATAGAAGTGTTTCGACCCTGCGACGCCCTCTTTCAACTTTCTGCCAGAATATTCGAGTGGAAATTATGAAAACGCACCATATTATTTGTTTCGTTTCAATTTTTATATTATCGGAAGCCAAGTAAGAGTTTCCTACAAACTGCATATTCACGATAAATTGTCTTCAGAAGCACACGAGATTCGGAATCCAAACAAGACTCGGCAAGTATATACATGTTTATTTGACATCACCTTGTTTTCATAACAACTGATTTTGCAAGATCTATTGAATTTGATAATACAGTACTGTAGACTACAGTATGACGTAATAGATTGAATATCATCACTTGAACCCATTTTTGGCGGAAATTTAAAGTACTCAACCATTCGCTTTTTTCGAGAATACAATCAAACTTGACGAATTAATTCAATGAGAAAATAAAACTAGCGGATGCAAAAAAAAGATACCAAATAAGGTTTGAATGGTGCCACTCAAATTTTATTTCGTAAAAATTCTACGCGTTATTCTCAAGATTTTCAGGTTTGCACCAATTTTTTAGTTATTTTTCCCAGACGTTCTTGTTATTGCAAATGTTGTGATTTGCATTGAAAATAAAGAAAAAAGAATATTTGAAAAAAATATATATCGGAATTGTTGAGTTTTCAGGTAGCATGCGGCGAATTACGCGAGGAATACATTCGAGTATGCACTGGACATGGAAAAGGAGTCAGAGCTAAAAAAGACGAAGAATTCTGCAATGCTTTTGAGAATATTTGCTTCTCAATTTCCGAAAAAGAGCCAGATCGAGCAGAAGAACCAATCAAACAGTAATAAAATTTTAAATTTCAATTTCAATCGCATTTTAGAGCGGAGAATGTCGAAGTCACTAGTGCGGCGCCAGTGAAAAAGCAAAATTTTGCGCGATTCTGTAAAGAATTCAAAAATCGCTATTTGTATGTTTGTCCAGATCCATTCCGTTTCGGTCAGAAGGTAGTTTTGAGCGAATTGACACATCACCCAATACTCTCCAATTTTTAGGCGATTGTGTTCTGCCCAGTGTACTCTGAGAAATGTCAGGTGCCTCTACCGGATAAACCAGTGGTTCCGAAGCGAAGATCATCAAAGAAAAACTCAGGTGGAAGCATCGAAGCACTTTGTCGAAGTTATAGGTCAGCTTTTCGATTTACGAGTACATCATTTCGAGATAAGCAGAAAGCATTTTAGATCTCTACAAAAAATTGAGATCAAATATTAATTATTAAATGATTATGTTCAGAGGATTCGCAGCAAACTACTGCAACAATCCATTCCTGACCGCGCAAGCTCAATATCGTGCTGCTTGCGATAAATATTGGCGATTCTGCGGCAGTTCCCATCGCGGCTAAATTCTTGCACATCATCATTTTTCTTCCCGATTTTCCTGTACAAATTATGCAATAAAATGATCGGTTTTTTTCTCGAGTCTTTATCTCTCTCGATCGCTGTTTTATCACCATGTTGGGAGTGTGACCCGAATCGCCTCGATTGCGTCTTGTTCATCAATTTTCGATCTATACTGTATGTATATTTAGCGATAGCGTGCTTGTCTGTTTCAATGTCTTTCAAATCGATCTCGGTATTTGTCGTCATACTCGGGGTTCAGTCTACAAGCACTATCGATCTATTCCCGGCAAGCGATATTATTGAATTGCCAGTGGGCAGGTCTCACACCGAGTTTTTGAATTTAACTTCAGATTTTTTTAGTTACAGGTTTCCAGAACCCGATTGCGAGTACAGTGTTCGCCACAGATCGCGAGATGGTCCTAGAGTAACAGGGTGAACATTTGTTTCCATTCTTACATTAATAAATCAAAATTTTATTTCTAGGAAAGTTGATATTGGAGATCTCCTTTACCACTCCTGGAAATGCCAATACAAATCCCAGAAAAATTACCTATTTTGTATAATTATCGGCTCGTGCACAATATCTGACGGCTCTCAAAGTGGTGAAGAACGAAAAATAAAAATCATTGATGATGACGGATGCTCTGTGTTTCCAACAATTCTACCTGACGTTGAATATATCGGAGATTTATCTGCTGGAATTAAGGTTCACGCGTTTTCGCTAGACGTGGATACGGTAAGTGTAAGCTACTTCTATTAACAATACTTAATTTACTTTAGACAGCTGTTCACTTTACTTGTAACGTCCGCATGGTGTTTAAGGAGAATGGGCACTGCCAAAGACCTAAATGCCCCATTAAAAAATAGATTTTTTTTAAATAAAAATTACACTGAATATCGAGAATTGCGTCAACGCGTCCCAAAACGCGTCAGTTAACTATGGTTAGCGTGCTGAGCGCCTTTTTTTTGAATTTTTTTCTAATTTTTTTTAAATTTCAATTGCTTTTTGTACTATTACATTTTAATAATTTATGCTTCAGATGGAGTACACAGAGAAATTAAGATTTGCTGTGAGTTGTTCGAGTAATATGAATCGAAGCATGGAAGCACATAGTATTTTGAAGTATGAATTTAAATCTTAAATGTTTCACAGATACATTTATTTAGAAAACGTGGTTTCAACATAGAATCATATGGTTCTGGTAATCAAGTCAAAATGCCTGGACCATCAGCGGATCGTCCGAATTGTTATGAATTCGGACCGACAACTTACGACCATATCTACGCAGATTTGTGCGCAAAGGATTTTCAATTTTATACTCAAAACGGGCTTCTGAGTATGGTCGATAGAAATAGACGGATTAAAACTCGTCCGCAACGATTTCAATTAGAAACGAGAGAATTTGACATTGTTTTTTGTTTGGAAGAACGAGTGTATGATCAGGTAAACATTTTTAGTATTGTGGCAGATTACGGCTCTGTGGGGGCCGGAATCGTGTCGTGGACAGACGAATTTGATAAATTTGAATTGCTCGGGCAAATTCAAATTCGGGCTATTTCATATTATGATAGTTAGAAAACGTAAAAAGCGCTCCTAAAAGTTCTTCCAAAGGAGACCCAAGGCGGCAGTTCAAAAAATAAAGCAATTGAACCCCGATTTCGTCCGTCGTCGACTATATTTTTTTTCATAATTTTAAATCGATATTTAGGTTGTCGATCATCTCACAAAAAGAATAAGCACCTCCGGGAACCCAGTTCACATAATCAACGTCGACATTGAAGATAATCCTGAAGAAGCTACTCTTGGAGCGTTTTTTGTTGCTGAAATAGCAGATAAGGTACATTTATCAATGTTTTTCTTGACTTTTCCAATTTCACTCTTCTCAAAATGATTAAACTGCCTTGGATTTGTCACTAACAAATATTTAGAGAAATCCCTTTCAAGAATAATTCAAAACGATTTTCTCATACTTTATGAGAGTCATAAATAACGAAAACAAAAATTTGCAAACAATACTTTGGACGGGGAAAGCTGAAATATTTTAAATGATTAGAAATCATCAAAAGTACAAGTTTCTTTATATTCTTCTAGGAATTATAAATATTTTATATCTAGGAATTATTAATATTTTAAGAAAAATAATTAACTTTTCAAATATTCGATAAATTGATTATTCTCACGAGTATGAAAAATGGCTAATGAGCCATAAAATATTCATAGAAAAATGGAAAGTATATCAAAATTTTAAACAGATATTATCGGTGTTGCGCGACCGCGCACAATTGGATAAATGCCAAAAAATTCAGGGAGAGGTCTTGGTGTGTGGTGTGCGTATTTGACCCTTAGGTCGTAAATCTGCACGTTTAATTTTGCGCCAAGACCGTTGTGATTTTTCTTTAGCATTTAGCCAATTTTACGCAGTTCTTTTTAAAGTCAATGTTTACTACTTTTAATTTAAATATTTTGTTATTATTTGTTTCTACAAAAAATAGAAATTTCTACGAAAAATAAAAATAACATGGGCTGACGTTTACTGCGACGCATACGCAACGCGTCCGATTCCCAACCGAGTATGCGCGCGCTTTTAAATTTTCGGCTTTGGCCCGGCTTCAGCTCTGAAACGACAATCCTGCTTTTAAACATGTTTCAGCTCGAGAAATGTGTTGACGTCGACAACGATATCGACCAAATTCTCACCGACTTCGAGGAGCGACACACGAGGCGAAATATACTTCATACTGTTTGTTTTTATTAAAATCGGGTTTAATTTGATTTTTATGATAAAACATTTTTATTAAGTCCAGTAGTGCATACCAAAAACCATAAACAATAAACGACGAAGAGTCGGAAAGCCGCTCCATAACACAACCTTGTTCAAAAATACGGATAAAGGCATCAGATGAATCGGTAGAGGGGCGGGGAACTCGCTCTAGCTCAGTTTAACAGACCGGTTTGTGAAAAGATACAAAAATAATACAAGAAAAAAAACGAAAACGGCTAGCAAATTCACTATTGAAAATTGCAGAAGAATACCCATCTCTAGATACATTTTTGGGCAATCATTTGTTCACAGTCAAAAGAGGCGAAATCTACCACGTGCAGAGTAAAGGATATCAGAAGAATCAAATCAGAATGGGAAAAGTGAAAGCAGATTTTTACAACTAATGATTGCACATGAGAGGATATACATAAAAATGAATATGTTATGGGATAACACGTTGACATATTAGACTTGGAGTCCGTTAGGCGGCCTCTGAAATGTTAGAATATTAGTCGGGTTCGTTTTTTTAAAAGCTCATCACCTCCGTGTCGCCAACAAGTGCCGGCAAACCCGTAGCTTCCCTGTTATCGGGCTCGACGAATGGATCTCTGAACGGGTCTTCCATTTGGTGTTCTGATGGCTCAGTGGTTCGACGATAGATCGGATTGTCAAAATTGAGCGCAGTGAATGCTCCTGCACCATGGCGACGTCGATACATAACGAACATCTGACATTTGATAGATCTTTTAAATTAAAATGTCATTTCTTACTCCAATACAGATTCCGGCGAACACGAATAACGAGAAGACGCCAATCATTGAAATACCGGATCCTGATTCCATATTAACTGAAAAAATCAAAAGTAACATTTCATCATAGAAAGATTTTTAAGATTTAAGAAAAAGAAAACTAACCAATGCATTCAAATATGTCATCAGCACGAGTTCCTTCGCATGCACACGAGAATGGTCTATCATGCCAAGACTTTTCGGCGAGTCGGTTTTCCTCTCTATATACCGCACGAGGCAAGCACAATTCAGTACATAATGCACCAAGGCATTTATTATCCATCACCGGCTGCGCCTGTCTGTGATAAATCTTGACAGTCATCGGCGATGGCACATTGTCCATCACTTTACGAACATCTTGTCCGGTGAACTGCAGAAAAATCAGAATTTAATTTATAATCGTTTTCGGAAAATATGTACCTTGTTAGCAGTGATAACTCCGTCATGCTCCCAATCAGTGTAGTAGACACGATCCTCGAAGACAGCAAGCGAGAAGGGATGGTGAAGATATTCATGAGAATGGAGGACAGTCTGAAAGCGTGAAACTAGAAACGACATTATTTCGATGCTAGGGCTGTACCTTTATTCTCTTTCCCCAATAATCGCAGCTAAAAATGCTCTTTATCTTAGCATCCGCCCAGTAGACTCTCTTGTCAACATAATCCAATGCTAGTCCATTCGGCCAGACGACACGATCTCCTTCGACGATCACAATTCGATGTTGTCCGTCCATTCCAGCGCGTTCAATACGAGCTTTCTTTCCCCAGTCAGTCCAGAAGATCAAACCAACTTCTGGATCGACAGCGATTGCACGTGGTTCCTCGAGTTCCGAAGAGAACAAAACACGTCGTTTTCCACTCTTCAGGTTGAGAACATTAATCTGATCAAGTCCTCCATCAGTCCAGAAAAGCAAATCGTGAACCCAATCAATAGCCAATCCATCCGGAGTATTGATGTTCTCGTTGAGAACAACGAAGTGATTCTCATCACACTGTAAAGACATGATTGAAGTCTGAGATCCAAATAATTAGAACTTACGATTTCCGAGAACAGAATTCCATTTGTGCTGTTTCCAATTTTGCACATCAAAATTCGTTTCTTGTTGATGTCGGACCAAACAAGAGTTCCATTCGTCAAATGGAAGTCCATTGCGACGGCGGAGCCAGGTTTGCTCGATAATGGAAAATGAGAATTGGTGACAAGATCGAATTGGCGGATCGAGGCGCGAGTGCTGAGCAAAACAAGCGGATCGCCACCCATCGCACGACAACGATTCGGAACGCGTCCGATTTGATCTTTGCTGTAGCTGAGTTTGTAGCCAGGATGACAAGCACAGTAGTACGATCCCTCCTTGTTAACACAGATTTGATCACAAGTTCCAGCGATTTCGCATTCGTTAATATCTGAAAATCAAAAGTTTCCTATATAAATCGATAATTTTCTACGAATTGCAAAATTTCCTTTATAATTAAAATAAAAACTGACCGACGCAGTTCCCATCCACCAGCTTGTATCCTTCTTTGCAGTAGCACACTTCCACATCCTTCACGTAAGATTTTCTGCAAGTGCATCCTTGCGAATTTTTAGTGCAAAACTCGGTTATATTCGAATCGCCGCAAATCGACAAGGCTCCGTCGCCGCAATCGAACTTTGAGTTTTTGCACAAATCGGTTCGATTGAAGCACTGAATTGGAGTAGAAGGGCATTGGTATTCTTGCTCCGTGCATTCTGCGGTCACATTGCATCCCCTCTCGTCTCCACCATCCGGACAATCTTCAATTCCATCACAGAAAGCATTTGACGGAATGCAGATCAGCAATCCAGATTCTGCTCCATACGCACCGAATGTTGGAGGACACGAGCGTTCTCCTGATGCACACTTCTTCGAATACGATTCGCAATTCTCCTCATCAGATCCATCTGGACAATCCTCTTCTCCGTCACAGTACCAATTGCGGCTAATGCAAGCTTGTGATGTTTTGCAGGCGAATTCCTTAAACGTTCTATTATGTATGAACTTCCGTTCGTAGTGTCTTCTTACCTCCGCAAACTTGCAAGTGTGTTGAACAACACTGCAATTCCTCTCATCAGCATGATCTCGGCAATCCGATTGTCCATCACACCTCCATTTCGCTGGGATACAATCACCATTTGGGCACTAAATTCACGAATAAATATCATTTCGTAACAATACTGAATTAAATACCCTAAACATATCTGCCGAATCGCAAACATTCGTAGTTTTGTTGCAGAATGAAGGTGCGTTGATAAACTCGTCGGAATCGTCTCCACAATCATCCTCTCCGTCGCAAACCCAGTTTTTGAAAATGCAATTTCCATTTGCACAACTGAAATTCGAAAAATGGAATTCTGATTTCAAAACGTGGTCAATTCGTACGCGAAATCAGTCTTGCCGCATTTTTTTTCCGAGCAATTCTCTTCGTCTTGTCCGCCAATGCAGTCACGCTGTCCATCGCAAATCCATGTTTTAGGAATGCACAAGTTGAATCCACCAGACATGTCCTCGCATTTGAACTGATTCTTGTCACAAGTGATTTCTAAATATTCACTTTATTGAAAATGGAAACAATGAGAGCCGAAAAGGTACCTTTGCAATCTTTTTCGTCAGACTTGTCCTCACAATCGAATTCTCCATCGCAAACCCATCGTTTCGGAACACATTTCAATTGACCACGAGAATCGAGAATAGACGATTTGCCGCACATGTGCTCATTCTTGGCACACGACGCCGAGCAATGGTCCTCATCTTCTCCGAATCTACAATCGATGTCACCATCGCATCTCCACGCCACAGGAATACATCTTCCGTCATCACATTTAAATGTATCGGATGAATTGCAACTGGAAACCGATTGCCCACCAGTATGCACTAAAATCAGTTAAGTGATGGCTGAATCAGATATTTATTCAGCAAACCTCGATCCCTGACAAGTTCTGCGTAAACGGAAACTAGAAGGAAACACCCTAAAAGGGCGATTCTATTCAACATCTTGGCCGAGTCGCCCAACTCTCGGTGGCCGATTTTTTATCTGCAAGATGATCATCTTATCAATAACGAGGGGGGAATTAATGGAAAAAAAAGAGAATATTAAAGATAACACGGTAAAAACTGTTTAAATGAGGCAAAATTTATAGGACAAATGGATAGATTATAAATAAACTAAATATATTCCAGCTGATTCGTTTATTCATAAACATTGTAAGACGATAGTTCTCGACCAAATAGAACTCAAAAAAATACCAAAAATATTTTGTAGATCAAAATCTCGAAGAATAATTTTAAGTGACACTATTGTAGAAATGATAATTCGAAACAAAAGTTCACCGGAAATCACTTAAAAAAAATAAAATATAAACATGTACTTTAAATCATCTCGGAAAACGGTGAATCAACGAAAAACGTATGGGAAAGTTCTCGATAAACTGTGCACAATAGGCGTACGATTAGTTTCTCTGTTAAAAGGGAAAAAAATTGAATTATCAAGATATGCGATGAAAAATTTCGAAACATTACAGAAATGAGTAATGTCTAAAACAATGTCATTTGGCTCGACAAAATTGCCATGTTCGCTATTTGTGTCGAAGCGTTCGTCATAAGACCAAATGTGTTTCATTGCCAGCTGTTTTGATTAATAAATTAGAACTAAGTTACTCGAAAATGTCATGAACGGAGAAAAAAGTAAACAAAAAATTACTTGTTTATGCAATCGACCAGAGTTTATAATAATGAAATAAGATATTTTGGAAATATGAGTAGAATATCGTTTCTGGTCAACCATCCAGGAAACGATTGCTTTTTTGGTCTAATTTTGAACACGTGAATCGATACATGATTAAAAACAACAAATTTGGTCATAGATGACAACAAACACCGTTGAATTGTCCCATTGTTTAAACTGTTTTCAACTATGGAACGAAGTTTTTGAAATTTAAGGTAAAATAAAATTTTTAAGGAGTGGCAGAGAGAAAATTCCATATCAAAACTTTTCGGTAACATTCGTTTCAAGTAAATTATTATTTGTTAACACGACGTTAATACATTCTTACATCAATGCACCAAACCTGAAACCATCTTTTGGTTTTCTTAGATTACTAAGTGTAAAAAAAAAACGAAAAGTACGGGTTTTTTGGCGGTTTCGAAGAATTCATGACAGCCGATTCAATTATTATAAACTGAACGATTTTTTGGTGTAGTTTGAATAATTAATTATGAATGAAGTGATCGAAAACCGCAAAATGATGGATACAGAAATTTTGCTTGAAAATATGAAGAATATAATCAGTAATCAATAAATGATTGAAAAAACAATGACAAATTGGAATTGATTGTGACCAACAGGTTTGCTCAAAAACCACGAAACGAAAAGCAGCGCAGATAAAACTGTCACGAGCAAAACCAACGAGAAGAAAATGAGCAAAAACGAGAAAAAACACACAGAAAAAACTAGCGAGAGCAGACCTCAGTACGTGGTGTTGTTTACCGATAAAGTAAAATCAACGGTGGCGGTGACGAGGAGAGGGCGAAAAGAGAAAACTTTTCAATGGCGTTCGATGGAGCGAATTTGTTAGGCGCTGTTGTATGCGAGCCGAAGTATTATGAAATAATAAAGACCGTCCCGACATCGAACGTTTCGCTCACTGCTGATTCATCAGTTTCTTTACTATTGATTGTTTGTGAGAAAAATAAAGAGAGAAAGAGAGAGAGAGAGAGAAAGAGAAAGAAAACCATCACATGGTTTACAAATGCGAGAGAATGCACATGCGATGAATGCAAAACTGACACATGGACCACACATTTCATAGGTGCTAATTGTTCTCCCGCAGCGAAAATGGTATCGTGCTAGCGGTTCGAATTTATAATATTTTAATAAAAAATTTCGAGTAAGGTCTTTTAATTTTTACAAAATTTCTTTTCGCATTGAACTGTAAAAGAAAGTTGGTTACTAGACTTAATTAAGGAAATGTACAAAAAAGGTAAGTTCAACTTCCTGATTTACGTGCAGTCAATTCATTCGATTTTCGAACAATGTGAACTTCGAATTTTACTGTTAGCCACCATGGTCGTTAAATTCGATCATGTCAATTTAGAAATCAATTTGAAACTGCGGAAATCGCTTCTGAACTTGATAAGAATTGACAAGCCTAATGGGAGGCGCCGAAGTATTTCGTAAATTTTGAAACTGCCTGAAAATCTGACAACTTGAGTGCATTGTAAGATGACCCAGTTCTGACGCGAAAAGATCGAAACAAAACGATTAGCGGAATTCGGTTTTTTCCTACCTGTTTTCACTTTTGATCATAGCACGTGGCAAAACACATCACTATAGGTATGCTTGAACAGCTGTTTATTAAATCATGCCTTTTTTCTCTCTCTCAATATTATGACAAGTTGTAAATCTTAAAGTTCAGGAGAACTTTCAAATAAATTCACGGGATAAAATTATTGCATTTCCGATTTTCCGGAGGAATGTGATGCAAATGATAATAAAAAAGAGAAGAAGAAAAGAAGAACATGAAAGTGTTTCAAGGTTTATTGCTTCTCTCCCAAGGAACCAAGCTATGAATCATGTGGCAAGCAATGAGAAATTATGTAAAGAAAGAAAAAATTTCATTCGATATAAACGTAGAAATTCAATTAAATTTCAGTTTGTAAGAAGATAAGAATCAAAAGTAAAATAAAAGCGATACGTTGAAACCGTCATGTTAATCGTCACGTCATTCTATAAAAATTAAATGTGAGAAAAAGTGGATTTCTTATATACAATGCTTTTGTTTTTACTTTTGGTTGTATTTTGTCAAAGAAAATTACGAAATTTATAAAATGATTCATGCGAGGCAATTTTAACAATAAAACAGAAAACGTGAAATGGAAAATGACAAAAAACTCGAAAATCAGATTTTCGAAAACTTGTAAATAAAATTACGGTACTACTTTAGTTCAAGGAGCAACCGAAAAATTATCACAAGGTTTTACAACGAAAAAGTACGTAATGAGCGTAATGAATTAAACAGTATCGGACAGGCAATGCGATTTTCGAACGGTCGTATATACTATTTAAAAATATATTAATTTAACATTTTTTTTTCGCAAAAACTTACCTTCAAATTTAATTATCTCTACCTGACAGTGGTTGGTTCAGGATCCTCCGGAATGGGCTAAGTATCATCATCGCAATCTAATGGAAAATACTCGAAATGGACCTATTAATAAAATTTAAAAAAATGAAAAATTACACAATTTTCCAATGCATTAATGTATAAAATGTAAATTCAATGGAATTTTTACATTTTTTTTGTAAGAAAGTAAAATTCATGAAAAGGTCTATTATAACGTAAATTTTGGTATTAACCGCGTTTCTTTTTCTATTCATATTCTTATTTATCCCGAAAAAGATGTTGGATATTTCTTTGAATTGAATTGAAGAATATAAATATAAAGTTTATTTTTGATCAATAAAAATTAAAGATTTTCCCATGGTGGTGAATCGGACGAGCTACTTTCTGGAAAAGTGAAGACAACTTCTTCGGTGACCGATAATGGCATGCTATTGTAGCTACTCTCCGATGACCGCCTAAAATGGAATTAGATAAGCCCAAATCGAGTGACCGTTGCAAATTATCAAATTTCACGGAAAAGGCGCGAATTGATAAGCGTTCAAACCTTGATGATTGCAGCGTGTTAGGTTGTGTCTCGTTGAAATTTGTATGAGACGATCGACGGCGGCGCTGCGGGGGTGGCTGCAGGTTAAATGGGTTGGGCTCTGTGACGATGATCTCGGGGACAAAGCCCAAATGCGATTTCGGTCTCGATGGAAGGCTGACATCGAGACGAGTTGGAGTCGGAACACTGCTCACGGAGCTGTGTCTATTCGAACTCGGACAATTCTCAGAAATTGGTCTTTCGACTAGAACTGCATTTTCCGGTGTTGGTATTAGATTTTCGATTGCATAGTTTTCTTTCTCATTCACTGAATTATTCAAAATCAGGTTCAATGTGTTAGATGTATTGTCGGCGTCCGGCGACTGATGTAGATTTACGTGTGCGCCTTTTGAAATGGTTTCGTTCATTTTGAAATTTTCACGTGAACTGTTTAATTTTTCTTGATGAGACTCCCTTGAGAGCACAAAAATATACCCGCGTACAACAATCGCCAGATGCCTCAAACTATGATCTACCGGAATATGTTGCTTCAGATGACCGACTTTTCCGTGAACTGATACGTGATAGTGGCCTAATACTTTTATTGCGAATGTCTCTCAGCCAGTCTTGTGCGCGTTTTTTCGCTTCTCTGAATATTGAAAGTATTATTGCGAATTGATAACAGCGAATACCGCATTTTCCGTTTCCTACGCACTAATTCGTCGACTTCTACCCGCATTTGCATCGAAGCAAGCATTAGTGTTACCTGAATGTACATTGATATTAGAATATTTCATAAAATCCATTTAAATATTTTTTTTAAAGCGGAAATTCGCGAGATTTCTCAATGAATTCGATGTGCCCAAAAATTTTTGACAAATCTTTTTCCGCAACTTTTAATGATAATGTCACATAGAACTCAACATTTTGAAAATTGAGAGCAATTTTAAAGCTTTCATGGAAAAATGTTTAAAAGACTTCATTTTTATCCAATCAAACAAAATTTGTTCACACCTGTTCTTCGCTATTCTCATGTGGTTTAATTGATCGATACATGAGCAAAATAATAATCGAAGCAAACGCTCCAATAATTGTGACCGCGTACAAATCAGCACCAAGTTTATGCTCCTGTAATTCGGAGATTTTGGAATCGGCAAACATTTTTATTATACGGCAATTGCTTTCGAATCCAATCGAGTTTTGAAAATGCGAATCGCTTGCAACATGAACGCCGTACAATTCTCATCAATCCTCGGCATTTTCTCGCTTGCATTTGCCATCTGTAAACGATTGAGACATTCATACGAGAAACGGAACACAATGAGAGAAAAATTCAAGAATGTGATGAATGGCGACGGAGAGAATGCAAAAAAAAACCAGAAAAAAAGATAAGCCGTCGTCGCTATTGGTTACCTACTTTGTTCATTTTTTTATTCGAACATGCAAAATCCTTTTATTTGTTCAAGAATAACACATTCGATGGAAAATATCTAACGATAAAAATTGCTCAGCAAATTGCTAGGATCTCTCGAGAAATTGTCATTAAAATAGCATTTCAAATACATTTTTCGCACAATTTTTGTAGCCTTTACAGTATTCTCATTTTCTACTCGCTTTAATAATTCAATTCCGAATAGTTTTGGTTTTTGCATTCGAGAGATAATCCATTTTTGGGATTAGCAATTGCATATATATTTTTTTTAAGTCGATCAGACATGACGGCTAAATGTCAATAAAATGCTTCGTCGTTTATTTCTCATTTGGCGGTTTTGCGAATATCCATTTCTCTGAATATCACATTTCTTTTCAGAACTGAACATTTATGACAAATATATTAATGTCGTTCTGAAATTTGAAAACTCATTTTGTGAAAATCAGTTTTTTATTTGTCCCTGCTTTTTTTGAAATATGTATATAGTTATATTACTTGGTGAATCGAGAATTATTTAAATCCAGGAAATGATGAATCACACAACGGGAAATGCAGGATATCAATTTATCTATATATTAAAAAGGCGTTGGATTCTGGTTATTCATTTTTTTGGAACTCGCATATATCCAAACACTCGCTTGATGTCTATTTTTTTTTCATATTTCCAAGTTTTATAATTCGTATTGTCGAGGTCAAACGACTTGACGAAGTTTAAAAAAATAAATGGTTATGTGCCAATGCGTCTCGAGGCAGCGTGAAGTACGCGAGATTGCGTACATTGCATTATAGTGTACGCGCATTTAATATTCAGTCAACGAAAAATTTAAATCCAAACTGATTTCGCGAATTTGAAGGCCCCGCCTCTCTTCAGTCGTTTGACGCCGACAATATGATCCAATTATTTTTTTTTAACTTTGATTATAACACGCTTATACAAAAAAAAAACTTGAAAAATGCTATAATATAAAATAGAAGAAATGAAAAATCACATTGAAAATCATTTGATATGGGGGTGTAATGTTTAAAAATAGTCGGTCGAATGAGAAAAAAAAACTAACGAATATGAGAAAAAGAAATACATTTTTCTATGAGTTGAGCCAAAAAAAAATCCATGTTTGGGCATCAAATTTCATGCGTCAAAAATGCAAATTCAAACGTTTTGTGAGTTGTGGAGCGACTTGTTTTGTGTGCATCGTGTGGTTTATTGATAAGTAGAAGAGATCTTCTTGATATGACCCTTTATTTTAAATGTCTTGCACAATGTTGAAATGTTAATGTTTATCCGACGTTTCGATCTTTAGATCATCATCAGGGAAGGTCAATTTACCTACAAGATAATAAGTAATAGATTGGTCAAAAAAGGAATATTCGGCAAAAATTCGTCCAATCATTTCTGGTGCGGGTGGACCCACGGACCGGCCTTCTTGGGTTATTTGTACCATAATCTCTCAACTTCTCCAATTTGTCGGTTGTCATCTCAAAAACACCGCTGAACTCCTTAATGCTATCAATGGAGTTAACCACACCGGTGATCTTTACTTTGAAAGTTTTGATGTGGAATCCCTATATACAAATATAGACAACACATCAGCCTTCAATGCAGTAATCGATAAATTGGAGAAACATTCCTCTGAAATAGAATGGTATGGAGTTTCTTTTCGTGATCTTAAATTACTTCTAAAAACTTGCCTCGGTTTCAATTTTTTCCAATTCGATGGAAAGTACTACGCTCAAAATCGTGGCCTAGCAATGGGTAGTAGATTAGCTCCAGTACTTGCCGTCATATATATGGACAAAATTGAAAATCCTAGCAAAAACATTCCCACCATTCTATTTAAGAGATATATTGATGATTATATTGTTATTGCGGAGTCTCAAGATGTTTTGGATAGGGTCTTCCATAGTTTGAATTCTCAAGCCGAACATATATGTTTGACTAGAGAATCTCCTAATAATGGGTGGCTGGCTTTCCTTAACTGTGAGATTTCATATAAGAACAATATTTTCGTCACCAGATGGTATAGAAAACCTTCTAACAAAAACATTCTCATCCGGTTTGATTCCAACCATCCCTATCAACAAAAACGAAATACGGTCATTTCTACCATAAAAACTGCTGAAAAACTCTCTTCTCCGGAATATAAAACTTTTTCAAGAAATTTGGCTAAAGAAGTTTTGGCCTCTAATGGTTATAACATTACAAATAGATCTAGACCTAAAAGGCATAACCTCCCATATCCAGAAAAAATCATAAAAAATGTACTTCCGGTTCCGTTTATCTCCGATACCACTACTCAAATAATTCACTTAGACAAGTTGACTTGGATGTCACTGTAGTAGAACTTAAAGGTAAATCACTTAGGGACATCCTTGTCAAAAATCGTATTTTTGATGTTCGATGTGAGGGTAGAGGTTGTAGGGTTTGTCCGGAGCTGGGAGTTGGTACTTGTACCATTAAAGGAGTCATTTATGAAATCAAATGTGGTTGTGGAAAGAGTTACGTCGGTGAAACAGGAAGGCCTTTAGCTTCTCGTTTCAACGAACATGCTAGAGCTGCGTTGAAACCAAATCTAAAATCATACAAAAACACGGTTTGGTCTAAACACTCATTTGAAATTCATAACGGGGAGCCCTTACAACTTTCTATTAAAATACTAGATATTGAGAGGAACACAACTCGTCGAAGAATACTGGAAGGAATTTATATTAAAACCAAGAATCCTGAACTTAATACTAAAGAAGAACTTATAGATTTGGTCTCGGATTTGGGAATTCGAGGGGATTTCTCTTAGTCATAGCTAAAAAAACTTTTCTAAACCTATCCTCTAGTTCTCAAAAATTTTTGATCTACCTACATCCTCACATTAACGCTCCTAACATATTTTTGTGTTACGTATTGGACATTGTTTTGTTTCTTGATTTGTTCTTATGGTTTGTTTGTTTTCTGATTGATACTTACAACTTAACTCTTTTATTCCTTTTTTGACCAATCTATTACTTATTATCTTGTAGGTAAATTGACCTTCCCTGATGATGATCTAAAGATCGAAACGTCGGATAAACATTAACATTTCAACATTGTGCAAGACATTTAAAATAAAGGGTCATATCAAGAAGATCTCTTCTACTTATCAACAAATTCAAACGCTTCTAATTAATTTATTGGAGATTAAAAAAAACATCGAAAAAATGTTGTCATGACGAAAAATTCGGCGAATGAGTGGCTGAATTCGAAAAAAATTGAGCAATAAAAACCCGCATTCAAGTGCGGTTTGTGTTTACCCAAGAATTCATTTAATTCCACGACACGTCCTCATCTTTAGCGACCATTCATTTATTATTATTATTTATTATTTATTAATAGTTTAGAAATTCGCAAACTGCTCGAAGAATGGAATTGGAAAATCTAAAAATGGAAACGATGGAAATTGAACCAAACGTGTAAGCAAGCAATCTGCGAATAGTTTTCATAAAATGAATGATATTTGCCTTTTGAAGAATACATGTGAAAACAACGCAGGCGCCAAGTTTGTCAATGATTCCGCGAGCGATACCGTATAAGCCGAAACTCAAAAATCGGAATGGAACGGAGTTATTGCATGCTGATGAGATATTCCGCAATCGGTACCATATTTTGGTAGGTTTTGTGTGGATTTGCAGGAATTCCTTATATTTGGGGGAAGGGCTGATTTAACTAAATGATGTACAAAGGTTGCACAGGTTTTCCTTAGAATCTCGTTAGAAAAAATATTCTGCGAATTTAAATTATTCATTTTTTTATTCAGAGACGCTAAAGAAATAAAAATAAAAGTACAAAAACTATTTTTTTCAATTCACATAGTAGGTCCATTACCAAATAGTATACATATAGATATAGAAGAAGATATTCAAAAAAGCGAATTAGACATTTACGAAAATTTTTAAATATGAGAATTTTGGATCGATTTTTGGGAATAATCTGATTGGTTTTGAGTTTTCGGAGGATGCACATTGTTGCGAAAAAATCGGTCTGAGTTTTCTTCCGAAAGTTTGTGAAAACTTTCAGCTAAAAATTTTGCACAAACTTTTTCTATTAATAATTTGCTGAATTTTTTTTTAGCACGTTGAAGGTGTTTTTGCAAAAAAGTTGTTTCACTTACTGATGTGACGACAGATGTGATCAGTTGAATCGAAATAAGTGATATGAGTTGATTCAGTTTCGCAGAATTTCGCGAATACAAAATGACGTTGTTTCCACTACATGATTTTCTCCAATATTCAGTATTTTTTCCCCTTCATAAAAATATTATATGATTTTCCACGTTCTATGAGAAATCTGAAAACTCGAAAGCTTAAATCATTGTTTTTTCAAAAATTCAAATAAACTCATCCGACTCATTTTCAGGGACTTATCGGTCGCGGAGGCTACGGTCAGATCTACTATGCAGTTGATATAACGAATAACGCCGATTTGGCAATGAAAGTTGAACCACAGATTCGAAAAGGCTCATTGACAAAACGAATGCTCTTGGAGCAGAAGGTTTGGATTTGGCATTTTGATATTTGCAGATGGCATGATTGTTTCAAGATTCTCTACCGATTACAAGGAAGGCCTCATGTTCCCGTTATGGTAGCTTCTGGTCACACGGAAAGATTAAACTTCATTGGTTTGCTATTTATTCCGCTAATTAATTTTTAAAAGGAATTTTCAGTAATGCAATTGTTGGGTCCAAATGTCGGGGACTTGAAGAAAATGAGCCCAGTGAAACGCCTGAGCCAATCATGCGTAGCGAGGATTATGATCCAAGTGAAATAGCAGACATTTCTTGACTGATGAAGTTACTGTTGATTGATTTCAGGGAGTTGCGGCCCTTCGAGATGTTCATTCGCTCGGATACATTCATCGAGACGTCAAACCGGCGAATATGTGCTTCGGAATTACGCAAGCGGTTGGTTTTTGGTATTCTAAATGGTATTCTAGTTGCTTGGTCCTCCGAATATAAATCGATCAATTTTAAAATGATATTTTATTGCCAAATTTGAATTCCATGAAAGCTTTTGTCTAAAATTGTTGATAGAATCTCATGTAAATACACAAGACCCATAATATTTAAATACTCTGGGGCTAAAAACCATAAACAATAATCGACAAAAGTTTTTTTTTTCCAAATATACAGTACAAAGAGAACTGATTTTTCAAATTTGTTGCAGAGTCGACATGTGTTGAAACTCGTCGACTTCGGACTTGTGCGTCGATTCAAAAATTCGGATGGCACATGGCGACGAAAACGCGAAAAGCCGGGCTTCCGTGGAACACTGCGTTATGTTTCGACAAGAGTGCACGACAAAAAAGAGCAATGTCCGGCTGATGATCTCGTCTCGATGGTGTTCTCCGGTGTCGAGCTGCTGCTCACCAATCTGCCATGGCGATCTCTTCCGACCGAAGATTTGCGAGAGGCAAAAGAGGAATTTGTAATGCCCTTCTCATTCACAGAATATGCTTTACTTTTTTTTTCGCTTTCATTCTAGAAAGAGCCGAGTTCGCCGTATCTCTTCCTCACTGGTCCATTTTTCACAACGTTTGCACATGCTGTGTTCTCATTGAACTCGAATGATCAACCAGATTATTCAGCTCTTCAAGCATTGTTGTTTGTGAGTTTGTCTTGCAATTTAAATTATTCGATTTTTTTGAATGATGATTCAACTAGGCGATTTGAAACTGGTGAAAATGGAATGAGAAAAAAAATGAATGCTCAGCAAAAAATAGACGCGAAAATTGGCTCATCTTTTGCATGGCGGAGGCCAATTCGTATTGCATTTTTCACACCATGCCTCCTTTTCTCACATAACCATTTGTACCAGTTATTTTTTTTTGAAAAAAAAAACCGTTTAAAATGATTTAAAAATGGATTTTTAATCAAATATTTAAGTATAGCTAACATTAATTTCTTGGCTTATAAAAACATCAGATTTTAAACTTGCAAAAAAAGAATTATTTTTTCGCTGACTCATATATATGCATATATGAATTGGTTGTTGTTCATTTCCGATATTTTCGCAAATTTTCAGGATATGACCGCGGGAAAATCGATGGTGGACGCCTATGATTGGGAAGAAGGATATCGTGAGACCGTTGGCAGCTCGCTTGGAAGCAAAAGTGACTCATTAAAAAGTTTATCAAGACAGCATGATTATGCCTAATGAATTATTCACAATTACTCATATGTTTAATTGGGCGATAATTAGCTGCACACCGAAAAAACATGTTTTGATAGACTTGCTGCCCTATTTTTCATATTGCGTTTTTTATAGAAACCCATAGTTCACATTTCGCAGCGAAGCGCATATTTTAAATATAGCATCTGTATTCATTCAACTATTAAATTGAGCGATTTTAGGGCTCAAGATCGACGAGGATATTCTGTGAAAACGAATGTGTCACTCCTCATCTTTTTGGTGAAACGTGATAAATGTTGAATTTTTCAATTGTTTATCTATTACAGGGTGTCATTTAAGTTCCCGCACAAAAGTTTGACGCCATGAAGAGCTTGGCTGGCGCACTTTTCGTGCACCAATACAATTTATTTTTGTTAAATAAGGTATATTTTACTTACTTTCCAAGTTTCACCTCTTTCGGATGTGTTTCCGAGAAATGGCGAAGGCTAACATCCATCGCGCTTCCATTATCGAAGTTCATAAGCAAAATGTGAGCCCGAGAGACATCATTGAACGCCTCGCTGTGCCTCGTAGAACGGTTTGCGACACCATCAAACGTTTCAAGGAGCTAAATACGACCAGTGACCGTCCCAGACAAGGAAGACTCGTCTCAGTAACCACTCCTCAGAAGATAAACGCCGTCAAATCGAGGAACAGGCGAAACCCCCACAGGAGCATGAGAAAGATGGCGTCAGACGTGGGAATGAGCATCTTCGCTATGGAACAAATCGTCAAAACGAAGCTTGGACTGACCCCATATCGTGTCCAAAAAGCGGCAATTCTATCGGCCGTCAACAAGCAGAGACGCTTCGAAAAAGCAAAACAACTTCTTGCTCGCACGCAGTCTGGAGAACATCTCGTCACTGTCTTCTCCGACGAGAAGCTATTCACTGTGGAGGCGGCATTCAACTCACAAAACCATCGAGTACTTGCCCAGACATCCCAGCAAGCTTCTGAGAAAAGCAGAACAATACATCGAGCCTCACATCCTGCCAGTATGATGGTTTTCGGTGCCATCTGCTCAACCGGGAAGCGCCCCTGGTTTTTGCAGATCAGGGGATGAAAATGAACAAAGAAGTCTACGTTCGGGACTTTTTAGAGGAGCATGTGATGCCCTGGACCCAAACGCATTTCGTTGGGCAGAAATGGGTCTTTCAACAGGACGGAGCACCCGCCCACACTGCCAAAACTACTCAGGAGTGGTGCCAGACCCATTTTCCCGACATCATCAAGTCATCCGAATGGCCTGATTGGTCCCCAGACCTGAACCCGCTTGACTTCTCCGTGTGGGGTCTTGCTGGAGAAGGTCAACGCAAAACCCCACTCAAGTGTAGAGACTCTGAAGAAGACATTACTGGCGGAATGGCACAATCTTTCCATCGAATACCTGCGTACCACAGTCGCATCCTACCCGAAGCGTCTCTGTGAAGTCATAGCTCCGAAAGGAGGCCGAATCGAAAAGAGTTAATAGATAAATATTTGTTATACTATAGATAAAAAATATTTCGAGTCTCGTTTGATTTGGACCTTTAGTTTCAGAAATATACGTCTTCAAAGTTGTGCGGGAACTTAAATGACACCCTGTATAAGTCGCCTAAGCCGATAAGGTAAGTTTTGCAATATTTCATGCATTCGAAAACACATTTATCTGAAAAAAAAATCACATCCGGACGGCGGCGTTCGTCTATTTTATATGTGTTTGAAACAAAACACTTTTATTTGAACTCAGCGATTTTTTTTTGTGAAGTTCGCCTCAGTTTCGCCGACGCGACGCGCCCGAAGAGGCACATCTGAAAAAGTAATTACCGGAATAGTCGTCACGACAATAATTATCTGTCCCTTTCATTATCGTACTCCAAATCTTACCGAAGTTCAAAAAACTCGTGAAACTGAAAAAAACGGTTATAAAACTCTCATAACTTGGAAAATTAGCTGGGTCTCGTGACGAATGGTTCACGTAGTCGGTTTCTAGCCAACTTATAGTTAGCATTCTAGAGAAAATTTAGATATTTTTTTTTTCAAAAACGGCGAAGTCCAAGGAAATGTAAAATTCACCATGAAAAACTAAAAAAAGTCACATGGAAATAATTGAATAAGCATTCGAATGTGGTGAGATCATGGCGAAAGACGCCTCCCGCCAATCTATCTGGTGTCCGCCGACTATATTGACGAAGTCGCGCTCTATTGTACATGGAATTGCGTCACGCAGCAATCCAACGATGAAGATTTTTAGGCTGTATTGTGTTGCGTTTTGACATGCAACTCTTCGTCTTAGAAAATTGAATAAGTGCTAATACAATTTATGGAGAGGTCTTGGCGCGGGTGTGCGCCTAATTGGATTTTCTTCGGATCCGATTGCTTATTATTCGAATCTGTTTTTGTTTTAATTTTTTAATTTGATTCGGCTCCGACAAATATCCAATCGGATCCGACACATTACTAAGATCCGGAAATTTTACAATTTTATCCGTAGAAAAGATAAGGTTGATTCCGAAGCCGAATTTCGTCTGATCCAATCGGTTTTGAGTTACCAGAGCGTAAATCTACATTAGTTTTGCACCAAGATCGCTGTCATTGTTTTTTTTTTTTTTGGTATTTAACCAATTTTCGAGTTGGTAAATTTCAACATTAATTCAATATTAATATTTTAATCATAAATTTGATTCCGACAACGCATCAAAATAAAAAATGATTAAATGATTACGGCACCAGAATTTTAATCATAAGCAACCCGTCCGTCCGTCAGACGGTCCTCTATAATACGTCGTGAAAAACAATAAAAAATTTCAATATTTAATATGGTCGGAGTCCGGTTACTACGTACGCAAGAATATTAACGTGCATGCGTCTTCGTCATCGTCTCGCATTGATTAGCTGGTTATTTTGCATTTTAGAAAAAAATAATTTTAATTGTTAATTTCAGTGGTATTAAGTATTCAAAGAAATGCTATATTCATCAAGAAAAATTAAGAAGATTGAAAATTTCAAAAAAGGCATGCACGCATGGCGAGACCTTTTCAAGGCGCATGCGCGTAAATCTACCCGCGTATAGCAGTCGCTAGAAGCAGACAATATGAAGCTAACAAAATTGAATAATCACTCGTCGAGCAGATATGTTCTCAGCAAATTGTGCCGTAGAAACGGCGGTGAAAACAAATGTCTCCATCTCTCAAAATCACACGTTCTCTAAAATACCGTTTCATCGGCGATTCGATCTTGTAATCGTTTCATCGAAATATCAATTCACCGCCGTTTCTATTTCTACAGCAGTGCTGCAGAAGCGGCGCTGCAACAGCACGCTGTGCGGCAATCGGAAATTTCGGCAATTCGGCAAATTGCCGAAAATCAAAATTTCGCCAATCCGGCAATTCGGCAAGTTGCCGAAAATAAAAATTTCGACTATTAAATGTTTTCAACGATAATTCGAAATATAAATACCGAATTTTCACGGTATCCCAAATTATTCAGTAGTCATTGATTTTTGTTTCGCCGATTTTTTTTGATATCAAATTGCCGAAAATAAAAATTTCGGCAATCCGGCAATTCGGCAATTTGCCGATCGAACGTTCTCTTGGACAATTCGGCAATTCGGCAATTCGGCAATTCCATTGCCGCACAGCCCTGCAGCACGACTTGCCGAGCGGCCAATAGAATTGAAAGTACAGTACCGGTATTGTCAATGGAGCGCGTTTTAAACAATAAAAATGTTGATTTGAATTTTTAATACGTTGTTTCCATCAAGACCGGAATATGTATTTTTATTCTTTTCAAACGTACAATTTGTTATATACCATTAAAAAGGGTTACGCGTATAATAGACGCAGACGGTTAGACAAAGGGAAACTGGTGGAAAACACAACACCAGCTGATGTTTTGACTTCCCTCGCTTTTCGTAATTTTCCCACACGAATTATTTTCCATTTTTTTTCGGAGTCGCGCGCTGAATTTTCAGTAGGTTCAAACAAGCGGTTTGCTCTGTTTTTTTTTTTGGAAGTGAAAAGAAATGTGTTTTTCGAAAAACATTCCCGCTCACTACGCTCACACGCTCTCACACACAACACACACCATCGATTCGTTCTTGTTTACGCCAACAAAATGCAATTTCGCCCGCCAACTAAAATTGCTTGATTCTTGGGTTTTTATTTTGTCGATACATTGTTATTTGGAAACATGTTCGGGGCAATTATGAAAATGTATTCAAAAATAATCTCGATGGGAAAAATTAATTTGGGAAATGGAGGGATGATTGACGATTTTCGTTCTTTAAACCACTCAAATTCGATATTTCTCGCTCAATTTTCTCCCCCTTCAATTTCATGCGAAAATCTCGAGAGCACACGCACATCCTTTATTTATTATATTCTATTCAAGCCTGATTTTCTGACTCGTTTGAATATTTCATGAATATTCGACGAGAGAATTTTTTTAGCATACATGTTATTGTGGTTTTCATTTTTATTTCCAGGAAAGCAGCAATTAGTCTCAACATCATTAGTATTTCCATGTTTAAGCATTGCTGCTGCAAGAAAAATTCTAGACATGAGCCTCGTCTTCCCATGGCGTTTTTTCTTTGAGTCAATTCACCCCGCGAAACATACAAATTTTGTTTACCACTTTTCTTTTACATCTGCCGAGCTCTTGACATAAACACTGGGAAAATATCACAAAACCTTTGAATACATGCCTATGCAATGTTGTTCACATTTACTTTTGCTTTTTGTTGGGAAACGGCCTGACACCATCAAATGTAGGACATTTAAATGCTATGAAATCCATTCGTCAAAATTATTGTTTTGGGTTTGAGCGTTTATCAGTGCTCATTTTGCAATCAACGGTCACATTTTGGTGATTATTTCAGTCATTAATCAAGTAAACAATCTGACGCAGCGAATGTTGTCCGCAATTATAAGCTGATTCTTTATTTGGCTGCCTCCCAAATCTCGTTGCTTTTAGTTTTCTCCGTGGTGAGCAGCAATTTTCCAAAAATCTTAAATAGCCCTGTTTTCAAGCCATAAAAAATGGCAATCGTAATAGCGTTTTTTCCCGCCACCGCGTCCGAACACTTTCTCTTTATAGTAATAATTAGCTAAATAATATATAGACAACAAAATGATTTCTGGTCGAAACGTGAACATTTTATTTCTTGTTTTTTTAATTTATCTATTCAACAAAAAAAAACAACGTTCACCGAGTGCGTCACCATGGTTTTTTTTTCAAATAAATCCGATTATTGTGCATTATTTGTTGTTTTGCACTATTCAGTTCGTTTCGATTTTCAGGTGTCGATGAACGAGTTATGTACATTTCGTCATTATTAGTGACTATTGTGCTAAGTTTGAGGACGTTTCGCTGCGAAGTACTGACTCCCGACGGCAATTTTCTCGCAACGGAGAAGGTACGCTTTTCTATTCAAAACAGACTTTGTACATAGTTTAAGCGGATAATGCTCTCGTTTAATCTCGAGTTTCAATAGTTAGTATAGTTTTCAATGAAATCTGCTGTTGAAATTATTTCCTCAAATGTTATCAGTAGTTGATACCAGAATTCTATCGAAATTCCGGCGCCAGTCGAAGCAAAGAAACAATTTTCGAAGCAAACTAGAAAAAACTTAAAATTTGCCTTTTTTATATTTGTTAAAAATTTGGCGTATTTTATAAAAAAAGTTCAGAAGAATTCGAACAAACTTTGAGAGTTTCCGTTTTTAGATTAAAAAAATTGCAGTCTCACAAATAATTATTTATGTATGGTGATGTGAAATAACGCCATGACATTTTTAACTAATTATTCCAATGCAAGCTTATATGTTTTTATTTATCCCAAGTAATTTGATTAATACACTTCCTCGTTTACTTTCAGCGAATCGCATTCGTTTTTTTTTGTTTTTGCCAGAAAATTCATTATCAAAAATAGACTCTAATCGGATAAAAAGTAGGGACATTTAAGCTTCTTTTCCATCGAAACATTTTATTTTTAGTTGTATCAAATTGTGTTCATGCCTTCAAAGAAATAAGCATAATTAGCCGGAGATGGAGGAAATTCGAGTGTTGCCAATTGCTATTATTGCCAATTTTCAGGAGCGTCCCATTCTCGACAAGTACAATATCGAATATCTGGACATTTCACTGCCATCCAAACAGGAATTCAAAACATTTCTTGGTATTTGAAGCCCGAAAAAATTACGCTGAAATTGTTTGTTTTTCAGAAGCCAAGTGTCTGGTAAATCTCTACAAAACCGCGTTTCTTGACAATTATTTGAAATGGGAACGAGTCGAATTTTTGAAAAGTGTCCGGAACACGTACGTTTCATCACTAGCGCCCAAGTTTTTTTGCCCAGAGAATATATATGCTCGCCAATTTGATTTATTATGTAGATATTGAGCAGTTATTAATATTGATAGCAACAAAAAAATAAATGATGAATGGTTGATTAGAGTAGCAATATGGAATGTTTCAAAAAAACATTTATTAAGAATTCTAAAACATCATTATAAAATCGTAAAATAATATCATTAAAGTTATTGAGACTGGGTAAACTTTATAAATGTTTAGAAAATCTTATAAGATTTCCAAAAAAATATTTCGAAAATTCTAAAATTTCTCAATTCATTTAAACATTTTGATTTCTGAGGTTTATTAATAAAAACTAAACTAAATAAAACAAACCAGTTTAAAATCCATCAAAAAACTTTAAAACGTTATTTCGATTGATCAAATAAAGTCTGCTAGATTTTAGTTTAATTGGCTATAAGTGCATTTGCGCAGACTGGTTTGCATGAAATCGAGCACTCTGACTTCTTGAACACATTTTCTGTTTGTCTATATGCAAACTGTGTTGTTTTGCAGGCTCGGAATTCCGGATGAGGCGTCTCTCGAATTTCAAGCTAAGTATCCCGAACTCTACAACTACCTATTCGCCCATCACGATTTCCGATCGAGTTGTTCGCGCAAGAACGCGAGTGAAATGCAGATCCATCACGACATTGCTGATAGGGCAGCATTTGACAACTTCATATTCGATCTGTATGCAAAAACTTGCAATTTTCGAATTTATTTTTTTTGCAGGGGATTCAGCTCAAAAGATTATTTAATAAATTAGAAATCAAAACGAAACTTTTGTCAAGACATGTAAGTTTTAAATTTAAATGCGGCTGAAATTTATTTTTATTTCGAAATTTCAGACATTCTCTTACTGGGTTCGATTTTCAATTTGCAGATGCCTTGAAAATGTGGAATTATGCTTTGGTGGAACATTTGTGTAAATATATTCCGTTTAGTGGTTTTGCTCAACGTATCGCCTTATGTCAGATTTCAGCAAAACGCTTGTAGTTATACAGTTTTCTTGTATTTGTTTACCATTTTTTACGGTTTTTGGTTTAACCTCAATCTAATATTACATAAAGGAAAACAATGACTAATTATACCAAAATAAATCATTTATTATTTATTCACATTTTGTTTTGCAGTTATATTTAGAAGATAATAGGAAATATTTTCGGCGAAAGAATAAAATTCGGTGTTGTCGACTTTGGCGAACTGAGAGTAAATTAGAATCGCGTAGACGAACGCTACAAAATGGATTTGAATGCGAATCAATTCCCTTAATTGTACCCAAATAAACCAAACCAAGAGGAAGAAGATCAATTGTTTGTGCTCGAATAAGAAAAAGTGCCGAAATGAAAGGAATCTGAAAATTTACACTTGATATTAGAAAAAAAAAGAGAAACGTACCATTTTTGGAAAAGAATTCAACGAAAATGTGGATTTGTGAATAAATGCGCTTCGCAACAATTGCCTTGGAGATTTCGGAACACGATTTATTATATCGGAGTGACATTGAAGAGATGAAATTGAGTTAATAAAATAACAAATTTAGGTTTCAAAATTTATATTTGCACGTCAAATAAAATGTATTGTGCAATATCTAACAACGGTGATTGCACAAAAATTTCAAATGTCTGGACTTGTTTTTCTTTTCAACATATCACGCTGGAGAAATCGTTGGGTTCCATTCATTCTTGTAAATTTCTAATCTTTTTGAATATTGTTACTATTTCAGAATGTCTCTTTCAAGCGAGGATATTACTATTGCGTGGGGTCATGAGAAAAATAATATTGACTCGCAGAACATGAGCTGGAGATTCGAATTATACCAGGTCTGCCAACTTTTTCACGTATCTCGAGTGATTAAATTTTAGGATGTTCAAGAGTCTTTCGATAAATCGAAACTATTTTTTCTTCATGATCAAGACGGCGAAAACGGAAAATTATTAGCGATTTTCGATCTCACTCTGAAATGTTTTGTAGGAACTGTGCCATTAAACCAGCCAGGTATCCTACCTACTTTTTACAATTCTTATTTCTTTCTTTCTTACTTTTAGGCACTTGTAAATTTATTTTTGCTCTTAAATGCCCATCAATAGAAGGGGGAACGACATTATGTCTTGTGACTGATTTGGAGAACCATGATCATCATGTTCTCAATGTTTTCCGTATTGAGTTGTCTGGCGATGATCGTAGTGTGATTTCTTCGCGTCCAATTGTTGAGCCGCTTGAGATCACTGGTGAATTCATTTGCACGATGCGTCACGAGTGTCCTGAATTGATTGTTATGGCGAATCCTGGTCTTCGAGTTTTGCGTCTTGATTGTACCGCCGAAAAAGTGCAGATTCCGCACATGGTGCAAGTGCCGAATGCCGAACTCAGCCATTTTTATGATGGATTTGTGAACCGGGAATTGGTCGTTTTGATGTCCGCAACTCCAGACGGCCACTTTGATCATTCTCGGGTTCATATTCTTGAGTTGGACCATCCGCAAACGGTAAGTGCGATTTATTTATCATTATGAGAATCAAAAGCAGTTAATATATTCAGATAACGACGAGGCCTTGCTTGCCAGATCCCGTTCGCGGATTCCCCGTATCACGAAGACAATGTGGTCTCGACTCGATTCCCGGCGCAATTCTTTTGGCTGGCGGCGAGTTGATAAATAACGGACAAGTCGAGAAGCTGGTCGACTATTGGATTCTCGACACAAATACATTTCAGTGGACACAGCTTGATGTTGAAATGACATGTGCATTAATTGAGCCGCGAGTTTTGACGGCGAACTCTGGTTTGTTGTTCCGAAATCGACAAAAAACATCGCATTGTTCAGGAAACATTTACATTTGGGGCGATTCCGATGAGCATATCGCTGGTCTACCGCAAATGTCCAACCATTTGCGCATTTTGAGAATTACGGGTCTCCTCAAAGAAAATGATTTTGGTAACGTTTCCATATCTTCGGGTAATAAATATTCGGATGTTAAATAAATTACCAAACGTAATTTAGAGATCAAGACAAACGAGATGCCACCGCCTTCGTTCCGTGTCTACACACCACATCCTTCGGATTCCGGAAAAAGTAAATGCCTCATCCAATAATTATTGATTTTGTTTAATGATTTTGAGCTTAAAAAACTTCCAATGCATAAACTGTAAATGTTTCTTCACTACAAACGCAAAAAATGAACATGTCTACGGATGCTAGGATTATCGCAATAAAGTAGTGGGAAATACAATACGCAGAAAAAAAAAGACACAATTAGAAACAAAAAGAGAACCCAGCTATAATTAGACTTCTATTGGATTTGTTTCGCTCCTTGCTCAGCGAGCACCGATTTGTGGAATTCGGCCATTCTGCGCTCGAGTTCTGGACGGAAGTGGCGAATAAGGCCCTAAAAAATAAGAACTGCAAGATAATCGAAATTACGAATTACCTGGACAGGCCAAGCAGCCGCGTCTCCCAAAGCGCAAATCGTATGCCCTTCGATCTGCTTACTCAACTCCCAAATCATGTCAATTTCGGATGGTTTCGCTTTTCCATCGACGAATCTCCACATCATCTTGTTCATCCAGTTACATCCCTCACGGCATGGAGTGCACTAAATTATATAAATGAAAACTGAAACTTGATTAAAAAAAACTGAATACCTGTCCGCACGATTCGTGTTTGTAGAAGAGAGAAAGGCGAGCAATACATTTGACGATATCAGTCTGAAATTGACACATTTAAAGAAAGAAGCAAGTATTTTTGTAAACTGCATGATTGAGGAAAGTGTTTCACTTTCCAATTTAAAGGACCAATGCATTAAAAAAGAAAAAAAATAATGTCGAAGTCACGCGACTGCCGAAAATTTGCCTAGAAATAATGACCGTGGTCTCGGCGCAAAAATAAGTGTAAATTTAGGGACCCATGTATAACGATAGACTACATAAATATGCACACCGCGCATCGCGACTTCTCCGTAATTTTTTGGCATTTAACCAATTTTCAGCAGTCGCGTGACATCGACAATATTTTTTTCTTTTTTAATGAATTGAAATTTTCTCTATTTTTTAAAAATTGTTCTTCATTGCCCAATAAATATGTAGAAATAAAAATAATTTTGGCTATGTGCCATGGTGTCTCGAAGAAAAGCAAAATGTACGGGTCTTCGTACACTGCAATTCACCGTAAATATTTAGCCATAAATTTACAAAATTTGTATACAATCAACAGATCTACACTGATTGAATTTCCCTGCCACCTGCCAGTCATTTAACGCCGGCAATACAGTCGAAAAAAAACGAGCACTGTGTAGATTTGCGATAAGTTTGATTCGCAGGTTGGACGTTACCCGAATATCCGCCGTTTAAATCGAAATATGAACGATGGTCCACAATTACTCAAGGCTCTCGCTTACTTTCTATGGTAAAATCATGAAACTTGATTACCTGTTTGTTCATGACGATAACAGCAGCAGTTCCAAGACCCGATTGAGCAGCGACAAGTGCATCGAAATCCATGAGAACATCGTCGCAAACGTGTCTAATACACGAAACTGTTTTCATTTGTAATTTAAAATTACTTACTTTGGCATAAGTGGAACCGAAGAACCTCCCGGAATAACCGCCAGAAGATTATCCCATCCACCAATAACTCCTCCACAATGGCGTTCGATCAATTCTTTGAGTGGAATCGACATTTCCTCTTCGACGGTGCATGGGTTATTAACTTGACCGGAAATGCAGAAAAGCTAAAACAACATTATGGAAAACGCAATATTTCTATGAATTAATATTGTAGAAAAACGCGCGGCTGCGGATAATTGACTAAACAAATCTACTTTTTTATTTTTTTTAAGACCACTGTGCTTTGCACGACGACGACAATACCTTGGTTCCACGATTTCTTTCTCTTCCAAACGAAGCGAACCACTCTCCACCACGACGGCAGATGGTTGGAGCAACAGCAACAGTTTCGACGTTGGTTACAGTTGTTGGGCATCCAAAAAGTCCGATGTCAGCTGGGAATGGCGGCTTCAGTCTTGGTTTTCCTTGTTTTCCCTCGAGTGATTCGATCAAAGCGGTTTCTTCTCCGCAGATGTAAGCGCCAGCACCACGGTGAACGAACACGTCAAAGTTGTATCCAGTTCCCAGACAATCTTTTCCCAAGTATCCAGCCTAAACGTCAATTAAAATATTTTCCAATATAGTTTATTTACCTTATAAGCTTCATTAATAGCTTCTTGAAGGATGCAAGCTTCGTTGTAGAATTCTCCACGAATGTAGATATAAGCAGCACGGGCTCCCATAGCTACTCCACCAATCAAGCATCCTTCAATCAATTTGTGCGGATCGTGACGCATAATTTCGCGATCTTTGCAGGTTCCTGGTTCTCCCTCGTCGGCATTCACAACGAGGTACTTTGGTCTAAAATAGAAGATTTTTAGGTGAAAAAGAAAATTATTCTTGTCTACCTGCCATCAAAAGGCTTGTTCATGAATCCCCACTTCATTCCTGAAGGGAAACCAGCTCCTCCTCGTCCACGGAGTCCGGAAGTTTTGAGTTCTCCAAGAATCCATTCGGATCCTTTCAGGATAATCTCTTTTGTTTTATACCAGTCTCCCCGAGATTGAGCGCCTTTCAGACGATAGTCGTGTCTTCCATAAAGATTTGTGAAAATACGATCAGTATCTTTCAAGTTTCCATAGCTCTTCTTTTCGGTCACTGGCTTCTGAGCAGTGTTGTTGTTGCTCGCCGAAGTAACCACACCGCGAATCGCGACTTTGGCAACTAAATGTCGTATTTTCAAATACCCGATCAAAGTGTTTACCTTTATTGCTAATTAACCGAGCTCCGAGAGCGACTGTCGCCGTAGTCATCTCTGAAATAAACACATCCATAAAACAAATACTGCGAGCTTAAAAATGAATCATAGATTCAATACGATACATTTAACTGACTCAGCGTTATATTACAAACTACTTTGGTAATTGCTTTATAATCACGGAATTACAGCAAATAAAAGATAAACATGAAAAATTGGCCGGTTTGATAAATTGCGGGCGATGTTTCGGTGGAGCATTGTTGGTTAAAGGCGCACACATTTCTGCAAGGATATCTCACCACGAAGCGCCACGATCCACTTTGTGTTACAGTACGACCGCTAGAGCAATTTTCTCTCGTTTTCGCATTTTTTCTAACATTTTTCTGAATTTTTTAACTGATTTTGAAGGGAGTGTTGTGTTTATTTCTTTAAAAATTAATAATGTTGTAGTTTTAAAGCGGCCTTTTACCAAGAAAGGCATATTTGCTGTAATAATGTTAGCAAATTTTTATTATAATTTTACTAATGGAATTCGTTGTCTAAGTCTTATTTGATAATCATTACCACGTATCTTGTTGCTTTAAACACTTTCTAAATTTTTTAATTAATGTACGTTGTTGTTTTAGGTAAAATGGTCAACGTGCCAAAGGCCAGAAAAACTTTCTGTGATGGCAAGTGCCGCAAACACACCAACCACAAGGTGACCCAATACAAGAAGGGAAAGGAGTCCAAGTTCGCTCAAGGTAATTTTTCATAAGAGTTTCACATGGATTCACACTTAATGAAATTATTATCTTTTTGTGACGTAGGTTTTTTTTATTTGAATATGGTGAAAACCTATAATTTTTCTCCTTTTTGAATCTCGAGCTAACACATTAGCAATAAAAACAGTCGATTAATTCAAATTATTGAGAAAACCTATTTAATTATGAGTTCATTACAGGACGTCGGCGTTACGACAGAAAGCAAGCTGGATTCGGAGGTCAGACCAAGCCAATCTTCAGAAAGAAGGCTAAGACCACCAAGAAGATCGTTCTCAGAATGGAGTGCACTGAGTGCAAGCACAAGAAGCAACTCCCAATCAAGAGGTATTAATTCTTTTTATGTATTCGATAAGTGTAACGCATAGATAGACGACGGTTACATTAAAAATGTTAATTCCTAGATTAAATTTCATGAAAAAAATCAACAAAATAAATTTTTGTACAATTAAACATGAGATAATTGACTATTTAATTGAAGTAGTGCTACCCCTAAAATGAATTTTTTGGTGGATATATCTTAAATTTTGTTTAACTTAAATTAATTAAAGAAATTATAAATTTTTCAGATGCAAGCACTTCGAACTTGGAGGACAAAAGAAATCCCGCGGACAAGTTATTCAGTTCTAAACTGTTCGCGTTTGTTGTTGTTTCATCAAATAAACATATTGTTTGATAAATATGTGTACTGCAGATTAGTGTTTTAAGATCAAAATAGTACTTTAAGAACTTACGAATGAGGGTAACAATTACGTTAATTGACTAGGGATGACCGATTTGGAGGCAGTGGTAATCAAGAATGAAGAGAAAAATGGTATTATCAAAAAAACGAGCACTTAACATTTCTGGGTCATTCTTTTAGCCAGTAACTCAAAATAGAATTTAAACAGCGGGAATGCCACAGATAACCTGCCGTAAATCGGCAGAGGGTGCTCGTTTTTTTCGATTGTAATATAAACTCCCATATTTTGCTCATATTTGGTTTATTAAGAGATTTTTGTGTTGGATAATATTGGTTCTTCTGTTAAGTTTGGCCGGGATCCCTCAAAGTGTCAAGTGAAATTGCCTCCAAATGCGCACGGAGTTTCTAGAGTTCACGCGACGCTATCTTGGACGGAGCATGTGAGAAATTTAGATAGAAATATATTTCAATACGGTTCAGGGCGTTACGATCGATGATTCGAGCACATATGGCTCAATTGTAGCTGGAAAAAAGATTGTCGGATCAACAATACCGATAAAAACTAATTTTACACTTATTATTGGAGAGCACAAATACTTTATTGAACTTCGGATGAAGGTTATTCGTTTAAAGGGAGGGGGTAACCTTTAAAAGTATTTCAAAATTATTGAAACGAGTTTAGGAATTGAAAAAAAATAAAATAAAAAAAGAACGAAAATTCTACGTTAATTCGTCGTACTCAACGACTATATTTAAACGCATAATTTATCCGCGATTGAGTTTTTTAATGCTCAATTTTTGGTGTTTCGAAGTCACAGAGGTACAAATGAAATATTACCTAGGAATATTGAAAATAAGAGAATTAAAATCATTCTGGACTATGCGTTTTCTTTGTCGAAAATACACATGTTGATTAATTCACAATCGATTTTCTACACGACGAATTAATCTAGAATTTACGTTTTTTTGTGATTTCTCAAATATTTTATTTCATATTTTTTTACTTTTAAAGATCCCCCCCCCGTTTTTAAAAAATTTATTTTGACGTTTTGTGTTATTGCAGGAGAGCAATGATGAAATGTGTGATTTATCTGAAAGTTGTCGAACAGTTTTTCTGGAAAGCTATTCAAATAGGCCGGTGAAAGACAAGGCAAAACGTATGTTTTCCCACAACGATAGTTTGTTACTGTGTTGTTTAATTTCTCTTTTTTTTGAAAGGTTTTAACTGTTTTTTTTAATTAGTGGGTACTATCTCTTAAATACCCCCGTCCTTAATCTATATCGTCAAAAATCCGAAATTCGGACTGATTTCAAGTTAACACTAACAAACCAAAATTTATAGTGGTGTAGCATTATGACGCTCTTGATAATGAAATATTTGAGGTGTCCTGATACGAATCAACGAGAACTTTTAAAAATGTATAGATTTCAATGGTCCTGAATTCGAAAATGCAATTGTTTTGTCATCAATTCATTTGTTTTTTTCAAAATTATGACCTGCGCTGTATAATATTCTTTTTGTGAGAAAAATTCGAATTTCGCTTGAAACTTGCCAAAATTTAAGCATATTTTAGGAAAAAGAAAGCCGGAAAATTTGATGAATTTTTTCGAACCGGTTCGAAAAATCCGCGGTCCTGTGGCTCCATCAAATGAAATTGAAACGGATAACGATATTGTGATAGAAGAAGCAATACCGGCAAGATCAAGGGCCACTTCTTCAATTTTTGTTGCGCCGAAATCACCGGAAAAACCAAAGTTTGCAAATTTGTACAACTTTCAATTGATATTCTGTTATTAGGCTGTCCAGTCGTTTAGATATGAATGCATTCGCACCTTATTTAGCTCCAAAGCCGGTTGAAGAATCGTCTTCAATGGAAGACGACGACGACGAGGAAGAAAAAGAAACGGAAAAACCGACTACTTCAGTTGTTGCTCGAAATCCGAATGATTCTGTTATATTCACAGATGACATTTTTTGTCCATTTAAGCCGAAAAAAGAGCAAACGTTTATTGATGGTGCACCTAATTTCAAAAGGTTCAGGGTAAGATACTTTTCTATATGTATTCAAAAGACTGATTCGAATTTAAAAAATATTTCGTCAAACTTCTAGGCAAGAAGAGGTGCGTGTTTATAAGAATACTGTAGAATTCAATCATTTGAATCAGATATTTGAGTTCGACAATAATGAAATTAAAACATTTGGTTGCATTTAGTCAAATTTTTTATACTTTGTCTAAAAATGTTTATTATATTTTAAAAGTTTTCAATTTGCTAAAAAAATTCGCGTACGAAAATATATGGTGTGAAATCGGAGATTCATCATTTTCTCCTCAATTTCCATTTTAAAGTGGTTTGAATGCGAATATCCTTTTTCTTATTCTTTAAATTTTCATTGCGAAATTCGTTTTCTTTTAGTTTTCTTCTATTAAAGCTTAAATCGAAACGATATTTCCCTTAAGATCAAATCATTTCTGCTTGAAAGAGTTTTTTTTTCGTTAAGTTTCGATTTCATCAGAAATATCTTGATCGTTGTGTAAAAACTGAAGGTTTGATGAGTCTAATGCAATAAAATCTCTAATTGTGGATTTTGGTGGTGAATATCCAATGGTTTTTATCGATTCTTTTATGTGTTCTTTTCATGATTTCAAGAAATTGCCAGATGCGGAAAATATGTTTATAAATAATGAGATCTCGTTCGAAGAAATCAGGAGGAAATTAAGCTCACCACGCTTAAATTTTTTCGAGTTTTCTTCCCAAAATTTGTCGCCGGACGCCGATTATATAAATTTTTGAAGTCAAATACATTTTCCGGGCTGAACGAAATTTTGAAATATCCAATCTCACGATTGAAAGAATGATTTGGGATCAAAGCAGAACAACTTTCAATTTTCAGTCGAAGTCTTCACAATACCCGTGTTCGTCGACATCGTTCCACAGCAATTACACAATTCCGCTAATTGACGCGAAAAAGCTTTAGATCATTATCAGGCCGATTCCGAATCTTGTGAATACCACTTCCCTGTATTCTCATAGTTTTGTAATTTCCCGTTTATTCCAAAATTGCAAAGATGAAAGAAAACAATAATTTTTGCCAATCATCATCGTCATCGTCGGCGGCGGAGGCACGGACGACGGCAGATGGTTCGAACACTGCGGCAACTTGTTGCATTTCAACACCTCCCACTTTTTTGGTCTCATTTTTCAACATCTGCTGTCACCGATCGTCTCCCCGCTTCATTTTTGCGCTCGAACGGATGCGAGTGATTCATCAAAAACCATGCGTGTTCCTCATTTTTCTTCTCATTTTACCGCATTTTCTTTGTGTGTTTTTTTTCTCGTCGTGATTCACCAGTGCTTTTGCTTTATTACCATTTTATTTTACCTCATGTATCATAAATCTCATTTTTATTTTTTTTGCTGGTTTAGCTTTTCCTTAAAACTCGTATATCTTCTTTTTTTTTAAAGAAGTTTGAAGTCAAAACATAATTCAAAGTGGAACCACAAAATTCCAAATTAGGAGTGAGTCCGCCGCCAAACTCAATTTCATTGCTTTTAAATCGTTGGTGGTCCCATGTCCCGATGACCACCAGATTAACTTGTAGTTTGTACTATAAAATTTCGAATTTTTTCCTCAAAGCTATAACGATATAATATAAAAAATTAAAAATCAAATCGACTTCCAATTTGCGTCTCTCCGTTTCACATTCGGCGTGCCATTCTCATTCTTCAAAGCGAATCCGCCTAAATTGCGCGAAAATGGAATGAAAAGCTTGAGTAATCAAGCACAGATGGGCTTTTTCGAAAGAAGAAGAAAAAATGGTTGACCGAGATGGAATAATGAGAGCAGCGAAAAACGAGAATCCATTAATCCATTGAGTCAACGTACCTACGTCGCTGAAAAACGTTGAGCTTTTTTTCAATATTGAAAAAACTAAAATAAGGCAATTAAAATCAAGCATTATATGAGATCCAGCCCACTTAATTTTTCCTTCCTATTCTTTTTTTTTTCATTCAAAAAACTCTCAAAGACACCATGTTTAATTTTTTTACAATCATTTTTTTTAAATCTTTTTGAAAATTAGTTCGTTTTAGCAGAAATGACATCTAATTCAATCCATCGTGTCGCAATCGTCGATTTGAAAAAAAAATGATGGAAATATGTGTACAGGTGATTTGACACATAGTTAAATTAGAAGCTGTATGTATTCGGAGCTCACCGCACTCATCCCTTTTTGTCGTCGGTCGGTTTTGCATTCTTTTAGTCTAACTCAATTTCGCATCCGCCCGCCCCCATCCGCCCGTTTCAAACCAGCCGACTTCGTTGTCTTTTTTTGTGTGTGTGTGTCTTTTCACCAATTTTTCCGTTTCAATTTTTTGCCTAAACGAACGTTTTCTTTTCCATCACTGATTTTTCCCTTCTCCGGTCGTCCTATTTTTGGATGAAACGCGCAAAGAATTTTGGGGTAACAGCGAAAATCTCGGATAAATTTTGAATCTTCTTGCGTTGGGCTACGAATATGAATGAATGGTTCCACAGCATTTGCAAATGTTTAAAATCAAATGCTATTATATTTCCTTGGCGTTTCTATGAAGAATAATTCAAAACTCACGAATATTATCGTTTTTACGAGTCATCGACAACAATATTACCAACTAGCCCTATTATAGCAAGACGATTTACATTTGTGTATGTGCATGTGGTAGGCGTGGCTTGCGGTTGTGTTGTCGGATGAGTCGACGTGTAGTGTGACGATTGATTTCAATCATAACATTTTCCCCACAATCAATGTCGAGCTATTGATCGTTTAATTGAGGCAACAAAATCAAATCATAGGATTTTCTAATACATATATATTTTTTCTATTTATATAATATTGTAAAATGCTTCATTTGTAGGATTTCATTCGAATATTTTCTTATGATATCGAAAAAGTCGTCGAAAACAAGCGTTTTTGTTGCATTTTTGCCCTAATCCGGACCCCGATTTTTAATCCATTAGTCCATTCATGATGGCATTATCGAATTATGCATATTTTTCCAATTGTATTCAAGTCCGTATGTTATCATTCGGCATTTTTTCCCCTCTATTCAAATCATTCACGGCGAATTGCAGAACGAGCGAGAATAAATAACGAAACGAACGAAGTGATGAAAACATAAAACAACTAAAAAATATCCGGATCGACTTCGAATGAAGACGAATCTGCCAAAAAAATAAACCAGCAGCAAATGATGACAACTTCAAATTTTGAACTTATTCCGGTTAGTCCTTATTATTATTATATATGGTCACGCAAATTCCGTCTTGTTTTCTGGTTAATTTTAATTTCAAAATCAATTCATTTCTTGTTAGCTGAGGAAATATGCATAAGTTTAAATTGGCTGCTTGCTTTCATTCAACGAACCTTATAGGAATGTATCGAAATGAAGGCGCCAATTTGAAATATAAATTGTTTTTTCCTTTTAATATTTTGTTGCTTCGGATTGCAGATGTTTTCCAAACTGGCACAGGGGTCAGCAGGTGCGTTGATATTTTTTTTATGTTGGCCGGACGGTCGGTGCCTATTCGAATTGAGCGGGGGGGGGGAATTGCAGAAAATAGATAGGAAATTTTTCAAGAAAAGATACTGTAGATGCTTAAAGGTACATATGGGTGCATGTTTTGGGTTTTTTTTTCTTGAAAAAAATTCTTGAAAATCCCCCTCATTTTTCGACCGTAGTAATCAATTTTGAGTTCCATTAATTATCGATTAAATGGTGTTGATTATTATTAAAACATAGTGCTGAGTATGTTTCATTCTAGTTTCAAAACACATATTAAACGTATAATACATATTAGTTGTACGACTATTATGAAACTGTTCATTTTTAATCGAGTTGTCGGAATGTTTTGTTTATTTTTTTTCCGTCGTGTTCGCTTCATCATCATTTTTTCTATTTGTTTCAATAGTCGATCGACTACATTTCTCTAGTTTCTTCAATTTGTAAATATAGCGTTCCTACTTCACTAGCAATATTCGAGTCTCTCAAAAAAAAAAAACGAACAGATCTAATCAGCACTATTTCAATTTGAAACCTGTCGTTGCCTTTTTCTCCAAAAAAAGAAAAATACAATCAAATCAGTTTGTTGGGCAGCTTGATTTTCGACACTTGAAGAGCCAAGTGAAATCATTTGTCTAAACCAACTTTTCACATACTTTGCTGCCTATCTCGTCGCCACCCAAGGGACATATTATTTTTGTCGGGTTCGTTTTTTTTCTTCGCTGCATCGCCAACATCCTCGTGGTCAAATCGAGAGGCTCGATGAGCTTGAGAATGGGGTGCGAGAAAGTAGCGAATTGCGCCTCGGCGTCTTCTGGTAATGCCACTTATGATTTGAATAAAACCCGGAGGGCTTCCGACGACGACACCAACCCCGAAATTGAGGGACTCAAAATAGGAAATTGGTAATTAAAGATGAGTCGGCGGCTCGCGTTCGTTTTGAATTAGCCGCGTCTTAATTATATGTATACGGCGATTCGTGGAATTTCTTATTCGCAACTGTTTCATTTTCGGACATTTCGGTTTCGACAACAATAATGCATTCACACTTTTCCGCTTTTGGCTCCACATTTCACAACTAGTAGTTTCATCGAGTAATTAAAAACATTCATAAAAATTATTTCCTATCCTCTAGGATTCTTGTTTTCTACAGTCTTTAATGTAGGCATATTATAATTCAAAAACAGCGAATTGTCAAAACTTCCAAATAAGAATGTTGGCCTCCAATTTATAAATGTTGTCGCAATTTTCTCATCATTTTCTGCTGAGGACTTTCTTCCGGTTTCTGGGCATATACAATCCTCATTTATATTATTCTATACACCCCAAATTCGAAAATTTCCAAAGTTAAAACGAGAATGTTGATTTTTTAATCAGAAGAAATGAAATCGATAATAATAAAGTCGAAATAAATAAGCGTCCTGAACAATTGTAGGCCAGAATAAAAAACTACCTATCTTGAATTTTTTCGCTTAGATTTAGATTACATTTTTAACTTTTTATCTAGCTCCATATTACTATGGGACACATAATCAAGACCGTATATAATCGGTTTCCGGCGACTGCTGTATGCGGGTAGATTTACGCGCATGCGCCTTGAAAAGGTCTCGCCACGCTTGAACGCTTATTTTGCTGTTTTCATGTGAACTGCTTCATTTTTCTTGATGAGTTTCGCATTTCCTTGAATTTCCAACGTCATTCGATTAAAAAATTATCGAACTGGTCCATAAAAGTTGAAATAACCTGTTAGTCCTTGCGAGACCATTTCGAAAGACGCATCCCCGTAAATCTACCCGCGTGCAGCAGTCGCCGGACGCCGACTATAAGCAGTTTTAGCAATACATCGAGTTTGTGAGGGTGGTCCCTTTAAACGGACAACGGAAAAAGCTGAAATGGGAATGACAGAATCTTAATAATTGCTAATTCAATTTTGTTGCGCCACTCTTGGTCGCTCGTTGCGAAATCCAATTATGCACTTGGAATGATATAAGTGTTCTTGGCAGAAAAATGAGTTTGGCTCGTCTCGATGTCCGCCTAACGATATGCAGAATAGTCATTCTTAAATATGCATTGGACATTCCGAAACATGTCTCTATTTATTCATGATGGCCGCCGGCTCTTCCGGACCAACAACAACAACACTTCATTTGAATTTTTTATCACTTTTTCATTTCGACTTTTTCTCCGAGATCGCATAAATAAAAAATATTTCGAACGCTTTTCGTGATTTTATGAAAATCATTTAATTTTTTAAATAGAAAATTACAACAAATTTATAATTAATAATAATGATTGTCAATTTTTGAACGAATGGTTTGAAATGTAGAAATATCGTGAAAGGGATTGGAGAAGTTGAATCAACTTCTTCACAATCTTAAGCTTCTTCTAGACTGTTCTTTACGATATTCCTGCCTTTCAAACTGAAAATTCAAATTTTTCGGTTAGAAACAGCACATCTTACATTAAGCAGAACGAATCCTCCATATAATTATAAATGTAGTTTATCAAATTAAAAATATTTGCCTAAGCTGTGAATTGTGTTTAAGTGCTATATTTTAATTCAACAATTCCACAAAAAAACGAGACCAATTCATCCTAATTTGAGAATCTCAAAATCGTTTTCGAATTGGCTCATAAGAGTTTCCGAGTGTCTCATGGATTGTTTTGCGCATGTAACGAGACGTAAATCGCTGCTGCCGGCGCACCTAATCCGCGGCTCTCGAAAATTGAATGATGAACACAACTGTAATTAGCGCATTTGTGGTCTGCGAGGGTGTTGGTTCGCGCATATTCCGCGCGCAGCTGGGGCGGTGTTTAAATGAACTCGTCGCCGTTGTTGTTGAGCACCACCACGAGCAACCACTAAGGCGAGCTCTCTTATTCTTCATGCTCAGGCACACACATCACCCACTTCGCTTCGAGACTTGATTGACCGATGGAGATTGCACCATTCATGCCGATATCATCGGCGAATGGCGACTCGATCAAGGTGAGAATCTTAACAGAATCCCTCTTCTCCAACCATCATCGCCTCTCAACATTCTTCATCATTCCGCCGATTCGAAAAAGTGTTCTTTTCTTTTGATATTGCTTTCTATTTTTTCCGGAGTAATGAGATCATTAAATTCTATCGCGTTCCGCGCATCTTTAAAGGTGCAATCTCTTATGATCTTAATAATCAAATTTGAAATGATTATTTTGAATTCTATTCACGATGATCTTAAAAGAAAAAAACGAAATCCCCAAGACTGTGAAGAAAAATTCGATGATTATAAATGCTCCATATTTTCTGAGAAAGTAATTGGGCTTCTTCCATTTTTGGTTTCTTCAAAAAAAAAAGATGGTGTGAAAGTGAATAATTGTTCGTCGGCACCTCGCATTATTCAATTATCGCGTTGAAAACCGCAAGAATTGCTCTAATTTCGAAACGCCAACCTCCCGAAACGAAAATCCCATTATAGCGGCGTCGGCGGTCTCCTCCTGTCTGTCTTCTAATATGATTAAAAAGGCGTTCGAAAGCGGTGCACTTTTCTTATCGCGCATTCAAAATCATCGAATTACATAACCTCGGACTTCTCAAGGGACCTCATCACACCGCTACTATACATTTATACGCGATTTGCTGCTGTTGATGGTGATGCTCAAGGAGGTGCACTTGAGCTCGACAGATATCCTAGTGGTCCCGCATCATGTCGAAAAGGTGTGAGCACATGCTTTACCCTATGCGAGCGAGCTTGCGCGTGTACGCATTCAGCCACAAGTAATCAAGTGAATCAACATCAACCCAAAGGTGTTGGATTTCTTGCTCAATTATTGTTTGTACTTATTTATTTATTTATTGTGTGCATACATATGTTCGGGAAGCAGCCTCTCAAATTTCGGCCATGTGCGATTTTAACCGAATTTGGTGTTCGTCTCATTCATTCCAAAAAGGGTTCGAAAAAAGTAAACATCTGGTTCGGTTACGTTCTCTCCTAGTATGCACCCTTCATTAACCGCACATTATTATTATTATTTTGGCCATTGTTGTTGAGACTAATGAGGTTTCGCTGCGGGACGAAAATCAGGACATCGTGAGACGGGGCCTAGCTGGCCCAACGAGGCCTATTGGCATTTTTGATACCGAATTGAGTGCGTTTCAACAAAACATTTGCAATCTATTGTGGCGCATGTCATAAATCACACGAACATGTGCAAATGCCATGATGCACCAAATTTTATAACTTCGAGCTGCACATGTTGCCGGCCTATTTTCCAATTAGTTTTTCTCCCATTAAAATGATCCTATTGCAAATTTTATTTCTAGCAAGCTTAATTTGAAATTTGCCCATTGAATTTCAATGAAATTATTTTGAAACCCCACTTGGCTGCAGTATTTGAAATAGCCGGCCATTTAATCCATAATTATTTGCAGATTTACACGGATTGGGCGAACAAGCACTTGTCGAAATCATCAAACTACCGGGCGATCAGGGACATCTCAAACGATTTTCGCGACTATCGGCTCGTTTCGCAACTCATCAATGTTATAGGTCAGTCGTTCATTCATTCGTTCATTCAGCCGGTTCAGTGAATCCGAGAAGTGCGGCGTTTAAACAGCAGCGGACATTAAATTCGTGCTGGACGGGAGCCGATAGCCGTCGGTTCGTCGTCGCCGCCGCCGCCGCGGGGCAACAGAGGGGGGGCTTTCAAAAGTCAATTGATATATGTATTAATAGTTCGCCGAGAGAAGCAAGGCGAGACCCCACACGAGCACCGAGTTTAATGTTATAATTGATTCGATAGTTGTATGTATCGTGTTTCGGTTTTTCGCGGCAAGACGCCAACAAAAAATTTACCGCGCGTCGCTGTTGAACCGACCGCTGACAAATTGATGAATGGGCTCGACCATCGGCGCTTCTCAACTTTTTTCGCATTCGAACGATTCAGTGGTGGTCACAAATTACACGTAACGACTAAAACCAAACGCACTAATCGATTATTTATGAGTCTTTCTTCTTTACACTAATTTGCTCGAGTGTTTGAACAACCTTGTACAGTTTCGCACATTTCTCTTCCTGAATTTTCGAATCCATCCATTAAATTGTTTCTTTTTTTTTGATTTGGCTAAATGATGCACTTTTCTCCATTCAACACCCTATGAAATCAAAACATATCGTGCATTTCGTTCGAGCGATTTTCCGAAAATTAAAAAAATACTTGAAATTAATATCACTTCATCATTTATTTTATTTATTATTTTCTAAAAAAAAGTACGAAATTTTGGAATCTTCTTGAGAAGTTTTGAGAAATTCAAAATTTTCAGAATGTGAGAGACAGTTATTGGAATGCTTTTCACTATTCAATTAATATATATTTCTTTAAAATAAATTCTATAGGCCACATTGAAATTCCTACTAGATTTTTGAGCCTTCATAGATCTTCAAATTTCAGAATTCCGAGTTTGGCCTCCCCGTTTCTTTCAATGACTAGTCAAAGTCCCAAAAAAAGACAAATTGGCGTTTTTCGACGGAATCGGGCCTTGATAGAAATGGTTTGAAACGTTGTCAAAATCTGGGTCGGGGTCATTTTAAAAATTGAAGTGTCGTACAATCGCCTTTTTCATGCGAAATGTCAGCTTCTTAGTTCCGGCTCGCAACACATTTTCCGGTTGTTTCGGACCACCAGGAAGCCCCGTCGCGCCTCCCGTAATCTGATATTATACCACTCATCGTTTTACACCCGCCGCCCAATCCGCCCCAAGTACCAAACAGTTGTCACCAACATTCACATTATCGAGATGATGATGATAAAGATGATTTGATTGTGAACATGATTGTGTTTTTTGATTTTCGCGAGAGCACTAATCCTCATTTTTTTCTTTCAGTTCCGATCAACGAGAATTCGGTGGGATTCAATCGGCGAATCGCAAAAACCACATCAAATGTAAGCGTACATTTTTACGATGTTTTTATTGAGTGACTATTAGGTTAATTCTTCCGGTTTTCAATTCGCAACAGTTAGTTTTCGACCGATGTAGTCATCATGTTTATGTTTGGTTTCTGTATATAAAATATATTTGCATAATCAACAGATGGATGGGGCGGCCTGATGGACTAACTGACTGACTGACTGGTTGACTGGTTGATACAGTAGTCATCGGACCACCAAACATCTGGCCCTAAATCTCTATCATAGATGATTGATGGGTGCGCCAATATTCGCTTGTTAACGACATTTTCCATATTTCGTGAATTTCAATTTTAGAAAAAAAAAGAATATTGGAGAAGGGGCTCAAATTCATTTCAAATTTCATAAATCTCATCCACTATCAATTTTTGTCAATTTTTAAAATATCTCAATTCTTTGATCGATGTTCCTGAAACAACAGTCTGACGAAAAGTAAGACGGTGGATGCGCAATAAACCGCAATTATCCAACATTCCACAGCATTGCGTGATTTTCTTCCCAACGTCGAAAATGTTTTGACAATATCTAGTGTAAAACATGTGGGCATTTCATGCGAATCTGAAACTCGATTTTTTCGATGAGAAGAAAAAAGAGATGTTTTTGAGTGAAATTCTCATCCTGAATTTTGCAGCTTGATGGCCTCGAAGCGTGTCTCGACTATCTGAAAACGCTTGGTCTCGATTGTTCGAAGCTCACCAAATCTGGTAAGTCGGCCAAGTTTTTAGCGAGTTCATTGTGTGTCGTTGCCTCAATATATCTCGTCCATCGTTTCTCAAAACTTTTATTTGAGCATCATTCATGTATAAAAACTCGGACATGTATCCTCCGACGCCTTCTCATGGGAATTTGAGAGGCGACGTCGGTGGACCTCAAATTTCGATATTAGGGTCCCGAGAAACACGCGCCGCGTTTTCAATGTGTTTTTTTTTTCGGCGCCCAGCTTTTTGGAAGACGAAATTCGAAAAATGATTCTTCTCGCCAAAATTCGAATATTTTTTAATTTATATTTGAAGGAAAATTTTAAGATTTATATTCCTCGATTTTCAATTTTCTCGAATTCAAAAAGGTGCCATTTTCACAAGCCCATCAAATTTCATTTCATTTGATTCTGCCTTCTTCGTTTTTTTTTCCGCTCGTTCCAATTTCCATGTGTGCAGCCCATCACATCGCATCACATGCGTACATTTCAACACATTTCCGTGACTCATCCCATTATTTTGGGTCGAGCTCGGTTTTTGTTCCGGTCGCTTTTTCCGATGCCGACGCGCCTCGCAACCAAAAATCGCAGAAAAAAATTATCAATTCAGTACGCGTTTGCAAATTTCGATTTTGATTTGCTATAGAAATATGGCGAATGTGTCACTTTTTGTTTAGCCCGCCCACTATCGGTTTCATATGTTTCGAATCGTTTTGTCACTCAAGCTTTTCCAAATTTCCGTTCGAATTTGCTTCGCCCCAACATTTACAGTCATCATTTGCGAATAACCTCTAAATCTTGTGAGAGGCACTTTTCGTATTATTGGATTATATTGGTCCCTCCTCATTAATTGGGCAATCAATCTTCAACGATTCATTGATGAGCTTTTTGGCAGAACTAATCTCAAATATAACAGAGTAATTTTTTGGCTAAAAATAGAAATTAATCGAATATTGAATAAACTCGAGAAGAATTAATCGATGCAATTTATCTATATATTGATCTCAAAATCAAAGTGCGGTAAATCGGCGGCATCGATAAATAAAATGCTCTCGGCAACTGAGAAAATGTTTCGGTGTTTTGTGACTCATCATCGGCGATTTAAATCTCTTCAAAGATTCCTATCTTTCGACCTGAATTTGTCGGTTTTCAGTGGTTTTGTTAGTAGTTGAGTTAATAGTAACCTTGAGTTGATGATTATCACCTTCTTCTCCGCATCGCGCCACCCATCGCTCATCTTATTATTATTATAACTATATTATAACTATTATTATTATTATCTCATCAATCGCCTATTTTATGATGTGTATATTTGCGTGTTTTATGTTCATTCTCGCCACAACTTTTTTTTCAGCATTTGCTTGCTAAAACATCTGGCAGTTTTCTTTTTGATGCGTTCATTACCATCACAATTATCATTGTTATTGCTATTTTTTTCGGCCTCCGCGCTAATTTTACGATTCGAGTTTACACATTCGCACCAGACTTCGTCAGTTATTTTTTTCTCGCCCATTTCGTTTCGTTTCCAAATTTATGAGCTTCATCATGCGAGGTGATAAATTGCTAACGAGTTTGCGAAAAAAAAATAATAATCGTAGGAAACATTTGCTTATTCTTGACCATCTCAATTTTTTTTCGATATCACTTTCATAGTACATATTGTAACTATCAATCTATCTCTCTTTTTGTTGACATTATCCATTTAATTCGCTTTCGTCCAATCTAATGTGGCTGCCATTTATCAACGTTTCCTCAATGATGGCTCGCTTTTCAATTTTCGCCTCATCTCTTTTTTTTTTACCATTCGACTTAACATTTTACTCGTTAGATTGTGATAATTATATTTCTATTTTCATCTGATTTTCTAGAATTACATATGTGACCAAAATCTGTAATAATTGAGGGTCTTCTAACCAAAGAAAATGCGAGCATACTACATATGATAAAATCCAATTTGCCAATTTTTCAACTCATTCCATCTGCGGACAATTTTGCCGATTAATTCCAGTTGTCTAGAATAATTCGCTCATTCCACTTGAAATTCAGCGGCGCCGTCTCTATCAAAAAGTTGCCAAAAAAACTGAATAGTACTCATTGTCTGTCCCATTGAACCAGTTTTGCATTCAGTTTTTCCTCCCATCCCAACGTTCCTATGTGCACAGCACTTTCGCCTCGCCGCCTCTCGGTTTTTTCCTGCACCGAACACTTCTTAAAATGTTGACAAATACAAACATACTGGCAGGAAAAGAAAACCAATAGCCAATCATTTTTTTTCGCGTATTTTCACTTGCACATACAGGCCGCCGTCTATTCAATCATTCATATTCATGTTCCATTCGATTCCATTTCATCTATATAGTCGTTTCCTGACTTTCACTTGAGGAAACTAGCGAATAACCGACGGAGTGTTAAACGAAATCGCAACTTGTTTCATTTCTTTCTTATTACTTTTCTGCATTTCCTCAAATCTACACCAAAAAATTGTAAGCATGTATTCATGTGTTCAGATATCGACAGTGGCAATTTGGGAGCGGTCCTCCAGCTCCTGTACATTCTCTCGACGTACAAGCAGAAGTTGCGACAGTTGAAGAAGGACCAGAAGAAGGCCGGCGGACATACAGCTATCATGCCTCCATCTGTGTCCAAGTATGACTATTTTATAGCACTTCGAAATGTTTATGCAAGACGTGAGAATTTTTGTACAGATTGCCTTCGCCGGCGCAGAGATCGGCGAATAACTCCAACTTTCTGACATCGACGATGCCTTCTTCGAGACTTTTGCCGCCGACAAGAATGTCTAGAGGAGGTGAGAAAATTTGCGATTCAAACTAATCATAAGATTGGCTTGGTTTCCCGATTGAAATGCATTCAAACGGCGGTTTCGAATTGCAATTTGCGCGCATCTTTTGTTGTGTTAACTATTCTGTTTACGAGGGTCCCTAAACTCGCCCCGACCGAACCCAATTAATTGCGAGCGCATGCAGCATCTCCATTATTATCTCACCGAGACACTTCTAGGTCCATTTTCGTCATTTCCTCCAAATATTAGCCTAAAAGGGTTGCGCGAGCCACTTAACAATGACCAAAAAAATGGGCGTCTCGAACTTTATTTTTTCCCCTTTCATTCATCTCGTGGTCATTTCGGCCCTCGCCTCAACACTGAATTTTATTGGCCATCTTTCATTTGAAAATGGCTATACATCTATTTATCTTTTTTTTTGCCGCCTTTCGTTCATTGTGTGTCGTGGTTTTTTTTATTCGAGCCTCACACCTCACCCCCCCCCCGCCTGCATTTTTTTGTTTTTTGTTGACAGCGATTTACGGAAATTGCAGAAAACAACACGTCGGCGCCTGCAGCGAAGACGACGACGACAACGACGACGGCGACGACGACACCGAGTGCGGCAAAGGCATCAAGGGGTTCCGGTATCAAACCGCCGACGAGCAGCGCATTGAGATCGTTGAGTCGCGGAAGCGGGTCAGGAATTTTTAATGTTTCACTCGATTCATTCCATTTAATTACGACAATTTATAGCTTGAATATTTGAGAAATTTGAGAGGAGAGAATCTGAAGGTTTCGATGAAATTTTCAACTAGTTCTGAACTACATACATATTTCTTTTTATGTAAAAAGAAAATTCAAATTTGAATATTTTCATCAAATTTGTTATATCTGGGAATTCGTATATAAATATACGAGCTCGACGAGCATTATAATAAATGGGTCGAATATAATGGAAGCCCATTAATAATGATGGTCCCCCCTCCATTGTTCAATTTTCTTAAGATTAAGTTTTCTAGGAACAACAATGCCGGCTCAACGGTTTCATCGTCAAAAAGTCTGAATTCATCGACATACACTTCGATTGCATCGTCGATTTCGCCGACACCTCCGACGAAGATTGCGCCGCCAGCCGCGTCGAGAATCAAGGCGTCGGCGTCGAAAACTGCTCCGCCGACGCAGAAAACAACGCCGAATAAGGCGATGCCGGCGAAACCTGCTGAAAAAACGGCTGGAATGTTGAAGCTGCGATTAATCAACCATAACAACAACAACAACAATAACAATAATAACGATGCTAATAGTCTTCAGAAGGTTCGTATTCTGATATTTCTACATACAGCATCGTCATATTTTTGATAACCCGAACATGAAAGTTAATTTTTATTTGATTTCTTGCTCACATTTTCTATTTTAAATTTGTAAAATACGTCTCAAATAATTTTCTAATGTTGATGGAGCATTTATTTAACAAGAAAATTATTTGTTGTTTTCCAGCCACCAGCGGCACCTGCCACATCGGCGACATCGACACCAAAGTCGGCAATTCCGCCGCCAAGAAGCGGACTTCGACCGCCAACGGGCACTTCTTCGAAAATTGCCAAGAAATCTGCGGTTAGTGATTTGACCCTTGGGAATTGCATTGCTCAACTCGCGACGGAAGTGACCGCCCCAAACGAACATCTGGATTCTAATATTTATTCCGGGCGTCAGTCGCAACTTTTTTTTGTTGTTCTCATTCCATCATTTGTTATTTCATCTCCGTCTTCGAGCATTTCAAAAACAATTTTCACTTTGATTTTTTTCGATTCGAATTCATCCGTTTTACAACTCGTTTTCAAAACTAATGAATATCTAAATGAGAAGTCATAAAACGTCGAAGCTCGCGTCTAATTAAAAATGTTGCCTCTCAATTTTCGCAGAAGCTTCTCCCTAGTTGACTATGAAAATCGACGTTTTCCATTTTTTTTTTGCAGACGCCAATTACTTTCCGGAAACCGCCTCCTGTTGCTACAATGACATTGATTGAAGATAAAAAGACAAAAAGTATTGCGATCGATGAGGAGAATTTGAAATCGAAACAACACGAGAATAAGGATTTGAAAAGGTTAGTATTGAACAAATCGCACTTGAATTATATGACCACCTTCTATAGATGCTCAAAGGCGAGTGAAGACGATTCGGCGTACGCAGGATTCTCTAGCACAAGTCCAGCGTCTTCGACTGAAGGATCGTTGAGCATGCATTCCGCAGCTTCATCGTCGTCCAAGGTACTCACTATTCAAATTTGAACGAATTGAATGAATTGTTATCAGGGTGACGACAAATCGCCGAGTTCCGATGATCTGACATTGAATGCCTCGATTGTGACCACAATTAGGACGAGTGTTGAGGTTTGATTAAGCCTCATTATTTCAGAAATAAATGTCTGTGTTTTTTTTTTTTGCAGGAGAAACCAATCCTAGCCGTCAAAGGAATCAAAATGAATCAGGAAACGGAAGGGGTCAAATCAGCCCCAACAGTTGGAATTGTCAGTCCGATGACGCAAAAGAAATTCCAAGCAGGTATGTGAATTCTCAAATTGAACGATTTAAAACGAACTGTTGAAGAGCCGAAAAGCATCCAGATCGACGGACCGCCTCTTGATGAGAAAGAGAAGCTCATAATGTGAGTGAATTTTGTTTTGAAATTCGACACAAAACCATATTGTTGCGAGACCCACTCGCTTCTCATACAAAAACGCGCATTGAAATTGCGTAACGATGTGAATTGAGCGCTCGTTTTTTGTTGAGACACACGAGATACCAGGTGCGCGAACCGCCGCACATTCGTCATATTCGTCTCGTTTTTTAACCAACCAAATTACTTCCTTTCGCGAATCGAGAACTCATTTAACTGCTCACAATTATTATTAATTGCACCAGGCCCCACTTCTATTGATTTTGGTCATTTTCGTGTAAAATTAATATTTGAATAGTTGAATTGTCTATTTTCTTTTTTGAAGAAGCATTCATCTGTGATATCGAAATCATCGTTTAGTTTCTTCAAATTCGGTGCAAAAATGAGTTCGTCTTATGATTTCATCTCACGCGCACTTTTTGTTTCCATTTATTTCGATTCAAGAATTTTCATTTGAACCGACAGAATCAGTCTAGGATATTCAAAAAATTTGTTTCTTGTTACTGACATGAAGAATCATTAGAAATATTATTCCACGAATTCAGGCCGGTCGACGAACCAAAATCACCAATCGTTCCACCCCAAATGGCGCCAATTCGCCATCCACCCACCTACGAGCAGCTATTGCGCCAAGGCAAAATCCAATCGCCACCCGTCAAAAGTCTAGGTATGTACATACATATGTGCACACAAATAATATTATTGTGGTGCCGGCGGGTCCGCTCCATTTTTGGGCCAAAACTCAATTATTGAATTTAATTCGAACGTTTTGCGCGCTGTTTGACGAATTACATGCGTTTGTTGTCTCTCGACGCACTTTTCATAAATTTTCGAGAAATTCGATTTCTGTCTTTTTATTTATAGTTGACGAATATCCGAAATATCAACCGATTGAGGCGAAATCATTGGATCGGAAATTCAAAAAACCGCTGACTGGTTCGTTTGTTTCTTTTTCATTTTTTTTTTAATTCAAACAATCATTCCAATTTTGACTTCCTTGTGGAACTTATTGAATAGCAAAGCCACCTCTTTGTGTCGGACTCGTCTTGATTTTTTTCAGACGGTCCCATCGAGAGCGGAGTGGCGATGTTGGCGAAGATGAAAGAGAAATTCAAAGAGTACGACGAGATGACACGACGAGCACAAGCGGGCTATCCCGACAAGTGAGTTGCAATAAATTGCATATTAACATGCGAAATATTGCGCAATTAATCCTGCGGCTTTTGCGACGGCGGCGGCGTTCGAATTGATGTGAAATTTGGAAGTAGACGAAGAAGCAGAAGCACAAGAATGATGCCGTCGCCGCCGTCGTCGGCGATAACATCGCGCGGCATATGCTCTCGGCGATGCGCCAAAAAAGAATCGGTCTCGCGTGTGATCTTGTTACATTTTACTCGCAATTTTCGCGCACTTTATTGTGTCTTCCAAACATTTTTTCGCCGTCAAAACGTTGCTCCAAGCTTCCCGTTTTCTTTTTGAAGAAGTTTGAACTAGCTTAATATTAGTGCATAATTAGTTTTTTTTTTAAATACATTCATACGTATAAGATTATTCACGAAAAATTTCTTATTTGGTCTCACTAACTGTAGGCTTGTTCATCAAGGATATGCTGAAATTTTCAGGCAAATATTAGTGTAAATGTTTAAAGGTACACACGGAGAAAAATTTTTTTAATCAGTAGCGAGAATAAATTTTCAAAATTTTCTGCTCGAATACGTTTATTTATGCTGATTTCTTATCCAATGACATCGATTTTTTGTTGGCAAATGAGTTTTTCGTCATATTTATTACAAAAAATTCAGTTTTCCCGAACGTTCTTTCAATCACATCCCTGCTGTCGACACCCTGTCGACTCTATAAAAGACGGAACCTCGAAATCCTCTATTTTCAGTAGATGAAAAGAAAAATCTGAAAATGGCTCTCCTCCTGGTATTTGCGCGTACGCCTTTTTCACGCTGTGAAATTCTAAAACGCTTTTAGATGAATATGCATATGCTTATGGGAATTGTAGAGAATACAATAATGAATAATTTAGGATCAAAGTTGAAAAGGTCTCGACGTTTCCGCTAAACTGAATATTCTCGGTCGCGAATTTCCATAATCCCGCGCGTGTGCGTCGCGCACTCGTCCGTCCATTCATAAATAACTAAACACCGCCCATTGCATTCGAAATTTGCATTCAATTGCGACGCCTCCTCGTCAATTTTCGCCCCCCCCCTCTCATTATTTTTATTAGAATTTTTTTTTGAGCAGAAAAAAAGTGAACGGTGATGTTGGGAGCAACGAAAAGTTGATACATTTTGCTGATTTGTGCGCCCACGAAAATGTGTTTCGAATTAGTCGGCGAGGTGAGCCGTCAGCTTCTGCTCCTCATTTCTATCCATCGGCCTATTCAAAACTTTCAATGGCTGTACACATTTTCAAAAATTCATTTGTCTTTTTCGTTTTCTTTTCATTGGCGCCCATTCAAACATGTTTCGACTTGTTTTCCATCCGAAACTTATTATTATCGTGTGAATATTAAACGTAGGGCCGACAAGAAAAGGTCCCAAATTTGTTGCGAGACCCCCCCTCCGGTCATTTCGGCTTTCGGCACCTTGCGCGTTTCGTTATGTCGTTTTTGTCAAGGATTATTCAAAAGTGAGTTGATTGAGCTGCTCCATACTGACGAAATTTTGTTGAGCCGAAAATGAGAGTTTGAATAATTTAAATTTGTCCAAACAAATACATGTGAAGCTCTGACCGAAATTTAAAATTATTATTTTTTGTGTTACTTGTGAGTCCAATGTCAAACATGTGGTTTGCTGTGAACCAGGTCTCACCACGAAGGGATGAATTATCAGTTTTAAAAGTATTCCGGCTTCTCGGAAGATTTTTCAAAATTAAAATGTTGATTGTCGACGTTTCGCGTGCACTCAAAATTGGCTAAATTCTAGAAAATATCGGTCCTGACGCGCGGTATGCGCCTTTAATATATCATTATTCTTTTCTCGTAAGTCTACACTTTGCTTTTGTGCCAAGACCGTCGCTATAATTTTTTTGGAGCCAAATTACCGAAGTCATACGACGTCGACAATAGTTTGCTATTAAAAATGTTGAATTGAGGACCAATTGAATGTGCCTCGCCGAGTTTTTCTTACTTCCTCAGGTTGCATTTCGCGTTTTTGAACTTTCCTCTAATACGATTTTTGCAAATGAAAATTATCGAAAAAATTGCTGAATGCAATTGTTTAGCGAATACTTTGTTTGTGTGTTTCCACATAAATCAACTTTTTACCGTAGCCGTAAATAATATGAAAATTTTTTTACAATCATTATTGATTTTCATTTTCACTAAAAAAAAACACAAAAATTGCTCTTGAATAACTCGAAGAAGCGCACACATCTCGAAGAATGTTGGCCGCCTCCGCGTTCGACTCAATTCGTCGTTTGTGTCGTGGTAATGAATGAGCGTGCGCGAAATCTCAAGAGAAAATGTGTATGTGGCACCCAATTGTTGGTGTGGTCCGTTGGCGACGATTATTCGCTTCGAAACGACACGCGAACCCATTGTTTCGAATTATAGATTAGGCCGACGTCGATTTTCGTCGTGTTAAGGCGGCGGCTCGGTTTTGACCTCGATTTTTGCCTCGTAAAACTTCCGTACAAGACGCGAATTCTCATCAAAACGCGATTAACTCTTTAATTTTCATCTGTCTTTCGGCAAAAATAGCGTTTGATGGATAGAGACGGGCGAAACACGTCGAATTTATACATCTGCCGCGCATTAAACCGATTAGGACACACCGCACACGGCGATCGAATGAGTTGACGAGAAAATGCTTCACTTGACAGTTCCATCATTCATTCAATCGCACGTTTTCACACAATCCCCCGCACCACCTTCTCCTCATCCCCCCCCCGTCCATTTCGACATTTATTCTCCAATTTTTTGCAGCTTCGAAGACAGCTCGTCATTGTCGTCGGGAATATCGGACAACGTCGAATTCGACGACATCTCCACCGACGATCTTAGCGGCGTGTAAGTCTCAATGGTCGTAAAATTTGAAATTCTAAGCATATTCAAGTCGAGTCAGCTAAGCAAAACTAGGAAATCCAAAAAAAAGAAACCCAATATTCTTATTATATTTTAATGATTTGTCCCATTTAGGCCAATTCATACCTATATAAGTGATTCCTTTTGGAATACGAAGAAAAAACTCAACAATCAGTTTTTGTTTCATTTCGTTTTCAACTTTCGATATCATCCTCTTTCCAGATAATTAAACCCGTAAGAATAAGAGAATAGCGATCATTTTGGGTTTGCGCGATCAAACGAAATCGTATAAATAGCACATTATTATTAATAATTCTAATAATAATAACGTTTCGGCTAATTGAAGCCCATCAGGCGTGCGGCGGCCAATTTCCGCCGGCAATACCTTGGCGGTGTTCGCGCGCAGAGCCGACCTCGTCTTGCCGGAGCAGCCGGTCAGCTGGCTGGTCAGCTTGAGTAATTGGCTCGCGCGCTTCGTGTCACCCAATATATATTGTGTTTATAAACATGGTTGACCACTTGCTCTTCTTTTTCCTCTTCTTCTTCTTCTTCAACGCGTTGCCTCAAATCTTATTGCGGAAATAAATTGGTGGCGCATTTCCTACCATTCATCATTCATACTGACAACTTGACTCGTTCATTTTCGCGCGTTTCCGCCATCGTTCTTATCGTCTCAAATTTTTGCTCGAAAACCATCAAATTAATTCGGTTCTCGATTCATTTTCCCATCGAAAATCGCCACCAATGGGTGTTGGGTTTCATAACCAAATACATATTTCGACATGTGCGTGTAATCCAAAACTGGCGCACTATTTTTTCGAGCTGCAAAAACGCCAAAAAAAAATGTCAAACTGCATTCCGTGCGACATACTACTACTATTTTCTTTTTTTGAAAATATTCGGAAAAGAAACTCTTCAAAAAATTTCAAATTTCCAAAATAGTTTGCTCAGATGTTATAATTCTAAAATTTCAGAAATATGACGGCACTAACGTCGGAATATTCTCATTTTGTTCGGACCAACAACCGCTCGAAAAGTGAAATTCTCCAATCATTTTCCTTTATTAATTTGCTTTTTTTTACTTTCAGGTTCTCGACCTTCAACTTCGGTCGACTCTCGCTCTCGTACCATTGCTGAGCAGGAGAACATTCACAAGCTTCTATCGCAATGTCGCACTAGTCAAAGAAGCGCTGCGACTTCTTCAGCTTCGTCGTCTTCGTATGGGCATTACTCGTTGAAATCGCCTGGATATGCGACCCATCTGAGTGTGTCGGATTCCATGTCGCCAAGGCGGCCCTCATCCTCATTGCAGCGACAAAATTATGGTGGTGGTAGGCGTTGATTGCGAAATGAAATGATTGTGATGAAATTCAGGACATTCCGGAGCGGGATTCCATTCTCTCGATCGCAAATGCCATTTGCAAGAATACTCGGATCAGAATAGTCGCGTTGCAGCTCTTTTGAGTCCCCGACGAATTCCAAATACAGCCAATTCGAAACACACCTACGATATACCACCAGGTAATCACAAAATCTTTTCTGCTTGCTGTTGTGTCGTGCCTTGTCCTCGTCATCGATATTCTGATTTGCTTCAAACGCTTCCTCTAACCTTCTGTAGCTTGTTCAGCAGCCGCCTCTCTCAACGCCTCGGGAATGTCGAGATCAATGATTCTGTTCGAATCCCTATCACCGCGCCTCACGCCACGGCAGCGGCGACGCTCGCCGTCAAGTCGCAGCTCGGTGAGCACAAGTCGACGCACACAATCACCGCGAGCCCCATCATCCGCCCGAATGCCACTTTCTATCGCTTCGCCTGTTCATTTAAATTCGAAGGGTACTGTTTGTTAACACTTGGTTATTTTTGGATTCGATTTCATTTTTCTTAGTTCACTTATTTGTTTTCCCCCGACTAATCTCTTCAAAAAATGCCCATTTCTTCAAATATTAAATCTCACAATCAAGTTGTTAATGTTTTAGGATCGCAATCGGCGCGAACTCGAAACTACGACGGATTCCAGTTGTATCGACTGGCTGACGATAAAATACCGCCAGGTTCCTCGCGAGCAAGCGATATGGGCTCTCAGCTGTCGCTTGCCAGCACAACAGCATACGCAACTGTAAGTGGTGTCCGCTAAACAGACACACTTTTATTAACAAATATTATTCAGCTCAACGAGAAGTACGAATCAGCGATTCGCGACATGACCCGTGATCTTGAATGCTACAAAAACACGATCGAAGATCTTACAAAGAAGCAGGAAAATTACGGAATGCTGTTTGAAATGTTCGACAACAAACTGCGCAAACTCACACAGCACATTGAAAAATCGAATCTGAAGGCCGAAGAGGTGGCGAGATTCCGGCAGGATTTGGCACATCTTCGAGATATTAGCACTCATCTCGCCGCCAGCGCTCCGCACCAATACAATGTAAGGGGAAAGAACACGTTGATATGCATCAAATCCAAAAAAAATTTCTAGGAAGGCGCTGGCGAATTGCTTCGTCAACCTTCATTGGAGTCAGTGGCTTCGCATCGTTCAACAATGTCCTCGTCGTCGAAATGTAGTTCGAAACCCGATAAAATCAGTTTGAACTCATTTGGCAAAAATAAGAAGAGCTGGGTAAGAATCAGAAATCGTTATCAATCAAATGTTATGTTGAAACTATTACAGGCGTTTGGTGTAGATTCGCAGGTTAGGTTTTTAAATGTAGTGGTAAAAATTTAATAGTGGTGGTGGTGATGTCATGTAAATTGCTTTTTAAACATTTTTAACGCTATTGACTGCAAAATATTTATCCAGAGAAAATATTGATTCGTCGATCATTTCGACAATTTCGCAATTGGCGTTCTTGTGGTGATCGATGTTGATATTTTTCTTGCCATGTCGACGCTTTCGAAGGTCCTTAACTTTTTTCTGTTTTAGATTCGTTCATCGCTCTCGAAACTTACCAAAAAGAAGGCGAAACATGATCACGATGGATTGCCGTCGATTTCTGGATCGCAAGGAAATGGACTAGATGTGATCGAATTGAAGCAAGAGCTACAGAATCGTGATTCAACACTTGCTGAAGTTCGTTTGGATGCACTTGATAGGGCTCGAGAGCTTCAGGAGCTCAAGGAAACTATTAATAAGTTGAAGGTTCATCTCAGATGACTCTTTTCTTTTTGAAATTAAAACAAATGTTATTTATAGTATGAAAACAAACAACTGAAGAAAGAGATGGACCGAATTACTACCGGACCAACGCGAGCTTCATCTCATGCTTCATTGCCTCATGAAGAGGAGCCGATCTATGAGATGGCGTGTAGTTCGACTTCGAATAGCGCCTCATCAAAACGTATCAAAAATAATTAAACGTCAAATAAGATAATTGGTTTTAAGGATCTTCTGGATGCAATTCCATCAAAGTCACTGTGAACGTCGACCTTGCTGGAGAGATTTCTTCCATCGTATGTCCGGACAACGAAATTATCGTCGGATTTCTTGCGATGCCAACCGGCCAAACTACATGGCAGGAAATCGATCAGCAAATTCTTGTGCTGTTCGAGTCTTATTTGAAACGAATTGATGTGGAACATCATCTCGACTTGAATGGCTCCGATGGGATTCTTGGCTATCAAATCGGAGAAGTGAAGCGAGTTATTGGCGATTCAGCCGGCGCGAAAGCCCCCGTTGACGTCCTTCAACCGACCACGACCATTCGAATGTTCATGAAGGGAGCTGGCCAAAATCGGGTTGATTCGCTTGTTCTCGACACTCTTCTTCCAAGACAAATGATCCTTCAACTTGTCAAATACCTCTTCGCGCAACGACGATTGGTATTGGCAGGCGCCGCAGGAATCGGAAAAAGCAAATTGGCAAAGGCAATCGCGACATATTTGGCATTGCGAAACAAGCAGAAGATTGATGAGATCGTCGACATTAAGATTCCGGATGATTCGACGGAGGAGCTTCTCAAAGTCGAGCGGACGTTGGAGAAAATCTTGCAATCGAAAACGCCGTGCATCGTTGTTCTTGACAACATTCCGAAAAATCGCATTGCGTTTGTCGCTTCCGTCTTCGCTAATGTTCCACTTAGAAATGACGAAGGACCATTTGTGGTGTGCACAGTGAATCGTTATCAGATTCCTGAAATGCAAATCCATCAAAACTTCAAAATGTTCCTTTTGACGAATCGGATGGAAGGTGTCAGCGGCTTTATGTCGAGGTATAAAATTCACTTTTTATATTGAATTTTTCACGTTTTTGTCTTAGATTTTTGCGACGAAGAGCCGTCGAAGCAGAGTATCGACAATGCCGTCAAACCCCGTCGGAACTCATTCAAATTATTCAGTTCCTTCCAGAGGCGTTACAGGTATTTGAAGAAGTTGTCACAACATCAGTCAGTTCAATAATTTAGGCTGTAAATCAATTCATCGAGAAAACGAATTCGATTGACGTCACTATTGGACCTCGAGTGTTTCTTCAGTGCCCATTGTCTATTGACGAATCTCGTCAGTGGTTCGTCCGTCTGTGGAATGAGAATTTCATTCCATATATGGAGAGGGTCGCCAGAGAAGGTATTCAAAATTTCAGCAACTTTAACGTTTTTTTAATGTTCAATGAATTATAGGCAAGAAAACTTTCGGCCGGTGCAGCACATTCGATGATCCGACCGAATTCGTTTGCGAGAAATGGCCATGGCTCGACGGAGCCGCGCCGGAAGAGACGTTGAAACGACTCGCACTTCATGACCTGACGCCTTCTGCCCCCAATAAACCCCAATTCAATCCTCTTGAATCGCTTATCCAGCTTCATGCGACTAAGCATGCAAGCTCTCTAGATAACACCATCTGATTGCGAAGATTCAGTCAAAAATCTTCTTGCAGTTTTTCATCCCCACCTCTTCCCAATCCCTTCCTCCCCCCTTCCCCACATTAAACCGGTAACATCTAGTCCTCGTTCATTCTTTCACCTTTGTGTTGCTCCAAAATGGCTTGTTCTCCCCATTGAATCCGGTATGTAATTCAAATTTCTCCATTCTCTCTTGCCAGCAGGTAATTTCTAGTAATAAAATTCTAATTTAATAAACGATTTGAGTTTCTTACTTACGTGCGGGTTGCTCGATTGAACAACGCTATTTATCTTCAACGGATATTAAAAATTGTCATGTGTTCGGTTCGGGAGTTTTCCCGTGGTAACAACACACAAATCCCATGTGTTATGAATGTTCGTGATAATGCTGAGGGAAATCATGTGCATTGAGCAATCGAATTTATAAATTATAGTGATGTTACGATATGTAGATGTGCAAACACTTTACGGTAAACTACGGCTTCGCTTTATTTTTTAATAAAATTGTATTCTTTCATTTTTTGTTAATAATATTCTTAAGAATCCATTCATCAATTTATTCAACCTCAATAGAAAAATGGTTATTCAAAATATATAATGTGTTTTGAATACGTTCGCAGAAGGACTAGAGAATTAAACAAACTGCGACCCATTCTTGTGCGACTAACTTGTTTCATCCAAATTGGATAATCGGTGCTCAAAATGAGAACTTTCGTGTTTGCTTGTTTTTTGAGCTTGTCCCATTTCTGTTTTCTCTCTCTCAACTTCATTCGAACGAACGAAAGAGACTTCGTGGACGCATTAAGAGAGTGAGGTGCGTGGCTGCCTGAGCAAGAAAGAGAGCACCGAGTCGTTTCTCCTTTTTATCGAGTGGCTCATTTTTCTAGTTGATCGTTTGTTGGTTTCCGCGGTGACTGACCCCGATAACAGAAGATCGACGAAAAACCCCTTCATGCCTCAAATTTCCGGCTCAAAGTACCATTGAATCTGTTTGTGTTCAAAGTCCACGTTTTCAAATCTCTCAATTTCCCGGTCAACACAGATTTAATAAATTTTGTGATATTGAATTGCTACTACCTCAATTCTCATAAAAGCCGAGCTCAAGAGGACATTTTACGCGTCTTTTCAAACACCCATTTGAGCGTCTCGTCTTTTATTTTCTCAGAAAAAAGAGTCTTTCGCTCCCATAGTTATATATTTTCTTACAAAAAAGCGAAATCAAATTATTTCGTTCCGAGTGCTCCATTATTTATTAACATTTGCCGAACAATAATCAAAGTTCTCATATTTCGCGTTTTATTTCAGGCTCTAAACAATGAGATGACAAAGCCAACAAATGTATGTAGAGTTCACATTTTACACATTTCAATTTTTTCTTTTCAGATGGGTAATAAGTCAGAAACAGCTGAAACCGAACTCGAATCCTTCGCCGAAATATTTGCTGCCGATTCAAATCTTTTAGATTCCAGACGCGATTAGTAAGTATTTTTCTCTGCGCCGATTGACAGATGGGAAATGGCATAATTGGCCAAAATCTTTTGCTAACATGCCCAAAAAGTTTTTTGAGAAAACCTTCAATTCGTGAACTCTCTAAAGATTTAAAAATTGATCATCGAGGAAACAACAAATCGCCAATGTTGACAAATCGTCTCTAATCGGGCTTTCGAATTATTCAGCTGGAAGAATATTTGTATTATACTGAAACGCCCGTTTCATTGGAATGTGCGCATTTAGTTAGTATATCCCTTCGGCAGTCTCCATAAATTTCTGCACAACGTGTTCCGATACAAGTGCATGACGTCATGGTTTATCACTATGATTGCATAAACAAAATTCAACGCTAATGTTATAATTACCTATATTCAATTAAATCAGCGAATTTTGGGTCAGGTCGCCTGGGCAAACTTCCCTAATATTCGTTGAGAAATAATACAATAATTTCTAATAATGGACATAACGCCGACAAATCTCAGAAGTTATTATTGATTTAGTTTCACTTCTTGCTTGAAATGAAAAAAAATTCTGCTTACACCTTTAATGTTTACTGAAATTATTTTGGTATGCCCGACAATTTTTCGATTATTTGACGTGCGATATCCGGTTGTTAAATTATTGAGTCATTTTCTCTATTACAACTGTCCAAGTGTACGTTAATTTGAATACGATATAAGACATCAATAATGACAGAATATGCGGAATTTGATAAAACCCGAAAACAAATATCCCGTTCGATAGGCATCGATACAAAGTACAGCAATTGCAATATTTTCACGTGTCCTGTTGGTTTTGGTTTACTTTCTGTAGTATTGTGACACATCCATATGTACAATAAACACAATTTTCCAGAGTATAGTTCAATTTTGGTTAGCAAAACACACAAAAAAACTTTGAAAAAAAAAAAACTAGGAAATTCGTGCGTTTGTTAACATTTTATATTTTCATCGGAAAAAATGAATGCTTCGAATATTTGTGGATCATCGTATTATATCGGGGGCGGCAAGTCAAAATTCGATTTAAACAATGGGAAAATTTTCATCGAATGTTTGTCGAATTCCAACCATTTTTCTTTTGATCAGGTCGTGATATTTCCACGTGTGCGATATTAGGTGCATATGACGTTTTTTCGGCATTTCAGTTGTACTTATGATATCTGTTTCGATGTACTTGAAGTGATAAAATGTTGGTCATAATAACGATTTTTACACAATTCCCGCTCACGAGGAGATAAGATTGTGATCGGAAGCATATGAAATATTGCAAACTTGCGCATGGACCCTGTGATCTGCATGCGTCATTGTTTTCAACTCGCTTAAAGTTGACCTCGCAACAATGAAAACTGGGAAAGAAAGCAAATCTGATAGGCCTGTTGACGATGAATCTTTGAACGAAATTCTCATTGACTATGGGCTAAAATATATTTTGCTTTAAATTTTGAGGCATTGAAAAGAATTCCAAAGTGGCGATTATGTTTAATGACTACGACCAGAACAGCACAATGCAGTTTTTAATAGTCTAGTATGCATAATTCTTTAAAGTAGCTTCGAAAATGAATATTGCGCGATTTATTTCGGAGCACTATCAGTTTTTCATTTATCTTTTAAAATTTTCCAGAATTTCTAGAATCCGAAAGGATCTGCATCGAAGCTGCAATCCTAAGAACTTAATCTCCAACGGAATTAAACCGTTCAAGTCGTTACGATCACAATGTTTCTTCCACTAAAACATTGTTCTAATAATGAAAACTTCAAATTTCACATTTTAGATTACTTGTTTCGACCTTCAACATTTTATAGTTATATAATATTTGATCATATAGTAAACGTTTGTCTGTCGCACCATCTGACTCAAACTCACTCATTGTCTATTGTTGAATCGTAAATTCATTATAACCGTACACTTTGTACATCTCGCGTGATTACGCACCATTTCGAAGCGCAGGGCGGGCCAGTGCAATCAGAACCGGCCACACATCTTCAATTCATTTATAAACAATCGAATTGCATATTTCCAACTGACCAAAATTAGTATTCGAAATGCGCGACAAAGTCTCGCCAATTTCTACTATTACGATTGTCCGTTCCAGCGATGAGGAAGTGCCGAAGAAGGTCCATCTCGACACAATCCTCGAGAATCTTGGAAGTTTCGGAAGATTCCAAAAAGTTCAGTTTATTCTCATTTGTATTCCTATCATATTTGTGTCTATGCACGTGATGAGCTGGACGTTCGTTGTCAGTTCTGCACGAAAAGCTTGCGACGAGGTCGGAAACGACACTGAATGTATCGAATGGGCATATTCGGCTTCGGACAGAGTTTGGCAATCCTAGCTGGATCATCTTTCTGACTAATTATCTTCAGTGGGACATCAGCGGAGAGAATTCATGGATTCGTGCAGTAGTTCAAGCGATCTACTTCATTGGCCAAATGATTGGCTCATTCGCTTGCGGAGTAATGGCTGACAAGTAAGTTGATTCAAATCCTTCAATCGAAACCAATTTGATCTACAGGATTGGCCGTAAAAAGGTCCTTTTCCTTTGTTTAGTTATTCAAGTCACATCGGCTGTTCTCATGATTTTCGCTCCAACATGGTGGATTTATGCATTTGTCAAGTTGAATTTTTTCTGACGACTTCAATGTGAATATACTTTTAAGGATCGGCACTGGATTCACTCATCCAGGAATTTTCGGAGTATCAATTGTTCTTGGTGTAGAATTGGTCGGCACCAAATACAGAAGTCTCATTTCAACAATCGCGAGCTTCTTTGGCGCATTTGGAGCAGTTCTTCTAGCAATTCTAGCCTATTTCATATTGGATTATCGCCTTCTTCACACCGCAATTGCAATTCCATCGCTTCTCTTTTTGACCTACTGGTGGTATGCATATCGATGCCCTTAAAACGTTTAAATCTGATAATGAGGTACTTACTAGAAACAGAAATAGAGAACTTCAAATATTAAATTCAAATCGCCAAATTGTTAAGCTTGAAATCTCGCCTAAAATATTATACAATCACAATTCTGGTGTTATTCAAAACTTTCAGGATCATTCGCGAAAGTGCACGCTGGCTATTTCTTATGGGAAGATTCGATGAAGCTCACAACGTTCTCTGTGCTACTGCAAACGCAAATAAGAAAATGCTGCCGGAAGACTGGTAATTGTGCTTGAAACGATCAAATCCCAAAATGAAAATTAAGGATGACAAGAGTTGAAAGATCAATCGCTTCATCTTCAAAGAAAACGAGCTTCGGAGTTGTGGATCTGTTCAGAACACCACAAATGCGGAAACGAACTCTTGCTTGCTTCCTTATTTGGTAATCCAAGTGGTATTCAAATTGCAATGAAAGTTATTTTCCCAATAGGCCTGTTACTACTATGACGTTTTATGGTCTCACAATGAAAAGTGATGTCGGTGGAGGAAGCGTTTTTTTCACCTTCGCGATGTCTTCGTTTATCGAGATTCCTGCTCAATTGATCGTTTTTCTTCTCATTGATCGCTTCGGTCGACGAATGCTCTACTCGTCTTCTATTTTAATCGCCGGATTGCTTTTGTTCGCCAATTGGATGACAAACGACATGGGTAATTCCGAAAATTGTCGTTCTCCGAAACTTCCTAATAATTTCAGTCCCAAAGGAAATTTCGATCACTGTTCTTCTAATGGCAAAAGCTGGCGTTTCGACAGCCTACACAACAATGTACACATACACATCGGAACTGTTCCCTACAGTAATCCGAAACACCGCAGTTGGATGCTGCTCGACTGTTGCTCGTTTTGGAGCAATTTTAGCATCATTTATCGCATTTTTACTGGTAATTTTATAGAATTCTTTTAATTAGTTAACTAGTAATTATCACATTATAGGTTGAACAATATGGTAGAATTGTGATGATTCTTCCGTTTACAATTCTCACTATTGCCGCTTCTATCATTTCATTCGTTTGTCTTCCTGAGACAATGGGAAAACGACTACCCGATTCCATTTCGGAAGTTGAAGGACAGAAAATCTAACTTTGTGCAGACTACTAGCCTTTTTAAGTAACCCCCTTTCGTTTTTAAGGTATATTAGATTCACGTGTATATTTAGTTTTCAACGGGTTTAACGACATTCATCACATTGATGTAACCAGCATTTTTAAATAATGAAAAAAACTAAAATTTTCTAATATGTATAACCCTTGCGATAAAATTTTAATATATGATTTGGCCCATGAAACTCGGTATTTGATAATAGTAATTATTATTTATGCATTAGAGGGTACAAGAGACAGTTTGACAAGAATAACAGAAACATTATCTCCACATTTTCTGCGGACAGCTTCGGCTGCGAGTTTGTGAGCGACATAACGAACTTCAGCTTTTTCTCGCGTCTCATGCGTTCTAACTTCTATATCCATCTAGAATGAAAGGAATTTAAAAAAGGAAATAAATTATATCCAATCTACCTTCTTCACTTTTGTCAATTCTTCCTGAGTGAATTTAATCGCTTCGAGGTTGGTAAATGATTTCCACAGTCCGTCGCATGCGATGATTGCAAATCTAAACAATACTTCTAAATTCTACAAATATTTTGATTTTCCAAAAACACATTGTCATCAGTAGGTCAAATCAAACCAATTTTGTACTCAAACTTTTATTGTAGTCAATATTTTGATCAAAGGCAGTATAGATCTTGGGTACATTGAAGAGCGGCAAGCATGTCAGTTTTGAAGACTTAAAAATCAGGGTTGACCTAATAGATGCATTTTCATCTCCTTCAAGAATACAAATTAATTTAAGAAAAAGAAAAAAACGCTGAAAAATCGCAAAATTCGTCAATTAAAGGATAGTTTGAAAAATTTTAGATATATTGTCGGCGTCAAACGACTTGATGGGGGCGTGGCCTTCAGTATATCGTAACCAGTGTAGATTTACGAGCGTGTAGATTTACGCGCTGACCAAATATTAAATGTTTTTTTCTCGATTTTTTAATTAAAAAAAATGTTATGAGTGTTTTAATCCTGATACCCATTGTCATTTGCATTCTTATAATGAGTCGACCTCCATATATACAACATGTACGTAAAAGTTCACGGAACTAACGGCATTTACTTAAACAAGCGAAAGAATCGTACATTTATCGAATATCTTAAGACCACCACAACAATGTTTTATTTACCGTAAAAATAGTATGAAAATTATTGTTCAATGGGAAAGTCATCCGATTAATTGAGAATTCTCGAAATGCACCAAGACGCTGCACAATTGAAATTTATAACCGAAAGCCAAACGAGCGTTGATTCCAATCGCCTAAAACTAGTAATAACTTCACATTGAATACAAAATTAAAAAGAAAACTGAGTCTACAAAGATAAAAAAATGATAACGTACTTTTTGGAAGAAGCTTGAAGTCATTGAGTATATTTTTTTCCCTTTCCCTAGTATTGATGAAGCTGTGAAGTACCGAGGCGAGCATATAATTCAGAATTTTGTGTCCGTTGGAGGTTGTCTTCGAGGTTGCGCGAAGGGTTCAATATTTGACGCCATTGAAGTCGCTGCAACTATGATGAAACAATGAGCATTTTAAATAAAAATAATATAAATACCCGTCTTGTTAACTTTAGTAGTTGTCAAAGTCCTTCGGCTCCTGTTCAATATGATTGTGTTTCCTAAAATGTCCTATAAATTAGAAAACGAAAAATGATGAAGAATAAGTTTTAACGATGCCAAATTAATTAAAAAATGCCATAAAATATATGAAAATTTTAAACTATCAATCAGCGATTATAAAAATGTAAGATAAACAGCAAAAATAAAAGAAACTGACTAATAAAAAAAGAGACACAGAAAAATTCTCAAAAAATAACGCGCCCAAAAACACGCTGCGCAAAACACGCTGCAAAGTGTATGCCACATACACTTCTCTTCGCCTCGAGAAATCTGGCAATTAGCCAATATTTTTTAAAATTTCGTCAAGTCGTTTGACGCCGACAATAAGTTCTTTAAAAAAAATTCAATTCGTTTAATGTGTATAGTGATCGAGCAAATTTTTTTGTTGTTTTCCGCGAAGATATCTGATAGCAAAACTGGCCGAATCGCGAAACAGAACACACATTTCAAGCAGAGACTGAATGGCGCCAGCAGTGGGTCATCCAAGGCCACTCAATTACAGTTGATTTACGATGTCAACTGATATGGTTTGCGGTGATCAACAAAAGCTTCAAAACAGACCCAACAATCATCATCATCATCACGGTCACTTCGGTCAAATTCAATTTTATTTGAAACCTTCAATGCAAGGATTGACACAAGAGAAAGAAACCAACATTTGATTGATGAAAAAATTATTTTTAATCGAATGAATATCACAGTTTTAAAACAAATTTTAATAACTTAGAATTTTCCTATCAACGTTTGATCGGCGATGATCAAATCGCAAACTCAAAATGCATTATTTTTCAATATTCTATCCTTAGCAATAGCTAGAATTTATTTAAAAAAAAGGACAATCTGGTTTTTTCGTCATTTTCTAGTTATGCAAACAAAATGAATCTGACTTTAATCTGAATAAAGATTCGTGTTGATTTGATCTCTATCATTATAGACTCATGGAATATGGCATAAACCAATCTTGAAATGAATAGTTTGTTCCGTTTGTTATCTTTAAAAGGAACGATTTTTCAGAAATATCTTTCGCGTCATCAGATCGAAAACAAACCCTTTGTTTATGGGATATTTCTTTCAATTTCCTCATCATTATCATCATATCAATAGGCGTTTCTCAATTCGAAATCAAAAGTCCAATTTCAGCAACAATTTCGCAGACCTGATGATTGATAAAAAGTAATACTTTTAAATTGCCGTTCGTAAACAACATACCAAAAAGACATATTTTTTATGATATCTTACAACGAATCTCCTCCCCAACAAAACAACGCCTTTTATTATCAAATTCTGATCTCTGGACAAGATGCTACGCGAAGTTTATCACGATTTTTTAAATATTGCATACTATCATTAGATTCAAAAGATCGAATCGAATCGAGCGAATAGCGATCGTCGACAATGGATCCGATCAAATGATAGCGGTGAAATCAAAATCATTCGATTTTTATTACCGTCTATAGAAAAGTCAAATTGATCACTTGACTGATATCACGGAACACAAATGCGACGGCTACGACGACATCAGTATTGTGTAATGACGTAGAATAAAACATTTCGAACGTGTTTCTTGCATCTTCCTTCTCTGGGTACAAACTGTTTCAACTGGCTGAGTTATTCACCGAAAAACTGAAGTAAGATATGAAGGATGATTAAAATAAGACGATGGCACGCTTCGAATTAATCATGAAAGCCATGAGAGGAAATTATCGTCAAAAAATGAAAGCACGAACATACCGCATGAATGTATCAATCCAGATTGCATTTAGCAAATCTCCATCAACTTATTTTCTCATTTAGAAGCTATAAACTATACAGGATTTTTAGGAATTCGTCCGAGAAAAGCAATGACAATTTACAGTTTTGTGGAGTTTTTACTCGAATGTTCTTCACAGTCAACATTCGACATCCGTCACATGTATTTGATTAGTGATCGTATAACTTTTTATGAATCAAGAAAACATTTATACAACCCAATACAGTAGCAATAAGTAAAAGTGCAGAAGGAAGTAAACGTAGCAATCTGGCTTGCTGTAGGTTTTCGCATTTCACGCGAATTCAAACTTCCGCAATCTCGAAATTTCTAGTCAAGGATCATTTGATGGCGGCTCACAGTCCAAATTTAGTGTTTCGACGACCAGTAAATTCAGCATTTTATGCTCACAATAAACTTTTTTTGATCAAAAAGAGAGAGGTCTTAGCTGTTTTTGTTACTTACCAAAATTTCTGTGAGAAATCATGTGGATACATTCCACGTCAATATGAATAAACGCATAAAATCCCCGTTAATCCTGTTTTCAGAACGCGCGAGTTTGGCGAAGAACATTCTTTGTTGATCAAAAAATGATCCGGCCTTCTTTTTGAAGTTCGGCGCTTCTCTATTCAATCAAATTGGAATTCGCCATAAAATTGGTGTATCTTTTCAATAAACCGCCAATCTCATTAAGTAGCATCGTTCTAATTTTCTTGATCACAGTTCAAACAGCATCGGTTCGATATCAAAGCTGTGAGACACATCACAACAAAGGCCGCTATCAATAATTAGCTGAAATATTGTCTACCGTATCAGGTCAAACATTAAAACAGTTGCCGACCGCAACACGTGGGCAGAACCCTTAGAAGATATCATATGAAAACTACGCTATACTCGGAGAGACCCAATCATATCATCGGTGGGCGGGCAAGTGCAATCAGAACCGGCCGCTCAACATCAATGCATTTATAAACAATTGACGAGGAAATTTTTGAAATATTCATTCATACTACTCAGTTCAGTTCAATAATGCGTGATAAGATCTCACCCATTAATCTCGACAAACTAGAAACATCTTCTAGTAGTGAAGCTTCGGAAAAAGTCCGACTCGACACAATCCTTGAGAATCTCGGAAGTTTCGGCAGATTCCAGAAGATTCAATTCGTATTAATATGTATTCCTATGTTATTTGTGTCTATGCACGTGATGAGCTGGACGTTCGTTGTCAGTTCGGCACGAAAAGCGTGCGACGAGGTCGGAAACGACACTGAATGTATCGAATGGGCATATTCGGCTTCGGACAGAGTTTGGCAATCCTAGCTGGATCATCTTTCTGACTAATTATCTTCAGTGGGACATCAGCGGAGAGAATTCATGGATTCGTGCAGTAGTTCAAGCAATCTACTTCATTGGCCAAATGATTGGCTCATTCGCTTGCGGAGTAATGGCTGACAAGTAAGTTGATTCAAATCCTTCAATCGAAACCAATTTGATCTACAGGATTGGCCGTAAAAAGGTCCTTTTCCTTTGTTTAGTTATTCAAGTCACATCGGCTGTTCTCATGATTTTCGCTCCAACATGGTGGATTTATGCAATCGTGAAGTAAGACTACAAAGCATTACTTCGAAAATCCTAATGTGATTCAGAATCGGCACTGGATTCACTCATCCAGGAATCTTCGGTGTATCGATCGTTCTTGGTGTAGAATTAGTAGGCGCCAAATGGCGTAGTATCATTTCTATTGTTGCCAACTTCTTCGTAGCTCTTGGTGCTGTCATTCTTGCGGTTCTAGCCTATTTCATATTGGATTATCGTCTGCTTCACACCGCAATTGCAATTCCATCGCTTCTCTTTTTGACCTATTGGTGGTAAGAAACGAGTTCTGCCTTCGTAACTCTCATATTCGTGACAGGATCATTCGTGAAAGCGCACGTTGGCTTTTCTTAAATGGACGAATCGATGAGGCGAACAGTGTGCTTTGCGCAACAGCCAGTGCTAACAAGAAGATGCTCCCAAAGGATTGGTATGAAACAAAATTAGTGTTTTAGAGCGTAGCTTTTCTTGAGTTTAGGATGAAACAAGTCGATATTGACACCTCAACAACCACTTCGAGCAGTAGCTTCGGCATAGTCGATCTTGTGAGAACTCCACAGATTCGCAAGCGAACGCTTGCCAATTTCCTCATGTGGTATCGCGACATTGGGCAAGCATTCTTTGAAAAACAATTTCTGGTTTCAGGCCAGTTACGACAATGGTCTACTATGGTCTTACAATGAAAAGTGACGCGAGCGGTGGAAATGTGTTCTTCACATTTGCCATGATCAATTTCATCGAGATTCCGGCACAAATCATCGTTTTTTTGCTCATCGACCGTGTCGGTCGCAAAATTCTCTATTCATTATCGATTTTGGCCGCCGGACTCTTATTGATGGCCAATTGGCTCACAAGTGATCTCTGTGAGTCACAGTTTACAGTAACCAGTTCGAATTCGAATAGAATTACTGTATCTAAATTATCAAGATACCGGTTTCGGTTTCTGGAAATTTAATGTCAACAACCTTCGATCAGTTCCACGTTGTAGGAAATTGATGAGTGTGATGTAAAAACGGATATCAACATCAATTACTGATCAGAATGATAAAAGAATTCAAAGAATCAAAAATTGCTTTGGAAAACATGCTTTTTACTGTTTCAATGTATTCTTCATTGCAGTGCCAAAGGAATGTGCAATCGTAGAGCTTTTCTTGGCAAAAGCTTGCGTTTCGACAGCCTACACAACAATGTACACATACACATCGGAACTGTTCCCTACAGTAATCCGAAACACCGCAGTTGGATGCTGCTCGACTGTTGCTCGTTTTGGAGCAATTTTAGCATCATTTATCGCATTTTCACTGGTAATTTTATAGAATTCTTTTAATTAGTTAACTAGTAATTATCACATTATAGGTTGAACAATATGGTAGAATTGTGATGATTCTTCCGTTTACAATTCTCACTATTGCCGCTTCTATCATTTCATTCGTTTGTCTTCCTGAGACAATGGGAAAACGACTACCCGATTCCATTTCGGAAGTTGAAGGAAACGAGATTTAATTATATTAGAAGAACTTCTAGCAATTTTCATATTTAATCATTATTATTGAGCTTGACAAATTCGACAACATTTGTCTGTAATTTGACAACGCGTTTACTAGTAAACGAGTACTTTGTTCTACGGGTATTTACAAATGTATAATGTAATTATTTTAATTATGAGACGTGCACATTTTCGTGCGACTTTCGATTTTTTAAGTTTGAATAAATGATTTGAATCAAAAGAAAACTCACAAATCTCCTTGGCCTAATGTCAATTTTTTCATATCAGGAACACAAGTAACACCGAGGTTTTTGAACGGCAAGTCTCCGAAAGATCTTGAAACTTCGATTATACCATTCACACGTCCATCTCTATGTGATAAAGAAACAATAAAATAAATGAGATAATTAGAATGATTGAATACTTCACAATCGCTCCAGTCTTCTGAATTCTCATGCGCTCTTCGTGAGCCATCGGGTTATGATCAACTGTAAGACATACTGGAGACAGGGATCCATCATCCTTCTGTCTTGCAACAACCGCTTTACTATCTCCAATATTTGCCACAAAAATTGTGTTGTTTATAATGAGCATGGTGCTTGCCGTGGAACCATCTTTCCAAACCGGCTTACTGAAATTTTAAAATTTTTTTAAAAAAAAAACAAATTCTTGTGGAGAACACATTCATGAAGTAACATGCGTGCAAAAATGTGTTCATGCGAAATGAATCTTGCGATTTTTCTTAAACTATCTCGGCAGACAACCTGAGAAATTAAGCAAACTTATAAGTTTCTTATTGAGTCGTCTAAAAAGTTAGCTAAGACATCGCCATCATTTACCAACAATTTCTTTGCAAACCTTCGATGGCATTTTAGCAGAATTCAATAAGAAACTTCCAGAAATTTGGTAATTGTAAGAAATTGCCGCCATCTACCGAGAAGTCTAAATTTGAAAAAATAAATGATATTCAGAAATAATTTGGCTATTATATACTATTATATTTAAAAAAAAAACGAGCTTACTTTGATTTTGCTAACGTCAAGAATTGTTCATCGATATTCTTATACGTTTCAATAAAAGTCGATTTCAACGCTTTCTGTGCACTCATCAAATCTTCAACTGCAATTCCAAGACATCAGAAAAAAGTGGATAAAATCCTCGCTTAGTAGATACATTTCGACAACTTCTCTTTTAATACCGTTTCCATATGCTTCTGACAAAACTCAGAAGCTTTAGAGCCAGCATGCCCGTCAAAAATGGCAAAAAATGAGCAGCGAGACCTTAGTTTTTAATTGGTTGTCCGATTATTTCAGTAGATGCTTACAAATCCGACATGTCTCCAAACGAGAATAATGGAGATAAAATAAAAGTATCTTGCATATCATCCCGTTCACCCGTGCGGCATCCATGAGCTGCTATGGTTTCGAAAAGTGCTAAAAATGAATGTTTAAAAAATTTTCAAAGAAAGAATCATACTTTTTTTCGACTTTTTAAGCTCCACTGCTTCAGATTCACTTGCAGTTCGTTTTCTCTCGTTCATGTTTGATTTTTTCTGAAATAAATGAAAACTAATCGGTTAGACGCTAAAATGTTTCAAAAATAATCACGAATGTACGATGGAGCAGATTTGCACAATTTCTAGCAGTTGTTAATCTAACTATAAATAGCTATTCATTTCTCTAAAGAAATTTTTTACTTCAAGACAAATGTTTGTTTCAATGCCATGAATTTTATTATTAATTTGTTCTGTGATATATATATATTGTTAAACGAATTCATTTTCCACTTTAATCAAATCAAAATGTTTTGAATCGGCTAATTTCCGTCTACAAAGCACTCAATAATTGGTATTATATCCATGTCTTAAAGAAAATAATATAATGTATCAATCTAGAAAAATCTTGGCCCGCTTTTTCTGCAAATTACACTACCAGATACCAAAAATTATTTGAATTTTGAATTCCCGCCGTAAATATCAGTAGGCATAAAACGCAGGCAGTTGTCCACTACGTAGTGTCGTACTAATCGAGCCGTCGATTGCCCTCTTGCATTCCTCCTTCATTTTTTTCTCGGTTTCTCACGTTCACAATTTTTTTTCGATTTCCTTGGTCTAATTTTGTGCTTTTTTGGTTGTAATGCTCGTTGTAGGCAATACATTTAAAGTCTAATTAATCAATTCTTCAGAATGGCTGCTTCACTCCGTCATTTGGCTCGCTTCCAACATGCCATTGTTGCCGCCCGCACTGCTCCAAGATTGTGCACTGCTGTCAGAACTTCAACGACATTGAACGATGGAGCCAGCAAGGTTCCAGATCATTCTCTCCATTTCAAGGTTTTGAATTTTCTAGTTTTTTTCTTAATTTTTATTTATATAGGTTGAGAGATACTGGGCTGCTGGAATGCTTCCAATCATTCCTGCTTCCTATTTCATCCATTCTCCAGTTATGGATACTCTTCTTACTATTGCTTTGACTCTTCATATTCACTGGTAATTGGATTAAATGTGAAAAATTTGGATTTTAATTTTCAGGGGTGTTGAGGGAGTTCTTCACGACTATGCTCGCCCATTTGTTCTTGGCGACGGACTAGCTAAGATTGCTCACATGAGCGTCTACCTTATCACCGGTCTTCTTCTCGCCGGACTTTTGCACTTCAATACCAATGATGTCGGACTCACCAAGGCCTTCGAGATGGTCTTCGCCCTCTAAATTGAGCAAAGCCGATATTATTGCCGTGCATAAAACGAATTTATCCCTTAATTAAAAACCTGTGTTCAGCGAACTACTCCCAAACAACAAATAGTACTTTATTGTAAGTCGTTATTGTGAATATGATTAGTTGAGAGTATTATTGTTCCTTGTATAAATATAAACATTAGATTCGCTATTGGTTATGCCTGGATTTCAACGTGAGTATACGATCCTTGGAAGTTATTTTATGTCATATTCAATGGGGAGAAAAATAATAATATATATCAGATGGTGAAGTCGGAAGAATATAAGAAAAAAGCTTTGGAGCGGAAAATGAGATTCAAAAAGCAAACAATTCGCAATCAGCAGTTCAAGGTGAATAGCGTAAAATATCTAATGGCCCTTTCGAAGTGGTATTTAAAAATAAAGCGGGCCATTCTATAATATTCATCACGACTATTGGTTTTAAATTTTGAAAAAAAAAATTATAAATGAGAAAATTGCACGCTGATGTTTAGAAGCGGCGAGAAAATAATTATCATCGCAAATACCAGTACAATCAAAATGGAAATCAACAACAAAAGGAGAAAACGACGAGTACAACTATCAGGACTCGCGGATTCTATAGTATTCTGCCAATGGACGGAATTGATAATATTCCCCAATGTTCACATGGTAGATGCACATATTTTATTTTTTAATTTTCTTGTTTAGGACCATGCTTATTATTCAGCAAAAAGTGTGAAGAAGGACCAGATGAAGTATTTTTTGCTTGTGCCATTTACAGGTTTTGAATTTCGATTTTTCTATCAGACATTTATGCATTCGTTCAGAAATAACGAAAAATTGTGTGATTTTAAAGCATTTTACGATCAAGAAAACGGAACAATTAGATGTGAAAAGGATACGAGTTCTGATAATGAATCAGAACCTTCAAAACCAAAATTGAAAAGGAAGAAGAAAAAGGAACTGTTTGGATATAATAAGATCCCTAAAAGGTATAACACAACATTCGAAAATGAAAAAAATCTTTTGCAGCCTTTCTGAGATGAAGCCGGATGATGTTTGTCTGTATTGCACTGAATGTATTATGGTTTACGCGAATAAACATGAATGTGTTTGTGAACCAATCGACAGAGAAAAGTTGCAATATCCCACTCAACTTCTGCCTCCGCTTGATGTGCAAAATGGAGAATCTGTATGTCATTTGTTTAGAAACTATTGTCATCTTCGGGTGAACGAAAATGACATACAATAAATTTAAAATTGGCACTGACAACTATTATAGAGCAATTCCAATTAATTTTAATTTGTAAAATATAAATCCAACTATATCGTGCAAATTCCAAACAAGACAAGCAAAATAAGCTCGAGGACAGTAAAATTAAATTCAAATAGTTTTTTTTTTTCTATAATGAAATTGGTAATTTACAGCAATTCTTCTTCTCTCAGCAATCACTTGATCTTATTACAAAATCAATTCAAAATTCCGGTGTTGAAGGTGTTTTGTGTATTGCAGCTCCTCGGGTATTCTTTTAAAAAAACCAGTCGAGTTATATTAACAAGGTTTAATAGGTATTTGAAACTATCCGAGTTCGATATCCCGAAACGCCAGTTTTTCTTCTTGATTTCGATAAAAGATTTGTAAGTTAGATTTATAATTATTCGAATTACATGAATCACAACTATTTAAGGCTAAATTTTTCCCGTCTCGGCAATATGCTCAATATAGTATGCTAGTGGATCATTTTTATGACAAAAAATCTGAAGAGAAATTGCTGAATTTTTTCAAGGTATTCAAAATTTTTGGAAAAAAAATGTTTAAGCTGTCCATTATCAGGGTTGCGCGAGTGTCGTCGTCGTTGTTGATCCGCCATTCGGTGTATTCATGGATCCTTTGCTCCAATCAATTGAGAAAATGCGGAAACGATTCGAAAGTGTTGGAAATCCTCCAGAACAATTATTTACGACATTGATTGCGCCTCTTTTTATCCGAAAACATATTTTGAAACATGACGAAAAAATGTGGATGTCGGATTACAGAGTAATAATATAGAAAAGAACTGAAGGGTTCCTCATTCGATAATTTAGGTAACCTATGAAAATCACAAAGTTTATGGAAATCCAGAACGAACGATCGTCAGAATATTCACAAATCTACCGAAGACAAGCATTGATCTGAAAGATACCGACGGATACAAGTACAATTTTCTAGTTATAAATCTAAAATATATTGTTCGTTTCAGATTTTGTGATACGTGTGAGAAATATGTAATCATGCACAACCAACATTGCAAATTTTGTGACAATTGCACATCTATTGTATAAACTTATCAAATTATGAGAAAAAACTTTAATTGATATCTTTTTTTTTTAGGAAAATGGCGTATTCCATCATTGTCACATTTGCAAAAAGTGTGTGAAACCGAAATATACGCATTGTGATTTTTGCCAATTCTGTCATCTTACGGGCAGATGTTTGCAGTATTAATTTCTTTCATTGTTGTTATTGTTAACTTTGTTGTTGTTTTTGAATTTTTGTTGATAAAATGATTTTTATTCCAATTTGAAAACCGAAAGATATTTGGGTGAAATATCTATCTTCAATATTTGCGCTTAATAGCTAAATTAGCTAAATTATCACTTTCAATTTTAATTCTAAATTGTCGTTTTCACTGATTTCGTCTCAATTTTCTAGTGTGCTCGGTGGACAAACTCTGACGCTTGATCGCGTTGTCGTTTGGTCTGATAACAAGTCTCAGAGTCTTTAGCGCTCTCCATTTCCTCAATTCTCTTTTTACTTCTTCGCGCCACCGGTCAATCTGTCCTCTCTTCTCTGAACGATGATAGCGAGACATTCGCTAAGAGAAGGACATTCGTTTCATATTTTTTAGTATAAAAGCTCTCGACAATTTCCCTTTTATTCAGGAGGTCATGTTGGCGAGAAATCTTTTTAATACCTGCCGTCAGATTGTGGCCACTGCTAGTACAAGATGTTCCCATTCTTACTTCTTGAATCGTAAGTTTAATCAAATAAAAAACCACCTAAATATTTAAATGTGCGGTTTTTTTAAATATAATTCTCATGCGGTAATTTCAAATAGGCATTCTTATCACAAATCAACACTTACATAATTCTATTAATGAACACAAACAACATTGAATTAGTTTCAATCTTGGTCGTCGATATTTTTAATGAGATTGATTTCAGCAGCACTTGGCCTGGATTCTGATCTTATTGAAATCCAAAACCTTGCTCACGATTTCGCCAAACGGGAAATGTACCCTCATATGGCCGAATGGGATCAAAAGGGCGAGCTTCCATTGGACGTTCTTAGAAAAGCGGGAGAATTGGGGTTTGGAGCGATTTATTGTAAAACCGATCATGGTGGATCTGATTTGACAAGACTTCATGCTTCTGTGATCTTCGAGCAACTCTCCACGGGATGCGTCTCCACTGCGGCCTACATGAGCATTCATAACATGTGAGCACAATTCTTGCGTTCATTAATTTGAAAAAAGTTCAGGTGTGCTTGGATGCTTGATACTTATGGATCCGATGAGTTAAAAGAAACTTATCTTCCTCGAATTGCCGCATTCGAAGACCTCTGCTCATACTGTTTGACCGAACCCGATGCTGGATCCGATGCAGCGAGCATCCGAACCACTGCTCGACGTGAAGGCGACTATTACGTTTTGAACGGATCGAAAGCATTTATTAGCGGAGCCGGAACATCGAAAAATTATTTTGTAATGGTCCGAAAAGACGACGGACAACCAGGAGCAAAAGGAATCTTCTGCATTCTGGTAGAAGACGGAACCGAAGGTTTCAGTTATGCAAAGAAAGAAAATAAACTCGGATGGAACTCGCAGCCAACTCGAATTTTGACGTTTGAAGACTGCAAAGTATTCATTATTTCAAACATTTTCTCGATAACTATTAAATTTTAGGTACCCGCTAAAAATGTGATTGGAAAAGAAGGAAATGGATTCAATATTGCGATGAATGGTCTGAATGGTGGACGTGTTAATATTGCGAGTTGTTCATTGGGAGCCGCCCAAATGAGTTTGGATCTAGCCATTGAGCATTTAAAGGTAACTGAGTAAATTCGGCAAATTTGTTTTGTTTTTGTTCAGGTCCGCAAACAATTTGGAAAAACTTTGTCCGAATTTCAATACAATCAATTTCGACTAGCCGAATTAGCCACAAAACTTTATACTAGCAGGTTTGTTCAACCAATATTTATACTTTTTTTTTTTAAATTTGGTTTCTAATTTAGATTAATTACTCGCGACGCTGCTCGACTTCTTGACCATGGCTCCGATGCGAAAGTGACCGCATGTGCAATGGCTAAATATCATGCAACAGAAAACTGTTCCGAGGTAAGGCTAAACGTTCAAATTTTTATTCAAATGTGATTTTAGGTTGTTAGCGGTGCTTTGCAAATGTTCGGTGGCTATGGATTCCTTAAAGATTACCCGATTCAACAATATTTCCGAGATATTCGAGTGCATCAGATTCTCGAAGGAACAAATGAAATGATGCGGCTCCTTATTAGCCGTGATCTCCTCTCCAAAGACATTTACTGGAAACCATAAGTACCCAGAGAAATTACTAGGCGCCGAATTACATACTAACACACACTTATTTTCTTGTTATTTCTTGTGAGCATATAGGTTTCATAGTTGTTTTTTGTTTTACCCAGAAGAGATTCTTTATTACTACAAATTCCACATACGGTGAAGCAATTTTATCCTTCTTGTGCCATTTTGACGCGTTTTTCTTGTTGTTTCTTTCGAATATAAAACAAAGTTTTTCTTTTAATCTGTTTAGAGAAAGTTTTCAGATGATGAAAAAGGTATGGTAAATTATTCCGCGTTTAAACTGAGCATACATATTACTAAGGGACTATAACGCGTAACTATGACGAAAGGTGCATGACCGTAAATTTATCCCGCGTACAACATCAACGAGTTACATCAACTCGGCTTATTTTTTTATGAAGTAGGGGTATGGGGTTGCGTGCAAGTCGAGCCGCTTAAGACGGATGGGAAACAACAATAACGGCGAATCTCCGAGGAGAGTCCACGTTCGGGAGCGTTTGAACTGCCGTCATCGCAAAATTCACGAAGCCGAAACATGCAATTGTGACGTAATTCAGAAAATGTCCGCAGATGTTTCAAATAAAAAAATATTTGGTTTAGATGTGAGAGAGAGGGCTTCCGGCGCCCAAAATGGTGGTTAGGGCCGGGCGCGGTTATTAATGTACTGTGTTTGACCAGCGCGGGTGAAAGCTATGAGGACTTTTCGCGAGCAAACGCGAAGCCCTACCTTTAGATTCTGACAATAAATTTTTTGCCTAAAAAATCAAAAGCTTGAAAGAAATGTGATGAAACTATTTCAGCTTTCAAGATCAGTTTCAAGTATATGTTTTCTCAATATGTTATATTCTTTCAAGCATGGTTAAAAAAAAACCAAAAAGTTCATTGCCTTACGAGTACTACTGTATATTTTTGAATAATTGCTCTAGTAAACATATATACTTACCCTTTCAGTCTGGTTGCAGGGGAACTCAAAACGTGCTTGAATTACATTACACAACATGATTCCTGGCAATTTCAAAGAGTGCATTGTCATAAACTCAAGTCATCATATCTTTGAATGACTGACCCTTGACAAAAAAAACAAGGAGAACAATGCCACGTGTCAGCTGCTGCGCCTCCGAGAAGCTGAAGCAACAGGTGTTCCAAGGGAGCCCCGCGGCCTCCGCCATCCCGCGATTCTATGCACCCATCAATTTTTATATGAGAACTTTGCTATTTCGCTGACTTCATTTTTTCATCCGATGCGGTCCGACATTGTCCTGCTCCTATCTTATTATTTATTAGTGAGCCAGTCCGGAGCTCTACCACCGATTTGCACTCAAGCGCCGTCGATCACTTTTCGTCGATCAAATGATGTTGTTCGTGCGGAATACGGAAAACTCATTGTTGCCGTTTTCACACCGTTGCAATGCGCAAATTGTTATAATTTCTTGAGAAGGTAAAATTGCGAAAAAATTGCACCGGTCTTCGTTAGCTGATATGCATACTTGTTTAACAATGCCTTATGAAAATCTCCAAAATTCTACAATTTTTGTAAATACTGATTTGAGCTTTGAAATATTTAGGAATTTGCAAGGCCAGTTTTCGAGAGTTGTCCAGCTATACACAAAATTTGACTTGTCACGGGACACCTAGAGGTTTAGGTGTCTAGAAAACATAAATGAAATAATTTTGAAAACAACATTGATTTTTTTGCGAAAAGCTTTACAAAGATTAAAATACAACATTTCTAACGAAGACTTTAAAAAATTCAGATTGGATGAAATCGGAAGAATGAATCGACAGGCAAAAATATTGATAATTGCACCGGATTTCGAATCGAATCATATTATTTCGCGCACACAGTCAGCGGTAATCATTCGAATTCATTTTCTGCGAAAAACAATTGAATAATTTCTTAGTGTTTTCTTTTTCAGTTCACCTCTGTCCAAATCGATCGAGCTGCTGAAGGATGGCCTCATTACAATGCGAAAAATTTCGATATTTTGATTATTGATCAGTGCGGGAAAATCGCGAACACAATCGAATGGCCATCCAGTGATGTAACAATGTCTCAAAAAGTTAGCGATGTTGTGCGAGAAGCTTCCAATGGTCCGATTTGTGGAAGATGCCAGTCCGACAATTATTATTCGACGAAAGTTTGACATACATTCATCTCAGATTATATCAATAGAGCTTCATTTAGAAAATAAATGCATATATCAAAGAAAGAGATATGAGGAATAATTACAATTATAACCGGCAGCTTCAGCCGCCAGCACAGTCCGCGCTTCGAAATTATGATCCGAATCGCAACAATCAAAGGACGTCGCCATCCAGGACAGCGAACAAAGCGCAAGTACAACCAAGTAACCAATCCATCCAATCAACCAATGTAGGTTGTTTCGGAAATGAGGTGTGTTGTTCCAGACACTAAAACGACGACCACAACCACACCACAGACTCCAATTGATTATTCGGATTATTATGAGGCTGATGAGAATACTGTAACGACGGTTTCACCTCAGGTATGTGCATTCCTTGATTCCAAATACTTTCCATTTCCGCACCATCGCGAGTTGCTTCAAAATAAGTCTGTTAGCATTTGAGATCCCGCAAATGCACCTTATTTATTTTTGCTCGACTCGATTTTTGTGTCCGCATCGATGATTCAATGACAATTTTTCCCATTATTTCCACGAATTTTCTCCATCTCGCAGCCACTGCAGATGAGGACGACAATGTCGGGTTGAGCGTCCTGGGAGAGGGTTTAGGTCAACTCGAAAATTCGGCGAGCAAACAAAAACTGTTTTATTTGTACGGTGCACTGTTTCGAAGAGTGAGACACACGAAGAGAATCGGATGGAAAAAGGAAGAAAAGAGCGGTACAACTACCGATGGATCGAGTCAATATAACCTACTACTTCTACTACCGCACCCCGGCGAGAGCCGCACCTCTGACACGCTATGCGGAGGCGACGAGCAGCACCGAGACGGTAAGGCTCTCGGTCAAAAGTTGCGCTATTTGCGCCGAGCAAACACGTCGGCAGAGCGCGGAACGAAACGACGGGAAGAAGGAAGGAGTACGGTGCAACGCATAGTGCAATCCGATAGCCGATTGCGCCTTGTCAGAAATCAAGCCGAAAGTGATTTGCAATACGAATGACCTTTTATGATTGTCGAGATTTGAATACGGCGGCATTGGGTTTGATATCAGTTATCGTCTTTGTGTTGAAGCACCTCATTCAAATCGAAGGCATCGTTTTTCAAAAAAGGTTACCACATTATTTGAAATTACAATTCAAATGTGGGAAATGTTGAATCAAAACGCATTAACGTGGGATACTTTTCAAATTTTGCACTTTCAACTTGATTTTGAATTTAAAAAAATCATTTCAGACCCAAATTCCAAAACCTCCTGCGTTGATTCCAAACTGGCCAACGCATTCTCCTTTGAATTTGAACGGATATCCACAAGTGATATAAATCAAAGAAAACCTGTTAGAATCGTTTATTTCCAGCAATACCAACCACGGCATCCCGAAGTTTTGGCTGATGCCAACTTGCCGTGTTCTGCTTATACTGATGATATATGCTTCCATCAGGCAAGAATTTCCACAAAAAAAATATAAGTCTCGGATTGCTTTTTTCCAGCATGAACGATTAGGATTGCCATTGTCGAAATGCTGTACGAAAGGGATATACTTGACTGATGTGTGTGTGCCCGGAAAGTGCTCGAATAGTACTCAAAGAATGTGCTGTTTCCAGAAATTTTTGCAGGTGGGTGATCAACGAAATTTTGACTAAGCCTAAGCCTAAAACACAACTCGTTGATAGTTTTGTTAAACTTCCAACGGATTTAGGCCAAATATGCTTGCTGCAATGATCCAAACCAAGACGACGCCGAAAATCCGACCAACAAATTCAATAAATGCTGTTACGATCTTTTTGTCAACGAGGTTCCACCATTCAACATTTTGTTCTTCAACGTACGGTGCATTTTTAGGATGATTGCTGTCCAATGCGTTCCTCGAATAATTATTGGAAGACTGTCTATGATGTGTGCTTCCCGAAAACATACGTGAATTTTAGTAGCGTCAAATTCGAAGTAAGTCATCAAAATGTTCGAAAGAAAATATGTGCGCGTTTTTCCCGCCTTCGCAATGACGTGGCTTTGAAAAGTGTTTGCACAAGAGATTGACTAAACAATTGACCCGAATCGCGGATAAAAATACACTAAAATTCATTATATCTAGAAATTGTGCTATGCAGATATTGAAGAAAATTAAAAAAAAATACTTTTTTTTATTGTTTGAGAAATCCTTTTTTGAATTGCTGTACAAACCATGAAACTGTTGGGCGTTTTATTACAAAAAAAAACTTTAAAGAATTTGATTTATTAATTAAAAATTGTATTATATTTGTAGGTGCACTTCAACGAAGGAGTCCGAGTTTTAGACCTGAGTTTGAACCGTCAATGGGATTTTAATTGTACCTATGGCAAAAATGTATCACAATATGCTTATCTTCCCAAGAAAAAGCCAACGTGATGAATGAATTCTTAAACAATTGTATATAATATCTCAGGGTTGAGAATCTCCAATAAACTCTTCCATCAGCAATCTCTCTTGTGTTTTGAAATCGATCAATACGTTTTTTGGAAAGAACTGCCGTTTTTTTGCTTGTCGGTATTCTCACTAATGCAAAAAATGTGTTTCGTTAACACATTTGGAATAAACTCAATAAAAGGTGGCACAGCAAGCGCTTGGCAGAATGTGGCGAAGCTGAGTACATATTTGAAATTGATCAGCTATGCCAACATCTTGCCTAGCTCTCACCGGCCGTTGTCGCCAAGGTTTGATGAGTTTAAATGAAACAAGCGAGGGTCGCCAAAAAAAAAGAAAGAAAGCATACGTGTTGCTGAATCACCCACATTTTTTTGGCGAACAAAAGTGATGGCATACGACTATGGGAACTTGAACTTTTTCCTCGTCGCATCAAACATTTGCGCGACATTTTCAGGTGTTTGAACCTCACCGCATTTCAATTTCTACCATAATCGGGCATTGACAGAATATAGGAGAGTAGACGACGACAGTTGCAGGGAACGAATAGCGATACTGGTGGAATCGAGTGCCTACTGAGCGTAGCCCAACTCGGCTCTCGATTTGTTTGCGCGCTCTCGATGCTCCGCCTTCACTCGACTCCGCCCATTCTTCGATTTTTGACGGGCACACGTGTTTGCTCATCACGCCAAAGTGGGTGCCTAAAAAGTGCACTTCGGACATTGCACCATACTGGTGTGAAATCGTTAGGATTTGTGACGCAACTCGATGAACACTATCACGTTTAGGTGGGGATATAATAGCAGGTTGGGTGTAAAACAAATAATATGTATACGCATTAGAATGTTGAAAACAATTCTACTAATATATACATCGATCAACAATATCTAATACAGACTGATAGAATGTCTCAGATATATCTATATATCAATCAACTCTGTTTGGAAACCATTGCTTAAAATATCCAAATCTATTTGAGTGAAAACATTTAAAAAAAAATATAGATGTGTCGAATATGCGATCGGTTTTCCGTAAAATTTGAAATATTGGCGCGCAATGAAAAATTTCTATGCAATTCGTCAATTTTGCCAAACAAAACATTTTCGGGCATTGTTTCGCGTTTACCCGATTATTAGAATTTTTGAAAATTTTAAAATATCAATTCAAATATTTAATGGCCTATTCATGAAATGAAACATTAATATGCATATTTTTCCCTGAATTGAAAAAAAATGTCTAATTTTTTACATGTTTTATTGTTTTTATAAAAAATTGCACACCATGTTATTAAAAAAAGTGAATTCCGAACAATTGGTATCCATTTTCCTGTTTTAATTTGAATGGTGTTCTTTTCAATTCAATTCTCTTGAAAAACGATCGGTTGCCAAAGTCTCAAAAATAAAAATAACGAAAAAATCGATAACTATTGAAACAAAAAACATTATCATCGCAAAAAAAAACGAGCGCCTTGCATAATTAATTGTGGACCATCGCACTTTTTCGAGGCGGTAATTCAAATTCGAATTTGAACAGTTTGATTTCGAATATCGTACTCTGGTTAACCTGCGAATCAAACTCACCGTAAATCGGCGCAATGTGTTCATTTTTTTTTGCGATGGTAATACATATAACCCGTCCTTGCTAAAATTATATCTACAATAAAGATATTTCGGGAAAACATTTTTTCGGTCGAAAATACCGGGAAAGTCGGGATATTTTGGGAAGTGTTGTTCTTCTTGCAGTTTTGTAAAAAAAAACCAAATGCATTTGTTTGGAAACAAAGAGACGTGAGCGTGTTTGCGTACTCTGCATTTCAGCGTACGCGCATTTAGTAGTTAAATAGAAACGTAAATTTGCACATTCTACACTGATTTTGCAAAATTGAATTTCCCGCCGCCATTTGACAATGAATCGATTAAAAGAAAACAAAATGAAATATATAGTCGGCGTCCGGCGACTGATGTACGCACGCGGGTATATTTACAAGTGCTCCTTTCTAAATGGTCTCGCCACGTGTGAACGCTTATTTCGCTGATCACACGGAAGGGTAAACTTTTTCTTGATGAGACCATTTCCTTGGATTTAGAACATTATTTAATTTAAAAATGATCAAGAGAAAAACGCATCCCCCGTAAATCTACCCGGGTGTAATACAATAATATATGCTCGTCACTCTTAAATAGGTATATCCGTATGAAAACGGCGTTATTTTTTTATAAACATACAGATAAATTACTTTGTGATATAAGAACATGTGGCAATTTTTCCTAACATAATAATATTAATATAATTATAATATTCAAAACACGACAATCAAATGGAATTTTTTTTTAAGATTAAGTTCATCTTACTCGTAATAAATGCATAAATATAAAAAATGGCAAACAGAATATTTTTTTTTAAAAATGCAGAAAACGAAACGATTAGATGGTTGAGGTGGGTTGACCGGCGTCCAATTTCGCATAATTCAAGTGGGCGTAGATCAAAACGCCGATGTCGCGATGGCCATTCTCAACGGCAATCGAAAGAGCTGTTGAGCTATCCTGCAATTTTCAAACCTTGTATTCAATATGAATATTATGATAACGAACACAATCAGTCAAAGAAGCGTCAATGTTGGGTTGCGACAAAAGAATCTTGACGAGATCGCGATGGCCATGCTCAGCAGCACACATCAATGCAGTCGAGCCCTCTTCGTCTTGAATATTCACATTCGCTCCACACGTGATTAGAAGTTCAGTAGTGGCGCGTTTTCCGTGCGAGACCGCCAACATCAACGCGGTTTGGCCATGTTGGGTCGCTTTTGCATTAACATCGCCCATTTCGAAAAGTCTAAAAGCGACTATGTTTTGGAAGCCACAATTTTTAGCATTTAGGTTTACCTCTGAACAACAGCTTTTTCGAGATCATCTTCAAGAGCGCTTAGTGCCGCCAACATCACAGCTGTATATCCTGCCTAAAATGCACTCGGTGTTGCATATTCCCATATTTGTGTATGATTTTTTCAAACCTTATTCGGAGTATTCAAATCGCATTCTTCGCAATCCAAAATCGACGAGACAACTGGAAAATTGGCGTGTGAAACTGCGTAGTGCAATGCAGTATTTCCCTTAAAAGTCAAACGAACTCATTGATAGATAGTAAAATTTTTTTAAAAATTACATTTTGATCGCTAATATTCACAACAGTTCCGACCATTTTGGGGCCATAATTGCGCAATTCAGCGATGAATCGATCAACATGCTCATAGCGAGATGATTTTCTCGCGGCAGTCTTCATCCATTCATGTTGAACAAGCTTATTAGATATGTCCTAAGAGTAAATATGAATTTGAAAAATAGCTTGAAAAGAAGAACTTACAACAGTCTCCATTGGCACGCTTCCTGGCTCCAAAATATTGGAATTGAAGTTTTCCAAAGCTTTACGAAGTTCATCAGAAACATCAAATGGAGCTGCTTTAAACAAAATGAAAAAATGAAATAATGAATCTTGAAACGTGATAATACCATCAAAAACATCATCTGTGACCTCAAATGTGCCATCTGAATGATCGGAACAATCGGATTCGGCGTCGTAGTCACTGGAAAATAGAAAAACATCGATGACGAATTACCCCTTTGCAATAAAACCTCAGCTCTTCATTAATATCTCTTTGATATTGAATTGGCGGCGTTGCAACATTTCGAATCCATCTAAATGGTTCAATGCATAAACCGGTCACCATTCGAATCTTTTACCTATTTCCCAATACTCTGAGCTCACTTCTAAGCGGGGTGAGACGATCCTGCGCTTCTTCTTCTTCATCGGGAGTCTCAGCACATTCTTCTGGTGTCGCCCATTTACTGATTTTCGGTCGTGGAATTCTTGCTGGCACCGGCTCAGGGACCTTTGATGGAGGCACGACATACTGAAAATAAACACAGTCTTATAAAAGAGAAAGAGAGAGAGATTGTCGCTTTCAGATCGCACTTCTTTCTTTAGAATCACTTTAGAAGTGAGGGCTTCAGAATTTTCAGGAACAGTCGAGTTGGAAGCAGACGTTGACATGACCTTCTTGTCAATTATGTAATCGAGATCATCGACTGATTTCTTTCTATCAAATCTGGCACTCCTAGAAGAAATCAATTTGAGGTCGATCTTATTTTTTGTCGTTTTACTTCGAAACTGCTGTTCCTCTTTGAAAAGGCGATTTTTGTTCATTCGTCAATAATTTCTTCACTGCATTCGTCTTCGCAATCTCGAAATCCCGTTGCTTCTGATCATCGGGTTCTGTCTGAAACTCACATATGTCTCAATCGTTATCGAGATTCAGATATACTTTGAAGCCTGGCGCCTCATTTTCATCAGTTTCCTCCACGTTCGGATCGCAGGAAACACAAATCTTGAAAGAATGATGATTATCTCGACAACTAAAATATTAATACCTTGTCCTGTACCGAGCACGCGCCAACTCCGACGTTTCTCGTGAAAACCTCCATTCTTTTAAGGCATTCTGCGCACTCGGCGTCTTTTGCGAGAGCAGGAGCAGATAAGGAGGGAGCTGGAGGAGCTGGTTCTGAAGTTGTTTGCGACGAACTACAAACAAGATTTTTCGGCGGCGCCACTTTGTCGAATATAATTGGACTGCATGCCATATCACGAGTCTCGACTTCGTTTGTCTGGGTGTCCTAGAAATTGATGCGAATTACGTCTAATTCAGAATGATTCCCTACAATATGAAGTATTTGAAGTTTATCGGATTGGGTTGCGATATCGCTTGTACTCGCAGCTTCTGTTTCTGTGCCCACGTGCTGGATTTCGATTGTCTTAAATAGAATTGATTTCGAGAAAATCAAGCTCAACCTACTTCTCCGACTGATTTCTCATCAAATCTTTTTTCGTCAGTATTAGTTGAGATGTGAACAGGTTCGCCACGAGCAGGTGGAATTCTGGAGAATTTGATGCCATACAAAACTCGACAAAACTCTGTGGGGTACCTTTCGATTGCTAATGCTAATTCTTTTTTCAGGTTCGGACATTCTCCACAAGGCTTCGCAGGAGGTAATGGTCCCGTGGTAACAGCGACAGTTCGTGTCTGTTTCTGCTCAACTGGCTGAAAACGAAACCAATTTCAAACTCGTAAGGAAAATTTTAGACAATACCAAAGGAGATGTGCATGTTGCTTGGGTGCGAGAGAGTACTGTAGAACCATTCGATTGATGCGAATACGTGAAATGAGATTCGTCGATTACTTGTGGAGCTACTTGGAGACGCTGAAACTCAACGAATTTAAGAAATGCTGTGATAGACATGATTATTTTACTCTGGGCAGTTTCGGAGATGCAGAGAAAAAACGAGATCGTGAGGAGGATGCTTCAGAACTGTCATTCAGTGAATATTCGCGTCCACGACGAAGACTCGCAAATTCTGACGAATATCCGTTGATTTTTGACGGAGTGATGTCACCTTCGATTTAGAATTCATTATAATAACAGTTGGCTTCTTTCAAATATACCTTGACTTGGAACTCGACGAAATGTCGATGCTTGACTTCCTGATCGCAGTGTCGGGGTCACATTGCCGCCGTTTGGTCTCGACGAGAACGTATCACCGCGGAATGTTGGCGTCGAAAGCTCTCGCAACGATATTCCTAAATCTATAGGGGTTCCAACGCGAGAGCCAACCTCCGGAAAAGGGCTTTCAGCGTTTCGGGCTCGTATCTCTGAAACAGTCTTCGCCAATGCGGTCGAATATCCTGAATACAGTTTGAGCGGATGGCCAAAGGAATTGATTGCTTACCATTAGAATGGCTTGATGTATTATTGTTAATGTTGTGGTTGTTCAAGCGACCATTGTTAAAGAGAATTGGCGTGTTACTGCGACTTCCATTGGTGTACATCAAATTGGTGGGACGAGAGGGTTTTGGTGGAGGTGGTGGAGGAGGAACAGCTAGAAGGAAAACGTTGCGAATGTCATAGTACATGCTGAATACCTAGATCGAAACTGAGCTTCTTCTCCAGAGTGTTGTTCCCCCTTCGATAAGTAGTATAATCGGAAGAATATCCGTTTTGAAATCGATTCTTGATCTCATGAATATCCTTTTCTCTTTTGTTTTTCTGCATTGCTTCATCGGCTGTTTTATGAAGAGCTAGAGCTTCTTCAAAATCGCTCATTATGTTCTCAAGAGAATCACTAAAACACGACGAATGAGCTGGTGGTTCGGATGGTTCGAAATATCAATATACCTGAATACACTATCCAATGGGCTCATCAACGAACGATCATTGCCGTTTCGTTGACTCTGCGTCGGTGTTCCTTGTCGCGAATGGAAGCCGCTGCTCAATTCCGGAGTGTACGACGTCGGCACGAAGCCGAGCTCAATGTGCAGTCCGTATGGACAACATCGACATTTCGAGCCAGCCGTCGGCGGAGGCCCGTTGCGCTTCGTGATCGTGGCTGATGTACTCGCGTTCGAGGACATGCCACCACTGATTTCACGCATACAATCAAATCTTACCTGCGAAAATAAAATTGATAGTGAGTCACTCGAGAAAGAAGTTTAGAAAAAAAAAAACGAAATGATTGCAAATACAGGTTTTAGAAAAAGAATTTGTTTTGAATCTGATGTTTTCAATAAATTTTAGAGGCTTTGAGGAATGATAAGGAATTAATGATGAGTTCAAAATAATTAATTAACAAGAACGCGAAGTACGAAAGGGAATTTCACCGTATAAAATGGAATTCAGTGAGATTTAATGAACTAAGTGAGAAATTAATTAATCGCAAATTCATATGGAACCAGAAAAAAGCTTGAACACGATAAATGGCGAAATGAAAGCGCCATAAAAAAGTGTAAGGCCGCCGCGGATTCGGGGGGCTAGGTTGGGAAGAAACGGAGAAAATGCGCTTGAAGGCGATATAAAACTTGATTGATATGGCCAAAATTGCGTGTCGAGGGGGCGTAGTCTCCTCCGTCGAATTCGGGTGTTCGATTCAAGGTCACACCTGCGTTGATAACCGGCGGGAATTTGAATAATCACCAATCGTCATCGCATCCAATTTTTAGCGGTGCGCAGCAGCATAATCTCGTAGTGATATGCAACGACACGAGCGAAATGACGAAAACGGGCGCGAAAGCGAACGAAACAAAACGAAAACGAAGCCCGAACGAACGGCGAAACGGTAGGAGAAGCGCAAACATTCATCGGAAGTGGAAGGCAATGAGAATAATACAACAAATATTCCGTATTATACATAGACAATATGCACACTGATTGTCGACTATCAAATTTTTAATGATTACCTAGTTGAATCGAGCCAACAGAATCCGGAAATGTTTAGCAGATCAACTGAAGAAACCCACTTATTCGGTAGGTGGGTGTGCGTGACAGGTGTGACGGAAACGCAGAGAAAAATGATAATCTGATAGGCAAACTTGACGACGAGAACTTCCGGAGAAAACAATACGGATGGACAATGCAGAAAAAACATTTGGAGAGAACAAATTGGCCCCTGTATATTCTCAAAAATGAAGGGAAGAGAAATACGAAAAATCTGGAACAAGATTGCGTCATTTGTTATTAGAATAAAGGCAGAATTTTGAGAAGGATGGATGATTTCTTTTCTCAAAATTTCGAGCACAATTTGAATGAACGAATAAATCATTCGAAAATCTTGAAAATTGAGGTGTTGAATTTTTTTTTTTGGAGACTTCCCAAAACATGTTTATTGCGTTTGGAAGTGCATCCAAACGAAGTCTTGTGATGGGCATTTCAGAAGTGTGGAAGTGAGAAAACGGAAATCGGATATCTACATAGGATGCGTTTGAAAATTCATATTCTCGAACTAGTAGTACATCGATGAGGCAATTCGAAGAGATGCTCAAATAGCGATAAATTATGGTTTGTAGAACCGCAAATAGGCTGTCGAACATCTGTTTCGAATAAAAAAAAATCGAGAGAGTGCGAGAGATGAGCGACATCAAAAAACTTGCAACTAAACAGGCAAAAACCCACAATTTATGAGACGTGTCGTCGTCGGGGGAATTCAACATCTGTGCGCGAGTACTACACCGATTTGTCACCGGCCTGTGCGTATGTTTTTCAGAAACCATTTTTTTGGTGTTTATTCAGAAAAAAAACGGAAAAACGGTGACATCTACCAATTTTCTCATCAACATTTGCGCATTTCGATAGTGGTTTTCGACCAATATTAGCCAAAACAAATTGATCTCGAGATTGCTAATATCTCTGCAAATTATGCATCTTTAGAACCCTAGGTTTTCTGATTTTCTTCTTTATCCATACTGTTTATTATCTTTAAAAGGTAAAAAATGAATTGAAAAAATAAAAATATTTTCAAATTGTGCAGGTCGAACAATTGTACTTAAAAAATTAAAACACTAGAAAAACCTGACATTTTTGAATTGATCAGCAGCTTCCAATTATGCAATATTGAATAACATTGTAAAACAAATATTTAGGTCTCAAAGCGAAAATCAATATGCAAACTCAGATTGCAAACAATGCACACCAACCACCCAAGAAGTGCCGAAAATTGATAAGGAATGTTGCGAACATTCACAGTTTTTTGTTTCGCTACATTGATGGTTCGACTAGTCAGAAGGCGGGTAAAAATAGCGATTCATCAAGAACTCGAGTTTACCGACAGATGGATGAACAAAAAAAATGAGATGATGAGGAGACGACAGAGAACTGAACGCGACACACACACACACGCACACAATAGGGTTCTGGCGTGTGATAATCGTAAACTGCGGAAAGGTCCATAAAATCTTTATAGCTTTCGTTTTGGTGCAATACGACAAAATATTAAGAAATGCATTTGAATGGACATCATAATGAGGTCCGTTGAATGAAGTGGGCGGAGTCGAAGAGATTAGAAATTCAGCGCCCAATTTGATAAAACGGGGCAAGCAACCCATGATGCCAATTTTCTTCATTAATTATTGATGCATGATTTTTTGGGAACCATTTTTTTCAATCAAACTTTTTTTTCGACCAATTAGTTTAATGATCAACCTTTTTGAAAATGTGCTCAAACGAAAATTGATTGATTGATGTGCGAAAAATGACCGTAGGCAAGGGTTCGATATGTGAAAGAAAACTAATGAGAAAAAACTACTTTGGATTATAGTTATCATTTTGTAATCTATTCTAATTTGAAAGGTTCTATTCCTATTCTAGTAAACGATTTTTTTAACGAAAATGTCATCAAATGTCATATTCAATACATAATCCGTCATGCTTTGCCAGTTTAGATGAACTTGAATTGATGTATTCAAAGATATCATAACACAAGTCATGGATTACGTAATTTAACGATTCGATAATTGTGTACGTTTATGTGCATAACCTGCATTCTGCGATATCAACGGTATATTATATTCATTCGAATGTCCAATCAATTTTTTTTGCAGACGCGAAGGCTTGATTTTTGAGACAATTTTCGTGTTGGCCCCAATGACACAAAAATTAATTATTGTCATATTATTGATGCTCAATAATTGATGTTTCATGAATGATTGCGAATGAAAGTAGAATCAATAATTGTGTAAAGTAAGTGTATTAATAAAACTATCAGCGGCCGAATGAATTCGTTGCGAATCGACGGGGCCGACCGCGCCCAATTCCATCACCCCCATTTATGGAGAATGGGCGGAAGAGAGGGTGTCGGAACATTGATACAATCTAATTATTATCTTTCGCTATATCCGCAATTAGGCACTATCCGTTCATTGCACCATTACCCAGAATTATTGTACGTTAGATGATAAATTAATAAAGGTGGAAAATAATGGACAGATTTTTTAATTGCTAGCCGGAACTTTAAAAAAAATGTGAAAAATAATGGATTTTTTAAAATCTTTCCCGAAATAAAAATTCTTAAATTTCATTTCAAGTTGTAACAAAATGATTTCTTTGAAACAGAGAAGGAAAAAAACCAATATTCGACCTCAAAATTGTCGTATATAACGACACGAACTGTGTTGTAACACTCTGATAGCATGAATATGCATTTGTCACACAACAGACCCTTCAGACACCCCCAAAAAAAATGAAAACGAAGACCGAAAGAGGGCGGGATGGTGGGGTAGCGATGAAAGCGAGAATCGGCCGTCGAATGCGCAATTCGGAACCAGACCATCTCGCTGTTTCGCACCAACAAAAAACATTGGCGCGCGATGGTGGCCGAATCGAAAAAAAGAAGGAAAATCAACACAAAATTGAATAGCACAATGCCAATGATTGTACCAAAAAAGGGACGTCATGTGAGTCATGTTACATAAGAGTTGTACTAATCGAAATTTTTAATCAAATCCAACAATGAAATCAACAAAACAATAACAATAAGGTAACAAAAAAAGAAGAAGAATCAACTCAGAATTTAATGTGTTTTGGCATTTTTCGCACCGGTTTCTTCTCAGGAATTGCAGATTCGGTCGGATCGTAGTCCATGTCTGCAGATTCTTGTGCAAGGTTCGTTGACGCACGGCCGACGAATTCTGATGAATAAATGATATGAAGAACAGTGAACATTTATAATAAAGTGCTCTTTGCAAATAAGTGAACTATATTTAGAAGGAATCGTCGGAGAATCATACAAAAAATTCTCGAAAAGAACATTTCTTCAGAATAGGAATGCTTTTAATCGGTAACTCTAAAATTTGAACAGTGTAGAGCTGTCAACAGCTTGGAGATGTACACGGTTAGATTTACCGAAATACACCTGCTGGTCCTACCACATTCGAAAACTTATTTTGTTAGTGAAATAAAAACGTTAAATTTTTGCTTTTACTTGATGATCTTGTAATTTTCTCGCGTTTTGTGTAAATGTAATTTTTTTAATTATATAAATTAGATATAGAATACGAAACAAAAGATTCGGGGCACTCCATAAAAATCCACTTAGTTACGTGCTCTAATTTTGAAAATTCTGCTTTTAAAAGAAAATAATTCAAGATTTTTGTTGTTCGTCGTAAAAAAAACGCACTCTTCTTTTCTCCATTGATACCAGCTTTTTGAGCAGCCAATTCTGGGCAATTCCTCTTCAAATGGGCAATTGAGCCGCAAACATTACACGATCCACCTGAAATTTGATGTATCAACCCGTCTAGACCTAGAAATGAACTACTACCATTTGGATAAACTCCGTTCAGATTCTGATGGCAGTCTCTTGACAAATGACCCATTTGTTTGCAAACGAAGCAGGTCGAAAACGGAAAGCCTGAAATCAACATTTCGGTGTCACTTCTAATGATCATAACACTCAAATGCGATCATCGTAAAACCAGTTCGAACCCGCTAGTTATTCATCTCTTTTTTTTGATCGGCTGTTTGGCGGCCAAACGCATTTCTGGCCATCAAATCTCATTATCATACACCAAATAGGCATCGAAACGTTTTGTGTAAACCGACAACTACAAAAACAGCACAGCAACAAATTTATTTCAAGCGGGGCACATTCTCGACAGTAGGTCGGGCGATCAGAATCGATGAAGCATGCGATATCCGATCCAATTTGTTACGCTTCTGATTATCTTCGCGTTTTTTTTTTTTCGTCGCATTCGCGCAGCGTCACATCCGAGACGCCTTGAACGCGCGAAATCACACAAAATAATGATGAATGCGCGGTCGATTCCCTCCTCAAGTTTCCTATCAATTCGACATTTTAATTGTCGTATGGGGGGGGGTTGCGCTTTTCGCAAAAAACCTCATCTTATTTCTGTCATGACCTAAAAAATGGGAAAGGATTCGCAATGATTGCGACATTTCCTTTCAAGTGTGTCGGTTATGAATGAAACATTGGAATAAAATTGATTTTGAACATTTACCAATATTTTAGAATCAATAAGCACTTACAAAATCTGAAAGTAACTGTAATTTCAATTTCAAAAATGAAAATTTTTTCAGAAGAGGTAAATTTGTACTGCCAGAATCTCTTGAATTTCATAATTAGGTCTTGTATAGCTATAATCTATGTGATTTCGCCAACAAACTTTCGAAACTGTATTTTCAAGAAGAGACACTTAAAGCGACTCATAAAATTAGTGTTGACGGGCAATGATGATGGCCGCCCCGTGGAGAAATTGGCGAAATTTGGCTATAAAATTGGATTTATGACCATGTCGGAGAAAGAAGGCGCGCGGGCACTTCAATTCGCATTTTTATTATAATTTTACATCATTTTTGAATGATATGCGTTGGGAATGCGCCAAAAATGGCTATTGGGGATCGACAAACCTTTGATGTTCTTCTTTTTACATGAATAAATCGAATGCTCCGTTGAACCACATTTGAAGCAAATTCCATCGCCGTCGCTTGAGCTTTTCTTCGGACATTCCGACACTAAGTGACCTGGTTCTCGACAATGGAAACACGCTGATCTCCTAAACTTGTTATATATTAATAGTTTTAACAAAAAAAACTGAATGAAATTTAGAAAAGTATAAAAATCCGAAATTAAAAACGAGCACTCTGATTCGGGGATTGTCCGCTGTTCGGTAAACACTAATTCCAAAACTCAAATTACAGGCTACTCGATATTTCAAAAACAAAAACTTACGACGATTTTTCATTTTGTCTACCAATTCTTCGTGTTTCTTTCGCTTTCCATCTTTTGATTAGCACTCCAGCATCTGCTCTTGTCACCTTTTTAGCTTCGACCATACTATTAACTTTATTCTTCAAATTGTTTCACTTTGGAAAATATTTAAATGTTTTTTAAACCTTAACAGCAAATAGATCGGCATTCTCTCCAAGGGCTCTAATTATAACTTCACGATATCTCTGAAAATAAATTTAATTTTTTTCATTTATAAACATCATTACCTTTAGCCGTAGATTACGGTTATAAACCCTGTACAATGTTTCTGCTTCACCTTCGGTGATTTTTCCTTCTTCGACTTGTTTCTTAATTAGCTCTTCGCCCTCATTGAACTTAGATGTTGTTTCCGTTAATTTTGATAATAATGTACAAAATTTATTTTCAATAGCCTCGAAGCTGAGCTCTTTGTTCTTTTTTTGAAACTTTGCTTTCGGCTTTTTGTCTTTTGTATTCAGATTTTCCTGGACTTTCGATTTTTTCTCTTCTGGCTCTTCTATGTTCTCATCGTTTTTCTCCGATTTCTCATCTTTTTCATTCTAAAAATCAAAATTTATTTAATAAATAATCAAACATTTGACCTGGTCATTCTTCTCCTTTGATAATTTTCTTTTCAATTTCTTTTTTGCACTTTTCGTCAATACTTTTTCACCAGATTCTTCTACAGGAGCCTCTTCAGTAGAATTCTCAGGAGCTGACCTTTCTGCCTTCTTTTTCTTCTCCTTCTTCTTCGGCTTTGTTTCTTCAATGTCTTCAAACATTGGCTCAAACCCGATATCCTCTGCCATTTTACCTGAAAATAAATATTTGTCATAATTTAATGATTAATAGATGATTTTTCAATTAAAATTAAACTGAATATTCATTTTTTACAGCCTTTGTGGGCCTTGTATTAAATAATGCGTAATTTTACATATTTTATTGCATTAATAGGCCCAAAAAGTCTTTTTTCTTGAAAATAATAAATATTAATTGAGAAAACAGGATAAAATAGAAAATACGAACATTTTTATTTATTTCGAGGCTACGGTACGTAATTAGGAAGTTCATCAGTGTTTGCGGTGAGAACAGTTGATTTGACGACAATGCTAATTTGAAAATTTTTTCGCAATCTTGTTGTTTATCGCAATATTTTTCAATTTTCATATATTATTTGCATTGGTATTTTAGGTTTTGAACCGAATGAGCTCCGCTGCTATCCCGAGAAGTTCTTGGGTCAAACTCTATAAGCAACTTCAACAAGAAGCGAATAAAATACCGCAATACAACTATCGATCATTTTTCAACCGCCGAATTCGCGACCACTTTGAAAAAAACCGTACTGTTAGTGATTTGAATAAGCAACACGAGCTTTACCAAGAAGGACTAAGAAATCTCGAAGTCTTAAAGCGTCAATCACTTGTCTGCCAACTTTATCCACATAAAAAGACTGTCGTCGAACAGAAACTCGGTAAGTGTTGATAGTCTGTAAGTAATTTTTCATCATTTTTGTTTAGATTTGTAAAATGCGTGAATGCACTAAATGCAAGTCAAATGAATATACCAACAAACAACTCGTAATGATGATTAATGAATGTGGGCATCCATTATGCAAAAATTGTGTTGAAAATATATATGCTAGAAATTCCGGGAATTGCCATGTGTGCGGCAGATTGCTGCGTAAAAACAATTTCCGCGAGCAAATATTCGACGACCCAACAATCGATAAAGAAACGTTCATTAGAAAAAAATATCGAAAGTATTTCAACTTGAAAAGCGACGATTTTCCAACGCTGCGAGAATTTCACGATTACCAAGAGCATTTCGAAAACATTGTCTACAATTTGGTGCTAGAAATTGATGTGGAAAAAACGCTCGAAGAAGTCGCTCAATTTCAAGCTCAATATAAGGATCTTGTTGAAAGAAACAGGCGAAGACTTGATGAAGATCAACAATGGGTCGAGGATAACTTGAGAGAAGAACGAGCTATGAAACAACGCATCAATAGCATTAATCAGCAAGATACAGTATGTCATAATTCTTACAAAAATTTATTTAAATGTGCAATTTCAGAAGGAAAATGAAAAGAATTCTGCAGTGACTGATACAAAGGCGATTATGGACGAATTGCGAGATTCCAATGTAGCTGCCGAAGTGATTCTTGACAGAGAACGAAAGAAGCAAATCGAAAAAGAATTAGAGGAGAAAGAAGAACAAGAAAAGAGAAAAAAGCGAAACAAAGGTGTTAAAGCGTGACCTAATTTTGTTTAGCAGTGTTGTTTTCAGAGCTTCTTCAAAATCGCAAGCGTCAGGCAGAAAATATGTCATTCACATCTACGATGAGAATTGCTGGACGTCCGTATGTACATCAGGTAGGAACTTACGACATTGATTGTATATAATTTTCAACTCAAAATTTCAGAATTTGGATCTTGTCATCAATGGTCCACAAGTTCCAACATTTGCACAAATCGAGTCGATGGGATACTTGTCACACATGCGTCAAGCTTCTATGGTTTGTGATTATTTTATTTCGGAAAAAAACCCGATAATTATTAGAAATAATTGAAAATAGAGTATGAAATGATATAATTCAGGGTCGAATTGCTGGTGGTTATACTGCAACAATGGGAGTTGCTCGCGCGCTATTTGAAAGTCGTTTGGATTTGTTGGCATTTTGAACGGAGATAGTCCGTTGATTATTCGTTGTTCGATTACGATTAGTGTCCTATTATTTAACTTAATTGTTTCTACCCCCAATTTGCTGCTGAATCCTACTATTGTTTTTCATCTCTTTGTGAATTCCTAAATAATTTTACGCGACTATTTTTTGTTGGTTTGCTACTGGTTTTCTCGCCATAACAATTATCTTGAAAAAAAATTGGGATAGTTTTTCATGCGATCTGCAGAATGGAGGAAACGATAGCGACAGTATGCGGAGCTGTGAATGTGTTGTACACAGGAGGCGCTCAAACGGCAGAGGCACAAGAATTTTTGACAAGGTTTCAAGAATCGGTAAGACAAAAAGCGTTTAGTTCTAAAAGTTTCTGCAACTTTTTTTTAGGATGAATCGTGGACAATTTGTGATCAAATAATCGGTCGGCATACCGATTCATTGGCTTGTTATTTTGCGGCACAAACTCTACGGAGCAAGGTTTCTTTTTTTAGAGAAAGTTGAACTTAGAAGAAAGCGATTTTCAGATTCTCAAACGATTTCGTCAATTACCTCCAGAATCTTACGAAGCTCTTCGTCAATCACTTCTTCAGCATTTAGAGTATGAGATTAATTACTTGATAATCAAAAGTAGACACTTTCAGCCGACATGGTGGTCATGCTCATGACCAACAATCTGAAGCAACAGCAACGCAATTGTGTCTTGCAATTGCTGACTTGTACATTCAGGTCACAACATGGCACAATTGGATACTTGAATTACTAACACAGTTAGTTTAATTTTTAAAAAGGAATTATGGAGTATGACGTTTTTCGCAGGTGTCAGTCTCTTCAAGGCGATCGCACAATTATGACATTGACTTTACTTCGAGTTTTTCCCGAAGAAGTTGCGGAGGTATTCTTTGTTTTTAGTTTTATTTAAATATCATAAAAACAAAAAATTAGATGAGAGGAATTGGTGAAAATCGGCGTCGTATTGTTCGCGAAGAGCTTGCCAATTGTGAGAAGCAGATTATGTCATTTTTGTCGCACGTTCTCGAAAAATATCATAATGACAATGGCATGCTGAATCGCGTGTTGAAGTGCTTAGAATCGAATTTGACGAATCCATGTATGTCAACTGACTCATTTGCTGAAGGATATCTTATCAATACAGTCTTCCATATTTTGGTAAATTTCGAGTTATTTTCCATAAAATTATGTTAGTTATAGTCTGCTGATACAAATTTACCATCCACGGTGCATGAATCGGCGACAAATGTGGTTGTTGCTGCTTTGTATCGAGCTGAAGACGTTGAAACTCACAAAAAACTCGCGAAAGTTCTACAAAAGTCGATTATAACGCTACTTCCAAGTGCATTCAAACGCGCGGAAGAGCAAGAAGATTACGATAAGCTTTTGAATTTTACAAGGATATTTGTTGAAATGTGCGAATCATTCTACATTCAAGTTGTGAATGAACCATCAACGGACTTCTCAGCAGTAGGAAATATCGCTTGCCTCGAACTTCTTCTTCTCATTGCTTCGCATCACGATTACTCGGTATTCTATTAATATTATTACAAATTTATTCATAACATTTTCAGCTTATTGAAATGACGTTCAATGTTTGGTACAGAATAAGTGAAGAATTGTTCAAGTTTGAAAATGATGAAGATTTACAAAAATTCAGACCTTATGCTGAGAAGTTAGCGTATTACGAAATTCACTGTAAACATTGCATTTCAGATTTATTATGGCGCTCTATGAGCACAGCAAATTCGAGCCTGATAGTGGTGCTGAATGGCCAGACGAGAAGAGCGAGTTTGTTGAATTTCGGGCGAAAGTTGTCGAAGCTGTTCGAGATGTTGTATTTCTTGTTAGCACTGACAATTGTCTGGCAATGGTAGGAGAAATGATACACTCAAAAAATGAAACAATTACAATTTCCAGATGCATGCCGTGCTTCAAGAAACTGCTAAAAAAGTGGATGCTCCTTGGGAACAATTTGAAGCAGCTCTTTTCATAATGGCATGTTGTGTTCAGAATTTATTACCGTGAGTGCAAAATCTATTTATTACAAATTTTATTTAAAAAATTTGTTGCAGAGAGTCAGAAGAGCCTGTGATGCCTGAAGTGATTGGTTCGATCGTCTCGCTTCCGGCGAATTCGCCGCCAGCTCTTGTTCTCACTTCATTCACTCTTTTGGCTGACGCTAATGACTGGCTGGCGACACATACTCCAATACTACGTATCTCTCACCTCAATTTAATTTTCCTATCAACTTCTTTTTACAGCTCCTATTTTGAAATGGATTTTGCAATTCACACAGGATCCGCGTTTTGCGCCATATGCTTCCTCTTGTTTGGAAAGTGTATGTTGCGGCTTTAATTATGCATATAATAATTATTTGACCGTCTAGATCGCTTCGAAATGTGCTCCTGAAATGACATCAATTCTTGACCAGTTGATGTTAATTATCAAAACACTGGAATCAATGACAACAAATGGTTTGAAAGCCGAGGAAGCTGCAAATAGCATTATACGAGGTATGAGTAAAATGTTTGTTAAATAAAAAAAAGTAACAAAAAACCAATAAAAAATGGGTGCGAAATTGTAGTATATAAAAATAGCTGAAACAGATATTATTAAAATTATTCCGACTTTGGAAATGGTCGGTAGACGAAATTGGCATCGAAATAACCATCAATATAATCGGGATGGTACTCAATTCGACGATTAAATGGTGGCTTAGCGAATTCGAAAAGGCGATCTCTGGCGCAATCTTGAGCATTTTGATAATCATCATTGAATCGATTTGATTGTCCCATTATGGGTGATTTTGATTTTGGGAGAGATGTCTGAGCTCCATGTGATTCAAAGTATACCATTCCGCTGTGCCAGTAACCTACGGGCGGATTTTCGGATTCGTATGATACTTTTAGCTAAAAAAAGAGAATATATAACCAAAATGGACACAATATTATATATTACTTGTTCATTTAACAAAGCGTGTTTTTCTGCTTGATGATCGTCGGGCCATGAGAGAGGCGGTGATGGAATGGAAACTGTAGTAGGAAGATATTCGAAATAGACCATTCCATTGTGCCAATGACCAACGGCTTTGTATGTTTCCTGTGATGACTCATATAGTTAAATCGTTGATGAAATCAATAAGGACATTGCTTGGTAAATCTTACGTGATATCTCAAACAATTGTCCTTATCCCCTTGAAAATTTGTGAAGGTTTTTGATGGCGATTTAAACGCAAGACCATTATGCATCTTACGTTCAAATGGAAAAGTAACAAAAGCTTCGAATGCAACATTGTTGTTTGTCATCTAGAAAGCATATATTAGTACGCGAAAAAGAATTCAACGGATGATAGAGTTGAGCCTTCTATGTGATTCCAAAAAACTCCGCCTACTTGAAATAAACAGCCACCTTTCTTTGGTGTTTCACAATTGGAGACAAATGTGCATCTGAAGTGAAGTAAGACCACGATTGTTTACACCTCTGAGCGTATCTCTTTACCGTGCGTGAAGCTACTCACAATTGTCACTTATCCGCAATTGCCATATTGAGACATTTGTAAGAACGGATTCGTAAAACGACATTGATATGGGATAAGCAGTAGACTGAAAATAATGATATAAGTTGAAGGTCTAATTTCGTATATTTATAGCTTGCTCGTACATCATTAAAAATCTACCAAGTCATCAAATAAAGATTGGAATGGAAAAATTGTGTGATCCAATTGTTACGTATTTGAAGAAGGTAGAACAGACAATCATTTCTAAACATTATTTGAGAAACTTTAGACAACAGAGTTGACAACTCCAGATGGTTTGCATACAATTGATCAGATCAATCATCATAACAACAATTATCAGAATGGAACAGCCGCTCATGAAGCGAATAAGGTTTTTAAATTTAAAAAATGGTTTTCTAAAATGGGAAATTGTAGGAAAATGAATCTAACAGCCATCGAAATGGTGAACCGTGGACTGCGATCGCTGTCCGTCCTATGGTTTGGATTGATCGTGTTGCGAGTGTTTTCAAAGATATTTGGAAACCGGTAACGATTTATACTCCAGCAATTCTGCGTCAAATATTAAATTTAGGAGGATTCAAACCCCGTTTTGTGGATTGATACAGCCGAAAAACTGTTTCATGCACTCATTGAGGCGACAAAGAAGTTCCAATCAAACTTGCGTATGGTTGAACATTCAATTCGCTCGATCAGGTCTATGTTCCGAGCATTGGGCCCCAGTTCAGTTGTGTTCGTCGAACCTGTAGTTCACATGGTATGATTCACTTCTGTTTTATTTTAAATATTGTCGATGCTGGGATACCCTTGATACCCAATCGAAACTTCGGTTTCAATCGGCAAATCAGTTATACGCGGACACAAGCTTATATGTTTGCCTCTAGATGTCATGACATATACCAGTGTAGCACGTAATTGCGCATTTATGCCATTTCAGGCTGACACTTACGAACTTACGCTTACACATTAGAAAAATTGACGAGTGCTTACGCATATACGCGCAACAGAAATTATGCGGGTACGAGCAGTGTTGCGCGCAATAACAGTTATGTTACGCTTACGCCATTTTCTGGCTTGCACATAAATTTTTGAATTATCGATAAGTCGTTTGAAACTGACGATATATGTATATTACCGTAGCCAAAACTGCCGATTATCTGCGAATCAAATTCTCTGTAATTCTACACTGTGTTCTCAGTTTTGAAGAATGTAATCGTTGAGCATTGAGTGATATTTGGATCACAAAATAGTTCTCAAATAAAAAAATAGTGTTGTATATATATATACAGTACCGTGCAGTAAGATATACAATTTCACTTTTTTTTATCATAACTTTCTGAAAAGTTGACCAATCGATCTGAAATTTTTGGACAAAACGGATAGTGTGTTCCCAAACATAATTTATTCATTTTGGGATACTATCGACGCAATTTTTGTGTTTTGGACCTTTTTTTTGCGTATTTTCAAAAATGTGATTTTTTTATTTTTAAGTTTTGTCGATTTTTTTTAGATTTTCAATGTTAACATCAGTTTTTTTTATTTGTTTTAGCATGAGACGATCAAAATGATCAAAAAAACATTCTATCAGACGTTTTAAAGCAATCAAGGATGACCGAGCACAAGGTCTTTTCATCCAATGTCTATCACACCAGTTGAACTCATCGACTTGGACCATTTGTGGATGTTTGAAATCTCGATCGGATTCCAAACCACTTGGAAATCCTTCCAAAACATCCCCGGCAATCAATCGCACCATTTTAGGAATCAGCAAGAGCAACCCGCGTCTATCCGATTCCGAGATTAAGCGACAACTGAGTCAGTTCTATGAGGTCAACGTAGATTTTTCCGAAAAACCATGACTTTTTTTCACCAAAAGTCACATACATATCAGCGTTGATACTGTCAAGCGTCGTTTACGTGGTTCTGGATTATTTGGACGTCGGTCTGTCAAAAAATCTCTCCTTTCGGAGAAGAACCGCCGAGCTCGTTTGAAGTGGGATAAGGAGCTTTTGAATTGGAGGTTTCGACAATAGTCAAAGGTCGTATCGAGTGATGAATCGAAGTATATCTTGCTCGGAACTGATGGTATTACTTTTGTGAGGCGTTCGGATGGCAAAAGATTCGATCCAAAGTATCAATTACCAACAGTAAAACATTGAAGAGGAAGCGTGATGGTTTGGGGATGTTTTACTGCTACTGGAGCTGGCCCACTTCGTCGAATCGAAGGAAATATGGATCGATTAATGTATAAAGACATTCTAGAGAACCATATGCTTCCGTTTGCAAAGTCTTTGCTCGGTGTGGATACTTATTTCAACAGAATAATGATCCTAAACGTTGTTCTCGCTTCATCAAAGAGTGGTTCTAGCAGCGTAGGGTGACTGTCAGGGACTGACCAAGCCAGTCACCTGACTTGAATCTTATTGAACATTTGTGGGAAGGTCTTGGTAGACGTTTTCGAGGTCAAACAGTACAAAATTGTGCCGAAATGTTCGAGCAGCTGAGGAGAGCATGGATGGATATACCAGTTTCAACCCTCCCGAAGTTGACGAGGCCATGGGTCTCCGATATCAAACTGTGATCGATACAAATGACATGTCAACAAGATATTGAGTTGTTTTAAGTTTCTTGACATATAATTGTTGTTTTCCATTTCATTTCATGTCGTACCGGTATCAAAATTATTCAAGTCGGTTTTTCGCTATAATGGAATTTCGGATTTTTTGTCAATAAAATTTTTCCTAATGTGTTTTACACCTTCTAATTTTGATATATAATCACTCTATCGATGCTTAAAGTTGTCCAAAAATTTCAGATCGATTGGTCAACTTTTTGGAAAGTTATGACCAAAAATGTGAAATTGTATATCTTACTGCACGGTACTGTATATATATATATATATAATAAAAATTTGTTTTCAGCTCATGGAAGTTTATCCTCAACATCGTCATTCGTGTCTTCTCTATATGGCATCAATTGTTGTGGACGAATATGGTGTCGAGGATCGCATGCGTCCTGGTCTACTTCTCATGCTTAAAGCTCTCACAACTGCCGCATTCGAGATGTTGAATTTGCCAAACGGTTGTATCAATAATCCCGATACGGTTGATGATTTGTTCCGATTGGCTCAGCGCTTCACTTCGAGGGCTCCGTCAGTGTTCTTTATCGATAATGTTTCATCGCATTTGTTCGCTTTGGCAGTCACAAATCTTCAATTGAACCACAATGACGCAAATCGTAGTGTTTCGCGCTTCATATTGGAAGTATTGGAGCAGTTGTTTCGCGCGAAGAAGGTTTGAATTGGACAGGACGTATTTCCTTATAATTCAGATTTAGGTGCAATATTCGGATCCTGGAGTTGTTGCCGCACAACACTTGATAGCAAATCAAGGATCACAGCTTATTGTGTCTGCTCTGAATGCTTCAGTTTTCCATTTGTCAGGAAGTCTTCAACGAGATATGGCGGAAATTGTTCACATGATCGGCCGACTCGACAAAGATGTTGGATGTTAAGAATAATATTTTCTTATTTTTTTATTTTATAGAAACAAAAGGAGTGGCTCATCTCAGCAGTTGCTTGCCTTCCGAATGATCCTGTCAAAGCAACTCCGCAACAATTGCAAAAATTCGTTGAAGATGTTGTTGCTGAGTAAGATTTTCAATTCGTTCTTTTTGAATTCTAAAATTATTATTTCAGAAATGATGTGATTGGAATCCACCACAAAATAAAAGACCTGATGCGTCTATTCTTCTAGTTTTTCTTTTTTTCATCAATTTCCTGTATACTAATTTTTGTTTTCGTCCATATTTTCTTTTTCGTCAATTTTTTCACTCTGAGATCAGTTTTCGCTTAGGCACACATGACTCGTTTCAACTTTGAACACTTTAGGAGATGATTTTGATTAAGTCGATTAGGTATAACCATTCCAAAATATAATATTTATATAAATAGTTTTTTGACTTGTAAATGTGTCTCATCCCCTATTGATACTTGTTTAGGATAAGTTCTCTAAGAGTTTTATCGGTTAATTAGGTTTTTTTTTTGACGATTGCTTCATTTCATGGATATCATTGCTTCTGTACGAGTAGGATTTGAGAAATACTAGGGTCAGTTATTCGTTTTATAACTTATTCTCTTGTCTGTTCCATAGGTGATAAGATTCTCCTCAATTTTGCTTTTTGTTTTCCGCTCATTATTGCTGTATTATTTCCAACAAAAATATAATGATTATTATAGTAATAATTCGTTTTATTTAAAAAGTTAAACTTGAGGTATATTAAATGATATTAATTATTTTGCTATAAAATGTATTGCTCTAGATTTGGAATGGCGAATGGGTTATTTTTATTTTTAAAAATAGCCTCGCCTCTTGGTAAGCTCAATTCGAATTGCGGTTTAAAGCGGAGAGAGTTGCAGAGCAAAATTTGAAGGTTAATGGTCTATCGAGAATTTGAACTCCATAACAGCGGTACGAAGTGAGTTATTGTTTTTACTAACCAGTTTCCGGAAATATTTCAAATGATTGAAACGGTAAACCAAATAAATACAAAAAGAGATTTATTTTGGAAACTATATTTAAAAAAAAAAGAGCATGTGTTAATTTTATAAAATTTGTTTATATGTGAATTTTAGTTGCAAATCGCAGTATATCAAGCCATCTCATTCCGAAAACATGGCAAACCGAGAAAAGGATGATGATGGTACGCATCGAGTAATTTTAAGAAATATGAAAAAAAAAACTGAGTATTTTCTGAGTAAATCCATTGTTTTTAAAGATAAAACAGGAAAAAAGAAAAATTCGATTAAAAAAGTTACGAAAAAGAAGGGAGGGCGACGTTCTACGGGACCAAATGGAACTATTGAAATGTCGATTGAAGATGGTTTTTCTTCACTTGAAGACCTGCTTTCTTCACGAAATAAAATTGTTTAGATGATAAAGAAAAAGGAAAAAAGATCTTAAAAAAGAATTCTCGTGAAGTCGTCGAAGAAAATGAAAAATCAGTTTGTCGTGTGGCGGCAACAACTCCTAAAAAAGCTAAAACGGGATCTGACGAGATTGGAATTGCTGAAAAGGCAACGTCCAAGAAGCCGCCACCAAAATTGACGATGACTGAGCGCGAATTGGCGACAAATACGATGAAAGGAAAAAATTCCGAGAAATCCGTGAAAAAGCCGGTAATACCTGCAAACATGCTCGCAAAAAAGGAAGAGGATTTCACGACTCTAGAAAAAGTTTGTTTAGAATTAATTTTAAAAAATCTTCAAGTATGTTTGTTTTGCAGAAGTTGCGAGAATTCGAATTTTATCATGGATTCATCCCTCGTGAGGATCTAGTTTCGATGCTCAAAGAAAAGGGGGACTATCTTCTGCGAGTTTCTGAGGTCACATAGCCAGTTTGAATATTTTTATGAGTAACGTTAATCAGTTTAAATACAAATTGTGTTACTGAATGACCAGAAAATGGAGTCAAATAAAACAAAACAAGCAAAAGAGTCAATAAAACAAAAAATGTATTTCTAGCCGTGATATTGATTTAGTCCTTTAGATCGACGAGGGACCAAATAAGGTTAGACGAGAAGTGATCCTTTCGGTAATACCAAATTCATCGACAAAAGATACAAAAGAAGATACAAAAGATGGAGAGAATCCGGAAAATGCAGAGAAAAAGGTTTTACTTTTAATAGATTGAACAGTTCCGCTATTTAAACGTAAAAATTTTGTGTGTTCGATTAAAATATTCTTGGAACAAATGTTTTTTAACAATTTCGACCGATAAAAACAAACGATTGAGAACAGAACAACGTGCGGAATGTGATTGTGCGAAGATATTGCAACTTTTTTTTCATTGAAACAGCTAAACCTTACGATAATATGAAGGATCTCATATCATATTACAAGAAAAACACGGGAACTGTGAATTCGGTAACTTTAGAAAGAAATATTTCCCTGCCGAATTGCAGTTTTTCAGTTTGTATTCACTCTCAAAAATCCAATCACTTTGCAATCATGGGAATTCCTTCATTCAGATGTTACCGTAAAACCAGAGCTTCAAATATCTCAGCATTTCTTGATTCTTTCAGATTGGAGCAGTATTGGGCGCCGGCGCTTTTGGTGAAGTTCGAAGTGGACAACTGAAATTGAAGGATGGAACTGTAGTTGATGTGGCTGTCAAAGTGACAAAAGGCCAAGGATTTTTGACGAAGGCCAAAATCCGAGAAATGATGAATGAAGCGAGGTTCATCCGAAATTTCAATCATAAAAATGTTGTGCGGCTGTATGGTGTGGCACACGATGAACAACCGCTTTATATTTTGCTGGAATTAGTTCGCGGCATGTTACATAATCTGAATAAATTTAGTTTTAAAGTTTCAGGCGGTTCTCTTAAAGATCACTTGACAAAAAATAAAGGCAATCTGACGACAATGGATAAAATCAAATTTTCTCTTGGTGCGGCAAAAGGATTGGAATACTTACATGGCAACAAAGTTATTCATAGGTAGAATATTTCCAGCAAAGAGACTAGATGATTTTTTAAAGGGACATGGCTGCAAGGAATTGTCTTCTTGATGAAAAAGTTGTGAAGATCACAGATTTCGGCTTATCGCGTCTCGGGCCGATGTATAAGCCAAAGGTTTCGCAATTATTAGCTTATTGTCTTGGATTTATGTTTTCAAGGGTTCCTGTAAACTTCCGACCCGTTGGCTGAGCCCAGAAGTCATTGCAACTCTACAATTCACTTATGCCTCTGATGTATATAGTTGGGGAATCACATGCTACGAAATCTTTTCTGAAGGCGCAGAACCTTTTGAAGGAATGACTAATCCTGAAGTTCGCGCTAGTGTATGAAGATGAAACATTTTTAAACGAAGCGATCCACCGTTTCAGATTCAATCCTCAAAGTTCCTTCAAATGCCACAAAATTGTCCAGATAAAATTAAATCGGTGATCGCAACAAAAGTGTTTGTTGAAGTAACGAAACGTGGAACAATGGCCGATGTTGTAAAAGATATCATCGATTATATCGAAGACGTTAGGTTGATTCTGAAATATTCTAAAATGCCTCTCAGTTTAGAATAGTAAAAAAGACGAATATTTGAACATGCATGAAGAGATGCCGGGATCAAAAAAAGATAAGCATGGCGCGAAACAGAGATTACAAAAAGCTCACGAAGCCTTATTATTATTTCAAAGAAAGAAAAAATGATTCAGCACTTTCTCAATTGAATTATGTGATTGTGTAGAGAAGCGAGTTAGAAATCAAATGAAAGTATACAAGCTCGGTGTTTCTCTAGTAAATCAAAACAACCGCATCAAAATTACGCGAATTTTACAAACAGATACGGAAAAATACCAATCGGATGCGAAAAATGAAAAAATAAATAAATCGCCCCTGAAAAAAAACCAACCGGTACAACACAAAACAAATCTTTCCTGCAAAATTTCCAGTTGGAATGGGTTAATTCCAGAGCTGAATTTTGTCGGATCCAGATTGTTTTGTATTACAACAGCTCGAGCTTTCAATGCGTGCATTTCAACATCTACTGCAAATTTTGCTTAAAAAAAAACTTTTTTATTCCGATATTTTCCGGAAATTTAGGTTCGAAAATCAATGAAGGACCTTAAATTTCCATATATCAATTGCGAGTAATGTCCATTAAAACAATTTGAGTTTTTTTTTAAATTTAAACGAGCTCGATTGACATTCCTTATTTAGAAAGTTTATAAATATGTGGCCGATTACTGGAAAAATTCTAGCAAACACGAAATACCATATTTTTTTTAAATTTGTACACTAAATGATTCATTAGCGTTTGGGAAGTGAAGAATTATACGTCGAGAATGCGGTAAAAGAGCTACGCTATTATTTAAGGGCTAGGCATGACTTTAAATCGATCAAATGCGGCTCTCTCAAGAGTTTCTCTATCATCTGGATGAGCAATTTGAATGAGTTCATAGGCACGTTGACGAATTGATTTTCCCCAAAGATGAGCAACTCCGTGTTCGGTAACAATGTATCGAGCATGTGCTCTGGTTGTCACGACACCAGATCCCTTAAATTAATATAATTAAGGTACAAACTCTGAATAGTTACTAAAACCTGTGTGAGAAACGGTACGATCTTCGTTTGTCCTTTGGTAGTTCTTGATGGAAGCGCAATGATTGCTTTACCTTTGCCATCGAATGCGTTCGGCGTAGCCGCCATGAAATCAACTTGACCTCCAAATCCTGAAGCAAATTTATTAGATATTAAGTTTAAACTAAACAATTATTACCTGAGTAGAAATTGCGGCCAATTGAATCAGAAACAATTTGACCGGTCAAATCCACTTCAATAGCCGAGTTGATGCTGGTCATTTTACTGTTTTGGCGAACAATGTCGATGTGGTTGGTGAAATCACACGGAGCAAAGTCTGTGAATTTTTAATGGTTTTTAATTAACCGAGTTCAAATTACTTACAGAATTCCGGATTGTTGTCGATGGTTTTATAGAACTCTTTGGTTCCGAAGGCGAAACATGAAACAACTTTTCCCGGCATAAACGCCTTCTTTGTGTTGTTTATGATTCCCTTGTTCATAAGCTGAATAACACCATCACTGAACATCTCAGTGTGAACACCGAGATCTTTGTGGTTTTTCATCGCGGCCAGAGCCGAATCCGGAATTGCTCCGATTCCGAGTTGAAGAGTTGCTTCATTTTCAACAAGATTTTCGGCAATAATCGTTCCAATTTTGTTTTCAACGTCCGAAATTGGATCTATACCCTCTTTGTAAGAGATATGGCGATCAGTTTTGACCATAAAATCGAAATGAGACGAATGAACGGTGGAAAGCCCAATTGTTCGGGGCATTGTTGGATTGACAAGAGCAATAATATGTTTTGCTGCGCTAGATGCGGCTAGAGAGCAATCAACATCGATGCCAAGAGTGCAGAATCCTCTTTCATCTGAAATTGGATAAAATTTCTGCAATCGCAAAAAAAATCGAGCCCCGTGAGTTTTTGTGGAATACCATATTTTTTATGGAGGAAATTCAAATTATAATTTAAAAGGTGAAAATTAGTGTACCGACCAACATAAATACCCGCGAATGATGTTGGCCTTTGCATTTTTATTATTGCCAACGGACGTCGCGCGACCGTGAAAAAAAAACAACAGTGGCAGGTATTTGCGCCAAACGACGTGTAGATTTACTAAGCATATGGATAGATTAAAGGCGTACACCGTACCCAAAGACCTCTACTTAATTTTTTTTGGTGTTTAGTCCATTTTCAGCATTCACGCGACGTCAATAATATTTGCATTTATTGATAGAAAATACCTGGTGGCGATACTGTGATGAATGCATAATCAACATTTATAGTTCCTTTAGTGTACATCGATGGAATTTCAGAAAGAAATGCAGGTGTATAATCAGCAGCTCCAGCATTCACATTTTTTCGATTTCCACCACAAATAAACAGACTGTTCGAACGAATTTTTCCGTGGTATTTTGGGTCAAATTGTGGGCAATAACCACTGAGAATCAAGTGTGACATTCGAATATCCTTCAAATTTGCCGAATCAACCCGACGGCAAAGTGCTTCTAGCAATTCAGTTGGGACTCCAGCATGATTCTGGACATAAATATCGGAATCTGCAGAGTAATTATTGAGCATATATGATTTAGAAATTTAACTTTTCTAGCTCCACTACTCACTTGAGTTTATAACCGAAACAGCTTCATCGGCAGACACATATTTTGGTTTTACTCCGGATTTTGGATGAAGAAGCTTTGTTGGAATTTTTGGGCCAAGGGTGTAACTTCTGAAATCGATGAAAAGTTACATGGCTCAATGCAGGATAATTGCTTTGAAAAATTCCAATTATCTTTAAATACATACCTCTTTCCAATAATGGAAAATGTTTTTTTGGCCAATTTCATCGAATTCATGGCTTCAATGACGCAAAGCTCTGGAAATTTTCAGCTGGCACCTTCTCAGCAATCGCAATGTGCGCAACAGGGGCTTTTCGTGTTCGGTGAAACAATAACAAATTTAATAACAGAACAAGTAATGACATAGTGAAACAATTTCACTATGTCATTCGCCAAAACTAAGAAATGCCCGTGTTTCGCCCAAAGAGTTTCCCAAGCTATTGGAAACGACATTAGAAAATATATCGTAAGATTAAATGCATTAGGCTGCTGCGGTAACAGAATTTCTGCAATGAACTATTACACTTCAATTCACGAGCAAAATTGTATTCATTCGGGTTTTTAGTGAAACAGAGTTTTCCCACACATTTTTTCTTAAAATAGAACTCTAATATCTCGCCTATTATTCAAGTTTAAAATTTTAATATTCTTTTTTGAAGGTTTTTGACATTAAGTTGAACGACTTCGACAGTATCTCTATAGTTAGAAAATCATTGAAACTCAGGTAAATCGAATAAAATATTTTGAGATTCATTGAGAAACTAACGTGTCTCTATAATATTTTAGATTTTTCTCAATCAACTTTAGCAATTATTATAAGATTTTAGAATTTATTGAGATAATTTAGAATTTGCTCAATAAATTTTAGAAAATCTTATAAGATTTAAAAAAATATTTTTAAATTTATCTATTCTCATGTTCTCAATAAATTGTAGAAAATATCAATAAACTTTAGATTCTCTCAAAATATTTTAGAGTTTATTATTGAATATTTGATTCTCAAAATATTTTATTTTATTTGCCTGAGAATTTGAATTCTGCGTGGCCTAAAGTTTTTCGGTCAATTCACCAATGGCGTTTAATTTGTTTGAAGTGAAATTTTAAATCTTCTGCATCATACAATTTCGTTTAAAACCATTGATCTTATAAAATAATGTATCATTTAAAGTTGGTTGATAATAATTCGTGATAATCTTTTCGCGTAGATAAATTGAAATTTTTCGAAACCTTCGAAGCAAAAATATAGGAAGGCACGAAGCAACATGAAATGTGCGGACAAACTTTAAAAAGCAAATAAAATCGATGGTTTTTTTTGCCGCCGTGTTCGTCTGCAGAAAAAAAAATAGGCAACAAAAACGTAGAGACGAACGAGACAACAACAACTGTTGTTGGTGGTCTATTTATGATAACGAAATAAAAGCAAACGAATCAAACTGAACATTTAAAACGTCTCTATTTATACGTGATAGTTCTTATCGTGTAGTTGTTTATTGAAAAAAAAAAACAATTAGACGGTTGAGAAAAACGTCCGATCGCATTATAGTTTAGTCAAGGCTATCAAATAATCTGGTGATTTTCTGGTCACAAACATAATAAGATAACGAAAAGTGATAGGAACAGTTTAATTGTCTTTATTCAGATGTTTCGTTTAATTTATTACTTCTCGTCCGTTTTCTTGGCGCCCGTAAAACGTTTAACTCTGAATTATTTCTTTAATAATCTTCAATTTGAGCCTGTAAGAAATACTGAACCTGAAAACGTTTTGGATCTTCTTAGCAGCTTCTTGAACTTGTGGATCCTCAAGATTGATGTCAACTTCTTCCTAAAAAGGTGTACTAAAAATAATGTTTAAGTTCTATTGTAATCATTTATATTATCAGGTTAAAAAACAAAGATTTGAAAATAGATTTGAAATTTTTTTAATCAAAATTTATATTACTAATGGATAGTGATGTGCAGATTTTGAAGAAAAACTTTAGAAAACATTTAAAATTAGTTTTTCTTTCAATCCTCTTATTTTTTTATTCCTTATAACCCGATTTTTGAGAAAAATTGCATAGAGCCATTCGAAATTGATTTTAAAACTTTGTATATTTGATGCTTGTCGACCGAATTGAGAGCTCACATTCAGTTGGTTCTTTCGTGGAAAATTTATTCCAGTTTTCAAAAAATTATTCAAGTTTATAAATGTTTCGACGAAAAAGTTCGATTCGTAAAAATTCATAATTTCGTTTGAACGTATTTCGTTGGTTCGGTTTTTAGGTGCCAAAAATTTCGTGGCTCGCACAACAATGCTCACGTACAATTTGAGCGATGTCTATTGTTTGCTCGACAAAAGAATTTTGGATAAAGTGCACCAAAAATTGATTACCAAGAATTTGTTGAGGTCCGCGTTTTTTTTGGTTGCGGTGTCGAATTTCGGAGCAAACAAAAGGCATTGTGATGTTTCAAGCGTTGAATAATTTGTCGCCAAACAAAGACATTTGGTTTAGGTAAAACAAGAAAAATCGAGATTTCAAAAGAATAAAATAAGCACGTAATGTTTTTTTTTTCGAAATTATATGTTGACGGGGTTGTTGGTTTGGTCGACTCTCGAAATTTTCCAATATCTCTTGAAAAGTATTTTTCATTATAAGCGAGATGGACTCGAAGCACACAACTGTTGGGTGAGAAATTCCAATTCGTTTCTCGTATGCATTTTAGCGCACATTTCACGAATTCAGTTCCTTTGGGAATCAACACTAAATTTTTTTTCATCGAATACATATTCTGGTTTTAATAATTTTTGTTGAATTATGAAATGTTAACATTCGCAATGATTCCATTGATTCTACGCCAGCTGAAATTTTTTTGCATTGACGTGAGCTCTGAATGAACTTTGTGTGGAATAAAAATATATTTTGGTTTTGAACGGATACAAAATTGACTCGCCGAATTTTTTAGAATATTTCTTGAATAATTAACTTTTTATTTTTCAGTTCTCCACATTTATCCATGAATTTTTAAGGTAATATTTGAAAAAAATCTAATTTTGCAATTAAAAAAAGAAATTTCAAACGAAACTTTGAAAATATCTCAAAAATTAAAACATGCGGATTCGAGTTCAAAAAGAAATGCGAACCTGTTGGCCTTGTTTGGCACCCGCCTCTTCCGCCGGAGCATCTTTCGTCGGCTCGGGCATTGTCGACATATTGCTGGTCACGAATAAAGCGAAGAAGATGCAAAAATCTCGTGTGCGCTGCTTCTGTCGGCTTCCCACTTTTCAGAACTTTAATGGAATAATGTGCGGCTTGAGGAGATGTCAGAGAAAACTCGAATGGGCGGAGCCCGAAGAAAGCGAAAAAAAAGAAACGGAACTGACGAGAAGAAGAAAGGTGGACGACGACGTCTCTTTTTTTTGTCTCACGAATTTACCGAATCAAAAATTGAAATTTGCGCGAAATTAAAAAGAAACATAAACGATGAGAAGAGAGCACTCGAAATAAAAAACAAGAAAAAACGAGCTCGAAAAAAACCGAGGACGATTGGCTAATTCGATAAGGAAATGGGTGGCACACATGCGAGTCCGAACACTTTTTTCGCAATGGACGAACGAATGATGGATGTCGATTGGGTGCAGGTAAAAAAAAAAGACAGCCTACTTTTGGCCAAACCGAAGTTGGCATTTTGGCGAAGGCATCGATTCGAGATTTATAAGGAAATTTATGGTGCTCCAATTTAAATTAAGGGTTTCAACGATAATTGCTTTGACAATTTCGCATTGCCAAATGTCTATAAAACTTAAACTCAGATGTAAAAAATAAAGGGGAATAATATATGAAGCCAATCTTCAATTTCGTTTAGTCGTTTGACTCAGAATATGGAAACGTATAATGAGTTTTATTTCGATAAAATAAATATGTTCTCATTGAAATGATATGATATGATGAAGATAAAGAAAGAAGAACAATGGGTGATGATTCATTTATTGATTCTACAATTCATCAAACCTACATTCATAGGGTATGCTTCCGGCTTCTTTTTGTTGATTCATTTTCTCTTTTCTTATTTTTTTTTCTCCAAGAAAGACGTAAAAGTGTCCATCAAAAATACTTAAATATATACGTATTTTTTGTGCAAGTTGTTTTCATTTGATTCGGGCTAGAATAATGGGTTGGAAGGAAATACGAGAGAATTAGCGGAGGTACAAAATAAAAAAACGGTGACAAAGATGAAATAGTTAAATGCAAATTAATTTATATTCGACACAAGAAAAATGTCAATCGGAAAGAAATTAAAAGATTAGTGAATCATGAAAAACATAAATATATACATATTTACGATTAATGAAAATTCTTCTCGTAAACAGATCCAATTCGAAATAAATAGGCTAATATTTCGAAATCAAACAATTTCAAAAATATTTATACGGTTTTTGCAGCTTTAATTATATTTTCTTATTTGTCACGATACGAAAAAAGATGGAAGACACACAAGCTTATACTCGAATATTAATAACTACATACTAGCTAGTGAAATATGACATTTGTCGAGCGAACGAAAATAAACCATTTAATTTTCAATTTTGATGTAATTTTTTGCCATTTTTCGTAAAGACGATTTACCACAACAATTGGGCTGAGATGAAATTCGTTTTATTTTGCATTTTTATTGTGAAGTTTTAAGTTTACTTTCTTTAAAAAATAAAAAAATCAAACGTTCCATCGATCGCAATAAATATTTACCGCCGTATAACACGGTAAATATGAAGATAAAAGTTGTATACTGGTTAGTAATCACATTGGGATAATCGTGGGATATTTTCAGCAAATAAACACCGCATATTAGCACATTCTTCTTTTTTTAAGGGGAGAATTCAACGAGGCGATTTGGTCTCTTTAATCGCAATTTTATTTGTTTGCTGGAATATTTTAAGGTTTTCGAGGTTTCCCATCATATATAAATACAATCTACGGCACGCACATGATTTTGAAAATTCCCGGATTTCGCTGACATTTTTATAGGAAATTTATGTCTGCAATTTTAACAGCGTTTCGAGAACTTCTCGCCAAGCAATAGTTCGAGTTTAAAACCGATATTTTCTTTCTGTATAGACTTGTTTGGGATTTTCTTTCACTTTGGAGGTATTTTCGATAAAAGATTACGAAAAAGGAAATAATATTAGTTATTTTTAGATGCTCTTTATTGCTCAAAGATCTAGTTTCTTGTCTACGTAATTGAGCTAATTTATTGGTGAACTTTGCTAATTCGATAAAGTCACGTAACCATAAATAATTGATTACAATTTACAATCGCAAAAAAACACGAGAATCCTCGTTACGGCAATTTATAAATATTTGTGAGTTCATTTCGTTGGTTATCCGTAGTGAATTGCCACAGTTCAAATCGAAATTTGAATCGAAATATCCAGAGTGTTCTTTTTTTGCGATGACAATATCAATGGAACAATTAAACGTGTCCTTTGAAGAGAATTATCCTGATACGGATGGAATCGAATTCTTTGCATTGTTCCGTGTGGTGAACATCATCTGTTGCCTACTGCCGCTTCCCGTCGAAGTCGTTGAAGTTCGCTCCCTCGATATTCCGTTCGAGCCTCGTTTTCCTTCGCTGCTTATTGAAGTAGTACTCGGACCAGACTGAGAAACCGTTGAGGGACCACCATCGATATCGCTGAGAATTCCGATCATTTTCAAATTCGCAATTATTGATTCTTGAGACTCTCTACAAAAATAATAATCATAAGTGATGAAAAATGGGATTCCTTCTCAAACCGTGTTGCGATTACTTTCACTTTGCTCTCTTTATGGGCATTTCTTGCTTTTCGACACAATATCAACCCATCAATATAATCAGCTCGTAATTCCTTATTCAATATTATAAATGATAAAGGGAAAATGATTGGAAGAGCACATCTTGAAGCCAAGAAGTAGATTTCAGTAACGGGGGAATCTGGAAGTTGTCAGATTTTAGGAAAATGATAGAGAGAGAGAAATTAAAACATTTTCCAATAATACATATGTGATTTTCGACTAGTTTCAAATTAGTTGCATTCGAAATTAACAACGTTCTTACTATTATTACAATCACCAAACTTTTATAATTTCTAGCAATTCATTTTTTTTCTAGATTTCACCTGTCTGTCTAGAAACATCTGATCAAAGCAACACTAAAAATCTTACTGTCAAAAAACGAATATCTCATAACGAATTGAACTACCAAATATATTGAAAACATAATAAAATATGGAAGAAAAGAACGAAGGAAATATTTGGATTGAGCATTCAAGTTTTGCATCTGAAACAATTCAATAAAACACGAATTGATTGGTTTTTTCGAACCATGTGATCATTCCTCATTGCTCCCATCATTTCCATTCGTTTTAATTGCCTTCTGACTGACATTTTCAAAACAATGCAAATCTTTAAAAAAATTGATTAAGAATTTTCTATGAATTGCTTTGTAACGAACCAGTAGTGACGCAATAATCAAACCAGCATGAAAACTATCAAAGTAGTAATTATGGAGAAGCGAGTTTACTAAGACCGATTCGTTGTCGGCAGAGTCGTACGTCGAATTCGACGACGGATAATGCGAATCAAAATTCAATTTGAGCAAAATGTCTGCGGCAATTGTTGAAATTATGACGAAAAGCTTAAAACCCAAAATTGAAGAAGAAAGAAAGAGTGAATGAGGTATACCCGAAAAATGGAAACAGCCAACGATTTCTTGCCTTCCCGGATCGTCTCACTAAAGTGATACAGTATTCTTTCAGCCGCAATCCAGAAAACTGATGTCTGCGGAATTGCCCATGAGATGATCATTGTGATGGAAACAAGCGTCTCTGATTTTTTATTACGATTTGATCGAGTTCCGAAAAAAGACACTGAAACGATTGGAATCAAGCTGATTTGAATGAAATGTAATGTTTGGATCTTATTCGATTTTTAAGAAGCTAACCTTATTAGCAAAATAAAAATCAATGTTTCAAAAAAAACTGAAAACTTACAAATTAAAAAAATATTGAAAATTGTCATCATAGTGTGAAAAAATGCGAGAAATCGAAGATTTTTTCCGGTGAATTTCGGAAATAAAATCGATCGTTTGGTTGCACGAAGAAATGAGATGTTAAGATATAATCCGAGTAATGTTGCAGCCAGCAATCCCGCAAGCAACTCCATTTCGAGACTCATTTCTCTGAATACATTTCGTTGATAAAAAGCACAATGAAGGCGTAGCGCAAAAAAAAAAGAAACAAACAGGTGAAAATTTCCAAGACGAGAATGGACGTAGAATCCACCAACGAGCGTTGGGAACCGATTGGTATCGGAGTGGTTTCTGATAATTCTAGCCGCCGGTTTGAGATTTTCCGAGCAGTTTAAGAAGTGCTTTGGATTTCTAATTATAAATACATATACTTGTCAAACACAATGCTCTTCGTTAGGATTGCTCTTAAAATGCGTTCCGAGCAAAATTAAAATCAAATTATTATATAAATCGTATAATTATTTTGTTTCATATGAGAATCACTCGCGATCGTTGATTGCAATTCCTTAGTGAATTCTTGTTTACAATGTATGAGCACACTTGATTCAGATTTTGAGAACTTCACAAATTCAAAATATGAAATGAAATAAGGAAAAAGAAAGTTAACTTTGCATAAGTTTGCTACGAAATATGCAATATCGCGTTTATTCTAGCGGCAATCGAAAACCCTATGATTAGCCATTCACGTTACTCGGCCAAAAATTTGTGTTGCCTGGTGCCTGCCAAAATAGTGCAATTCTCTAGCTAGAAAGAATAATCGAGCGAAGCAAAAACACCGAGTTCGTTATTAATTGGCTCGGGGAAATGATAATGAACTCTGGTGGATGTCAATAATTGCTTGTGCAGGGCAGACAGCGAGTGTTGGCAGGATAATTCAATAGCATATACGACGATATTCAATTATCATATTTTCTGAGATTTAATATCGGAGGGGGCTAATTTCATTTTTCAAATCAAAACGTTATTTTTTCAGAAATTTATTACATTCGCAAAAAACGAGCACCCTGAGCCGGTGAGTTTGATTCGCATGTTGTCCAGAGTACGGTATCCGATATCCCACTGTTTAAATTCGAATTTGAATTACCGCCTCGAAAAAATTCGATGGTCCATAATTATGCAAGGCGCTCGTTTTTTTTTTGCGAAGGTAATATTATGTTAGTTTGAGCCAGTCTCATATCTGCTCATCGTAACGATTGTTTCGCTCAATAATGATCGTTTTGTTCACCAAAATATCAGTTTACCCATGCGTGCACATGCTCAAACTCGTTTTTCGCTGAAAATAGAATTTTGATATGATATGTTGCCTGGCAACGACTAGAAAAACCGTTGATTTTTGTTACCTCAAAGGGCACGGAGAGAAAAAAAAAGTTAACGATTCAGAGTTTAGGATATTTTTTTGGAATTTGGTTTTTGCAAAAAAATGCAGAAATGCTTTAAAAAATTAGAAGTTAGTCGGAGCACCGTAAAACTATACACTTAGTTTTTGCGTAAAAACCCACTTTCATAGCTTTTTGGCATCCATGAACCTATTGTTCCCTTAAAAAAAGGCAGCTAGCATAATTATTCAATTTTGCCAGACACGATACTGTTGAGGTGTTTAATTTTTCGAAATTCTTCATAAAAACGTGAACGTGCCTTGTACAAGGCCTTGAAGTGAAAATGCTTATTATTGCTTTTTATATTTTTTTAATTGCATGAATGTGTTCATTAGTCAATTTTCCGTAGTTTTGAGAAACGCTGCAAACATCAAGTTTCAATATAAAAATTCGATTTCAAATTTTTAATTAAATTTTTAAAGAATTCACATGATTTTCCCGCATAAAAAGCGTAAAAAATTTTAAACTTGACTTCATAATCAGATTTTAAATAATGCGTAATATTGCGAATAAAAAGCAAAATTATTTTCATCTGAAGCTATAACGAGAAAGGAAAGATCGACGCTGTAAAATATCCCCATAGTGCGGTTGATTAGCATCATTATGTGCTTGAATTCCCAAATGAGTTAATTTTTAAAAACAAACCATAGACGTCACATTACACTGATTCTTATTTTGGACAGAGAACCGAGCCTGAGCAGCTTTCAGACGTGCAGAATTTAAGAATAATGAACAATAAAAAAATTGAAAAACTGCATTTCTAAAATTCTGCAAAGCGCAATGTTGGAAAAATTTAAAAAAAAAAACCAAAGAACCTCACTACTTCAGCGCCGAGATTTTACTTTAGCGAGAAAAGTGATTATTTGCATTGAAACAAATACATTTCAGATTTCAGGATTCAGTGACATCACAAAGCTGGTAAAACTTTCTCGACGGTTTTTGATTTTTTTGTGAAGTGAGTACGTATATCAAGTTTATCTTAATAAATTTTAAAGCTACAAATTTCTACATCAGTGTTACTCGTCAAACATCATCACCCGCACGGATTTTCATGCTAAAGTTTGTTATTTTCAGGAATTGCAACATTATTTTATCGAAATTGTTTAGTTTCCGCCAGTTGCCTTCTCCGACGTTAGTGGTTAATTTATAATGCGTGGCCGTGGCCGTAAATATTTTTTTTGCAAGCAAGGCCATGGTTGCGTATTCCGATACCAGCACGAATTTTCATTTTCTCACTTTTTGTTTATTTCAATAATTTGTTTTACTTGCTGTAATTAAATAAATATTTGTGAATAAAGAAAAATTAATTTTAGTTTTTTTTAATCATGTTTTTTTCATTATGATGGTACTATGCTGATTTCGTAAAAAGATACGCTAACAACCCTATGCAGATGAAGCAAAAAACTAGTATTTTTAGTGTTTCGAGTTTTCTTCCCGACCCCTGCATAGTAACATTAATGATTTAAACAATTATTAGCATTTTTATTTTTTATTATAAGAAGAAAATTTATTTAAAAAAATGAATGTGCTAAAAAAAGTTTCAATTTGTTATTTTTATGTTCATGAACATTCAATATCCACGTCCAGTTCGACAGTATGCGGCGTATATTCCTCAACAAAACTATGGACACATGCAACATATGGAAGCCCAACCAGCGGTAAAATTACCACCACCGGTGATGCCAATGCAAGTTTTTTTTAGAAAATTTCCGCTATAGAACTATGTTTAGACACCCGTTGAAACAAATAGAAACTCGCGCTTCAAAACAAGTTGGTGCTAATTTCCAACCTTCAATTGTGAACGAAGCTTATCACAATGTGCTGGAACAGGTTGTCACAGCGCTTTGCTATTCCACTGGATTCGATGATATTGAAGAAGGAGCTCTTGAAACACTGTTGTTGGTATTTCATACCCGTATGTTTACACAATTAATTGAAATAGTTTGAATATAAAATTGTAGAAATTCGCCGAATGGGTGAACAAGCCAAATTAGCGTGTGAAGTAGCTGGAAGAACACTGGTGAATCCCGGAGATGCGTGGTTTGGTTTAATCAATTTGGGTGTAGACGTTCAAAATCTGCCAAATTACTTTTATGAAACCATCGAAAGAGGTGGTATAACAATTCATGCACGTAAGACTTCGTTTTTTTTTTTCAAGAGATTCATTTATTATTTCATTTATAGCGCAAATAATGGTAATGGAAGATCGGATTCAACCAAGTCACATTGGAGTACCTCGACCTCATCCGAGCTACGTGTACGAATGGATGCCTCGGTTACCTGATCCGTACACGTATATTGAAACAGATGTTACTAACGAGCCGGATATTACTTACGAAAAAGTGCGGGAAGCAATGTCACAAAAGAGCAGGAACGGAATAATGTCACTAGTTAATCACATGATTCGTACTTATCCTTCATATTGCTTATTTCCAAGTTTCAAGCGAATAATTGAAGATCAAGTGCAAAAAACGGTAGTATTTTTTAATAGATTTTTATTAGGAAATACAATTTTATATTTAGATTGAAAAAGAAAGCAATGAAAAGAGGTACGAAGAAGCGTTCATTTCGTTTCGCGATTTTCTCGGAACTACTGACATTGAATATTCGGAAAATATTGCAAAGAAACTGGAAGAAAAAGGGCTTATCAGTAAAAACGAATTGGAAAGTGGCGTAGAATTAGCATGCATGTGTTCCGACGGAACAATTATCGACACAAACGGACAAATATTGAAGTTGGATGAACATGCGAACATCGATTTAAAAGATCGTGGACAATTGAAGACTCGAATCAATTGCTTAGAAGCTGGAGCTGAATCGCTTAGATGTAAAAATGAGAATTTAGTGGAAAAAAATTACAGAAAACTGTATTCAGATACTTGGAACATGGATGAAATGCTTGATGAACTAATCGAAATCGATTCGATTGCATTCGATATTCCTCACTCCTCGAAATCGAATATGAACATTGACGAAATGAAACTTATTCAAGATAAATGGAGTTTTGACTACATTCCAGAATGGGCCCATGGTAGTTAATATCGATTTTATTTGAAGCAATCTCGAAATTTACAGTTCTAAAACCATCTTATGAGCATAGGGCGTACTTACAAACACTCTCACCCGACAAAATGGAAGAAGAAGTGAGACAAGAAGAAAAGAAACCGAAAACTGAAGAATCCGAGGGAGCTGATGAAGAAAATGTAGCTTCTTTTAATTAGTTGAAGACAATCATTTAAAATGTTTCAGGCAACAGATAATCCCTATTTTCAACCACCACGAGTTTTATAATTACCTGTTTTCCGAATCTCGATCACAATGCGGGTTCCAACTTTGATCTTTTTGTAAATATTCTCATTATTAAATAAAATTAATTATAATAAACGCGGATATTTCTGTTCACAAAAGTTATCTTACTTTTGAATATCTCATCAGCAATTTTCTTGTCAGGCAATGGGGGAATTATTACAGAACTCATGTCAGCGCCTTATAAGTTACCGCCGCAGCGGCTTGGAAATTTAAGAGATTCGGCGAAAGTTGTTAATTTTGTTCGAGCCAAAGAGAATGAAACGCAAACCAATCGAAAACAACAAGAAATTCATGCTAATGGTATCTTTTTTTTCCAATTTCCAATAATAAATCATGAAAAATGATTTTTTCTACTATACAATAATAGATTATAACGCGTTAAAACTGTTCAGATCCATGTGCTTCATCGGAAGGTACGAGTGATTATTGGGACATTATTCAGAAGTCGCGCAAAAATCCTGTTAAAATGGAGACCGTCAAAGATGAACCCGATGAAGATGATGAGATCCAAATCATCGAGGTTCCTTCAAAAATCAAGCGTGAGATACCTGAAATAATGCCTAGAAAACCGATTACGTCGAATGACATAAATCGATTTTTGAAAGCAGCCAAAGAAGGCGATGTTCGAGAAGTGAAACGATTCTTGAAATTGGGAATTTATGTGGATGTCACTGATAATTTTGGCTGGAACGCTGCGATGTGTGCAGCTGCTGAAGGACAATATGAAGTTTGTAAACTACTGTATTATAAAGGCTCCGATCCGGATATTGTCGAAAGTCGCGGTAAAACATTCACACAAATTGCTGAAGAGAGCGGCCATCGCGAATTGGTCGATCGTCTTATTCATCATTTTTGGAGAAGGCCGAATATCCAAAAGAATGTCGATGAAATGAGTTTTTGTGAGATTTGTGACGAGTTTTTGCCGACAAATGAAGTTTCGAGGCATTTGACTTTAATTACGCATCAGTTAAATGATAAAAATAGAAAAGGAGCTGCACCACAGTCTGGAATTATGCTGGGACCTAACAATATTGGTAAAAATGTGTGTTCAAACGTGCCAAAAACTCATATTTTTCAGGATATCGTTTAATGCAGGCAAGCGGATGGACGGAAGAAAAAGGATTGGGAAAAAATTCAGATGGCCATCGGTTCCCGGTAATTTTTTTATTATTTTATTGAAAATATGACGATTTGAAGCCATAATTTGATTGCTAATTTTTAGATTCGCACAACTTTGAAGCGCGATCGATGTGGCCTAGGAATATCGACTTCGCGGCCGCGCATAACCCATTTCGGACCATACGATAAAAATGCTGTCCGATCGGTTTCGAAACCTAAATCGGGTTTGACGAAAAAAGAAATTGAAGAGAAAAAGAGAAAAGATGATCGCATAGCAAAAGAATTTCGCTCTTCATTTAATGAATAATCATTTTGTCTTGAAGATAATAAACGCAATATATTAATTTTCATTATCAATATATACTTCTAAATACGGTTTATGCCTTTTAATATATCGAAATGCCCTATTATGACTATAAATTTTCTTTGATTAGTTTCAGATGAACGAATATGGCTGCAATGTATGTAATGAAGAATATTCGGCACATGTTGAATCGCGATTTCCGAGGGTTTTGACAGGTAATATTCTTTCATTGATTTTCTTTGAAATATATCATAAGGAATGAATTTGTTAGTTTCCAAGCGTGTGAAGTATAAAGGAAAGACATCTAACCATCGAAATTTCAGTTTAGAAACGTTAGCGTGAAATTATGTTCAAAAATGAAACTCAAATAGTTATTTAAAAAAAAAAAGTATGGTGTAATAAGCTTCTAAAATTGAAAGAGTGATTTTGCTCATATCCGATGAAAAAAAAAGAGAAAAATTTATGTTTAATATAGGATAAGTATTTATAAGAGCTTTCGAATCCTTTAACCAGTCCAAATAGTTCTTAATCATGCGAAGTTATAGTGGGGTATAAAGTATTGATATCTCCTTTCCCGTCCCAAAACATTGTCGAATACCATCATTAGAATAATCCACGCAATCATGAGCGCAATGCGAAGGTCATCCAAAAATACTTCCGACGAAGCCGATGATTTTATTATTTGCATTGGAAGCCTTGTGAGTTCTGTGAAGTTCATCCTGAAATTTAAAATATGTTTTTAATTTTTTTGATTCGAAATATGTTAATTTCGGTTACGGAAAACTGGCTAATTTTTTTTGAAATTAGCAAATTTTCCACAGTCTTGCGATGCCGACAATATTTAAAAAAAAAATGAAAAAAGTGCACATGGCGTGTTTCTTGTTTCGGCACAAAAATGGCGCGATGTTTTTCTATGCGGTATAGCTATATTTTGCTCGATGCGTACTCTCTCGTCTGCTCCTCAAAAAAAAGAAGACGAAGAAATTGGCAATGAGGCTCGAAAGGCAGCGCACAGAGAAAAAGTTTTGAGGGCCATGAATAAACTAAATATATTTGAATTGAATGAAAGTTATACGTGAACCATTCCATCATTTTGCCCACAGTTTCTCGATTTTTGCGAAATCGAGAGCGACGCAAATGTTCAAAATTTGATAGTGAAGTAACCAAAAATGAAAGAAGCGTGGGTAACGAGTGCGCGAATGACCGCTAATAAGCCGTTAACGCGTGATTTTCTGTCTCTCCGATTGGTGTTCTATGCCGTGTGCTCATGTGCACCTGATTTTACATACCATTCAATATATATGACACTTGCGTTTTCTAGGATGCGGACACACAATTTGCCAAGGCTGCGCGTCATTAATCGCCGAAGCAGGACGACCATCGATTTTTTGTCCATTTGATAGAATATCAACGACAATTCCCGGAGGTGTTCAAATGCGAAATATATTTATAAGAGAGTGTTTGGAATTCAGGAGACATCAAAAATTTGAAAAAAAATTTTGCGCTTTTGGAATTGCTTGAAAAAATCGCCGATGGTACATTATTCGAGCGAAGTGTTTTGGATGAAGAACATGATAGATATGCAAAAGAGAAAAAGTTGAATGTAAAATGCGACGAGGAGCCGAATCACATTGCTGTACTCTATTGTACTGTATGTGACAGTAATTTGTGTGAAAGGTGCAATTTCTCCAAAAGCTCCTATACGAAACAGTTGATTCAGATGCTCTGATGTAACGCATTCGACGAATGTACTGTCAAAGCACAAACGTGTCCCATTGGGTGAAAAACCGCCCATGTCGGTGCACTGTAAACTCCATTCTTCGTATGTCGTCGAGTTTGTATGCAAGGTGAGTCAGTTCGATATTGAAACATCAGTTGAAACACTTATTTGAGCGGCATTTAAAATTGAATGAAATAACACATTTAGAATACGACCGGAAATCTTTCATTTTTTGTAGTTATGATGAATACTTTTAAATTCAAAGACATTATATAACTAACCAGGTCTCAAACATTCTCTTTTTTCGAAAATAGGCGATAAAGTAAATAAAAATGGAAAATGAGAAGAAATCAAAAACATTCAATACTATCAATCGAATGTCTTTTTTTTTCAGGAAGATTCATGCGATAATGAGAGTCCATTAATGTGCCTGATGTGCCGGGATTATGGTAGACATAAAGTATCAAAAATCGTCAATTTTTCACAAGTTTTTCTTTTACATTGTATTTCAGGGTCACAAACACGTATTAGTTGAAAAAGAAGCCGAGGAATTGCGAGAGAAAATGCGAGAATATCTTGAAGAATTGACACAAAAGGCTGAAATTGTCAACGGAACACTTTCTGTTTTAGAAACGTAATCGACATTTCTCAAGAGATGCACACTTTTTGTTTTAGAAAAATTACTGATCTTTCGCCGGATCAATTCGACGGTCCTTTAAGTGAAACAAGACGTGAAGTACGGGCACATTTCCGGAAATTACGCGAAGTTATTGATGAAGATGAAAATAAAGCTATCGATAAACTCGAAAATTACGCAAGAGAACGGGTTGAAAGCATGACAATGCACAAAGAACGATTAAAACAAGTATCCGATTTGGTAAATGTTCCAAATTATTTTTAGTTGGGATTTTTCTTTTTCGTTTAGATCGGGAACACTTGCGCTGAACTTCAGAAGAGTTTGATAATGGAACGAGGAAAACTGCTTGATCGCAAAGATGATTTATTAGCTTTAGCAGAATCAACGAGCTCTGAGCCAACAAATATTCCCGATGCTTCTCAGTTAAACACGAGAATAGCGTTTTCGATTTCGCATGATCGACGACTACATATTGGAGAATTCATCGATTCAAGAATAGTTTTGCTTGGTTTAGATGGAGCTGGGAAAACAAGCATTGTGAGACGCTTGAAGAAAGTCAGATTTGATAGCGTAATGGCTCCACATCCCACTATTGGGTATGATTATTTCTAGATATTCGTAGAAAATATTTTTTGCAGATTTAATGTCGAGATGATACATTTCAAAAACTATAGGCTAAATTTGTGGGATGTCGGTGGTCTACCCAAATTGCGACATTTATGGAAACATTATTATTCGAATGCCCAAGGTAAGAGAAGTTTTCGAAACAAAAATGAAATATCTTAAAGAATTATGATTTTTTTTTAATTAAGCAATTGCTCATAATCGCATTTAATTAGTTCAAACTTGACTCATCCAGCGTTAATTAGGAATATAAAAAGTTATCTACTCGGATGACACCTCGATGGCCATATGTATAATTTCAGCAATACTCTATGTCATTGATGGACATTGTCCTGAACGATTTCCGGAAGCGACGAAAGAGTTAATGAAGGTATTCAATGAAATTTGAATATAATTACCAAATGAGTTTTAAGGTGATTGGAGATCCTCTCGTCGGCACAACTCCCGTATTTGTTGCAATTAATCGAAAAGAGTAAGATATTCAATTATTAATTGAAACATTTTAATACATATATGAATATATTGTGCATACCTTTAGGGAAACTCCAATAAATGGGAATCTCGACGCCCTTCTCTCTCAACTGTCATCTCTTCAATTTCAATTACAACTACACCAATGTGATGCTGCTTCAGGAAGCGGAATAAGTCAAATAATCGATCAAATTACTACATCATTATCGCGATTAAACGGAGATTGTCCTGTATAATACAGATTTTTTTAAAGAAGTTTATTAATTAGTTAATTATCGATTATAACACATGTTTAATATAGTAGGATATTTATGTAAATAATAGATTTTTGAAATGAAGATTTGTCTTGTTTAAAACAATATTTATATTTATTAGATGTTTTATTTCACATTTGTTGAATATATTTATACAATTGTGGAAAGATATTATGGAAAAAAACACAGTTTTAAGGAATCTAAGAAATGTCTTCTGATGTACTTCGAGTTATTGATCCACGTGGCTATTTTGACACATTTTTTAAAGAAGGCGTGTATCCGGATGGACGAGGAATTCTTGATGTTACAAAACTCGTTTATAAGGTAATTTCCGATCGATTTGAATTTACTTGAGAAAAAATTATTTAAAATTTAATTTCTCTGCTCCCTCATTATCGCATGAAAACAATTTTCAGCAAGGTGAATGCGGTGGTGTCGGATCAGCGGTTGTGACGAATGGTGGTGTGACTGTCTCATGCTCCATCGAAGCTTCCATCTCGTTGTCGAGCGATGCTTCTTTGGTCTCCGTAGAAATCGCACAATCTCAACAACTTTCGGAGGTATAGTCATCAGTTACTCATAGATTCTACCGAAAACATTTTTTTAAAGAAAGATTCCGAGGATTATCGCGCTCTCATTTTGGACTTGTTCAACCGCGATTATTTCGTGAAAAGGGAGAATTTGAAGTGTATTGACAATGTTGGAAACAAATTGCCTCTTGATTGGGTATTGACAGTGACTGTGAAGATTCTGAGTCTTGACGGAAGCATTCTTGACGCCGTCGTGGTTAGATAAATTATTAACTCATCAAAATACTCAAAATTCTTAAGTGTGCTATTATCGCTGCACTCAAAGACACCAGACTACCAAATATTCGACTAAATCATGCCATTGAAGACGAATCTCCTATCGAGAAAACTCAAATCCTTCTCGAAGATACGGTATTTTTCAAATTTTAGACACATCATTCATTTAGGATAAATTATAGAATTACTCGTTAAATGTTCACGAAATTCTAATGTGCTGCACATTTGGTGTTTTTGTTCGAAATTTGGAGAAAGATTTGGAAGAAGAAGTTAGCTATGCATTTTGAGAAACATGAATTTACAAATGTTTGCAGATTCTTCTTTTCGCGCCTTCTGAAGAGATCACGGGAATATGTCGTGCCACGGTGAGTATTGTTGTGGGAAATGATTCGAAGATCGTGTTAACTCGACTGAGAGGACATTTGTCGAAATTCGATATGATTAGGGTAAAATATATGTTATGAAGGGACCTCTAAACATTCGCTATTTTAAGAAAATGACAAAATTGACGGAAGAACGGCGGCAAAAGTTTATCGAGGCGTTGAAGCAACACTAATTTTTTGTTTGATTTATGTTTCATTGTTACGTTTTTATTGTTATGCTATTTTTCTTCCAATAAGATCATTGAAAACCCATAACTGTACATGATAATTTTCATGGATTTACCAAGCCTAATTTCTTCAATTTTTGTTCATAAGGTAATAAAGAAATTGAGATTTAGATGATGTTGATTGGATCTCATCGTCTCGGCTTTCCTATATCGAAGATCTCCGATGTAAACGAAATTGCACAAAATGAGATGGACGTTGTCGAATTTTGGCTACTCCACTCTCCCAATACGGAAATTTATGACCGTAAGTTTAACATACAACAAATGTAAATTTCGTTAAAAATTTTTTTAAAGATTTAACGCTTCATTTGTGTCAGAAAGTCGAAAGTAGACGACCACAGATTGAATTCGACGACGTTCTTTCATTTCTCGCAATTTCTGCCCAATGCCACGTGGTATCACTTCTCCCACGTGGAGAATGCGAGGGCAAAATTGCATACAAATTCAAACGGTATATTGGGATATATTACATTGTTATATTTATTACCAAATTGATTATCAATTATTATTATTCTTCCACTGTCGTTCCACCCCGTTTCGTTAAAGCCGAATCGGGTTCCCTGGCAAGAAGAGGAGAGAATTCTTTGTTGACGGCTTCTTGAAATGCGTCGATATCCTTGAGAATGTCGGGAAAAATTTTGTAGCGTTTACATCGAATTTTGACATAATCGGTGAACAGATATATCGAATAGACGAACAAGTGTTTGTTTTGGACGAGCTGTGCCCGCTGGATTCGGGTCTTCTTGATTAATTGAAGGATCTGAAGCGAATTTAGAAGAGCGAAAGGCTAAAATAGTGTGATTACATCAATCTCGATATTCCGAAACACTAAATCGATGATAATGTCGGCAAAAATTAAGCAACCAGCTCGGTTTATTCCACTCGCGCAATGTACAACAACGGGACCATTGGATGATTTATCTACCTTAATATTTTTTTCGAATTAATAGAACGATTTCATTTTCAACCTTGATTAATCGCAGTGTTTTCATTACAACTCTAGTATTCGCCGGAACTTGATTCTTGGGCCAGTAGGGATAGTGAAGAATTAGTATAATGCGACTGTTGGAGCAACCTTCCGGTAGAACCTCGATTTGATATTGGAACGGTGTGTGTTTTGCAGTCGGAGCCACAACTTTTCGACAATTTACAAAAAATGCGCCGTGGTTGTTGAATTTTCCCACTTCATTTGGGAAGTAGAGCGGAAGATTTTCATCCTTCAAATAAATGTAGTTTGGATGGGAAGAAAAATTGTAATGTACCGCTGAAAATATAGCAACGATCGTATCTACATTTTCGTAGAAAACCATCCTCCAAAAGTCCTCATATGTCGATTCTAAGGGGTGTTGTGTTGCAATATAAACTCTTTCACTTGGAGGTGTTCTGATATAGTTTGCATGAATATAATCTTTTGTAGGATCGGTAATTTCTTTGAGTTTGACACGGGTTTCTTCGACACATGGCACGTCGGGATTGCGATTTTTAATGCGATACGCCGAATTTGCTTGCGAGTTATCTCCTGATGGTTTCTCAACATTCTTAGTGAACCATTCAAATAATCCACCTGGTGTAGATTCTGAAACATTGATAACGTCGAATTGAAAGTTGCCTCATCTTCTACGCGTTGCTTTTATCCAGGTGATCAGTTTGCGAACGGCTCGTTCCGCTGGCCCCATTATTGGATCGACTTTTTTTTCCGTTGCTTCCACACCACCGCCATCATCCTCATCAATTGTATCTTTCGTTTTTCGAATTCGCGCTGTTCGACCGCCTTTTCTTCTTATGTTTCGAGACATGTTCCGTGTTTACGAAATGCTTTTTTGCTTGGATTTCGGAGAAATCCTAGGTCATCAAGTTTGTGGCATCGAACGATCTGAGCGCTCACCTAATCGATATTAATAATATTCAGAAAATAAAACGAACAACGAAAACATAAAACAATAAACGCGAATAATATTGAACACGCGCGTTTCGAACGATTTAATATGGGTTCTTTTTGGACAATATACTAAAAATTTAGGTTGCGAGATCTATTTCCTGTATGCAATGAGCCCGTTGATGTCAATTCAATTAGAAAAAAATGCCTCGATTTCTTCAGATTTTTTCAGTACTTCGATATTTCAAAGCTTTCGAATGATGAAAAATCAAATTTAGTGTTTGGTAATAACATTAATGAATTATTATTTTTTTAAGTGAATCGTGTTTTAGCTCTTCTGAGACTTTCAAAGGACATAAACTCTGATAATATGATGCGGTTTGTTGTCAAGAGTGTATGTGAAGCATCTTTCAATTTTTAATTAAGTTATTTCCATGTTTAGGTAATTGATGATTGTGACAATATCTACGGTTTCCTCGATTCATTTGTTCCAGTATTTCCACAACTTTCGGGTATTCGTTTAGAAATGGAATTTCGTTAGATTCATTAGGAAATATTTTTAGAAAATATAGGTGATTTTGGAGTGTATTTGCGCATAATTGAGCATCCATCGTCTGACATTTATCCCGTTTTACGGATTTTTCTTGAACTTCTCGTGTCACTATCACAAAGATCAGAAATTTGCACGGAAATCCCGCCGGCTACGGTAATTCGATTGCAAGACGTTTTTTTTATTTCAAAAATTTTTTTTCTTAGGCGCGAAAAAATGTGCTTGCGCGAAAAGCGATTGAGTTGATGGTCGAAATTTTTCCGGATGCACTGAATGCGACTAAACAGGTGCGGCAATATAGGAAATTAAACATCAAGTGGAGATACTTGAGAACTCTCCACTTATTAGAGCTTATTAGAGGATTTTCTTTTTTGTTTGGAAATTAGAAAATTCTCAAAAATATTTTACATCCTTCAAAGGGTTACGTAGAATTTTTGCAGAAAGCGGAACTCTGTCAGATAATGTACAAAATGGTCCTCAACAATAATGTCACACTTCTGGCAACATGCGATTTTCAGGAAACTCTTTTCACAATCAGCAAACATATTGAATTAGATTGAATAAATTTTGAAAACAAATTGAGAACCTTAAGCAGAAGCTGCGAAATTTCCTCATCTGTTTCATAAATTCTTCAAAAGTGAATCGAACGGAATAAATTGAATTTTGCGCCACCCTCCTCTTCGCGTGCTGCGCGGAATTATTTTTACCCTGAGTTATTTTTTTGCACGTCACATGCTTTCGACATTTTATCACGATGATGGTCATACCTGTGAGCCAGCACAAACTCATCAAGATTCGGCGAGCAAATCGGGTCAGGCTCACTAAATTAGCGCTGATATGCTCGGCGATCGCGTGTGGGTGCAACATTTTCGGTAATTTTTATTCATTGTGTTTCTTGTTCTTAACTAGCTTTTGCCAACGATTTAACAACAATAAATGTTCTTTTTTTCTAACATTTTCTGAAAATTTGGGAAAAGAAAAAAAATGCACAAACTAGAAAACTATTTTCCTGCTTTAGCGTCGTCAACAAATCACTGGTTGTACACATCAGAAGTTTTGAAGTATTTCGTGTTCCCGAACCAAACTGCGAACATTGATGATTTTTCCACAGCAACTGCGCCAGTCTATTTCAAAAATGCCACCATTGGGCCGTGGTTATTCTGCTGGGAAGATCGTATGCTTCAACCATCTCTTATTAGTACATCTCGTTCTATTCAGCAATAACTCCATTTAATTGCTCTGAAGTTTTATACTTGACCGATGAAGAAGCTAGTGATACAACAAGTTCAGTTCAACGTAATTTATATGTAATGATTATGGATAAAACGAAATGATGAATATTTAGAATCAGTTCGCCGCGCTTTTCTCTTCATGCTGGTCGGAGTAATTATTGATTTCTGTGGTCTTTTTGTTGCCATTATTTGCTATTGTCTTCGAAATCCTTACTCATCATTGCTCGTTTCATCACTACTACATATCAATTCAGGTATTATTCATTTTTAAGGAAAATTTGTGAGCTTCTTCAAGGAATTGCAAACTTCTCGTGTATCATTGTCTTCATGTCATCTGTTTCCAAGGAAGTTGGATACAAGATCCACGCTGCCAGTGAGATGGACGATCCGCTATTCTATATGTCTTACGGATTCTCCTTTTGGTTGCTAAAGGTAAAAACAATATCAAAAAGGATCTTTTTGGGATTTCTAAAATATCATGGTCCTATTTTATGTTTTCAAATGAGAACCTCAAAAAACACAATTTGGCTTAACAACGTTTCATACGTGTCGAGATCACACCCGTAAATCTAAAGTTATATATTGGTCGCCTGGCGCCGACTTACGCGCGGAGTATCGAAGCTCCCGTTACCTTCTACTTGAGAAATTTCATTGTAAGCATCTGCGGACATTTTTCGGGACACGCCACGATCGCATGTTTATTATTTTCATCATTTTTTGTGAACTAAGGGGTTGGCGTGAATTCGAATTCCAATAGATCCTCGTCAGGCATTCACAAAAATTATTTTCAACAATTAAAGTTTAGGCCTCATTCATGTTGACTGAGATGGCAGCAATCTTTTCGATAATGGTTTATATGGCGAAACGGGACGAGCGAACATTTAACAGATACAAAATTCGAACAACATTTAATTATGTTAAGAAGCCAAATGAAATTGTTGATTCGCGAAACCGCAGTCTTCTTCCGCCAGTTCCTAGGAATTTTCGATACAACCGAAGGACTGGGTAAGATCAGAATAAGCCATTCTTCGATTTTTGCTCTCATTAATTACAGATCGAGTACCACAGAATCACCACCTCCTGAACTTGATTCAATGGTACGTTCTCCTATTGAAGGCCGAGTTCGTCAAGGTCTTCAAGGCAGTATCTCGATTCTGACAAGCTCGTTCTCTATTTCTCCAGATGTAAGGATTCTTTGAATTACTTCCTATCTAAATTTTGAAATAATTTATACAGATCATTTTTAAATTATTAAAAATCATCTTCAATGATTCAAAGTTTAAAACTTTCAGCAGGAGCATTATCACAAACAGCATCAGCCGAAGAAAACGTATGCTCAACCGCTTCGCCGAATGGCAATACCGGTCTCGCAACGATATCAAACTCCGTCACCTTAACATTAACAATTTTATTAATGTGCCGATCAAACTAAAAATATTTGTTTGAGTAGTGGGTTTCAAATTTGAGATCAATGTCACTTTCGTCCGAAACGGATGAATGATGGAGAAGCACGCTTGCCGAATCGGATGAAGGTTGGTTTCCCATTCGATGAAGAGCTTTAGAAAAAGTTAACAATCACCAAGAGTTTTTCTTTTTTGTTGTAAAATACCGTAATCCTCTAACCGGCATTCCTGACCAATAAGCGGAATTTTCCATAGGCATCGGCGGAACATACTCTTCCTGAAAAATACAAATTAATTGTTGGATGGTTCGCCAAGAAAACAGAAGTACATTAGTCATTTCCTCAAGATCGTCCGACTTTTCGGCATGAGTCATCGCTGCGATGAAAAGGAGACTGACGAGCAGAACATTAAGAATACCGGACAAGGTGTTTTGGAATTGCATGATGAACCTGGAAGAGACAAGTTCGTTGTGAATGCTTAGACATCGCGCAATTAAAAAATGACGCAGCACATTTTTACAACAATTAAAACAATATTGAAATAATGAATTATTTGGAAGCTTAGGATTTCCTGAGAAAAGCAATGGCCTTGAAACGGATGGCAATACATAGATGGCAAAAATCAGATACGCAAGATTTTCCATAGTTTCTTGATAAGTATTTCAGTTCTAATGAAAATGAATAAATTTCACGATAAATTCTCATAAATATGTATAATGATAGTGAAAACAAGTTTTTGTCCGTTTTTGAAAAGGGTCGTGCACAAAAGGGCGCGGTGGGCACAAAAACACGGGCGTGGCTTGGAAGGGATAAGTTCGTTTAATGAAGAGTGCATTCATCGACTCCGAAATCACCGGGAAATGAATAACAAAATGAAGAAATCGGCACGAATTAAGAATTTCAGCAAAAAAAAAACACAAACAATAAACCATCAAGTCAATTAATACGGGAAATAGGAAATAAATGAATTCATTTCAAATATATTCTAATGTAGGCGAGAGCAGAAAATGGGCGGAGTCTAATGATATCTGACGAAAATTGATTTCATTTCTGCTTTATTGTAGTTTAAAAAAAGAATTGTTGAGATTATTATGGGAAAATGATGCATTCAATTTCCTGTGTTTCCAAGCTAAAAATAAATCATTTCCGAATTACAGTGATCAGATTCAATAATTTTCCTCCAAATTTCATATTTGTCGTTTATTTCGTCGGTGATTTCTTATTAATTAATGATGAACGCATTCTTCCATTTACATACAATTTAGTGCAGATTATGCACGTCACTAGGGCACATTGTCAAAAATACGCATCTCGAATATGAATTAATTTGGGAAAATGTGTAGAGTGAAAGAATAGGCAGTCTCAGGTGTGTGTTTTTTTTTTGATCTACGAATACATCCTAGATTTAATTGTGCAGAGTTTCACACGAACGGAAGAAGGTTTTGTGAAATCAAAAAATTATGAGAAAAAATTGTTAGAAGATGAGAGAACTCAAATTGCGAAAGATAATTTCGAGAAATGTTCGATGGACCTCACCGTGTGTTATTCGAATTTGTATACTGCGATAACAAAAAATGTTCGACAGTTTGTGCATTAACCAACAAAAAATGTACACTTTTTGTCTACTGTAACTCGCTCGAAAAAGAATGATAACAAAATAGTAAAGAATCAGGCAATAAAATGGGTCCGAGGACCAATGGAGAGATGAGCATATCAAAAATGAATGATGATGGCACTTTTATGGAACGATCAGACTAAACATTTTCAATATTATGAAATTTCGAAAACAATGATGATTGCGAAAATAATATTTTAAAATTCATAAGAATGGAAATTTAAAAAAAAGCGTTTTGCTTAAAATTCAAATTGGAAAGTAGCATGACATAAATTAACTAAAAACCAGCAAAATTATGTAAAATATAATTTTATTATAAAATTAGGATCAACGAATTTTTTCTTTTTACCTAAATTAGATGAATTCTTAAGAATTATCGAAATATGTTTTTGCCAAACTCAATTTCCGACGATTTCATTGTAAAAAAAAGACGTAAGCTTTCAAACAGTCCAAATTTTACTTGTATCCAATTTTATTATTATTATTATTATTATTTTGTTTACGTATATTTTTTTGCAAAATATCTAATTTTCCGTAGAAAGATTGCAATAGATTATCCTTTGCACTTTTTGCTTTCACGTCGAACATTTTATGATGATGAAGTTTTGAATCCTTCGCTAATCCAAAGATCTTCAAGATCCTCGAGTGTATGAGTGTCTAGAATTCTCAAAGTTGGCACGAATTCATTGAATTCACAGTCGAAAGTGATCAGAATTGCAATTGTGGACCATCGAAAAACAATATACATATAATAGTCAAGTACGATGAAAAAGTTGATGTTCCAACGGAAAAATATGGTGAATAGCCGATCTGAGTCTTCATGAATCCCCAATGTGCTCATTCATTTTTTGCAATTGGTCACCGTGAGCGCATTTTTTTAATGTTCGAGTTTTATGTATGAGTCGATGATCGTATAATCAAAAGAAACGACGAAAACGAATAAAAATTGAAAATAAAAAAGGCATAATAACATATTGGATGCGAACCAAAATTGGTGGTTTGAAGCCAATAAAACCATTGAAAAGGAAGTCGTCAGACACCCAAAGAAACATGATATTTTATTCGTAGATCATAAAAATGCGCAGTGGATACGATAGAGCAAAGTACGAGAAATGCTCAAGGGAAATATGAGTTCCGGCTTGTTTCTCAAGAAAATAGAACAACTCGCTATCGAAAATAGGTGGATAAAACATTTTAAACCATTAAATCGCTTCCATAATCTTTCCGCGAAATTCAAACTAAAAATTTCGGGCATTGAATATCGTAATCAGATTTAAATTGTTCGTTTCGGGAACCGCTGGATATAAATTATATTTGAAATATTCTGTGCGGTCAATCAAATTCCCGTGGGGTTCGAACACAACTCAAAATGTAGTAAATTATTGGGACGACAATTCTTTGAACCATCAATTGAAACCCAATTTTCGAGAAAAAACAAACAATCGAAATAGTTTTCAGAATTGAATGTATGTATAATTATTCTGGAGATAATATGGTTTTTCATTTTCAGCAGATCAAGAAGTATTGAGCAAATTTTGAAATCAAATCGAAAAATGTCACCTAGAATCAAAAAATTACACGGGTCTTATTATTGAAAAATCATGTAGTCTTGGTAAAATGAAAAATTCTGATTGGGATTATTTTTTAAACAAAAATCAGATCGATGTTGACTAGATTGCAATTAGGTTCGAATTGTTATTGCAAACGTTTGAAATAACATTCGATTTTCGAAATTTGAGAAAAAAGTAAACTTCATCCAAAAATGGTTTAAGTCCAATTCTCGTTGTCGCCGACCGAAATCGGTTGAGGGAAGGGGGAGGGGGCGTGGCTAGAGCCCTAACTTGGCGAACTCGGCTTATATTGCGGAAAAGGCAAATTACGAGTTTTCGGAAAAAAATATTAGAAAGAGTAATAAACCGAAAATTGGGCAATACATTTTGCATTGAGTACTCGGATCAATTATTTACCAATTAAAATTAGTTTTCACTGTAGCCGAAATTGATTTAAAACTTTGAGAATAGTGCATTTGTGCAGAATTTTTCGATCTTATACTCTAGCAGGAAAATCCTCGAAATCGGGTTATTATAATCTCGAGACTAATTTGTTTTCGTCAAATGTATTTTTGAAATGAATTGGAAAATATTGTCAGAATTTATGCACCGATAGATTTTTCGAATTTTAATATAATTGATCCCCAATGAAACGAAATAGTTCTTCATTCTGTGTTTTTTTTTCGTCAATGCGAGGCACACTTAAATTTCACATCAGTTGTACTGTGATGGTTTAATTTTAAAAAATTAAAATTCGTTCCTAATCGTTTTTCCATACGAGACCAATTACGGCAATTCAAATCACCATAGGTTCGCGGGTATTACGATAAATTTCAAGTATAATACGTTTTTTTTTTGCTTATTCATTATTAATGGAACTTTGAGGCTCAAAAAATATGCAGATACAAAAAAAAAGAACTCATTCCATTCTATTCAATTGACTGGAAAATAACTAAGCTATTCCGCCGAGAATTCAGCTATTGTCTTGCTCAAAAAAGAAAGAGTTTTATTTTAAAATATATAGTCGGAATGCAATATGAATCTGATGGTGGCCGATTCTGGCATTAATATTCGAATTCACTAGGATACGATAGAGACATTGCCCAATTCTGCGATATTCATTAATATTCCACTGATTTTGAGCCATCTTTGTAGCACTGTTTTTTAAATCGAGATTATCCTGCTAAAATTTTTGTTTTGCACTGCTATTAAACGCTAAAATTATCAGAAAATTTCAGTTTTACAAATGCGACTTTGACTATATGAGAAAAAAAGAGAGTATCTTCGATTTCCAAGAGCTTTCTGTGTAAAAACCAGTGATTCATGAAAATTCTATAATTTCAGATTCCAATAAAAATTGAAAAATTGAAATTAAATCTATGATCATCTGTTTTGGTACGATTTGCATCAGAAAAAAAAGATATTGTCAGTTCAATCCAGACTCCATGAATTGATTTTGACAACTAAATATTGGTGCATTTTTTGAGAAAATTTGTCTAAATTATAAAGAGATTTGAAAAAAAAGATTATTTGTCGAGTTTCAAGAGTTAAAATATTCCTCAAAAAAACATTGGCGCTTCTCTGCCACCTCAAACAAAAATATTTTGTTTCGAATGATCGAACAAACGTCAAAAACCTCATGAATACATTGGAAACATGCCTGAAAAGCATCGAACCATCGAACTCATAAAAATGCGCAGAAAAAAAATGCAAATATTCAGCCACCTAGTCTCGAGGTGTATGCGAAGAAAGAAAATACAGCGGAAATAAATCGAGTCAACCAAATTTGGGTTGTTTAAGAAAAATAGCCGGAAAATTTCCTTCGATTAAACAAAAAAAAATCAAAAAAAAAGCGTATTCAATTTCAGTAGAAGTGTAAAAATGATAAGTCAGAATCGAAATTCGATATTTCTATTAAAGGTCTTTTTGTTGAAGAGTCCTTGTAATTGAAGCACAAATTCATAAATATCAAATTTCTCATAAAAACCAACATCAAAGATTCTGGCTAATTTGCATTAAAATAGAAGACGGATGGTTCGATTCAATTGAAGAAAACTAATTGAGTGGGTGTCGAGGAACCATAAAAATATCAAGAATATCACGTTGTTTTCCCGGCGAGATCCCACATTTATTAGTTTCTCATGATTCATCAAAACAAAATAATTTGCGGCATACAGTAATAAAGAATTCGAAAATATCTAATGCAATACTAATCAAATTCTCTTTTCAGTATTTTCAGCATTTTAATAGCACATTTAATAAGCATTTGACAGCGGGACCATGAAACACAATGGTCTCGCACTTATACCAAAAGCAAACCAAGCAATTTTGTTAGAAGGAAAATTTTGTGCGGCTTGTTTTATGGGAATATTGAATGTGAAAAGCAATCTAAATCTGTTCATAAATGTTATTATTATGTGCTTGATTTAGTGGTTTGAACGAAGAATTGCCTTCCAGAAGAGTTGGTTTCTGAAAATTGTTTAGGGCAAAATATACAGTAATGGAAATAATTCTTGAAAAGTTCTTCAGTTGAAATTTCTGTAGAAGTCGGATTTCTTTCATATCTATTTTTTTAATGTTAGGTATTTCATTTTGTTCTATTTTTTTTTTAAAAGATCCATAGTGGTTATAAACCTGATTTTGTTCGATATGTTGCAACAATCAGGGTTTTTCGTTTAATTCTAAATAAATTATTACCTGTCACTTCCAAAATCAATTTTTTTCAAATTCCCTATAATATTGCGTTTTTTTTTTATCACTATTAGTATAAACTGCTATTTTTTGAAGAAAAAAAAAACATTTTCAATTGAGTGGAAACTCGTTTTCGCCAATTGCAAACTATACATCGATAAAACCTATAACATTACGCACAAGTTGACGTGTTTTCAAAACAATTCTTTCATATTACATTTCCTAGAATTTGCGAGAAAAGAGCCAATTATGTATAAACCTATATGGGTGAACAAACCTCTGATGATACCTGGATTGGATCGAGTCGATCCGAATTCGTCCCTTTCCTCCCGCAAATTCGCGAGTTATTACACGAATCAGTGTCTTTTTGATGGACACATTTTTGTGTGTTTAAACTAAAATTGAAAGTGCAGAGAGTGGGTGATTATGGCACGTGAGATGTCATTAAACATATTTTCACAATCAAGTGAGAACAAATAAATTTTCGAAAGGCTGAAGTTTCACAGTAAACTTAATTGACTTTTTTTTTTAAATAAAATAATGGCAAATTGTTGATAATTTTTTAAAAATTTTCCTTACGAAAAATCAATAAAATCTTGGCATCAGATCATATTCTCGTTCCGAAACGCAAAACGTACCACACGGGATTTCAAATAGTCGAAGAGATGACCTCGTCTTTTCATTTTCAAACTGCTTTCTTTCTTTCATCACTGCCGCCCCGCATTGATTTGGCCTAATATCATCAGTACACTTATTAGCGGGTTTTTGTACGAACGCCGCCGACATTAATCAACTTGGCTGTATATAACAGACATCGCACACGCGCATTAATGCATTCGCATTCATTTTCGCTTGCTGGATTTATTCAAAACAAACGCGTCGGATCGCGTGCGTCGCGTGCACTCATCACGTGTCGGTGTTTACGTACTCTGTTCACGCTTTGCTCAATTTCACTCAATAAATAATTATCGTCGTTTTATATATCCCCAACCTTTCAAAACGGGACTTTTCAGTTCTTTAATATATTAAATTGAAGTTTACTTGCAGATGAGCGCTGGTTGCGCACTGACGGTAAAGGAAGAGCATGATGAAGAGGTCCATAGAATGGTAATTTTCTGTTGATTACCCAAAAATATGGTAATAATATAGGAAGAGCAAATGTCGAATTGTAAAGTGAATATGAACGATCCGCCCCAACGCCGCCTATTTTCAGGTATATTTCTATCTAAACAGAGAGAGGGAGAGAGAAATTTCGACTGCCGAAAAATTTAGTTACTCAGAAAAAAAATCACGCGAAATAGGGGAGTTTTTCGAGTTTGGTGGGAAACATTGGCAAATTTTGGGAGAAATTGTAACATAAAATGGAACTCATTGGTTATTTTGCTCGAAACGACGAAACAATGTTGCTCCAAAACCGAAGAAAACCCTGCTTCGCATGATGAAATTGCCGAGTTATCTGAAATAAAAGCCTGAAAACGAATGTTAAAGAGCAGAGTCGTAAATTTTGATAAATAATTTAACGGCCTGTTTTGATTAATGTTTTAATAACACCAATTTGTCATTTGTGAATAGTTAAAAACGGACAGACCCTAGGAAATCCCTATAAATCATAGAAATAAACGTAATTTCACAAAACTCTGCATAATAAACAACGAAAAGTAAAGTTATTTAGTGAATACGCGTTATATTTTAAAGGGACTTATTTGTAGACCCCGCTTCAACCGAGTACGTTGATCATTATTCGAGTTATGAAAGTGAGCCTGCACCCATTGCGTACAACCCACCCGATTTGACTCCGACAAAGACAGAAGGAATTATTCGATTGAATATTCCGAACTTGTCGCAGCTCAAATCAAAAGTCAGCACTTCTTTCCATTACATTGCCAATCTTCCGTGGCGGCTCGCAGCGAAAACCGAACGCACCAAAAGGACATCAGATGTGAAATTCTTTTCGGTTTATATCGATTGCAACCCCGACAGTGAAAGCACGTTATGGTCTTGTGATGCTGTTGTCGAATTCCGGCTTCTCGTCCAAACACCCCATTCTCCCGATGCCACCTCTGCTCCGTTTACTCGTCATTTTAGCAACAAGTTTAGCTTTAACTCGAATAATTGGGGCTTTCCTTCATTTATGGAATGGAGTGAAATCACTTGTCCGGAACGAGGATTTGTGAAGAATGACAAGGTTTCGATTGAGGCTCGCATCGTTGTTCAGAAGGTTGTTGGAGTTCGTAGCAGTCCAAGATTCGATTTCTTCTCGAAATCCTCCTGTATCGCTGATGCCGTGCTCCTTGTGGACAACAGGGAACTCCACGTTAGTAAAGCTGTAAGAACTTTCACGTTTACCATGTGAGACCATTTGAAATTTCAGTATTTGGCTCTGTATTCGCCAGTATTCCACGCGATGTTCTTCTCAAACTTTAGTGAACGTGAGAAGAGGAAAATAAAAGTGGAGGATGTGATTTTCGAAGAGTTCGTTGAGCTTTTAAATGTAATTTATCCAAGTCATCGCCCAATTAATGGTATTTCGATTCCACAAAATTTCCAAAAAGCTCCATTTTAGCGGAAAATGTCGAATTCCTTCTCGAATTAGGTGACAAATTCGAAATTCAATATGTCATCGATGAATGCGAGAGATTCTTGATTTCTACTGATGATATTGCCAATATTACTAAACTCGTTTGGGCTGATCAATATTATTTGGCTAAGTTACAGGTATTCTTTTTCCGCCAAAAAACAGTTTCCAATCATAATTGTTTTATATTATGAAGTTTGAAGCCCGTGATTATTTTTTTTTCAGGACACCTGCCTTCAGACCATCAAAGACGTCTCTGAAGTTCGAGCCCTTAAAGCGACCGAGGAGTACAAAAACTTAAGCGACGCTACAAAAGCGGCTCTCCTTGAAAAAGTGTTAAAAATCGTTAAGTGATCGTTTTCGAAGTATCATATTAGTCAAATCCCCCCAAAAAAAATAATTTTTCATTCAATAATGGGCATTAAGATTCATAATCTTTGTCATAATTATTAATAGGATCGCAGTGCGATGTATTAAATCATATATATATTGATGCAATGTGTGAGGCTCATGTAGAAATGCCCATATCTTTTGTTCATCTCACTAATTTTTTTTTGCTTTTCACTCCCGAAAAATGTACATAGTTTATTACGCTTTTAAACAAAAAATAAATAAATAAAACAGAAACCAGTTGTATCGTCACAGAGATCACTCGGAAAAGAGATGTGTCATCGTTTTCAGACCACCCGCGCAGTTAGGGTCTTGTGCGAACCGCGCAATGGAGTTTCGCAATCCTCGGGAGATCGATTCTCTGGAATTCCAATTTAATTGTTTCAGACAATGTGCTATTACTTGATATGGACATGTCTTCCGATTGAATAAGGTGGAACATACGGAAGGTCCTGGCACGAAATTCCTTGTTCAATGCCAAATAAACAAAGAAATGGATTCCAGAGTTAATAGTTTGCATCCAATATGCTGGCTTTGACAATTTGTCGCTCACCTGGAAATAATAATGGTTTTGAAACGAACTACCATCAAAATAGCGGTACCTTTTGAACATAAAGTTGGAAGAGAGCAATTGCGTTCGGAAGGGAGACGAGCAAAGTAGAAAGGGCTGAGATCAGAAGATAATAACGGATTATGTTGACTTGTCGTTGCATTCGAGGCCTGAAAATGATAGGTATCGAAAGGAACACGCGAATTGAGAATATTTTGAAAAAAAAAAAGAACTTACTGAGTTTTTGAGAGCTTAACCGCTTTGATGTATGCCAATGTGGCAAATATGGTACTGATGACGTTGCAAGTGATATTGCAACAGTAAATGAATGTGCCGAATCCTTCACCAAAAGCTGCTTTCCGACCGCAATGATATGGTGCTTCATGAATTTCGGACAATGCGATGAAGAAGGCGACAAGAATCGCGAGGGCAACGAATAGGAGACTGATTACTGGGATGACGAGGTATCTGCAAAACATTTCTTGATTGATGTTTGTTTCATTAATTCGATGCATACTTTATGGCTTTTCCGTCAACCGAAAAACGATAGAAAATCGGGAAAAGAATGGCAACTAATCGCTCGACACCCATCCAAAATGTTGCAATTGGGATCAAAATGTCGCCTGAATCGCTTGAAATATTTTTATTGATGAGGATGGATAATTACCTATCAATTTGAGAATTAGCCATGGCTCTAATGCGCATTCTATCGTGGTCCTGACTGGAATTGTCAAGGTTTTAATCGACGTCGAATAGAGTTCGATTCGATTTAGGCCGGTTAACACGATGGCGATGCTGTTTACCAAGTCACCGACGCATAGAATTATGAGAAGCTGAAAAAAAATGTCTTCGATTGTCGAGAAACATAGGTTTTTTTTTTCAAATTCACTTGAAAACCCCTCATTCCATTTTTTTTCGTAATGCTGGTCTTAAAAGAGACATTCAAACAAATCCCTGAATATTTAGCATGATATATTTCCGCTGAATATGCCATTTTTTTTTGATCTGTTGTTTTGAAATTTCCGAAAATTCTTCGCCGGTGACGATTACCAAGGAAATAAGAAAGAAATATCTGCTAAATACATAGTCGATTTAAAATAACATTAAATGGGATATTTTAAAAAAAACTATATTGTGACCATTTTTGGTTATTTTGAATCGTAAAACTGTTTTCTATGGAAACAACCAAGTAGGTATTCGTTTCGATAATTGATTCTCGGGGGTTTTTTTAAAAATAATTCTTACCACATATCTTGTTCGAAATGGGCGGTGCGATAGAAAAATGACAAGTAAAAGAGTGTTGACGATTGTCGAAATGGCACCAAGGGAAGCATTCACGATGTGATAAGTGATGAGATCCTCGAATCCATCGATGATCGACGAATTCACCGTTCGATTGACTTCGAACATATACACACCGACCTTCTGAAATACTCATGTGATTTATAAAAGAAATGAACACAACGAAAATATAAATAGATAGGAGAAATATGGGGAAAAATCCTCGAGATGATGAATGCCAAAAAAAAGCGAAGAAGGAGGAGGAGAATGCATAGTGTAAATGACATGCTTCCATCTGTTGTATGCTAATTTTTTGGATGAATTTTTTGGATGAGATACGAATACCTTTTAGCGAAATGGGATGTGAGAGTCAAAAGTTAATCATACTAAGAGAATATCTACACAGTGAATCGCATCACGAAGCAGTGAATGGGACCAGTGAAAACCAAATTGCGTGAAAGTCTCAGGTATGATGGCAAGTGATTTTGTTGTGAAACATTGCATGACAATGATTAATAATATTTAGGAATATTACACACATTTGCAAAAAGCACACTTTGTGCAATAAATTCTGTAATATTCGAAATGCTAAAATGTTGGAGTCGTGAGCATGAAATCATTTTTGTTATGCCGTATATATAATATATTCTTATTATTTGAAAAAAAGATCTCCAAAATCAATTCAAAAATAATAATAATAATAATAATACTAACAAAAATAAGAATGCGAATGAGCAACAAAAAATGAGGGAGCAACAGAAAAGCAGTGGGAGGTCAAATAATGTGCGCCTATACAATTTCAAAGTAAACTTCTTCTTCTTCTTCCTATTGTCATTCCTCTTCCAATAATTATCGCCTACTCGGTATAGTTTCCCGCTTTGCCTCAAATGAGCAAATAGAACGACCGACAACTGCTTATGATTTATTCAGGAGCCGCTCAAAACTTTTTGAGACGCATGCTCGAGACTTGGGACAAAATGAAAAGAGTTCAGGTGGATTTCGGCAGCGCCTGAAATTTCAACTTTTGTCCAACCTTTTTTTAATGTGGTATTCTTAAATCCGACGCCAAAAACACGCAAACACACACACACACATCTTCAATGATGGGACCGTGTGAATTTGGGACATAACTATGCATGTAGTTGTGCTTCGAATAATAATCGCGAATTTCATTTGGACCACTATTTATTAATCAAATTTTGTAAACGTGGTGACAGAATTTTCAGCGGACATTATGTGCGTATTTTTTTTGAAATAGAAACATTCAAACGACCTGTGAAATAATCATAATCTTATTTTTCTAAATTCAACCGTTTTTTGTTGGTTGCTAGAATTATTATTGAGAAAAAGAAGAAGAGAAATGGAAAATATTAAAATGATTCAAAATAAAATAAGGATAAAACCGATATTCGCTCAAATGCGCAACCTGATGCCCCCGTTTCTGCCAAGAAAGATGAGACTCGGCCAAGATGAAGATGAAGCTGAAAAAGGCGCGAACAAAATTTGAAATCTGATAGGTTTTTATGTTATGTTGTGGGTGGATTTTAAAGCGAAAGATCGAGATTACTGTAGTTTGAGCGGACGATTTTTCGAAAATTTAAAATTCACACGTAATGATCAGAAATTATGATCTCAATTCTACAAAATCTCTTTGCGACAAACAAGGTCAAGTTTCCAAGTTGCTATTCGTTTTTCGAGATGCTCAATTTTTTACAGTAGGATGCAAATATCAAAGATGAGGAATCTTTAGATGCAAATTTGAGTAGTCTAGTAGTATTCCATAGAATTTTCACAAAATCTTATGCACTACTCTGCGAAGCCTCTCACAAAAAAAAGGAAGCCAAAAATTGCGCTGTGAAGAATAAGTTGTAACAAGATATTGCCGAAAATATTTGATTATGTTCGTCTCTTTTTAACAATCAACATGACCCGAAGGAAAGAGTGACCGTCTCGAAGGCGACGATCATAATTGAGAATCACATTGTTGTTTGCGGCCGACTTTGTTCTTCTTTCGGTAACTAGAAAAAGAACGAAAGAAGGATCGTAGATTCAATGAGTGCTTGGTCGAGTTTATACAAATATGCGAGATTATACTGTCGGCGTCCGGCGACTGCTGTACGCGGGTAGATTTACGCGCATGCGCCTTGAAAAGGACAGTGTGCTTATTTTGCCGTTTTCACGTGAACTGTTAGTCCTTGCGAGACCATTTCGCAAGACGCATTCCCGTAAATCTACCCGCGTACAGCAGTCGCCGAACGCCGGCTATACATGTATTTAAAGAAGCATGCTCGAAGTTACTTAAAGAATCGAAAATAAATTAATTCAGCTATTTTAGAGTATTCTCATTATCATTGTGGAAAAATTAATTTTCAGCAATTATCTTTTAATTCCTTGCTAAATTTGAAAAAAAAAAAATCAAAATTAATCTTGATGAAAAAATGAGTGGGATCGCAAATTTCTGGCTGTACTTGTATTGCAAAAACTACAATCAACAAATGATGTCCTTTTTTGGAAATGAAAAACAAATAAAAAAAAACGAAATTAAATTGAAATAAAGCAGAAACAAGGCACGAAATTCGATACAAACGAATCAAAAACATGTTTAGCGGTGAGAAAAATGAATCAATTTTCGACGAATTATATGAATATACAAAATATTGAAGATATTATTCTCACAACAAAACAAGTATTTCGAATGTCCTTTCAAATAATTTTTTGAATTAATCGACAAATCCATTCGATGACAAACAAATTAAATATTTTGAGAATCACTGAATGCTCTTTGAGAAAAGTGCCTAATAAGGAAAAAGAGGTGTTCAGCAACGGAAAAATTATGCTCACTCGTGTGTATGGATTTATTCATATTTTCTTCTTTTTTTTCATGGCTTATAGTAATAATAATAATAATAATATAAAATGAAAAAAAAATGAATAAAATTAAGACAAAAAATGCGGAGAAATCGGATTCTAATTAATATATATACTATTGGTGGCTTGTGTGGATAATCAAACATCAGAATGATTAATGCGAAAATCGGTGTAGGTTTACCGATTCGCAAATAACACAAATGCCTCTTAATTAACAAGTCTAGCCAAATCTTTTCAATTTTTTTTCCATATAGGGGGGTCTATTAAAAGAGAAAACCTCTGAATTAATCATTCATTCCATATGTTTCCAATTGTTTTTCGATCAATGAGTGATACCATTGGTGCGGAACCTACCAGTGCGGAATTTCAAGCTTAAAACAATTTTCAATCACTTAAAAATTAAAACAAAACGAGTGGTGTTGAATATGGTCTTCTGGCCAAAATCATTCATTGGGAAGTATTGCGCATAAAAACTTGTTAACCAGTCTAACCATGAGCAATAGCTTAACGCCAACAAGTATCGTTTAAAAATAGAATTCAATAAGGAAAATTATGTCATCATTTGAAGTCAGCTTTACTATTTAGTTTCTTTTTAGAACATTATCAAAGTCTTTTTGATGAAGCGGCCGCATTATGCAATTGGCAAACAAAAACGAAATTGATGCCAACTCTTCTTCTCAACGTTTTAAAATTCGATCTTTCAAATATTTGAAACACATTTCGTCAATTTTTAAAGAAACAATTTCAGCAATAATTTTGGTGATTCGACAATGAATGGAAAATGTTTAGATAATCATCAGAATCGAAATGAGTTTGACATTTGGAATTGTGAAAGCAAAAATCTTCGAAAAAAAGCTTTCCTCGAAAAAACTTCTGCCGGTGGCGTGTTCGCTCGGAAATTACACCACACAGAAGAAGCATTCGGCGAAAACTTTTAATTTCGAAAACAATTTCTTGCATGGGACGGCTGAAACGATGTCATTTGATTGATGACAAAACAGCAAATCCCCGCACTGAAAAAGAAAAGAAGAGATGGGCGCGATTTGCGCGATGACATTTGATGTATGCACGTACCCAAATAGAGTAGAAAAACTTTATCCATTGATAAATGAGCATCACAATATCTAAATTCTGAAATTCGACGCTGCGAAGTTTGGTTTTTAACAGATTCTATACGCTCAGAAGTCGCTCAGAAGTCAGATCAGTTTCACCAAAACTATTTCAAACTAAACTATTTCGATACAGAATACATTTTTTAAAGTGTTTGATGTCAAAATGGATTTCTGTAAAATTTGTCTAAAAGAGCAATAAAAGTGAGGGTTGAACGATTTTCCATTAAAACCAACTCTCAAAAAAAAGAACTCAGAGAGAGGAGGAATGGCACGTGAAAATACTTGTGCATCTCATTTCCCTCACTCATTGTCATATAAGGCTCACATAAAAATGTCAATAATTGGTGCCATTATTTCTATCTTCCCATATATGGTCAATCAAACTGCAAAATTGAATTGTTTCGTGACATTCTCCTATTTGGCAGGGGTTCCGAGAGACTAAAAAATGCGGCGCGGTTGGATGAAAGAGAAGAAGCGGATTTGAACGAGCAACACGTTTTTGGCGTTGCTTTTTTTGACAATGGAGTGACGAATCAAACATAATTGAGCTGGTTTTTGGAGTTTTCTGCTTTCAATTAATTCTGAACCACAGGTTTGTTTTGATGTTTCGAACGAGATTCCCAAACAAATATTCTTGTTTTTATTGGTTCTCGGAATGGTGCCAAGAAGTGTCGGGACCTTGAGGGTTTCAGGAATGGAGACAAAACAAAAAAGGGGAAAACCTAATTAGGATGAATTTCTAATAAGCGCCCTAGACGATATTAAAGTGGGCTTATTTGATATGAGCGAGTCCAATTTGGCAACAAGCCCTCGAGTGAGTGAGCTTCTTTCTTTATTAGTGATCATCGAGCAATCGAGCGGCTCATTCTCACCGCCAACCATCAAGATCGCTTTATATGGAGATGTGCGCAACACAAAATTTATGTTGATGTTTCAATTCGCGCATACATTTTATGAATGCTGTTTTTTCTGGGCTACGCGGGCCGACGAAAACGAAAAAAGCAATAATAATTGCATTCGGTCGCCAATTTTTCATCATGTGAATCATCGAATAAAAGTGTGACTTGGTCCGATTTTGGATAATAAAAGAGTATTTCGCTAAAGCTTTTGAGAATATTTTTAGCTGATGAAATTGGATATCATTTTGAAAAAAAAAAAGCAGAAGAAAACGAACATTTTGGCCTCGATTTCGTTCGTAGATCAAAGAAATTTTTGGACAATGTCGATTTTCACGAAATTTCAAAAATTTACACATCTGAGGTGATTAGAATTCAACTGTTATATTTTTCTTGGAAAATTTTTATATTTATTTTTTGTGAGTTGAAAATTCTCGAATATTCGTTTGCCATTTCTTCCGCTTTCAAAGGAACGCGGTGAATATGTTAACTCGCGCCAGAATTCAATATTCGACTCATTTCTGACTTTTGGCCCATGCCTAGAAAATATAGTTTTGAATGGAATATATCTCATCGATCATTTCAGATTAAATACATTCGAGAGAAATTATCTAAAATTTTGCGATAAAGATGACGAATAATTTCAAGAGATCCACATGAATTTTTCTATTCTAAATGTGAGAATTAAACAAATTTAAACTTCCTCTCAATTATTACCGATTGTTTATTCAAAATGCCTTTTCAAAATATTTCTTCACACTGAACTTGTTCGTAAATAACTGTGAGAATATTTTCGGAAGCAAAACATATTTTCGTTCGTCTCCCATTTTCATGATTCATTTATTTGAATGGAAGAAGAAGAGAGAACGCTTACTAATGTGGTTTAATTCAATATCAAAAATTAAAAATTCATTAAAATAAGATAAAAATATAAAAATCGCAAAAATACGAACACAGAGGATCATCGAATTTTTTTGGCTGCAATTCAAATTTGAATATAAACAGTGGGAATTGGCGTACTACGGATAGCCTACGAGGCTAAGTCTGAGGTATATCAGGGTGATTGATTTTATATAATAATAATAATAATAATACCGCCAATGAGTTTCTACCGAATTTTTGAGCAATTTGACAAACAGATAGTCCGCGCGAGTTTCTCTTTGCAAAATTTGATGAGCAAACGGGCGAATCGGAAGCGATTAAATTGGACATTTTTGTGTTATTTGACGAGAGAATTGAACTCGTCCAGCTTTTATATTTCGTTTTATAGTCTCTATCTAGTCAGCTGTATGCTGGAATGACAACAACTTTTCGCAGTTTCGTTTTTCAGTCATCTACGCACGAAAAAAACATAACTAATTGAATAACTCGCTATTGAAGAACCATCGAAAATATGTCTTCCGAAATTGTTTTTGAATTCAATTTGACACACTCTCAAAATGTGTGTATGAATCGACGAAAAGCGAAAAAAAAAACATAAACACTAAAAGTTGAAAGGAAACTCAAAAAAATCGGATTTTTGATGTCACCCACGGCATTTGCATACAAATGAGTATTTTGCAGATGACCAGAGATTACATATTTCAGGAAATCAAATACAATTATTGAAAAGTGCAATTATCACGGAATTTAATTGATAAAATTTGAGAGCAAATGATCAAGTTTCTTAATTATGACAAAGGAAAAATATTCAACATGGTACAAAAAAAACAAAAGATGAAAAAGCATCTATCAATGAGTGTGACCAATATAAACGTTTTGTTTGAAATATGTATGTGAACGACCCAAAAATCTGTCATTTCCAATTTCCGCCATTTGAATATGCTAAACCACATTGTGACATCATGCGTGATTCGACGCGAGCGAGCGATTCATCGCAAAAAATTGCCAACCAAAACTTGAGGAATCAAATCAAATTTGTGAGCAATCGGATTCGAGTGTGGCCATCAAGTGTGCCAATATCAATTTTCTCGCACAATCCACTTGATGTACAGTATCAATAAAAACTCAATTGAAGCAGTGGATACATTTTAAAAAGGAGTACATATATATAGACAGGGATATCATCTCACTAAATCACTTCGAAGGAACTAATTTATCTTGCGAGCTTTTTGGATACACTCAATATTTTTCGGCTCTTTTTGAAGTTTTTTTTTTCAGGCTAAAATAAATTTCGAACTCGAAAAAAGCGTTTTCGAGTTTTCCAAAAAAGGTTTTACAGTATTCGATCCTTAAATATTGGGTATTTATGGTCGTCATTGGTTTTTTCGATCGACAGATCACTGAACCGCAACTGTTTGTTCCGGGAACACTTAAACGCGGTATTTCTATGACATTGATATGTTACATTTCCAATTTCTACAATTTCTATACGTAACTTATAAAATTCATGGGAGAGGGACTAACTTTGAATGACCATATTTCGATAATTATTTGGTTTAATCGATTGGAAAAAGATTTTTATATAAAAAAATCTAGACGGCACACTTTTTATGAGTTTAAATTCCAATAATGAAAATTGCAATATGTATTCACGTGTAGTTTTTTACTCATTTCATATAAACCATATCAATGAATTCTTCGACGATTGCAATATTTGTTTTATTAATTTACTTCCAATATATCGACGCATATCTAAACAAGTTTTAATTTGCTAATTTTTTTCATCTTACCACCAAAAATGAAATTAATTTTTAGCGAGCCAGCGAAAAGCATTCCTACTAAAGAATACTCACTTTCAGATATCGGTCGATTCGCCTTGTAAGTCCCTTTTGTACATGACTTTCTCTATTGATTGGAACTTTTTTCTAATTTTGCACACAAATCGTTCACGAAATTCCTTTTTGCGGCTATTTTTTCTGAATGTGTACTGCGTACTCTGCATTTTAGCATACGCGCATTTAATATTTAGCCGCGCCTAAATTTACAAATTCGGAAATCTACACTGATTTTGCGAAATTGAATTTCTCGCCACCGATCATTCATTTAAAACCGACAATATAATAGCAAAACAAATGAGAAATCTTTTTAAATTTGCTGTGAGATTTATTCGCAGATTATTTGTTCGGAAAAAAATTTTGAATTACCACCCCGCAAAAATTCGATTATCCATAATTACTCCTTTTTGCGATTGTAATAATTTGTGTGCAAAATTAGAAAAAAAAACAACTCCTAGACAAAGCACTTCCCTTGTGAAGAAAATATTTTTCAACTTTTCAGATTTGTTTTCTTTGCTACCCTTCCACTCGCAATAATTGTTCTTCTCTTTATTTTTGTAAAATATATGAGAAATAACGTTGCATAAAATGATTAGTGCAGCATATTATACAATTGGCAGTCTTATAAAACAGGATCGATGTTTCGATGACGAGCCTGGCTAGGCCGTAATCAGGGTCGAAATAAAAAACCTGTTATAAACAATTATTATTGATGAAAAAATTATACAAGGGGTTTCGTTTAAAAAAAAGATGGAATGTAGTTTACTGCTCATCGGATGTCTTTTCTTGCTCTTCATCTTCTTCACCGTCTGGCTCGCTCTCACTGTCTTCTTCGTCGGAGTCAAACTTCTTACGAGCCAATTTCGCTTCCAGTTCTTCAGTTGGAATGTACTGAAACGATCTTACTATGCAAGAAAAATATGAGTTTCAGTTTAGGTTTTGCAAGATTTTAAAACACATCACTGATAAAAACCGCAAATCCGTCCAGAGGGTGTGTTTTACGCCCTATTTCTTCGCGGTACATTAGTGTTTCAAAAGAAACATACATCTGGCACAAGGAATTCATCAATCTTGGCTAACGGAAATTCGATGCTAATCTCTTTTTCAGTGTAAAATTCGACAGCGTATTGGGTTTCCAATCTGTTCTCCTAAAAAACTGTCATAACTTAAAATTTTAGCACGAAAGAATTTTACCGAAATGTAATTCTTAACGATTCCATAGGTTCGGTTGACAAGAGCAAAAATCGAAAGCCATCCTCCAGTGCTTGGTTGGACGACTTGAACGGCCCGGTCGATCTGAAAAATGCAAAATCAGAAATTGTGAAGTTGTCGTTGAAAACCTGTGGAAGGGCCATTCTCTCGAACCCAGCCTTCTTCAATTCGTCCGTATACTTCTCATCAAACAGCTTCTCATCATTTTCGGTGTATACAACTCCAACTGCCGATTGGAGAAGATTCGCGGGAACTACCTAAACGTTAAATAAATGTGCGACCCCCATAAATATATTTGATGTGTTGTCTACCTCAGGATTGTCATAGAAAATTCCAAAGGTTTTGCATTTTGTAGGAATTATTGATTTGACCTCGTTTATAATATTCCATACCGCCGAATAACTTCCAATATTATATTTGTAGAAGACTAAGAGATTTTTGTGCAGATTTTTCGGCTCCGTGCTCACCGTTGGCTGCAAAAAAAAGAACGTATGCAAATGATCTCAAGTGATCGGCAAATACCTTGATCTCGCTCAAAAACCCGCTCGTTTTGAGCAAAACGACAAAATATGCTATGACCGCTAATGAGGCAATGAGAATCGCAAAATCGAGCATTCTAAAAAAAATAAAATTTCTTGAGAAAAAAATAGAAAGAAAAAGAGATTGCAACGTCATATTTGAGCAAGACATTGATTATACGAAAAGAGAACAAAATATTGTTTTAATTTCCGGTTTAAGAGCTTTTCAGTATAGAAACGAAATTGCAAAATGTTTACGTTGATGACATGGCAATATTTATTTCGAAAAAACAATTATTTGAGGCAAAAAAGACAAATATGCAGGTGAATGTTTGCTGAAATGTTTGATACGAATGATCATGAGTTTACATTTTTCTAAATTTCGAATCAAATGCGATAATAGCCAAGGAAATGCGTATAACAACAACAACAACAACAACAGTTATAATGATAATGACCGGCAATTGATTATGTGAATTTGCTCAAAAAACCATTTAGAAGGAGAACAACTCGATTAACCAAAATAATAGACAGTCAATCGTGCACAACAGCGTTGACGCAAGAGTGTTTTGTCACCTTGTTCGAGGAGGTCTCAAAGTCTTCGACCACCGTTCCCCGGGTCATACCACAAAAATCGATAACGAATGCGCGCGAAATTCTCAAAAATTCTCTTTATTTTTTACAAAAACAGATGTTTCGATAAACATGAAAGATGAAAACATTTAGAGCACGTATAACCTTCGAAACCTTCGAAAACTAGCAGAAATTTTCAAAACTTATCAGAATTCCAATATTCAAAGAAGCGAGAAAGAAAAAATAAATTAAGTAATTAACTTCAAATATTTTTGAAATAATACAGCTTTCGACGTATGACTATTTCCCTTTTTTGTTTCATATAAAGTGAAAGTTTTTTTGTCTAAAAATAACACAAAGAAAACGAATGCGAGGGTGGTTGTCACCGTTGAAACATTTGGCACAACAGCGCGCTCGTACTCAGCTGACTGATTCAAGGGCACGACAATGCAGCGAAACGCAGACATTTCTGTGCGAAAAAAGAGAGAATTTTCGAGGAAAAAGAGGTTGAAAAGATATATAATGTTTACACAACACAATGAATTCGAGAAACCGACTGGTTTTCTTTATTAATGGGACGGTTCCCTAGAGAAACTGAGAGGACACCAAAAAATGAGCTAATTAAAATTTATAAAGTAAAAATTAACATTAATTATTGAATTAATTTTTAAGAAATACGGATAAAATATTTTTTGGATGAATTAAACTTGAAATTTTAATTAATATGAACAGCTGCGGATAATCCGCAATTTAGGATTGCGTGTTTGCGAACCACGCAAAAATTTTCAAAATTTTCTTCTATAACTCATTTTTCGGTATGGTTTCGGCTGAAAGAAAACAGAAAAATGATGAAAGGAGGGCTAGAAAGATTCGGGAGAAGAATTTGAAGAAACGGGTCGCAAAAAGAAATCGAAAAGTAAGCAAGAAAAAGGAAATATACTAATTTTCAAAAACTTTTTAAGATGGAAGAGAAAATGAATGAATTGATGAAGATGGTACGCGTTGTAAATGTTGATTCCCCAAGAAGAACTAAAGCCGAAAACCGAGTTAAAAAAGTGGAAATGGAGAGAATGAACCAGGTTAGCACTAATTATTTTCAATCACAACTTTTTGTGCGATTCGTGCCATATGATTGTTTCTTTTTGCAAAATGTTCTTTGTTTTTAAAATAATTACTTATTATTAATAAGAAACAATTTTGTCTAGAAAATGAAACTGTAAAACTAGAAATATAATTATTTTTGCTCAAAATGGTCTTGGTGTCTTGAAAAAATATAATTTTATATAGTTTGCGACCGTCGACTAACTGAATATTAGGCATTTTATAGGTCGTTTCGATAGTTTGTTAAATCGAATGGCGTTGGAAATTCAAGGAAATAACAATCTCTAGGAAAATTAAACAGTTCATGTGAAATTTTAAAAATAAGCGCCAATCCAATTGTCGTTCTTTGAACGCAATAGCCTAGCAGGATCGGTTCCATATTAAAAAAAATGAAAAACGAAACGAAAACAAATAAAACACCTAAAATGGTGTATTTGAAAGCACACAACACATTTCGTATTGATTCTCTTCCGATTTTTAACCGTTCATGGGGTGGCCTTAAAAATGTGAAATTCTTTCAAAATCTTCAGTTTATTCACTATCATTAGGTCAGCTTTAAACCTGAAATTTAATTTTGAAATCGGCATTTTAAAATTTCTACAAAGAACAATGTTATACATAGAAACTTCGGTGGCCTTAATAATGCGAAATGCAGCATTCTCTTTTAAAAAAAAGTTACATATAAGAATACATGCAACTTAAGGAAAACGACGCGAAAAAAGAGAAACAGCTCACAAAATTAATGAAGGAACTGGAGACTGAATGAAGAATTTTTCCATCTGTAAATATTACATACGGTTTTTATGCATTATACAGATTTTTCGCATGTTTGCTCACATGATTGTTACAATTGAATTATTGCATTTTTCACTTGTTTTTTATTTCCTAATAAAATTATGTTAATTTGAAAACCCGTAATTATACAATCGAATTGTATTCAAAAATGATACATCTGCGTATTGTAGAATCTCATCAAATACTCGGAAATAGTGAATTAATGAAACACATGGCAGTGAATCTAAAATATTTGAATAAAACGTTTAAATTTCAGAACTATGTATATACCTAGGACATAGAGCTAATAAAACTGTGATCAGTTGAGCGAACCAAAATCTTCCTTCAGTTACAACTTTTTCCGGCATCATGATCGGTGAATCTGGTAGCATTCCACTGCCGATACTCGTAAACGTCATAAAGAAGTAAGCGACACTAAACAGCCAAAAGAATGTGAATACGCCAACAAGTCTCCAATGCCAATATCGAACGTAGAGTGCCAAATGGCCAGAATTTACCAGCACAGAAGCGTTTGACATGAAAAATCCCATTTCCCATATACTCGTAGATGATTGTAAAACTGTCTAAATTTATAACTTAAAACATTGTTTTGGAAATAGCTTACAAAGTGGGTAACAAAGTAGATAATAGCAGCTTGATAAATACCATCAATTACATCAAACAAAAAGTGTTTCGTCGTATAAACACGATTCTAAATTATATAGGTGTATGTATATATGGGTGTAAGCGTATCGGAAGACAAACCTCTCGGCCTAACGAATAAAGTTCAGGTCTCTTCATTAATCTAATATCGGATTGATCTTGATCCAAAACACCAACAAATATGGGTTGCACACTGAAAAACAAATAAAAACAGAACATGGCTTTAAATTTAAAAAAAAATAAAGAACCTCGTAAATATAATAGGGTAAAGTATTTCCCAATATGGATCGATTACATTGCTTCCAGAATAACCATTGAAAAATTGATAAAAGAACAAAGTAAAAACGCAGTTCTGTAAATTTACAGATAAAAATGGATGTGATCGAAACAGACCGTGTTTTTATACAAAAAATAAAGAAATGTAACCGAAAGACGATGATAGCTCCAGTGACCATGAACAAGAAGAAGTCGCGATAAGAATCGGAATCGGGCAATCGCAAAATCGCAGGCCATCGCAGCCTGAAGCCCTTCTTTTCCAGCGATTCCTATTCCGACATGAGCCGCTTGAATCATGGGAACATCGTTGGCACCATCTCCGACAGCCAACACAGTTCCTTTTATGTACTTCTTTACAGCATTCACAACCGTAGCTTTTTCAGAAGGCGTCATACGATAGCAGAGAACGGTTTTCGCTCTGAATTTTAAATATTTTACTTCTTTCACAGATATGCTATTATCACTTCTTTAAAATTTCAATAAGCTTCTTGTTTCCTTCCTGAGCCATTTTTATAGCAATTGGAGACAAAATGATATTGCATCCCTGAAGTTCGCTTGCTTCTTCGACGTCGTTTTCGTTTTCCACAAGTCTTTAGCAATTCAAATAAGAAACTGTGTTTGATGAGCCTAACTTACTTTATAGGTCGTTCTGGATGAAAAAGTCCGCTAGATTGTGCAATATTCTGGGCGGTCTCAAGTTTGTCTCCAGTCAAGACCCAAACTTGTATTCCAGCGTTTCGAAGATTACAGAGCGTTTCCCCAACACCTTCTTGAAGACGATCTTCAATTCCAGTAACTCCCAAAAGTGTGAGATCTTTTTCGAGTTCACTGGCTTTTTCGGAAAGCATTTTCTCTCTTTCACTAGTTGGATCTTCCATTATCTGAAAAAATATTCAAAAAATGGTAAAGTTGTATTTAAAGCGCTTACAAATTTATAGGAATCAAGAAATTCTTCGAACTCGTCTTCTGGAATATACTTCATTGCGAAGCATAGTGTTCTCAGACCAGCATTCGCATAAGAATCGAGTTTCTTCTTAATTTGATGAACACGTTCTCGACTATTATCACTGCTTAACCGACACAAAATCGCCGAATCAGCTCCTTTGCAATACAGTAATGGTCCTTTACTAGTCTTGACCACAACCGACATTCTTTTCCGGGACGCATCGAATGGAAGAGTGAGAAGAACTTGATAGCTGAACATTCAATATAAAGCTTGATTTTATACCATTCGATACGTTTTCGAAGGCGACTCGGGTGTTGATATAGTTATTGATGTTGCGGCTCTTTCAAGAAGCCTATAATCGTATAAAGCGGCTCCGTCGATCAACGCAAGTTCATCAGGACTTTCAGCTTCATATGGGCACAAATTTTCTTGCTTGAAAGAAGCCAATCGTTTACGAGTCGGGATTCTTTAAAAAAAATCGATGCGAATTCTATATCTAAATCTGAATCGAAAATTAAAAATTACATGTCAGAAATTGGTCGTAAAATGCTTCTTCGGACCACTGTTTGAATTCTATGTGACAAAGACGATAGGGAAGACAATTTACGAGCTGGTGGTGAAATGCCTGACGATGAAGACGTGATTGGAGTTTCATTGCTAGGTGCTGGAAATGATATTATAATAGCTATCATCGTATTTCCAATTACATATCGGTGTTGGTATTGATACAATGGGCGATATCGTATCTTCAGCAATAACAGACAAACGATCGTCAAATTGAATTGAAAGCCCTAAACTGAAATGAGAGAAAAAATTAACAATTTTGCAAAAATTTTAATAAATACTTTCGCGGTCTCGAACAGCTTTCTTCAATTTGTAAATTCGGAGCCGATTTAATTTCTTCCAGCATTCTTCTGTAGTTTTCTTCGGTAACATCATAAAAACATGAATTTCCAATGTTATAAGCGCCGCCTTCGAACTTTCCGAGTTCTATTGCGTCTGTGTGTGGTACGACGTTCACAATGACAGAATTATTCAATAGAATGTTGGCAAAAAAGTGTCTCATAATTGGATTACGCGAAGAACCGACAACTCTTTCGTAGAGCATTTGTGATCTCACGGGTTTATCGTAATTTGTTTCGGAATCCCCTTTCGTTTCATAATCGATATCATCGAATGCGCAGTTTCGAAATATCATAACATTCTCAGTGAGAGTTCCAGTCTTATCAGAAAGAACATGTGTTACAGTACCAAGTTCTTCCGGGATGCTCAATGATCGGCAATCAATTGCACGATCCTAAAAAAAAGTAAATTTTTAAATTTCAAAAATATATGCAAAAGTACCGTTTTTTCGTCATATAATTGAATATCATTGCTCATGAAGTAAATTTGAAGCGCTTTTATAATTTCAACAGTGATGTAAAGTGATATGGGAACAAGGACCTGCAATTTTAAAATAAAAGATTTACCATAACTGGTTATTTATTACTTACTTGATAATTAATAAAATTTGCTCCAATATTAATCAAACCTTCAATGAAAGGCAATGGAGTGTTTGAAGCAACGTACGGTATCTATAAGCAAGTTGAAGTAAACTATTTATAAAATTTGAATACATGCCTGTTTGTTGGGTTCATGGTTTTTAACCCAAATGGCCGACATAATTGCGTCAAAGAAAACCATCAAAAGGAGCATGACAAGACAAATAATGATAAATCTGAACATTTCTTTTTTGAAACCAAATTTTCGAAAAAAATTGATTAACTTGTTAGTTTTTCTTTCAATTTTCGATACTTTGTGTGGCGCTCGCCCATTGTTGAGCATTACTTTCGTGTCGTGTCCTGAACACCTTATATTCGTTCCATATTTAGAAAAAAATTCAACCAGCATAGACAACAATTCCTTCAACAAATGTTGTGTTTTTTATTCGCGATCCTCGAAGAAGCATGTTTTCTTTCATGATTACATCGCTCTTCCCTATGACAACATTATCTAAATTTACCTCAAGAAATGAATACCTGGCTCATATTCAATTTTGGCGCGAATTTCGTAAATAGCCTTGTCAGGCTTCTCACATGTCACAACTCCATTAAAATCCGTTGGCTTAAACGACGTATCCTCCTAAACGTACTTGAATTTTCGAATCAAATATTCCATATATTTTTTTCAGCTACCCCTGAATAGTGTATGACTTTTGCAGGAACGCTACGTTGTTTTAAAGCTGTTTCTCCATCTAAATTACACGTTTCTACATAGCATGTTCCAGATTCATTAGACGACCTAAAAAATTAAGATTTGAAGAACTAAGCAGTTCATTGACCTAAATACCTTATGAAAATAATATCTGCAGGAACATCCTGGTCATTGGAAATGTGAACAAAGTCACCGACCAGAATGTAACGCCATTCTGTTTTTCGAAACGCATTACGATCTCTGAACGATAATATTATTGAAGAAATTTTGCAATTATAAATATTTTTTTAATTCTTATGATTTTTACAGATAATTATCAATGAAAATAAATAAATTACCGATCCCAAACATGACACGTATTTTTGTTTATTCTACTATCGAATTTCCAACGTCGATAATCTTCAATTCCATCCTATTAAATTATCTTCATTTCATTTTTTTGCATTTTTTCTTTACTTTAAGTAATGTTGTAGAGAGTACAAACGAGATAGGGATCAACCCTAGATAACGAGTATAAGCATCGAAAAATGGAATCCAATTGAGAGCTGAAACATAAATAAATCGGTATAATAAATGTATACTAGAGAAGACAAGCTTCTAAAAGATCTGCGGGGAGGGATCAATTTAACCAAATTCAGTGTGGCCGACAACAAAAGATTTTAGGAATATCGCAATTTGTTACCTGCAATAAATATGAAATACAAATTTGCATATTTCGTAGATATTTGATGCCAAATATTGAGCGGAACAAAATTCCATAAGCTGTATTTGGTTGTTGAAATAGAGTTATCTTTGAAATCACGGTAGTTTGCAAGTTCATAACGAGCACTCTCATAGATGTGATTCGGATGGATTACACGAGATCTGATATATTTTTTGTAATTTTAGAAATTATAAATCTGTTTAACTTACCCGCTTAGTCGGTTAGATCGTCCTTTAAATATCGTAATTGGATTATGAAGAGGGCCAGATGGTGGAATCCATTTTGAAGATGAACGTCGATGCAAGTGCCCCGGAGTAGTCATCTTCTCATCTCCACAATCTTCAAAAAATTCTCGATTATGAAGTAGAAATACTAATGAGTCAGAGTTTTGAACACAACGCAGAAACATGTACACGTACTAAAATCGATAAAACACAAAGCACCATGATAAGAAATTCAGTTCGAACATACACACCTACACACACATATTTGGCAACGGGTGAATATACAAATTTCTCACCAATGATATCAACTGAATCGATGATTCAGTGCAAATATTTATTCGCTATTCCAAACCAACAAGTTCCCGCTGAATTCTTTTTTGAGTATGTATATGCGAATGATTGTGACAGTTTAAAATTATTACATCGTTTATTAGATGGGTTTTGTTGTTTTTTCAGTAGATTGTCTTTTACTTGGAGTTTTCGCCTGACTTCTTGGTCTCCGCGTCTTTTTACTTCGCTAAAGAAAACGATTTTTGGAAACCTAGTTGTAATTACTACTGAAGATGACGGCCGAGATTCTTCAATATCACTTTTCGACATCTGTTTGGATGGAGTTTTAGGTCTACTAATAGTTCTTTTCTGAAACAAATCGGATTCATTTCATCACACTCTATCTATCAATCAATACCTGCGAACTCCGTTTGTGTTTTCGTGGCTTTGGCCGTCTTTCCGATATTTCAAATTCCGGTTCATTCATCGAATGTGCTTGTTCTTCATCGAGATCAATGTTCTGAATAACACAATAAATATATTAACATAAGACTACCACAAATAATATACCGGTCCATTTTTCCGGGATACACCGGTGATCTTATTGACTTGCATTTTTCGCAAACTAGTAGCATTATAAGGCAGGAGAGCTTCTACTAATAGCTCGAGAACAACCTGGAATGTTGGGCGCTCATCAGCATTTTTTGTCCAAATACGTCCCAAAAGATTCTCCATTTCCTTCACAGTTGTCTTCGACTCAAGTTTCGGCATTTTGGCACGACGAATCGCTTTGACAATTGCTGCCGTGTCGGTTTCATTGGAAAAAGGCTATAATTCAGTTTTTTTACGATATACAGTTTTCTCGCATAAATTAAAAATCACCTTATTTCCATTATTATAAACTTCATACATTAACGTGCCAAAAGCCCAGACATCAGTTTTAACAGAGAATTCTGATTCTTTCTGGATGCATTCTGGAGCCATCCAACTGAAAGAAAGACGTTCCAAAAATTTATATTTGGCCATATATACACTAAAGGAGCTTCTTTCAAAGCTTCTTTAAATTTATTTTCCCCTTTGGTCAGAGTTCGACTGAGTCCAAAATCGGCAATTTTCACAATCCCTCTTGCAGAAATGAGGCAATTTCGAGCAGCCAGATCCCGATGAATACACTTTTGACGATGAAGATATCGCATTCCACGAGCAGACTGTTATATAAACAAACATTTTTAAAGTATTTTTCGAAAGGTTACATCAATTAAAAACGTTTGCCTCTCAAATTCTTCCATATTTTTTCCGTAAGTGGTAAGTAGTTTTTCGAGACTTCCACCAATACAAAATTCCATGCAGACCATAAAAGGAGGCATATCACAAGCCAAACCGAAAAACTGAAAAATATACGTAATTTAAAAAAAATGGTGTCTTATGAATTATTACTCGAACAACATAATCATTTTTATAATTAATCATGAGTTTGGCTTCAGCCATTAAAGAATTTCGAGTTTCCATGAGAACTGCTGAATCTCTTTCAGTGTCTTTGGACACTTTAATAGCGACATCTTCAACCTCTCCAAGGCGTGTCAACTTTCCGCGATAGACATGACAAAAATTTCCCGATCCAAGTTTACAACTCTTCAATGTTTAAAAGTTCGTTTTGTAGGAAAGTTATAAACAGACTTCATTGTAGGATATATCAGTATGTCGCAATTGCCAACTCGGTCGTTTCAAAGCTCTTCCAAGGCGAATTCCGCAAGCAAGACGGTGCTTCTATGAAAAAAAAATGAAACAAAAAAGTTCAATGATTTGAGCAAACTTTGTAATACGTCACCATTTCTTGATATGAGGAGAATGGTGGAGATTCTTGTAAATCCTTTTTTTCTTTGTCCTGAGTTTCTTGCTTCAGCGTAAACCTGTCACCATCATAATTGATCAGATAATGATGAATGTTTTCTCCTTTATCGCTAACCTAAAAACGATGTGTAAATTGCAGTTTAAAATTTGAAAAATTACTTTCACACAAAGAAATAGGACCAGTGCAACTTCAGATTTCAAAAATGCAGCTCGTACTAGAAAATCACCAACAGACGCTTCTTTCATCGTCACTGCAGTTTCTTCTTTCGTTTGAACACCATGATAATAAGACAATTCCTTGAGCTCACTTTTCTCATTTTCTTTTTCCTTAATCAAAATTTCTAGAAAAATCAGGCTTAATCAGGCTAAATGCCAGACTTGGCGAAATGAGTTCGATTTTTAGAGGAAATTTGGGCAAAAAATATTTCTATCGAATCCGTAAACTATCGAAAGAATTCTTATCTCGCCCAATCCGAAAAAATGTCAAATTTGTCAAGATGTGAACAGTAACTGCGAGTCCGCAAGTTTCACGGACATGTTTACAGTAAACAGTAAGCAAACACCCGCTCGGTTTGTAAGTATTTCGGCCACAATTTTTTTCCACAGAAATATCGTTTCATTTGCGAGCAATCGATAATTTTAATAGTCAAATTTCCCACTGCCACCTAACTATCTTGTAAGATGTATGCTGATTAATACCTTCGTTTTTTCTTTAGAAGGATCTCTGCTATTAACTTCAGCTGGCATTTTTCGAAACCAACGAATCAGAAACTAAATGCATCTCAATTATTCTGTCACACGCGTCATATTATTTACGATAATTTCAATAATTCCAATTTGTTTGCCCGCCTCAGTTTGGTACACGTCTTTCTTTCTGTCCGGGTTTTCTCATTGGAGCGCGTTTGATTCGTTCGTGCAGTTTTCTCCAAGCTTCTATAGTGGTTTTATCGGAAAACTACGTTGCCTTACATTTACGTTTTCGTTTCATTTATTTCTTTTTCTCAATTGAAAATTATTTCCATTCAGAAGAATTAATGGAAAACGATGTTCAAGAAGTCGCAAAAAATATTAACAATGTGGTTAAAAGTATAGGTGAAATTGTAGGTATTCGAAACATTTGGAACTTTACTTTTTTATTTCAGATTTCGAATTCCTCGACGTTTGGGCTTTTAGAAAAATATAATGTAATTCTCGAAGAATTGCGAACTATTAGTGTTCTAGCTGGAAGTCAAACCGATGGAATGTATGATCAGCTGAAGGTAATTTAAATACCATTTATTTGAAGTATAATTTAAATTCAGGTGTTAGACACAGAAATTCAAAAATTTGACAATTTTTTCACCAATATTGATTCATTGGTGAAGTGTGTTGAATTGGTATTATTCGGGTTTGTGATAAAAATTAGCACTAACATTTCAGCGGAAAGCGCAACTGGAAAAATTGGAAAATCTGTGCAATTATATTGAAAGAAGATGACTATCAATTGATTCCGGCGAGTAGCTGATCTCTGTACAGTGCCAAATTTTTTCACCTTGCCTTGTTTTCATCAGTACATGTAATAAATAGATCATATCGTCTTCAGGCTTTTTTTAAAAGTTAATTTCCGTGTTTCGTCGGATGTAATATCGCCTAAAAATTGTTTCTTATTTTGTCTAGTAATTTGAAGGGTTTCTTAGAATGACACATTCAACGGATGACAATCATCTTAATGAAACAGCGACTCCTCCAACAACACCAGTCAATACGAAAAAATCAACAGTTTGTGGGTGAGTACTTATCCAAAACAAAGGTTTCGCATAAAATTGATTCTCAGGTCATGTGATTGTGAAGTTGTTGAAAAATCGACACTGGAAGAAGAAGCTCTTGCCGCAGTCAGAGAATTAGCGTTTGCTGTAAAGATGATAGCAATTTCGGAAATGCTTCCAAGGACACCTCAACTATTGTTCATCAACGTCACCACACTCGAGAATCACACGCATTGTATTGAATTGACTCGTAAGCTCTTTTTTATATCTGTTTCTCTAAAAATCATTTACATTTTTTTCAGAAAAGGGTTGGCGAATTGCCTCAAATCGTCAAGATTGTATGAATGGTGACTTCAGGAATCTTGATATTCATACTCAATATTTCGAGACGCTGTATGCACTGTTGAACACAATTTCGCCGCTTTACAGGTTGATTTTATTTCAATTTTCGTCGTGATTTTAGAGTTTCAGGAAGAAGTTCGGAGATCAGCTTATTTCAAAACTCAACGAACTTGCGGAAAACCAATCGAAAGAATCCGCATAATGAAATTCGGTTTCCTCGGTGTCATATATTAGTTATCTGATGCGTTTTATTTCTCCTTATGTATCCTTGCTCAAATCTTTGTCATTCACACTTCAGTTTTCATAATGTGAAAATTTTTAAATATTTTGTCTTGCCCTTTTACACTACCTGTTTAAAATTCATTTTGTTTCTGAAAAAAAAGAACTGAATAAAACGGTTTACGATATGCGTTTCGAGAATTTTCTAAAAACGTTTTGATGACGTGGAATATCTTTGAGGTCAATTATGTTTGTTTTTCTTATTTTCTTTGTGTTTGCAGGAACGATGCGGATACTGGCCCCTTTCATTGGTTTATTATTATGTTTAAATTTTCAATTTGCAGGTAATTTTGATTTAAAAACTTCAATTTCTTATTCTACTTATTTGCAGACGCCGCCTTGGCTGCGATGACTGTAGATCTTGGTACACAATTTATCAAAATTGGAATTGTGAAGCCAGGAATTCCAATGGATATTGTGCTTAACCCTGAGTCCCGTCGGAAAACTCCTAATGTAGTCTTGATTCGAGATGGGCAAAGGCACGTTTTAATAAAACGCATGTTTCTTTTAAAAATATATATAGTCGAAGTGTGGCGACTGCCGCATGGGATAGATATTTTGCGTCTTTCACTGTAGTCCAGTAAACCAGAAAATATCAAAATAAGAATTCACACGTGAGGAAAGACGCAACTCTCTTGTAAATCCACCCGCGTGTAACAGTCGACTGAACGTTTTTGAATGTATTTATTGATATAAATCATTCATTTCATTTTTAGAACGTTCGGAGATGCTGCCATTAGCTTCCAAGGACGGTTCCCACAATTCGTCGTTGGAAACTTGAATGATTTGGTGGCAAAATCAACCAATCATCCATCATATGAACTATTCGCCAAGAGAAATCCATTTTATGATTATGAAGATTCAAAGAAGAATTCGTCGTCTGTTGATTTCAAATTTGGGTAAGACTAATGGAAACGCATCTAACGATATGAAATTGCTTTTAAAGAAAAGACTCGTACAACGTTGAAACACTACTCGCCATGATTCTTGCCGATGCGAAAAAGTTCACGGAAGAGTATGCCCAAATTCCACAGATCCTCGATGTAGTTATCAGCGTTCCTGTTTACTTTACTCCAGTCGAACGTCTCGCAGTCACAAGAGCTGCTGAAATGGCTGGACTAACTGTGCTCCAGCTCATCAATGACGGAACTGCTGCTGCATTGAGCCACGGAATATTCAGGAGAAAAGAGGTTTTTGATAAAACTTAATAATTTTGCGATGAACTTCGATTTTTAAGATTACTGAGAAGCCTCAACGATTAATGGTGTATGATATGGGAGCTGCGAAAACAACAGCGACACTTGTCGAATTTAAAATGGTCAAAGAAAAGTACGAGAAACAACCAAAGGTAGTTGATTTATGAAGACATTGCTTACGATCATTTCTTTTCTAGATGACCGTTCTCGGAGTTGGTTATGACCGCACACTTGGTGGACAGGAAATGACTTATCGGCTCCGCGAGCATCTCATCGATCTCTTCGAGAAGAAGCATAAATTGAAAAAGGCCGTTCGAAGCGACAAGAGGGCCATCGCCAAATTTGCCAAAGAAGCGGATAGACTTAAACAAGTGCTATCTGCCAATACTGAGCATTATGCTTCAATTTCCCTAGAAGACATCGATGAACGATTGCGAGTTACTCGCGACGAATTCAACGCGCTCATCAAGGATCTCGAACCCCGCATCGGAGAACCTATTGAACAAGCATTGAGGATGGCGCAAATTCCTATCGAGGAAGTTGATCAGTTTGTGCTCATGGGAGCTGGAACACGTGTGCCGAAAGTGCAAGAAGTTATTCAAAAAGTTCTTGGAAGGTGAGCAAATTCTCTTTTCTTCTGTCATTAGTCGGGTCCATTCTCTCATTGCGTTTTCTCTATCGTGCGCACACATGTCTGCGATGTTTCGTCTCTCATTGCTATTCCAATCTGGTGGCGCAGCGGTTCATGTGCGCGTGAGAAGTGTAAACGTTCGGTAGATCGATACCGCGTGTTTTCAACACGAGCTTGTCCGGCAATGCCGATGGACGGTTCGCCTGTTAAACACGCCATACCAATACTTCTCAAGAGGAAATGGCGTTTTCGCTAACATCGTGCCCTATGGTCGGAGTTTGATAGTAGGTCGCCATACACTTTTTGTATTTTCAGCAAAGAAATCGGAAAATTTTTGAATACCGATGAAGCGATTGCAATGGGAGCTCTTTTCCAGGCCGCTCATTTGAGCAAAGGATTTAAGGTTGATATTGGTTATGTAAAATAACATTTCGAAACTGTGTCGATTTATAGGTGAAACCGTTCAATGTTGAGGAGAAGCTCTTGTTCCCAGTCGAAGTGCACTTTGTGAGCAAGACCAAAGACGAGCAGACTGGTGAAATTTCACAAAAGAGCATCCAGAAAACTCTTTTCGCTGCCAATTCTATTTATCCAACAAACACCAAAACTGTTTCTCTTACGTCTTACGAGGAAGATTTCTCGATTTCTTTAAAATATGGAACGATTGAACAATTGACGAAGAAGCAAATTCAAGAAATTGGAAGTTTGCTGGATGATTTTGTTAACATTAATGTAAATGGATTAACCAGCGCCCTTGCGAATCGATCTGTTGAAGAAACGGAATTCAAAGGTGTCAAGGTGAGCAATCTCTTTCTGAATTGAATTAAACTCAAGATTATTTATAGATTTCGTTCCAATTGGATGCTTCTGGAATTGTTCGAATCAAGAAGGCTGAGGCTGTAATTGAGAAGAAGGCGGGAATCGTTGGATGTAATTTAGACGTTGAAGTGTATTAATATTCAATCACATTTGTAGCAATTGCTAGCTCAATTTCGGGGCTTTTCTCATCAAAAACAGAAGAAGGAGATCCGAATGAAACTGCACCTGAAGAAACCGAAAATGAAAATGCGGAGAAAGAGAGAGAGGTACGAAAACGAGTTAATCTTTTTAGTGGGATATCATTTTTCGTTCTGTGCTGTTTTTATTTTGTTTCGAAACTGTGGATTTAGAAACCCAAAGAACCAGTGAAAGAGGAAGCTAAAGAAGAAGCAAAGGAATCTCCAGAAAAACAAGAAGCGAAAAACACTACTGAAACTGAAGGAACTAAAGACGAGAAAACCGTAAATGGAACGGAGGTACTGGTTAATTCAATGTCGGCATGTTGTGCTGGGAATTTTTGCTGTGGATCTTCTAACTTGAAAGTTTTAAATTGATATATTCAGGCTGCTCAAAATGTCACCGAAAATCCAGTAAAGAAGGACCAGCCATCGATTATTCGTCTTCAAATTGACGCCAAATTCCCAACAGGATATGTTCCCAATCAATATGATATTAGCGAAGGAAAGGCAATGTATGTATATAAATCTCCGGCGGTTTCTATCATTCTTTTAAATTTCAGTTTGAAAGCTTTCGCGGAATCCGAAAAGCTTGCTGCTGAACGTGCTGCCATTGCCAATGAACTCGAAGCATTCAACTTCGAAGCCAGTCAAATGTTGGAAGATTCCGAGTTTGTTGAATATGCGTCTGAAGATGAGAAGAAAAAACTCGCTGAGGAGGTAGAAATCAAAATGAATGGTCCCAAGCTTTATATGATTATTGTAGACAACGAGAATTCGAGCCTGGCTTGAGGATGATGTTACCAATGACACACCAACATCGGAATTCAGAGATAACCTTCTCGTGATCAAAAACATTGTGCGAAGTGTGAAGAACAGAATGGAAACCAGCAAAAATTTACCAGCGAAAATCAATACTCTCGAGACTTTGATGAACACGTCAATGACATTGGCAACGATGGGAGAGGATAAAGAAGAATCTAAAGCTTTGTTCGAGAAGGTTCACAATAATACGAATATGAAAAGAGTTGACTGTATATGTTTAGGAAGATAGAGATGCCTTTAAGAAAAAGCTTGAGAAACTTGGTGTTTGGATTGAAGCCAAAAAGGCGCACATCGAGACAAAAATGAAATTTGATGATTTTGACGTTAGCATTAAAGACGTCGAAGTTAAGGTTGGCTGCATAATTGATGTTAATTATTGCGAATTAAATTCTCAATATTTAGATAAATAGCTTAAATCGGGAGGTTGATCGTTTCATGAAAAAAATGAAGAAAGTGACCACATTGGATGATTTGGCGAAAAACGGAAAAGTTGATATTGATGAGGTCGCAGCCGATGCAGAAAAATCTAAAGCTGCGGAAGAAGAAGCTAGTAAGAAGAGTGAAGAATCGAAAAAGGAAGAAAAGAATGGTGAAGCTGAAACCGGCGATAGCGATAAAAAAGCTGACGAGGAACCAAAGACCGAACTTTAAATTTGCTATTAATTATATGATTTTTCGATCTACCATATAGATTTAATTTATATATTTATTCTGACCATTTATGTTTTAACGGGGTCAGCTAATATTTAAGCTATTATGATGGGACTTCGCCATCTTTTTTTCTTTTACTTGTTGCTGTTTTTCACCCTTTCTGGATGATCCAATGTTCCCTTGATTAATTCTCTGTGATGATTTTTTAATGAAAATAAATTTTGTTTCATTATTTTTGTTGATAAAAATCAGAACTTTTCCTCAATTTTGTCATTTTTTGGCAAAGTAAATCAGAAATGAACTTATTCTTGAAATGTATGTTTTCACAAAAATATTAAAAGTACATAAAATTTACATATACGTTTTTACACACCTACGATTGAAAAATGTGTAATTTTAACATTTTTTAATTGTACGAATTGATCCAATAGCGGCAAGCTTCGAAGTTTGTTAGTGATGCTCTGCGTCTCTTCAATCTCTTCATTCTTATGCGGCGATTAAAGGCGCTACAATATTTGAACGTGCAGGTTCTCGCAGCGATCCTTCTTCTCTCCGCAATTTTATTTTTTTTTCAACGGTTTGCGCAGATTCTTCCAAGATTTTCTGATTTTTTTTTATTTTTCATAATAATAAGGTGGGGTCGAAATAATACTAGCAAGCATTTCGCTCAAATTTTGCATTAATTTTTATCTAATCAAGCCTTTAAAATTATTTAATAAAGCAATTTTGTTTGCATCATATTTTGAAAACCTAGCTGTCATTATATTTGTTTTTGTTCAGTTTTCTTAAAATGTTCAATTCTAATTTATAGGTAAAAATGGCTAAACAAGGTCAAGAAGCTATGAAGAAAGCTCTTCAAAATGCTCGTGGAGCGGGTCTTGGAATCGGACTTGTTGCTGCTGCGGGAGCTGCCGTATATGGTCTTTCGCAAGCCATGTTTACTGTTGAGGCTGGTCATCGTGCTATCATGTTTAACCGAATTGGTGGATTATCCAATGACGTGTACAAGGAGGGACTTCATTTCCGAATCCCATGGTTCCAATATCCAATCATCTACGATATTCGTGCAAGACCAAATCAAGTTCGCTCTCCAACCGGATCGAAGGATTTGCAAATGGTTAATATCGGACTACGTGTTCTATCCAGACCAAACCCAGAGCAGCTTACAAAGATTTATCGAAATCTTGGACAGAATTGGGAAGAGCGAGTTCTTCCTTCTATCTGTAATGAAGTTCTCAAAGGAGTTGTTGCCAAGTTCAACGCTTCTCAACTTATCACACAGCGTCAGCAGGTTTTTTCAATCCCAGAAACGGAACATTTTTGTAATTTATAGGTCTCCATGCTTGTTAGAAAAACGCTAATCGAACGTGCTCTCGACTTCAACATTATTCTTGATGACGTTTCCATCACTGAATTGGCTTTCTCACCACAGTACTCTGCTGCTGTCGAAGCGAAACAAGTTGCTGCACAAGAAGCTCAGCGGGCTTCGTTCTTTGTCGAGAGAGCTAAGCAGCAAAAACAGGAGAAGATTGTCCAAGCTGAAGGAGAAGCCGAGTCAGCAAAATTGGTAGCCTACAAATCCAATCATATTTTTACTTTATAATTTTATTAAGCTCGGAGAAGCCATGAAGAATGATCCAGGATTTTTGAAATTGCGAAAGATTCGAGCTGCTCAGAAAATTGCCCGAATTGTTTCAGAATCTGGAAATAAGGTTATTTTTAGCATTATATTGTTGCGGTCGAACGACTGAAAAAATGGCTATGTGCACTATCTGGAAATCTTGTCTCCAGGCAAAGAGATTTTGCTCCAGACTGCGTTCTCTTTATTTTAGCTTACACGCATTTAATATTCAGGCAACGCTAAATATAATTAAATTTTACTAATTTTGTAAATGAAATGTTCCGATACCCGTAAGTCGTTTAAATCGGACAATAGAAATTTTAAAGTATGAAAATAATAGCGGAAATCACCGTTTATTATGACGCCAAGATTTTAGTGGTATTTGATTGTATTTTTTAAATTTCAGACCTACTTGCCATCTGGCGGTTTGATGCTTAACATTGCTGATAGCGACTACTTGAATGTCAACGACAAGAGACGCTAAACGAAATCTTCACGTGTCCAAAATTGATCTGTTTTACATTTTTGTCCTTTCTCCCACATCCAAAAACGCGCTGTTGATACCGGACTCTTGTTGTAAAATTGTTAAAATAATTTTATTCTAGTTTTTTTTTTTACTTTATTTCTTTTCCCTGATAGATATGGTAGATATTGTTGTTGATTTTTTCGTTTTTTTTTCAATTATTTTGTAGGAATAAGTGAGTTTATCGTTTTATTTGAGGTAAAAACAACAACATATACAGATAGTGGGTTTTTGAAAGGAAAGGAATGCATAGGACACCGAATAAATTAATGTGCCCTTAATTATTCGAGCTAGGCATATTGTATTATTTAAACTATAGTTGGACTAGATTTTTCGCTGGCTGGATTCGATTCGGAAAGGCCCGTCTCAATGTATGGGTTGTGCAGGAATTCATATTTAGATCGCGGCGGCGAGCTGTCGTTCGAGGTTCTCTTTAAAGCATTGCTTGATGTCATTTAGCACTCCCCAACATGGAAGCATCGAGACGTCTGCTTGGAATGTTACTCCTGGTTTCATGTTGCAGAAGCCGAGACATTTGCGGCCGGCTGATGTACGATCAACTTCCCGATCGAGACAGCATTCAGTATGATCGTCGCTATCTGCGGCACATTGCATCATATCAAGTCCATGAGCTTGTGGGCATGGGTCAGTTCCAAGGAACATTCCTGTCAGCTGCAAAATGAATCGATTATTCACCTAGAGGCGTTTCAAAGTACCGTCTTCTTGCTAAGCACATCGAAGCTGCAGATCCTTTCGCAAGATTGAGCCACGCGACGTCCCTTGCAACATTGGAGGAACTTTTCACTGGCAGTTCTCGGTTTTCCAGCGGCTTGGACTGGAGCCGGAGCCAAATGCGATTTTGACGACTGTGGAGCTACTGGAGCTGGCTGAGGTCGTGGACCGACTGGACGGCGTACTTGAGATTGCGAAACAACTGGACGCGGCCTCTGGATTGGTCTCTGTGGTGCTGGTCGTACATCTGGTCGGAATGTCTGCTGCTGTGGGCTGGAGATTACCGTGGCCGCTGGTTGTTGGCGTGTTGGCTGCTGTGGAACAGGGGCTGGACGACGGATCTGTTGTTGTTGTAGCTGCTGTTGACGTGGTTGAGGAACATTAGCAGAACTAGAATGGAAGCTCCCTCCTTGAACTTTGATTTTGGGAGCCTGAATTCGTTTCATGTTTGATGAAAATATAGAGTCAGTTTTTGAAAAAATGCTGCTGCCAGAATCGACAGCTGCAAGACCTATGTCGTTAGATGCGTTGCGGTGCGTGTGCGGTCACACCCATTTTTGTTTTTTCTATTGTCAAAGAAAGATTTTAGGCCAAATACAGTTTTGCTTTTTGTGGCGACCATAATAAATCATTGCATGCGCCTTTGATGTATATATCAATTTTGCAAATGTTTGATCCGGAGCCAAATCGAAAATAATAGGGAAACCAAGTTGCACGATTCAAATTTTTACGCTCCGTCCCCGGAAAAAATTTTCGGCGTCGTGCGACTGCTGAAATTTGGCTACATGGAAATGACATAAGTCTTGGCGAAAACTCAATGGGCAGATTTAGTGGCTAATCTTAAGGATGTGTTAAAAGCGCAACCCAAGACCTCTCCCTAGATTTTTCTCACATTTTTCAACTTTCCCCTATCGCGAGACGTCACCAATAACATTTTTAAAAAATTTTTCTAGCGGATAAGAACGATTTCTGAAGATGATTATTCTGAGTATTCTCTGGTGGAACCTTGACTGACTTAAATTTTAATGAAGATATTGTCGAGGGCAGGCAACTTTCAGAAATTAAAAAAGAAAAAGCAAACGTGTCTGTCGACATTTCCTATTTTTTATACCGGCCAAGAGGAAGGCCTCCCATGAGATGGTCGGACTCGTTTCGGAAGGAGATCACCACAAGAACAGCTTAAGGAGCCGTTATCACCCCGTGGTTCACGCAAGCCAATGACCGAAAAGCTTGGAAAGCTGTGGTTCACGCCTCAATAAACGAAGGACGCACCGACTAAGTGACTAAGTAAATGTTTTTAAATCAATATTATTTGCAAAATGAGAGCCTACGATTCACGATTTCAAAACCATAATCTACGTTTTTCAAAGTTACTTGGAAGCTGTTAGTATTGACATTCACAAGAAGTCTACCTTCGGACGTGTTCTCTGAGTATCCTCAAAGTATGCAGAATGATTTCGATCAACGATTATCGTGTCGGGATGATATTCGGGATTCTGAACAACAAAAACGACACACAGTTTTTAGATGCACATGCTCGACAGGCCCACCTTCTCGTGCGGCTTCTGCTCGAGACTATAGAGTGTCGCGAGACTTGGCACAAAACGCTCAGGCGGTGGCGGAACACGAACCTGAAATGATTAGTGATTATTTTGCGACGACAGAAGCGGGATTATGATAGAATGACAAGAAAAATAGAAAACTGACAAATGGTGCGGGTGAAGGTGTTGGTGGTGGTGGAGGCTGTGCAAGAAGTTCAATCTAAAAACATTGAACATTTGATGAGAAGAAAAAAACGAAAACATCTCGCGCAGGACTGATGCTACTCATTCATTCAGTTAATTTTCAATTTCATTAATTTTAAGAGCTCAAGGGAATGTCAAATTCGTCAAGAAAAATATAAAGTTCCCGCGTAAAATGACAAAATAAAAGTTCACATGTGCCGAGACCACGGCCAGACTATTAGAAATTAAATACGATATTTTAGTGATCTTTTTTTTTAAATAAATGTGTTCGAACCTTCTCCTGATTCTGTGCGAATGAATTTGCCTGTTCTCTAAACAATTTGTTGTCGAAATCGAATGTCTGGATCGATCTGGCGCGATCGATGTGTTGGAATGAAGCATCGGTTGGTCTCGGATGGTATTGTGCAACATCTGCGGGTTGAACAAGCACTGGCGGTTGTTGGCGAGGAGCGTATTGTTGCGCCTGGTAAGCCTCTGGCGGTGGTGGCGGAGCCTGTGGGATTACTACTGTTTGCGAGTAGATTGGTGCCGGTTGCTGCTGCGGCGGCGGTGGAGGAGCAGGCTGAGGTGGAGGTGCTCCTTGCTGTTGGTATTGTATTGGTTGCTGCTGCTGCTGCTGTGGTTGAGGCTGTTGGTACTGCTGCGGCTGGTAGCTCTGTTGCGGTGGCTGCTGTTGATACTGCTGTCTTTGGTACTGTGGCTGTTGTTGTTGTTGCAACTGGTATTGCTGTTGTTGCTGGTACTGTGGTGGTTGTTGCTGTTGGAATTGTGCCTGATACTGTTGCTGTTGGTACTGTTGTGGCTGATACTGTTGCTGAGGTTGATAGTCATATTGCGGCCTGGCAAAGTAGTTCTGGTTGTACTGCGGCTGCTGTTGAGGCCATTCGAAATATTGCGCGCTCACTGAAATATACAGAATATTCTGAACCGTTCACGCTACTTCTTTTTTTTTAATTTTGACATGAAAGGTATTCGAAGTGCTATTATATCCTCAAAAGGGAATCCTTAAAATGCTATATCGAGCCATTAAAATTTCATAACGGAATAATATTTCTTTGTCGAAAACAGACGACATCCGGGGGGCGGAGCGTAAATATTTGAACTGCACAATTTGGTCTCGCAACAATTTTTTTGATATGGCTGCGTATCAGACATATACAAAACGACTGTATAGATCAAAGGCGCATGCAAAATAATTAAGTTCATTCCCAGCAAGCAGAACTATATTTGGCGTACATTTTTTGAACTGTCGAAAATATCTGATACTAATCACATTAATTTGAATAAAAAAATAACTGAAAAAAACCGACCTGATTGAGAAACTATCAAAAATGCGACGAATCGCATTGTGCATGAGCGGCGCATTATTTGAGTGGCCCGTACGCGTGTCTGCCCGTGCCGTTGGCCTGCCGAATGTCGAAAAGTGGGCGTGGTCTCGCCACGCTGTAGACGCAATGGCATAATAGGCGGAGTCGGCGTGAACGCCGACATGACGATTGGTTATCGGATTGTTTCAAACTGTGTGCTTTTTCGCCTTACACTTGAACCCAAATCGTAGCCGTCATTCCATTCAGAAGCGCTATGCAAAAGAGATATCAAGTAGGCGAGAGACGTTTTGTGGAGTGAAAGCAGCCAATTATAGTTGGAGGCTACAACGGCAAACCATCGCTATATTTTACAGTCAAATAAAATTAATGAAAAATCCAATTTTCTCGGCGGTTTGTAATTGAAAATGCTTTGCTGACAACATTCGATGAGATTGACACCGGTTTCGTTTTAAGTCAAAATAGCAAAAAAAAGAATAAAATGACTAACTAGCTGTTATATTCGATTTTCAACCAACCTAAATAGCTGTAATTTTCTTTACAAGCGCCGATTTAATTTTCTTCCAAATTATCTTCCAGCTGTTTTAGATTTACAGATATTCTCTTGAACCCGATTTTTCTCTTTTGAATCTTAAAAAATTATTAATAAAAACCGAACCTAAATGTCATAAAATCAATTTATGGCATTTAGGTTCTCAAATAATTGTGCATAAATCGAATGAATTTTTGTTCAGCGAAAGATGACTTGCATTATTGATGTGATTGAATGTCATTGCCTTCGTCTAACTATCGTTATAATGTGATGAATGTCATGCGCTTTTAATCAGTGCTAATTTATAAGGGATGCCGGTATTCCGACTGCTTTGAACATAATAAATTATCATTGATCGTTTTAAAATCATTTTTATAACCAGAATCTTCCGCAATTTGTATATTCAACTATTGTCGGCGTCAAACGACTGAAGGAATGCGGGCCTTCAAATTCGCGAAATCATCGTAGATTAAAAATTTTCGTTTACTGAATATTAAATGCGCGTACACTATAATGCAATGTACGCAATCTCGCTGTCTCGAGACGCATTGACACATAGCCAATATATTTTTTAAATTTTTGTCAAGTCGTTTGACTCCGACAATAAGTGTTCATAAAACTGTCAACTTGTGCGATATTTCGATTTTTTACAATTTAAGCGGTATTCTCTCAGAAATCAAGTTTCAGATGTTCATTTTTTTTCGAATTTCGCTGGTCTTTGCCTTTTGGCACCCATTAATTGGTTATCCGAAGTCCATGAGGTGTTGATATGACTAGCCGAAAGGTCTCTGCCATGGGCATCTCTTAAAAAACGAAGAAGCGCGTCGAAACCCGTTTTTTTATTTATCTTCTGTTTCGAATTCACTGCATCGTGCGTGTGGTGTTGCGCAATGACAACGGGTTCGAGTGAATGAATGAAGCGAAAACGAATTGAAAAGGGGAGTGAAGCAAAAGCCCAACGAGCGGTGATGAATTGTGTTGACGCTTCCCAGAGGTCATCAGAGCATCTCATCAAGACTGGAATTTCAAGAGGCGAGACCCCGTTTTCTCTTGTTGGAATGCATACAAAATGACAAATTACAAGGTTGAACATTATAATCGCGAAATTTGCAATACAAGAGGGAAATAGTTTTGGTGTGTTGGAATTGGCGGTTGAAGTTTCCCTGTGGCCAAACGACCTAACTATTTTTTTTAAAGAATCAGTCGCATTATTATCCAAGGAATATAAATCATCTCATCTTGCCGCTGATAAATGATGTGTTGGGAAAATCGAAAAGCTTTGCTTGATTACATCAAACAAGTAACTTCAATTTGTGAAAATTTTTATCAAATATGTATTTTTTCTCAAATAAAACTAAACGCATTCAATTGTCGCGTCAAATAATTCAAAATTGAATTGTGAGTTCGGATAAAATCTGTTCAATCCGCTGATCATCCTCACTGTAGGAAGCCACTACTTTAGGGAACAGATTTCGTTTATTCGATTATACGACTTAATCTTTTAGTCTTGCAGCTTAAACAAACACTAGGGTTTTTGTTGGCATACTTTATTTTTAGATAAAATCTAAGAAGAACACAATCGGATGGTGGGAATCATATTCCAAAAATCAAGCCGAAACTCGTTTCGTACTTTACAATTTTTGGATCAAATCCTTATCAGTGCGATTGTGATTCGTCGGCGAGGCAATATTCATTATTTTTTGTTGTTTCGGCGACCTCCTCTTAACCGGCCAGCTGATACGTACACCCACATTGCGTCATCGCAAAACGTCCAAATCGCCGAACCAGGCAAAACTTAATAAGGCCGTTGATGGCTTATCAATGTCCACTCAATTCGTGTTTCTTTCTTCCGACATGCAGACATTCGCTGACCAAATTTAATGTGTATACGATTTATAAACACATGTGATGATGGCATATACATAAAAAACCATTAGCCCGCCGACTTTCGCTGTGCCCAAGTGGACAAGCCAAAAGAATGAAAGAATAATAAGAAGAAGAAGAATAAAAAGAAATCGTTGACGCTGAGAAACTCACGACTGGATTGGGTCGAGTACATTACTCAGAAAATGCTGTCGCGTAATTCGTGCCGCAACGGAAGCAGACGCTGTCGTTCGTGATCCATCGATTCCGATGGATTCCGGAATGTCGCCCGCGCGAATAACAACACCGCAACGGCACCTGAATTTAATAATGATTCCACATTTTTGAGACAAGCAAAGAAATAGAAAGTTTGGCTGATTTTGTGATAGATCATACCGATAACAAACATCAGCGCGATTAGAAGGGTGCTGCTGATTGGCCTCGGATCGGCTGGATATCCGTTGAAGCCGTTTCGAGTTTTTACAGAGAGCACACAGTTTTCAGAATTACGTGATGTTCGTAAAAACGGACAATTCTAAAAATCAATAAATTCGAACGTTCATATCGATAATATTTTCTACAAACCTTCGGTGGACAAATAAATTCATTCAAATGATCATGTTTAGCATCGAAAACGGTTTTTTGATTTATCGGCTCAAATAAACCTTTCCAAATTTCTTTCGCCGCGATATCGTGGCTCATTTGTGACAAATGGAAGCAGTCAAGAGCGAAAAAAGCCAAATTTGGCGAATTCTGAAATCGATTGAAACAAATCTTGAAATTTAATCGAAATTATAAACCTCAATTTGAGGCACTTTTTTGATATCCATCGCTGAAGCTAAGACGACGGCAAAATTATCATTTGAAGGATCATCGAATTCCCGAACGACTTGCTCAATGGCTTTGTCATAATCTCGTTTAATATTGTCATAGTCAGAGGATGTAAGATTCAAGATGCATGGGCAAACAAATCTGAAAATATTATAACAATAATTATAATTATACATATAATAATTATAGTAAAAGAGGGACGAATTTACTAGTCGAGGAGTGAAATTTTTTTTCATGCTAAATTCGCGATATGATCAAAAATGGTAAACGAGTGTGAAAAGTGAAATTTGTCGGATTCGTCCGTCTTTGACAATAAAAAATAACATATGAGAATGAAAAATTACGTGTGAAATGTTTTGCAAAATGGGACATTCTGATGTGTTGCAGAATGAAGATAAACGTTGATTGGAGGCAATAAATTGATGAACGCTCTTGGAATTTTTGAGCGAATCACTGAAAGTGATGTCCTCAATGAATTCGCAAAACCAGATGAATTGATTTCTGACTGAATATTGAATTAATGACGAAAATAAGAAAAAAAAAAACACTTATTCTTACTTGATTTTGACAGATTTTACAGAAATCATTATGACCAATGAAAATATTGATGAATTTCCAAAATTTTTTATTATCTGCTCCCAGAACTCGTTCCAATTCTCCAGCAAGAAGTTCGGACTGATCAGGAAGACTGCTTGAACATGCTCCGACTTCAGCAAAATTAAAATCATATGGTTGTCTTATTTCATCGGATGAGCCACCGAGAACGTTTTTTGAGAATTCTTGAAAAATATCTGAAAATCAAGAAGTAATTATAATTTTTCTCCACGTGCTAACTTAAAAGTGTAGCTTGTTCATTTATCGTCACATCTTCTCCGCTTGCAAAATTAACGCCGGGATTTGGGCTTCCAATATCATAAATAGAATTTGCTTTTGCAGCTTCAGCGAGCTAAACAAACTATTTTTATCAGAGCCCGTATTTTAATAAACCGAAATTGAATCTCCAAGAACCGCAATGACATCAATTTGGCTCGGATGTAGTTGATGCACCGATGTGGCTGGACCGGCGATCGGTATAGTTTTCCAGCAACTAATGTTTGAATATCCAAATGGGTAGTCTAAAAGAAATGAAAAAAAAAAGAAAATAAATAAAAGAAAAAAAATGAAAAAAATAGAGTGAAAGCTAATTCCCTTGTCGTGGATTAAGCAAGGTACACAATTTTAACAATCATTGCATGCAGAGAAAACTTTAAAAAAAAATATTTTTATATTTGGAATGTACCTTTTGATTTGTTTACGAATTGCTCGCGTAATTGCTTCCAATCGTTAAAAATCGCTGAAAATTTCTCGAGTTCTTCTGTAGGCGGAGCAATAATTGCAGAACATGCTGAAACTCAAGTTTGCACGTTTCATAATTGAATTTTAAATAGGTTACCAATGAAAAAATGAATATCTAGAATTAAGCATTTCATAAACATTGTGCAACTTATTTGTGACGAAAAAACATTCGAATGTTGGTGTTTCCATTGATAAGAGAGGAATTGATAAGGAAATGAGCATCGCGTAGTAAATAAATGTAAGTTGCGGAAAGTAATCAACAATATTTAATTATTTAAATTTATTTCTTCAAAATAACAAAAAATTGTATAAATGCATATAAATTTAAAGCAAAATAATGTTACGCGGCAAGATTTTCGAAGGCGAGATTATGTCAATGGGATGTTTTTTTTTTAAACATATTGAAATATATTTACAAAACATGCGAATAAATAATTCAAAAATCAACAAGCAACTTATTTAGCGAAGCTTTTAAGTCTTCAAACGAAATTTCCTTGATCAGGTGATGATGCTGTTGGACGGGTAGTTTCCGATATTCTTAAAATACGTACTATTTACTTACTGAACTGTTCAGTGAGCTTACTTGACAGTTCTGTCACCTTCAATAGCCACATTGACTAATCCTTTAGTCTAAATATCAAAATGTTTTATGAAAGAAATGTTTTCAGATTTCACCTGTCCGTTTGGAGCCGCACGAAATAGTAAAACAGCAATTCGTCCGCACGCCAATGTCAAAAGAGTGCAAGTTATCTGGAAAAAATTGTATTCACTTAAGGGTTCCTGCTTTAACAGACCGTCAGAAGCGAATAAGCGATGGTGAGAGTATACTTGAATCGTAGAGAATCGAAAAATCCAATTAAAGCGATTAAAGTTGAGATTGTCATCAGGATACATCCACCAAATGAATACATCAAAACGATGTAAGTGGATGGAATAAATAGCGGATAACGGCCAATCATATAGACCTGCAAGTGATATTAATTCGGCTTCAATGCCATTTTTAAAGTACCTTTCGGCTATAGCCTATGAAATGATAAAAATTCATTAGAATACTCGAGAACAAAATAAAAAGCAAGACAAGACGCACGAAAGAAGTTCCTGAAAATCAAATATTATGAAAGAAATGAAATTAGAATAAAACCTTCATACAAAAATGGAGAAAAGTATAGAATGACGAGCGATAGAAGCGATAATATCTACAAATTTAGATTTTATAAGGAGTGTTGATAGAAATTATCGCGGGAATTATTCTTACAGTCTGTGACGCCATCAGAATGCCAAATGGCCATTGAACAAAGAATCGAACGTCGCGATTGGGTGCCACCGACTCCATCACTGCTCGCAATTTGTGTTTATTCCAATTACAATTATAATAAACAACTGAAATGTAAATAAATAATGTTTCAATAATTCCGTAAAATACTTTGAAAATGGATTCAACAGACCATGATAAATATGTGCATAATTACGACGGCGATTATACTTTTATAAGCGCAAAAACGTTTTCTGAGAGTAAACCAACTCCTATCGCAATATAAATAAACAAAAGAGAGATGACGAGATCATTCGGCAATTCAACTATCACATGGTTCTAAATGTATATGGTTCAGGTATAAAACGATCAAAGAAATGTACAATTCAAACAGAACATTATACAAAATGTGGGTGTCTTCCTCCTTCTGTCATGTCCATAGAAGGCTCATCGATTGCTGACCCGCGAAGAAGTCGATTCTTCGCAGCGCGCATTTCCAATGCGTGTCGCTCATTTGTTCTTCTTTCCTGAGCCTCGTTGGCACGTATTTCACTGAAAATTTCTAATTTATTTTATTAATCGTCTTGGCTACGTACGCTTCCAATTTCTCATTGAGTAGCTCGATATGTCTTACTTCCGCCTCTAATTTCTTTATCAACAACTTCTCTCTCTGCTGCTCATAACTAGGCGTGTGCAGAACAGGACTTCTAAAAATAATAGTTCAGCAAGGATTGTAATTTGAGTAATGTTCTACTTTTCCGAATCCACTCGTGCCTTCTTTATTGGTGGTGCTTGAGAAGAAGATACTGGTTGTTGTGGAGATGTCGATGAAGTTATCGCATACACAGATGGTGCAGTTGCCGAACGAATTGTCATTTTTCGGCTAAAATATTGAGTAAGTGAGATTATTAAAAATAGACAACTTTAGTGTTGGTGATTTTGCCTCTGTGCGAAGTTTCTGATTTCCGGAATCAACTGATAAACTCTGTGGTGGAGTTGGAAGTGTAACCGTTTGCGAAACTCTACTGAGAATATCTAGTAGACAAGCCGTATCCTCAGATTTGACTCTAGCAGTTCGTTCCGCATCATCTCCAGCTTCCGAAATATCAGTGCTGTCGTGCTGATTCGAATTTCCCAGGATTCTCAGCACATGCTCAACTGATTCAGTCGACTGTTGAGTCGACGATCCCGATCCCTGCGATTGAGATAACGAGCTATTATTGCTGCTAATCGAATTTACAAGAGCCGTTGTTGTTATAATGTCGAGAACAATAGAGTCAAGCTCGCTGAAATTTAAAATTATTCCATGAAATTTTTAGAACAAGTACCCCAATTTTCCAGTAGCTTTCGTCACGTTTTCATTGCTACGCGAAATTGCATGACGGCGAACGTATTGCCAATCATGATCACGAAGTCGCGCCCAATGTTTTCCTGAAAATATTTCAATACTTTCAACAGCTTCCCATATTCGTACCTTTGAAACTTTCTAGACCGTATTCTTCAATCTCCGTTGCAACCTTCTTCCAAGCTTCTTCCTTTGACTTTGCGGTTACTTCGTGCCCATCACAATCTCCAAACAGTTGCGATTTGTGTCGGTAGACAATTTTTACAAAATCTATTTTATCTTGAAGCTTCTTCTCTCGAGAATCATATACCGGCCGATTATTATTGCGCGTCTCACCGTTCTCCCTAAAAATTGAGGTTTGACTAAGAATTTATAGCTAGCGTCAAACGTTTCAGCCCATTCCACAAAATTTGCAGAATCATCAGAGTGCGACGTCGACGCGTTGATATTCTGAAGAGTAGGTGCTTCTAAAATTGTCTCGATTTGAAACCAATAAATTTTGAATATCACCTCGAAGTGGTTCAGGTCGGACAGTGTTTTGCGGAACAACGGTTTCGGCACCTGCCGACTTTACCATTTCAAGAATTCGGTCCATTCCTGAAAATATCGATGTCTAAATGTTTAAGTATTTATAAAATGGAATTATCTCCAAAAGCTCTCCAAAAGCAAAAGTGAATTAGAAAAATATGAAAATAAAGGAGATATAGCTTGAAAATGTTCTTTAACAAAAATTTATGTCTATTCTATCAGTCATTAGTTATTGATGACAATTGTTTCAATGAATTGTGCCAGTATTTAGGTGAAGACAGTTGAAAACGACAAAACAAACATCGATTTTCAGCTGCACTTGGCGGCCATGAGTGATGTCAACGAACAACAGGAAATGAATGCTTATTTTTGGGGAACATAAGGTGCCAAAACGGCTATAGACGTCATTGAAAATACTAATTTCGATTTTTTAATAAAAAAAATTAGTTTACCGTGAAACATGAGAAAACACGACGGATGTTCAGAATACATCTTCTTGTGTGGACTGAAATATTCGTTTTATGAAGGACCGGAATTGCCGCGCCTCTTCAATTAGTATAACATGTACTCAATTTGAGCAACGAGCAGCTATGTAATCGTGATGAATCGCATATGGAAAATTCCCAAAGGAAATATTGAAAAATTCCGAGAATTAATTCGATTATTTCGAAAAAAAAAATGTTAGACAAAAATCACGCCAGCAAATCGCCAATGATTCATTTCGTCGAATATCCGACAAATGTTGCCAATATAATTTTATAGAATTCAAAAGCGACATAATGGATTAAAAAAGAAACGAAGAAACAATCCTTGCGAAAAATATTCAATTTGTTAAATTTTGATGAACTTCGATGCAATTTGTAAAATTTTATTGGTTTTTCTATTGTCGGCGTCCAACGACTGAAGGGGCGGGGCCTTCTTTTACACGAAATTAATGTAAGTTAACGAGCGGGTAAATTTATGCGTTGCTTGAGTATTGAATGGTAAAATCCAAATTGCTCATATATTTCTCATATCTCTTTGCCACGATAATTTTGACAAAGAGCAGTGTTTTAAAATTTAGTCGTTTGACATTGACAATAACTCTATTTGAAGAATAGGAAAAACATAAGCGAAACATAAAAAGCGCTTACATGAAAAAAAAATTTAATTCACACAGAGAGAGAAATTTAGTTTTTCAAACTAAATCCACGAATAAAAAAGAATAATTGAGATTCTCTAATTTCCTGCTAGTTGAATCGGAAACTTGCTCCCGTATGTTATTTTTTTCACTTCACCGAAAAAACAGCCACGATTACAGTAGATACATTTTTTGTTTGACGAAATTTAATTAATGATATCACCTTTAATTAGCCTTCCAATCACCAGTAACCTAATGAACGCATAATTTTCAACAATTAAAAAATTATGAAATGATTCACAGAATTCAATAGATTCTCAATAGTGTGTTGATATCGCAGAGTAATTGAATACCAACGAAATCGGAACAAAAATGGGGAGAATGTCAGAATAAGAATTGAGAGATGCCCCGATAAGATTGCCTGTTTGCCTCGTGAGTTTGACAGGAGGCCGCCATTTCGAATCGTCTGCTCGGCCTCTCTATGTGTATGCAGACTGATAATGACAGGTGACAGTCAGATCCCAATTGACAGTATGTCAATAAGCTCGCAAACCACTTCAAAACAAAATAAAGAAAATTAAAAATGGCAGATGTGCTGCACATCGAATGGCGTTCTCCATATCGAGTTTTAAGATGGCATTTTGAGACCGAAAAGACATGCACATAGTGACAATACCGATAAATGGACATGTCAATCGTGGAATAAAGAAAGAGAGAGAGGAAATATGACACACATTTTGAGCCGCTTACATAAATCAGAGAATGTTAAACCTCGTCTGAGTGTCCTCTGACATAAATAATCTACCGGAAATTGGGATCTTGAAGGTTAAATGCATGTAAAATACTTGCTAAAAGAGGTGATCATTTTGTAAAATTGAAACACACATCAAGAAAATTACAAAAATAAAAGAATATCACGTGAATTTAAAATGGTCTTTAATATCAAGCGCATTTATTAGTATAATTTTTGCAAAGTTTTGTTCTTCTAAAAAAGTCGCACATTTTCGATCATCGCTCAAAAAATAAGAATAGTTGAAAAATGAAATAGGAACAAGAAACTTTGTCGAAAAGATGTTTTCACATGGCAATATCAATTTTCGGCACAATTTCCCATCACTATCAACATTTCTTAACTGATGCGCATTAAAAGCAAAAATATCTTTCGAATTTTGCGTCGCATGCGAAAATTTGTATTCGTTAACGTGTGAATTGAACATTAAAAAAATACATTGTTAAAAGTAACTTACGGGAATTAGTTTCATCAGACGTACTGGATACTTGCATATTTTCTACTTCATATCTGAAATATTCGTATTATTTCAATAAGTAATTCATGAAATATAATAAACGTTGCAAACGTTGGTCAGTTCCAAGATACAATTCAATTAAAACAAAAACTTTTTATTGACCCATATTTACAAAACTTAACAACAATAACAACAAAATGTGAATAAACGTCTTGCTACGTCTTCCGAACAGGAGCTGGTAAACATTCCGTTACGGTCTGAAATTTACTTTGATGTCGAAAATTGAAGCACACAAAATTACTTCCACCAGTTTATTCAGCTCTTCTTCATCTGGAAACCGTTCTTCAGTTTCTTCAACTAACAGTTGAATCTAAAAGCAACTTTTTGCAATAAAATTTCGTTTTAAAAACAAACATCAGTGGGAGCCGAAGGTCGGAGATTGATAATCTGAAGAGTTTCGGCGCCAGTGAGCTGAAAATCATACAAAATTCTAGAAAATAACAATTAATCTAACCTTGAATGGTCGTAATTTTGGAATTAATTGCGCAATTGATTCCTCGCTCTGGGTTGCTGCTGGTGATTTGTTCAAATACTTTTGAGTCTAAAAACTATAATTTTTAATACATCGATATGGTGAATTAACCTCATAAACAATCGTTGCCAACGTTTTACATCGATCATTTTTTGGCAACTCGCCTTCCTCTTTTTTTACATTTCGAAGGTGCGACAGCACCTCGAAATTCGTAAGAACCGTTACACGTTCCTTAACAACTTCCATCTGAAAAGCGAGTTGGATAAATATACAAATATATTTTTGATGAACGGATAAAAAATTAAAGTAAATAGGGGGCCGCAGAATTAATTTCGAAAATTTCGTCCACGGCCGCATATTTAAATCGCTCAAGCGTACGCTTCGCCTGAGTAATCTGGGGCCAAGGATGCCGGGGAACCCGATTTTACCAGGAAGTCGGACCTAAATTTACCTAACCATAATTTTCAGGCAAAGATTACTGTAAATCTCTAAATGTATACGTGAGAAACTCTTAGATTATTCAGCGACAATAAAATAACTCAGCGATTCGAAAAAAAAACGAACCATAGTTGGTTTTTGTTGAAAAATTACGGTTCCACGTGAATTTCTCAAAAATTCCGCGTTTTGTCCCAAAAGCTTCTTTTACCCTACGAGTGTTCCGGCGGTTATCCCAAACCAAAAGCGTCTAGTCCGTCATGATCGAATTCCTAACAAGGGAGGTGTTTTTACTTAGTGGTTTGGAATTTTTTCTAATTTTGCACACAAACAGATCAAGAAATTCCCTATCGAGTGTGCTATGTCGTTTTCTGCAAAAGTTCCAAAAAGTCTCAAAACTTTGGGTCCGAAGTTCCAAATTTTGATTCATTGTTTTTATACACTGTTTCATAATTTTTGCCATACTTCCTCACCACGCACAAATACCCCATTTCGATGGAACTGCGGCAAGCAGCGGTGGTTCAGTGGAATGTGCACAGATAAACGGCGGCATAGGCACAATGGAAGCATAGTGGAACGGCTGTGGATATCATAGGAATCTTATATGCAAGTTATATGGAAGCATAATGGAAGCATTTTTTTGCGGAACCGCGTGTTTCGTATATGGAATGAGCCGTATGCCTTCCATATGGGAAAATAAGAAAACAATTTGATTGCTGTATTCAAAATTTATTTCATATTAACACATTTATTTAATTTAAAATAAAAAAAACAACAATGAAATGAATTTCAATTAAGATATAATCAAACCATTAGTTACTGGCAACTGCCGAACTATTCGAATCATTGTCAGTACTGACATCGAGCGGGACGCTGTAATAAGTAGATTATAATGGGCCTATTAATTTGAAAAACTTGTAAACCATTGTTACGTAAACTAAATTTTTCGAGAAAATACAATCAGTTTTTTTACATCAATAATTTTCTTAAAAATAAAAATAATTTATTTTTATTGCATTTTTGGAAACCCTTTAGTGCACAAAATAAAAAGTGAATTGGCGGAAGAAAGAACAACTCCAAAATTTGAAGCAAAAAGGCATTTTGGTTAAAATTTCAAAGACATATGAATACTCACATCTGAGGGTTGCTGGTAGAATCAAGCAGCTTCCTTAATTGCGCCGCGAGCGCTTCCGGCGCTACACCAAATTTCCTTTGAAGTCGTTGGCGCATTCTATCGCTTAATCAAATAAATAAATTAATAGTCATAGTTCAAAATCTTACAGAAGATTATCCATGACTTCTCGAACCATGCGTAATGCTTTCGCTTTGAAGTCATTTGTCGGTTGTTGCCCAAAGCCATGGATAAGAGCATCTGTAATATAGATATTTGCAATAAAGTATAGGATCTTTATATAGTCGGCGTCTGGCGACTTCTGTACTAGAGCCCCACTTAAAAAGATAAATGCCACTGAATGATATTGGTACGAAGGCTGTACGGCAATCGAAAATTTCGGCGATTCGGCTAATGGCAAATTACCGATCGAAATTTTCTTCGGCAATTTGAAAAACCGGCAATTTCGGCAATCGGCAATTCCATTGCCGCACAGCCCTGATTGGAACCAAATAATCAACAAGCTTTAAACTTAGGAAGTACTTTATAAAGACTTCATTGCGCATATTTTTCTAATTGAAACCATTTCTGGAGTCGAACAGGCCAATTTTTGATGATAACAACTTACAAATTGGGCGTACGAAGGTTTAGGAATTGGCGTTGATTTTGTTGTTTGTGAGGACTGTGGAGAAAAATTTTTTTGCTGAGTTGGCGAGTAAATTGGACTATCTGGATCTGAAGTGTCGAGCGAATTTGGTTCCATGTTAGGGACTTCTGGTTCTTTGTTATTGACTTCTAGAGCAGTTTCAGTTATATCTGACAACACTCTCGATTTTGTCTTCATCTGTAAAAAATTTCAAAACATTATGTTTTATTAAAAGAAAAAAGCGAGCGATAATAAAAAATATGTTAAAGTAAATAAAAATAAAACGGATTCGATGAGAAATTAAACACAATTCGATTGAGAAAATATTTAAATTCGATTTTAAAAGTGTCGGAAACGATTTGAAAACATCGTATCGATTTTAAAATTTTCGAATGCTATCAATTTATTTTTGGTTTCGATTTTGATGATAAATATGAAAATTTTTCCTTTATTTTTTAAAAACATTTTTCCTTTAATTTTGAAAAAAATTCTTTAATTTTTGACAAAAAAAAAAACACAAAAAATCTTGAAAATTCATTGAGAAAAAGCAAAAGGACAAAAATTTTGAAAACGAATTTCGAAAATGTGAGGCGTGGCCGCATTGTGCAAAGCGGCGCACGGTTTTGCAATGCTGCGGCACGCCTCTTCTACGCGCGTCTGCTACCAGTTTGGAGCAAATTGTGAGTAGTTTGCGATGCCAATTTCGGAAAAACCGGCAAAAATATATTAATACGACTAAATTGTAGTTGGCAATCTTTAAACAAAGTGAGGAACAGTTGACTGAATTAACATAAATCTGAGTAACATAAGTCATTAAATGGTAGAAGCTAAATTTCGTCCGTTGTGTATCATGTAATTTTCAAATTTTCATTGTTTATATGATAGCATAAGTTTTTTGTATTGATTTTTCTAGAAATTGTCTTGGTCTGCCGTCCAGACGCCAATTGTATAATGTTTATTGACATATGATTATTTTATCCATATTCCATCCATATTTGTTCCACGGCTCGCAAACACCGGAAGCATATTCATCCCGTTTTCATTCCATCCATATTCGTCCCATAATTCTTCCACAGCCACTAAGAATTACATTATGCTTCCTATATGGAAGCATTATGCTTCCGTTCCACAGATTTCCCACAATGCTTCCATTATGCTTGCGTCGCGCTTAATCAGTGTGTATGGGTTACCAAGAAATGGGTCGTTGGTTCGTTGCCCCTTCTCGCATTTTCTTTTGCAATTAATTTGTGATAAAATTTATACAAGTTTTATAATGGCTTGAAGGTTTAATTTTGTGAAATGAATAGTTGAATCGAACAGAAAATGAGACTGTAAAAATGGGAAGTTCGTTTGATTTCAAAAATTTTTTTCAAAATTTTTTCCACTCTGCTGCCCAACCTTATTGCAACCATCCTCGGAGCTTCGGAGAACATAATTGGCGGAAAGCAATAGACAACACTGTGCGATTAAAAATTATAGGGAAATGCGAGTTTTATGAACAACTTTCTAGAATAATGGATTCCCGGCTGTGAATCTTGAACGTCGATTGTTACTACACCGAGGATGGTGGTTGCAATAAGGTTGGGCAGCAGAGTGGAAAAAATTTTGAAAAAAATTTTTGAAATCAAACGAACTTCCCATTTTTACAGTCTCATTTTCTGTTCGATTCAACTATTCATTTCACAAAATTAAACCTTCAAGCCATTATAAAACTTGTATAAATTTTATCACAAATTAATTGCAAAAGAAAATGCGAGAAGGGGCAACGAATCAACGACACATTTCTTGGTAACCCATACACATTCCACTGAACCACCGCTGCTTGCCGCAGTTCCATCGAAATGGGGTATTTGTGCGTGGTGAGGAAGTATGGCAAAAATTATGAAACAGTGTATAAAAACAATGAATCAAAATTTGAAACTTCGGACCCAAAGTTTTGGGACTTTTTGGAACTTTTGCAGAAAACGACATAGCACACTCGATAGGGAATTTCTTGATCTGTTTGTGTGCAAAATTAGAAAAAATTCCAAACCACTAAGTAAAAACACCTCCCTTGTAAGAAGCTATACATAGTTTTTAAAATTTATTAGAGGATTTCGTTCATTTCCGTTCTGCTCTGTGGTATATTTTATTTTAATTGAAGTTAATTGAAAATGCTAAAAAAACAAAAAAAAATTTTCTCGATTTTCCCGAAATAAAATTTCCGACGGTGGCCCTATATTTCCGCAGGAAAAATTGTATTGTGGCCTTCACACATCCCTGACTAGACGGCCAAAAATTGCGTTTTAGTTAGAAAAAAATGAATACAATATAGTTTTCATGAAACCCATGCAGCGAGGAGCCGAGACAGTCCACTAAAGAATGATCTCTTGAATTTATCTACAACATGAAATGCTCAAAAAGGAGCAGCATCACGTAACAATTTTTGGAGGGTTGAGCTGAGTTTTCCTCCGGTTTGGGGCGAATTCGACATGAATTGCCCCCTGAAGAAACTGGCGAAAAAATCGCTGAATAATTAAAATATTTATTATTTGAAGAACTATAATTTTTCTAAAATATTGTTTTGTTCATTTCGCGTAAGTACTTTCCCAATCATAAGGAAATTCCTGAAGATTATTGGTCTTCATAATTTTTCGAAGAGTTGTGTAGATCAATCCGTAATTAGGCTCAGAGAAGTATTGTAATCCATCGATATGCCTAATTGAAAAAAAAAATTAAAATAATGGGCATATGCAGATTTCGCAAAACTCAAAAACCAGTTTTAAAAAATACCCGAAAATCGAAACTCGGATTGCAGAAAAAAACCCAGAAAACCTCGGCCGCGGTCACATTTTTCGAAGTCAGTATCACTATTTAATCGCTGCTAGAATCATGCGATTTTTATTCCTTTAACCACAATAGAAAATAGGGACCGCCCGCAATAGAGAAACATGGATTAAAAAATAAAATCATGGATAACGGTCCAAAAGATAAAATTTCATGATTCTTGCAGCGATTCGTGAAAAACTTCGATTCTGCAGGATTCGAAAAACCTGGACGTGGCCGATGTTTTCTACTTTTTTCTCTACAATCAGGGTGTTTTAAACCGATCTTTTGAGTTTTTTCTTGGGATATCTGCATAAAACCGTAATAATAATAATAATAATACAAGTAGTAAAAATATTAATAAATATTAACTTTAAAATCAAATTGTATTCATCGAATGGGCATCCGGAAAATAGTTGGTTGATCATTGGTTGCTGTCGGGCATTCTTTTTCATATCTCCGACTTCCTTCAAGTCCGACACAACTTTCCACGGCAAGGAGGCGTTTGTAAAATCGACGAGCATGTAGAACCAACTTTCGACGTCATCTTTCCTTCCATGCTCGGCGCCCTCATGAGAGGCCATCGGAGCATAGCGGGGAGTTCCACGATACGGCGCTTTTTTGCGTGGTTGAAGCATCATATTCTATCAAGCGAGTTTAATGGCCGCTAATTTTGAAACATTTACATTATCATCGACAAATCTTCGACACAGCCCAAAATCGAGCACATAGATTTTTCTGAGTTCTCCGTAATCAGCTCTGCCGACAGCAAAATTGCCTGGCTTCACATCACGATGAAGGAATCCGCACCAATGTAATTCTTCGAGCGCTTCGAGACACTGAATCGAGGCTCCGATGGCGCATCCAAGAGTTAAATGGCCATTAGGACCTGTCTTTTTTGCATCTTGCATTGATTTGCCGAGAAATTTCATCACAATATAATTGAAATTTTCATGTCGCCCTTTATCTGAAATCCCGAAATTCCAGAAAAGAAAAACGTCAGAGAGTAGACAATACCAATGAGTGTCGCCATATGCACAGCCTTTCTAGCTTGAAGTTTACGCATAACGAACAGTTCTAATTTTAGAAGCTGACCGTTTTTTCATTTAAGAATTTGCAATGACTAGGCGGTTCTGACTTACTGGTACTTTTTCGGTAACCGATTCTGCTTTCAATGCGTGCTCATTCCCTTGCTCATCCTTTACGGCATAAACGGCACCAAAAGTACCCTCTCCTAATTTTTTCATCGTCTAAACATTTCAACATTTCCGAACTTCAAGCATTTCCCTACCGTGAACCGGCCAACTTTATCACCAGGCTGCAACTGAATGATGGTCGGATTCGCCATGTTTTAATCACTCAATATTTGCTTTTCTCAAATTCAGTTTGCAATACGAATAAATAAATTTAGGAATGAATGCGACGGGCTGAATGATTCATCACACGTCAAGTCTAACAAAAGAAACAAGCAAAGAAACGCGGCGCAATTTTACACGATATCAATCGATGGAATTACACGTAAAAAATACATTTACAATTATCCGTGGACGGTTCTTATCTTTTCCTAAATACATAAAAAAAATATTGGTAAATTTCTAAGGACGGATGAGCATTTTTCCGATGTTCTTGCCAAGCATCATATCAACAAATGCCGATGGTCCCCATTCTAATCCGTCGTAAATTGTGTCTCGTGGCTTAAAGAAAATCCAAATAAGTGAGTTCAAAACCTCAAAAATTAAATACTTCTATTCGCTTTTCTTGCAGCCACTGTGACAATTGGGCAATCGCTTCATCCATCTCGTCTTTGTATTGAAGAACCAAATACCTCTCTCTTTAACATTCAAAATAGCAGATTCGGAGAAGTGTTAAATAAGAGTACCTTTGAATATTTCGTTCCTTTAGTATTTTATTGGTCTCATCTGGAAGAGGTGGTGGATACGGTAGATCAGTATTATAAACAGCGATTTGTCCACAAAGTACAACACGTCCTCCGTGATTCATCTCAACCCTTTTCATTTCGCAAAAAAAGAAACAATGAAAACCTTTGCAATGACAGCATCTGATATTGTTCCGCCCACATTATCCCAATAAATGTCTACTCCTTCCGGGGCCAATTCTGATAATCTATTCGAAACATCCTCGGTTTTGTAATTAATTGATTCATCAAATCGGAATACTTCTTTCTATAATCATTTTCAATTTATACATTTTTTTCGGAAATTCAATTATGTACCAATGCGCGGCATTTTTCATCGCTTCCGCAAATTCCAATAACTTTTGAACATCCTTCAATCCTAGCAATCTTTAAGGAATCGAATTGAGGCGAATTATTCATTTTTGATAGAATACCTGTCCAGCGAGTGATCCACAGCTGCCTGCAGCTCCTGATACAACAATTGTTTGAGGTTTCGTCTTATCGATTTGAGCTCTTTTGCGAATTCCAAGGAGAGCTGTAATGCCTGATAATCCAACACAAGATAAGATGACCGACGGCGAGAATCCGGGCGGTAGAGATACCTTGAATACGTTAGCCTATTTGAGTAGGGAACAAATATTACCTTGACGAGATCACTACTATCAGCTATGAAATACTTAGTCCATGTCCATAAGCGAATGCAGCCCGTAACAAGGTCACCCTCCTTTAAACAACAGTCAGAGCCGACTTTCTATTTCAAGACATAATCAAATTTCAATACTATTTCGAGAAACCTCAACCATCCCGATTCCCTCCATTCCATCGACGGGTTCACCGATTTCGTAGGGTCCTAAATAATCAACGCCGGTTGAAGCATTCATGCGACATCGCTGTAATCGTCTTGGATAATCGGATTTCGTGTGGGTAAACCTGAGCAGGGTCAACGGAGAGATAAAGTGTTCGCACGATGCACTGGCCAGGCGCCAAGTCGCTTTCAGTCGGAGTTTCGATGTCGACTACTTGGAAACAGTCAACAGTTGGGGGATTATTCTCTCCTGAACAGCGAGTGATGTTGATAAACGAGCAATTGATTATTGGTTCAAATGGGCATGCGTTTTTCGTGATGGTCTTGCCAAATGTTTCATTTAATTTTCATGTTAATTATTTTTCTGTTTGTAATGTTTTCAGTTTCAAACTTTGAAAAAAAAATTAAAAACTACTTCGAAATTGACATTTCATTTAAAAAAAAAAAACTGGTCATTCGGCGCAAGAAGATTGCAAAATCTTCAGGCTACCGTAATAAGCGGCTACCGTAATTCTTCAATATGTCTTCGGGGAAGAAGCGTTGAGGTTCACGTCTATATCATCATCGCAATAAAAAACGAGCGCCTTTCCAAATCGGTCATTTTTTTCACTGTAAATCGGCGCAGGGCGCTTTTTTTGTTGCTAATGTAATATTAAAAAATGAACCGCAACGCGCATCTAAACTGCAAGGTTTTGCGGCGAAATCTTCTGCTAGTCGCTTTTTTTTGTCACTACGCGAGTCGTTGATTATGACGCAAATGTGTCTGTTAATTGATTCACCGCGAATCGTTGGATGCTGACTAAATATCGTGGGAAAATGACGAATGTAAAAAAGAAACTGCAACGATATCCTATGCATTGTGTGCGTACACCGAGTCGCACATCTCGCTCTTAGCTACAGTAATCTCAACTGAAAATTATTTAATTTATTATTGATCGTTTCTTTTTATAAAAGACAATTAATTTTGAAAATATGCAAAAATTATTATTATTACACTTTTTCAACACAACAATATAAGTAAAACCATAAATTCGCTAAGAAAACACAGAAAAAAAGTAGATTGTTAAATAATTTTAAGTTGAGATTACTGTAACTAAGAGCGAGATGTGCGACTCGGTGTACGCACACAATGCATAGGATATCGCTGCAGTTTTTTTTCACATCGTCATTTTTCCACAATATAGTATGTGCCTTTTGCACTTTTCAAAAAATGTTAACAAATTTCAAAAATTCAAAACGATACCTGGTCTTTTGACGAATATCACTACTTGATTTCCTTTTTTATGCGAACCATTACTTTGTGTCATGCTGCAAAAATTTAGAACAATTGGACAGCAGTGGAATGACGAGAGAATCGCGAAAATTCGAATGCCACATAACCAATGCGAGATCAAACAATGAAAGAAAAATAGAAAATAATTTCCAGATAATTTGAATATGAACGAAGTACAAAGTGGAATTCACGTGTTGAGTGTTCAATTTGCGCTTATCACCGTGTAATGCTATCTATGGTTTTACGACTCAGAGCGGTACAGTCAGGACACTGTTTTGAATGAATTGTTTGGAATTGATTGCAACGTGTTTGATTGGTTTTCGTTGAAATAAAAACGAACGCAATTAAAATTAGTTCGATGAGTAATATTATGTTTTTCGACAGAGATCACAGTGTACTAATTTGTGACGAAAAAAAATCGGAAATTGTTGAAATTATACAAAATGAAGCCTAGTTAGTGATGGAAATTTATCGAGAAAAAGAAAATTAAATGACTTTGATCTATTGTTGAATTTTTGATTTTACACATCGATAAAATGCGGGTGGGACCACATAAATCGATCGCGTATGATAGAAAGCGGGAAAAAAACGAGTCGGAAATAAGAGAAACGCAATCGGTCAGCAGCAACGTGAACGGCGGGAAAGCAACAAAAATCAAATGCGAGGAGAATCGGCCAGAAACGCGACAACATAAAACTGTTTAGGAAGCAGAAGATGTTGCAAATGAAAAATCGCGCGTGTTTCCGATCTTTATTCCCATTTTGCAGACGTACGCGTTCATTGAGGCCAACATTCAAAAAATTGTTGCCTGCGCCGCTTTTTATAAACTAAATGAGCATTTCGTGGAATATTCCAGAATGTTTTCGAGTAAAAAGAGAAAACTTTTATGTTTTTATTGCAAATCCGTCACTTTCCAAGATTAAAAAGATTAAAGATTACGGTGAGCTGATAAAAAGAATTATGGAAGTTATAATAGGCTTATATGAAAAAATCCCCTTGATTTGTAATTTTCTATTCATTTTCCTGTCTTAATCAAACTGAGGTGCTCTTTCTCCGAATAATCATAATCAAATCTAACAATCGACTAGAATTTTTTCCAATAATCTGTGTACTCTCGTGCCACATCAAAAAATTCATATTTCTTTCACGAAAACTTATTCTTCATTCGTTTAAAACACATGGAGTCTCAAATAAATTTGTCAATGATTAATTTTCTTTTTTTCAGACAGGAAATAGAGGAATTACATATGATGACAAATAATTCAACTCGAGTTAACAATAGATCAGTTGAATGAAAAAAACGGCATTTATTTGATGTTCTGAAAACTTTAAATTTAAATATTGAGTAGTTTTATACTTTGCCCGCTTCCTTCTCGCATGTTCTAGCAGGAGTCCGTCACCACGTGACCGACAACGTTGATTTTCCTGTTTGCTGTGAATATTGCCGAAATTCACGTGACGAAAGCATTGATCACGTCATGTGGTAACAAATCGAAAACCAAAAGGGGTCAAAAATTATGATTTCGATATCAAAGGGCAACGAAAGTCGTTTCAAATTTCACAATTTTCTGAGAGAGAAATTTTCAGAAGAGAAAACGAGTAACTTCGTTGAAATCTCAAATCGATGAGAAAAAATATTCAAGCTTCTCAAAATTAAATTTATCAGCTCTCGTTTGTAGGATTCTATTTAGAATGTCACATCTTTTACGAGAATAAAAATTAAAAATCAATAAAGCGTTTACGGGCACACCGCGTATCTTTGAATAAATAAATAAAATATTTGATTTTCAATATTGAAATCCATTAAATTCTCATGAGAATTGCAATCTCGAATTACATTATATTCTCATTTCTTGAAAAGAAATAATATATAGTTTCGTTATCGATGTGATTCCTTACGTTTACAATTAGAAACCGCAGGTTTTAATTTTGATTGGCAATGATTATTTCTAACAAAAGTGCTCGTTTTCCGATATTATTTGAAATCGAAAGATCGAACAAATATAATTCATTTCTCTGCTAAATCAAAAGATGTGCTGCGAGAAAAAAAATGCAAAAAATGTAAACAACCACAATATGTCAAAAATGGTCTTCGACTGGCCCATCGATTCGGAATGAGGCCAAATGAAAATACCAGTCAGCAGACTGAAACGCAGACATCGCACTATCACGTCTAAAGTACAAACTTGGCTTACACATTTATCTGTTATGTTGAATAACGCATTTTTATAGAAATACACAAAACAAATATAGTAAAAGAAAACGTGGCGAGGGAGAAAAAGGAAACAAGGAAAAGAACATCAATTAAAAGACAAGAATAACGTTAAAAAGCAATAGAAAAGCATATTCAGTCAAAAAAAAAAGAAAATATAAACCCGAAAACACATTCAATCAATATAATAGAGAAATTATGGAAACAGTCTACTAAAACTTCAACCAATCAATAAACCTACTCTCTACAGTCTTTTCTACTCGTTCATAGTTATACACTCGCGGATGACGTGAACAAGCAAAACACAAAGTTTCTTTTCTTTTTGGTAAATGGATATTACAACAAAACACCTGCAGAAACCTGAGCAAACAATCGGAATATTCTAAAAACAATTTTAGTATAAAACATTATTACAATCTTATTATGATTTGGCATTAAAATTCGTTTTACTTATTCCCATTCGGTTGTGCCTGGTGGCTTACTGGTCATGTCAAGGAGAACGCGGGAGGTATTCACGCACTGTCGGATTGCAGCCTCCATTTCGAAAATTGTCTGAAAGTCCACGTTAAGGAACGTATTTGAAAAATCAGATTTCGTGAGTTTTTAAGCGAACGCAATAATTACCTGCTCCGGAATATGAACGCCTGGCACCGCTGCAATGCCAGTCATAAAGTCAGAAGTGATGAATGGTCTCAGGACGAAAGAATGCTTGAACGAGTTTGGCATTGTTTCATCACGATCAAAATCGACAGGAATCATAACAACGGGCATCTGAAAGCTCGTTCATTTTCTAATGACTGATGAAATAGTTGGTCACCTGCTGTACTTTTCGGCCAACATCAGGGAGCTTCTGTCCATGCTGTCCCTTGACTCTTCCGAAAAGAATATCGGTAGCGGCTTTATCTGCTCGTTGAAGTTTTTCAATAATTGGCTGAACAAGATGAGTGACTGTAACGCCGTGAACTGGATATTCAACTTGTTCACCAAAGACGTAGGCAACTCTAAAGTAAAATAGCGTTTGACAAAACTTTAAAAATAATCGCAAATACCTATTAATCTTATGAAAAAGTTTCGGAATAACACCGGCGTATGTGTAAAGCATTTTCCATGGAATTGGTCTTGCATTCGTCGACAGAGCAACAACGTAAGAGTATGATCTGAAATTGATTTATTACAATTTGTTATGCAAATTATCATTATCGAGAAAAAAGTCAGTCTTGTCAAAAAAAAAACCAATGACTCACCGACAATCTCCTTGAACACCAACCGTCATGATTGGAAGCAAAGTGGCGCGAATATGAACTCCTTCAATGTTCACAGCGTCAACTTCGTCCCTTGTCATTGAATTAACAGCGCGATTACGAATTTCAGTCTCTTGTGGATCGGTTCTAGGCGTCGACAAATTCACAACGATGTTGAGAAGACGTTCGGTTTCCTCGAAATCCTCGCAACGATATTCATACTGTAAGTTTGTACCTTATTATTCACATATCACTTTTCTTTTTTTTCTGGGAAAGTTCCTTCGCACACTGTCATCAGCTAATCAAATTAATACAAGGCTTTTAGAATACACGCTTCACATAAAAGTGACTACCGTTAAGGTGACAAGCATGCGCTTGAGAAAGCATGGCACATGTGTAGTGCGCAGAAATGTGTCAAACTCTCAAGTTGCTGCAACTCGTCCTAATTAGCTTTAGGTGAGAAAAATGTGTATAGGGATTGATAATAGGTGCGAAAAATGGGCAGGAGAGCTTACAAAAATAAGGGCGGAGCCCGAAGGACCATATAAAAGGACGTCTGATGGACCATTAGTCATCAATTAGTTTACTCTTCACCTAACTTCGTAATAGAATAATTTTACAGATGGCTACTTATTACAACATTAGCACTCAACAAATTGATAGCTGCCTACCTAAACAACCAGTGCTCAATTGTGCTCGACTGTCATCTCAACTACAATTTTCCAACCAAGAAGTAAACGACGATAATTGGAATAATCAGGTACAACTAGCCTCGGCTATTTCATCGCTCATAATATTCTTTTTTCAGATTCAAGTTTCATCTTCAACGATTATGGGTCAATGGCACAATGGTATGGTGTACTTTACCCCACCGCCAGCCCCAATTCCACAAAAATCCTTGACAGAAGCAGAAACAATCGGGTTCCAAACATCACAAGACCAAGTAAGCAAATCCTAGCTTATATTCCAATCTCTAATATTTCAACTTCAAGATGTCTCAAAATGGAAAGTCGCCAATCGGACATTGGCACAACGGAATGGTGTACTTTTCGCCACCACTAACTCTGTCATCTTCTCCAGAATCTCTCGAATCTGTATCGGATCAACAATCCAACGATGATGTATGCGATGATCACGGATGCGTCTACTTCGAAGATGGAACCTACGGACCTGCTCCAGTTTCTCCTAAATCTCTCTTTGATAGACCCATCGAATTTCACTCTGACTACATTGATGGCTATTTCGATTGCAACTTCGTCTATCGCCCATACTCGCAATCTAAGTGATTGTATTTCTATTTATCCGGTGATATTCTCTAGCTATTAATTATTTAATAATCGTAATAATTTAATTGTAATAATGTCTCTCAATTATTGATAAATTTCAAAAATATAACACCATATTACAATTTGAAAAAGAAAAAACAAACCTCGGCGCAAATAATGCGAATCGCCAATCCTGGTCCCGGAAATGGATGACGCTGAACAATTTCCTCCGGTAATCCCAAGCTTTTTCCCAGTTCTCGAACTTCGTCTTTGTGGAAATCTTTTAGAGGCTCAATAACACGACCCTAAAAAGTTTTGATGGTTTTCAACAATTCGAAATTTTAAAGACACCTTTCTGCGAAGCTCTCTGACGAGTTCAGTGTCGTTGTGATGCGTTTTGATCATATCTGCATGCCCGGAAGCCAATAAACTTGCACTTTCGATTAGATCTGGCCGAAGAGTTCCTTGAGCAAGGAAATAATCATCCTGGTTCAAATTAAGCTGTAAATTTGAATTTCAACAATTCATTTTGAACAATTCACATGGAAGGAACAAAACTCGAACCTTGTTCATTATAATATCCTTGACTCTAATGAACGTGTTCCCAATAATTTTGCGCTTGATTTCGGGCTCAACCGCCCGATCAAGAGTAACTTCTTCTGCCGAGTCTTCGTCATTATTTTCAGTGCTTGTGAGGAAAGTGGTTCCAAAATTGAAACCTAAAAATTTTAAAATAAATTAGTCAAACAATATTTCACTGAAACACTCTCTTACTGTGAACTGGCAAATTTACAGCTGCAAGACTTTTAACAACTGCTTCGCTTTCTTCATATCGCATGAATCCATTGTCAATATGAATCGCGGTGACGCGTTCCGGTCCAATGGCTTTATTGAGAAGTGCTGCACAAACTGTCGAATCGACGCCGCCAGAAACCATAACCTAAAACAAAAAAGCTGAACACCAGGTTAACTTGAAACACCATACCAAAACTTTTTTGTTGCCAACGGTGCGCAAAATCTCCTGAATGCACAATTGCTCGCGACTTTGCATTGAGAATTTGCCAGTACAATCAGCAATCTAAAAAGATAATCCAATTAATTGACATTTTATTTTAATTGATTCTCTAAAAACTGGCTTAAAATTTAGTAATTACCTGATACAGAAAATTGAGAAACATTTGGGAACCATTTTTGGTCAAATCAACTTCCGGATGAAATTGAACACCATACAACTTTCGTTGCTCATTGTAGATACCTTTAAAAATTTTAACAGTAGAAAAAAACTTGATTATTTCTCAACCTGCTACATGATTTCCGCTTGTTGCGCAAATCTCGAAATTCGGAGCAACAGTTTTCAGTGAAACCGAATCTCCATGTGTTAAAAGGACTTCTTCAAAGTCACCAAGCCCTTCGAAAAGCGGACACGAGGTGATTGTGCTGACTTTGCAAACTCCATCCTCTCGGATCGCCTCTTTCGTCACAGATCCCCCATTGTATTTATTCATTAATTGAAAACCATAGCAAATTCCAAGAACCGGCAAACCGCATGTGAAAATTTCCGGATCAATTTGAGGTGCATCGTCAGCATATACTGACTTTGGTCCACCCGAAATGATAATTGCTCTGAGAAAAAAAAGAATTGATAAATTATGATCAGAAAAAAACCTGAATCCGCCGAGATCAAGAATCTCTCGAGCTGTTGTGTTTAATGGGAACATTTCCGATTTAACGTGCAATTCACGCACACGGCGATCAATAACTTTGCCATATTGAGCTCCAAAATCCAAAATTGCGACCCGTTCTGCTTCCGGATCACATGTTTTCAAATGCACTTCTTTTGTATCTCCTGAGAATTAAATTAAGTAATTTTTCGTTTTTTTTTAATAAATTTTCACGTAAAGGAAAAAAATATAGAAAATTTGATATCTGAGCTAAAACGAATTTTTTACTCCAACAAATTAGCGTCAAAATAAGTTTAGCTTGCAAACTTTTATAATTTTATCGATTTTAATTATATATATATATATTTTTTTTAATTAATTAAGATAAACATACCATTAACAGTCATACCGCTAATTCTCAATTGTTCTAAATCAAATTCAGTATCGTTTGACCGTTTTGCTGGCGGCACTTTCTCCTGAAAACGAAAAAATTGAAATAACAAATTTTGCTAATTTTTATGATTTTGCTAATTATTGCTCTTTTAGAAACAAAAAATTGTGTTGGAAACAAAACGTTTTGAGATTTTCTATTTTATCGTTTCGTTGCGAGCTCACGATCAGAAACGAGGCGGAAGAGAGGAAAACACAAGTTTTTTTTTCAAAGCGAATCGAGAGATACACAGTTTGGTCTTTGGACAACGATGAAACGGCAGGCGGCGGAGCGTCAGGAGGGAAGAAACGCCGGGGAAATATGGGCGATAGAGAGCGGAGGAATATTAACCAAAACTGTTGAGAGCACTCCTTACACAATAAATCGACTTTTAACACAAAAATGAAACAAATTTAAACGAAAAGAGAGAATTAGAACAAAAAACAAAAGGAACATAATTCAAATGAGCAAAACACATTCAATGCGGAGCGGGCGTTTTTCGAATCGATATTGTGAAATGAGAGTATGAGCAAATTGAAAATGGCCGAAATTTTCTCGCAAATACTCCCTTCAAATTCATCTTATGTTCGTTAAATTCAAAATTTTCGATATTAACCACATTGTCTCGATTAAATTAAAAAAAAATATATTTTAAATGTGACAACAATAACTTTTAAGGTTCATTGGAATATTCCGATAGAAGAAATAGTTTTTCTTCAATTATTTTACAGATTTTGATTAAAAGAATAAAAGTCAATTACACGCATTACGAAATGCACCTATTTATGAATTTTAATTTTTAACAAAAAAAAATGTAAAAATTACATTAAATGTGCATTTTTTTTACAATTTTGCATTCGAAAAATGTATATTTTTTAAAAACATTATTTGACAAAAAAAAAACATTTCATGAATATGTCGACAATAAACTTACATTGGTTGAGTAATTTAAAATGTATTTAGTAAGAATTACTAATTTAAAATAGAAAAAACCCCAAACTACAACAAAAGTTTTTAATTAGGGTGCCGTAATAATGAATGATTTTCAAAACCATATTGATAAGAGTTGTGAACCATATTGATAAGAGTTGTGAAAGTTTTCAAAACAATTATTGATGCATTGTTATAATTTTAAACGTCAATAATCTTGCAAGCTGACACCAATTTCCACAGAAGTTTCAAGTAAAATCGATGCAATTGAAAATTCCACACTTTGTCGGCAGAAAAAAAAAATTAAACACTGAGACATTGTGAAGATCACCAATAACACAAGGAAACTGAAGAGATTTTGAAACGAAGAAGATTGTGCTAAAAACAATCTGTCGAAAAAAAGATCGAAAAGAAAAAATGACTTTATTTTTGAGAAACGACAAACGTGTAGAAAGTTTTTTTGGTGACGTCAATGTCCCAAAAGTGCACTATTGTGCTGATATCGGTTGATAAACTATACGAGTATTTTCGAATTGAATAATTCAATTAATTTGATGTGAAAGGCAAAATTAGGGAATAATAATATATAGAATAAACGCAGAGACACTGAGAGTTTCCTAATTGAAAAACTAGCGAGCGAGCGCAAGAGATTAATGTTGACAATTGAATAGATATAAATACGTCGTGAATGTTGCACTTTTTATTAAAAAATGTAGGTTTACTATGCAAATTTTGAAAAGAACTGAAGAAAACAGTAACAAACCATCACAAAATTCATAAAACCTATAGAGAAAGTTCAAAATACTAGTTTTAACCGCATTTCAAAGTTAATTTCCAAAATCTGCATAGCACCATAATAATATTATATATAGTTGAATTTTGTTTTTAATGTTATTTTAAATTATCTAGGAGCTGAATCACACATTTTCTTTTCAACAACCTCGAACAATTAGGAAATATTCACGACGAAGGCATTTTTTCAATTCAGAAACACTTACCGACTGCATCGCTACTGTTGAATCACTATCGTCGTCACGCATAGAAATCGATCTTTTCATAGTATGTTCACTAACTTTAGAAACCGCTCGTGATCTTTTCGCGCGCTGTAATAATAACGGTATGAAAATAAATCACAGCTTAAGAAAAAAACACATATTAGCGTTTCGAATATTTCCAGTTAATTATTATATATAAGACAATTACAAGTTTAGCACATAATTGTTAGATGAAAACTTACTTCAGATGGAAGATTTCTGAAGTGGCGTTTACTGTGTCGAGCTCCAATTTTGACGGATTTTGGAACTGAAAAGAACCAACAATTTCACGGAAATAACTTGAAAATAATGAAATTAATGCAAATGTTATTTGAGAATTATTACGCACCTTTTTTAAAAATTTAAAATAGCATTTCATAATATTCAAAGAATTGTTAGACACATTTTAATGGCGGTACAAATGTGTTATGTAATTTCCAATTAATTTTAACGAAATGTAGGTACGAATATAAAATTTCTTAAAAAATGAATATTTTAGTTGACATAAGAAATCCAGATTGAAATGAGCAACATGTAAAAAAAGAAATTTCAAAAAGTCGCCTGGCAATGCGCCAGCGTTGCGTCTCACCACGATATCGCTGCATATAGCGTTGCACTACGGTGGCCGTGGACTGGAGTGCTGCCAAAATTTTCCGTCCTCCGAAAATCAATTGCTCCATTTCCTCTTTTATTTCCGTATGTTTATAATTTCACATCATCAACTTTTCTTATGTTTCCTTTTGTCCTCTGTTTATAACAAGTGAATGTAAAAAAAGATTTTTAGGTCGTTTTCGCTATTACTAGGGATTTAGTTTTTCAACATGGTGAGTCATTATTAGCCATAATTTTCTTTGAAAAATATGCAATTTTAGGGTGAGCAACAGCTTGATTGTGCCTTGGATTTGATGCGCCGCCTTCCGCCCCAGGAATGCACTAAAAATTTGACTGATTTGGTCGAATTGTGCCCCGATCTCGTCGATGACTTGCTAGGTAATTGTTGTAATTGAATTTAACATTTCTCTATAAAAATTTTTACAGGAACGATCGATCAACCATTGAAGCTTGCCACTGATCGTGAAACTGGCAAGAAATATCTTTTGTGCGACTATAATCGCGATGGTGATAGTTATAGGTGGGTGCGCAAAAAATGAATGTCGTACTGATTTCGCAATGATTAATTCAAGTTTCATGGTTTTTAAAATAGCTAAATATTGCATATTTGTTAAGGAAATGATTTGGTTAATCATTTTTATTTCATTTGAAAATATTACGAAACCTCAACACTTGAAATTTGATATCATCGTTTTTCAAAACATTAGTGTGATCAATAAATTTGAATTACAATTTTAAAGTATCTCACAAAACTCATCATGTGACGTAAAAGACAAAATTTGTTTTTCTCAAAGCGTGCGACCTTTATGTTTCGCAAAAACTGAGAAAAGCGTAAATGCGTGATCCACCCGATGTGTTCGCCGTGATTGGAAAAATGACAAAGCGTATTTGTAGATCTCCGTGGAGCAACACATATGATCCTCCACTTGAGGATGGCCAATTCCCATCTGAGAAAAGAAGAAAGATGGAGATTGAAGCTAATCTTGCTTTTGAAAGCTACAAAGATTTGTATGCTAATAAATGTTTTTTTTTCTTTTTTTTTTTAATTATTCTTCAGGTATTTCGAAGGTGGATATTCGTCGGTCTACTTCTGGGATTTGGAAAATGGCGGTTTTGCTGGAATCGTTTTATTGAAGAAAGTAGGAAATTTTTGCGATAATTGTTTGATTGAAACGGTTTGTTACAGCTTTCGGATAAAAACGAGAAAATCCAAGGATGTTGGGACTCGATTCATGTCATCGAAATAAGCGAGAGAGCTCGCCAGGCTCACTACAAGCTCACTTCGACTATCATGTTGTGGGTGAAGACTTTCAGTCCGGCTAGTGGAACGATGAACTTGGGAGGATCTCTTACCAGACAAGTTTCAATATTCGTCCATTTGTGCGTTTTTAATCGAATTTTGGTTTCAGCACGAGCTCGATGCTCCAGTCAACGATCAAAACCCACACTTATCAAATATCGGAAAAATGATTGAGGATCAGGAATCGAAAATGCGTAACACCATCAATGAGGTCTATTTCGCCAAGACGAAGCGGGTTAGTAAAAAATGATTTATGTTCGATTTTTGAATTAAACTGTTTAGGTGATGTCGGACTTGCGCTCACGCGAAAAGCAGAAGGATATCGAAAAGCAAGAGGAGATGGTCCGCGAAATTTCGAACGCGGTCGTTTCCCGCGCCACCAACTAATTAATTCACCAATGAATGATTTCCGATTTATTTCTCTTTGTCGCTTTACACCACCCTTCATCCAAATTTGCGCTTGAGCCAGAATATTCGATATAACCCACTGTATGTATTCCACGCTGCTTTGATTTGCGTCAACTATTCGAAAGCATATTTTTTCTACTAACAAACTTCATTTCAATTATTGAAGTTTTGTTTTTGTTTCATTCATCTTGTGTAATTTGTGTGTAATTATATTTATTGGATAAAATGCGAACATCGAGATGAGATCTACCACTTTGAAAAGTCGTTTAGTGTGGATTTGACGAATTTGCGTTTTTTCGGCTGTTCCAAAGGCACATCCTGCAAACAAATGTATAAATGAAAGCCGAAAATAAATTGCGAAAACCTCGATTTTTCCAATATTTCTCTTGTTTGCAGCAACTGATTGTATATATTTTCCGACGCCTGTTCCATTTGCCTTCGGTTTCACAACTTCGTCCTTTTTCTTTTTCGATTGCTCAAGAGTGTCTTTCGAAGCTGAAAAGAAATTTCGAATTATTTTAAATCAGAAAAAAAGATAATTATTAGATATTACAATTCAATCAACGAATCCAAAATTCTTTTCGACTTACTGTTTTTCAGGATTTCAGCTCTTTCTGCTTGAACTTCCTTCTCAGCTTCTTCGAATGGATCAACGAAAACTTCTGCACGCATGAATTGAACTGGCTAAAACAGCGATTTTTCAAATTTTGAATTGAAAATGGCTAAAACTCACTGTAAGTGGGACATCGGTTCCCTCTTCTGTTTCGACTTTCTCGATTGCATTCAGCGTTTCATGTCCACCGACAAGACGCCCGAAAATCGTGTGTTTTCTATCCAAATATTTACAAGGTCGGAATGTAATGAAGCTGAAAGTTCGATTAGTAAACTTTAAAAATACAATTTTTAAAATTACAATTGCGATCCGTTTGTATTCGAGCCTTTATTTGCCATTGATAACACTCCTCGAGCATCATGAGAATATCCCTAAAATTCTCGACACAATCATTTGGTTCTCTTGACAGAATAATACCGATATGAATTCGTCTTCGAACGGCTTCCCCCACATTGATTCTCCGCCATGTCCTGTTCCAGTAGGATCACCTCCTTGCAACTAAAGTTCAACTTCCATATTTGTATATCAAAAAATATATATCGCAGCAATTGCCGTTTATTTACCATAAAATTTTTGATGAGTCTGTGGAATTTCGTATTGTTGTAGTATCCCCTCGAGCAAAGAGTAATAAAATTCTCACAGGCTTTTGGAACTCGTTGACAATATAATTCAAGATTCAAGGGTCCGTAGTTGGTAATTATTCTCACAAATCCATTCTTTTTTACTCGTGAATATCTATAAAAAAATATTTTAGCATTGAAAAATGAGAATTTATTACCGCACAGTGGCGTCGTCAAGAACGGCAGCTTTGTTACTCGTTACCGGAGCCATAATCGTTGAAGTGAATCCCTGCGAGACCTTTCCTTGACTGTAATGTGCAGCATTTATACTATCAGCGGTTTGGTCTGCCTCAGTGATGTTCTGCAGATGGTAATAATTTATATATTTCCGACTTAAAACTCAATCTTACTGCTTTTGGCACATATTCCTTTTTTAGTTGATCTAAGGCTTCTTTGCATTCGTTGTTCATTCGCCGAATGTAGAATGTCGGATTCTGAATTAAAATTAATGTGTCCATTTCGTGTATTTGAATCGAAACCTTCATGGCTTCTTTCTCCTTTTTCAGCTCTTCAGAAGTCTTCAAATCAAGTTTAACATGATGAAACTGTTCCATATTAAATTTTTCCAAATGATTTGGGTCTTGTAAATCAATAATATCGGAACGAAGAAATGGAGTATCATCAAGAAGATCTTTGAGATGATTTCTTTTCAAATTAAGCTCCTGAAATATAAACAAAAACAACATAATTAGTGTTTAAACCAATAATTACATTGACGGCGTCAAATGAATACACATTTCCTGTTGGAGCAATTGTGACAACATGACTGTATTCAGTGAATGGACGGAATGTCACCGGGCAGCGGAAGTTTCCTTCGTCATCCTTGTCAAATTTTAAATGAATTAAATCTTTCACAGCCAGCGGTTTTCCAGTGCACGGATTTATTCCATGCTTTTTAACATATGGTACAATGTGTCTGAAATATTCCAATTCAGATTAACATGAAACAAGAAACATACGCCAAATCAAAGATTTCGCCACTTCTAGCGCATACTGGTTCTTCAAACGGCAGCAATGATAAAGAGCAATGGGTAATTGGTAATCTTTTGAACTGAGCGCGTTGTAATCGTGTCCCGGTATCTGTACAAATTCAAACTTAATTATTCTAAATTTTTCGTAAATTTTACCATCTTTGTGTCCACCAATAGCTTTCCATTCTGAATTTGTTAAATATAATTTATCTTTCTGATGCTGCTTCTTTCCCATTTTATCTAAAATAAGGTAAATAAAATAAAAAAGACATTAAATAGCGTAATAATGACAGCGGCCGTGGACGAAGAAGTATTACGAAGGACGCATCGGCCATATACTTGCTGATATCACGAGACGAAAATGAAATCCAACAAGCAGGTGTAGATTTACGACGTTCCACAATTTATTCTTCTTAGAATGTTTATTTCTTTCTGTTTTTGAGCCATTTTTAATAAGTTATGCAATTGTAACATTTTGAATGAATTTGAGCGATATAAACTATCTTCGGTGAATATTCGATCGTTTTTTTAATATGTAGAAATAGTTCAACGATTTTGTTTCTTCTTTGCGTCTATTCACAGATTATGTATTTCATTTAACTATTTTTTATAGGTTTAGAGTTGTTAAAAGATGGCTGATTTCGACAATGTGAGTAAATTATTTTGCTCGAGTAAATTATTATTGAACTTTCAGAATCCAACGTCTCTCTACAGTGTCAAAGGCCTAGTTATACTTGATCAAGACGGTAACCGAATTCTTGCAAAAGTAAGTTTTTTCTCTCTTCACTGTGAATGCATCTAAATGCTTAGTATTATGATCGTACTCACTTCGGGACTACCAAGGATCAGAAAGCTTTCGAAAAAAACATGTTCCAGAAGACTAGTCGGAACACATCATGTAAGACAGTTCGATTTTTCTTTTAGTATTTTTTTTCTAGCCGAAATTCTTCTTCTTGATGGTGTTACATGTCTCTATCGCTCAAATGTAGATCTCTATTTCTATGTTCTTGGAAATGCTCGCGAAAATGAGATCATCCTTGAAAGTGTTCTCACTTGCCTCTACGACTCAGTTTCGACTTCGTTGAGAAAGAACGTCGAGAAAAAAGCTTTCATCGAGGCAATGGATACAATGATGCTTGTGATTGACGAGATCTGTGATGAAGGAATTATTCTCGAAACCGATGCCTCCGCTGTGGTTCAAAGATGCGCATTGAAGGCCGACGAAGTCTCGTTTTCCGATCAATCTTTCTCACAGGTAAACTATTCATGCAAAATATTTTAAAACTGATTTGTATGACTTGAAAGTTTGGCACATTGAGTGTTACTTTATAGAAAATTTCAAGCGAATATTCTGTAATTTTCAATGTAGATTCAAATTCAATTTTATCGAAAAAATTGTAAACGGGTCCTTCATTGTGTAAGCAGATGTTCAATAGTAAAACTCACTTGACATCTGGCTTTGGTTCGTTTTGAATGAATTGGTTACGTTGAAATCTTTTTGTTTCACGGTAAATTTGCTTTATTTTTTGAATGATTTATATTTTGTATTTAAAAATAACGACAATACTAATTTACAGGTTGGAATGTCGTTTATCGAATCAGCTAACAAGCAATTCAAATGGTCCCTTCTCAAGTAAATTTATTCGCTTCCCTCTTCTCTGTATACCCCTCATTTTTTGATTACTTTCTTTTTTATATACATAATTCCAACTAATTTATTTTATTTTTGATTGGTCTTTGGATTCTGAGAAAGTATTTTATTCTACAATTATTCCTGGATGTGATGTGATACATAAATAATTCGTATTTGTTCACAGTTTTATCTTATTCTTTTTATATTTTTGGTTCTTTCTATCCTTTCGCCATTTCTGTTCTTGATTTATTTTTGCGTTATCGCATGCATTTTGAAGATGAGATCAGCGGTCCGAACGGCGAAGAGAAATGCGAATCAAAAGATTTGCAGTGGAACTCCGCCGAAGAAATCAACGCCTGAAAAAGTACAAACAGGAAATTCAAAACATTTAATGGTTTTCTACAGAGAACTCCGAAGAAACGATCGACTGCTCCAAAACAGAGTACCGCTCGGAAACTTGTGATATCTGACAATGAACCTGAAGATTTTGACAATTTTGAGTAATATTTATTATTAAAAATTGCAAAAAAAAATATTATGGGAGAGACGCGATAAATTTTGGATCGTTGTTGTTTTATAATTATAATCTATTGCTTTGTTTGTTTTTCCTGAGTTCTTGAAATAATTTTAAGTTTTTCAGACGATTATAGGTTGAATTAATGTTACTCATTTTTAGTATTATTTTAAAAATGTGTCAAATTCAGACTGTATATGTTTATTAATAGATTCCAGTGAAATGTGAATTCCAAATCAAGTTTCAACGTTTGCTTTCCCGCTTAAAAAAATCTGCAATTTAATTTCAGAGATGAAACTGCTGCAATTGCCTGTTCCGCTCTCGAAGCATACTTCATGCAAGGGAAAACAGCTTCTGAACGAATGAATCGATCGAGAAATAAGAGGCGAAACAAGTAGAAAAACAGTTCTGTCTTTTATCACACAATTTTAAACCATTGCAGCCCATCGATTGACGATGTTGAAGACTCGGATTCTGATAGAGAAAACTTGTGTGGAGCGATGTTCAAGTGCAATCTGGGTAAACTGAAAGACTACATTATTGTATATTCATGTATTCCGATTAATTCTAAATATTATTCAACATTTCAGAAGAAAAACGAATCGGATGAAATGGAAACATTTGTGGAGAATCTCGATGTTAAAGAAATGGCTAAATGGACACTTTATCTCGCTGCTGGCTTCAACATTTTGGTAATTATTCATTTAAGTCGTTAATTAGCATATTTTGAATTGTTTAGCTCCACGGAATTGGCTCGAAACGAGATGTTATCGATCGATTCGTTGCAAGTGAACTCAAGAAATTCACGTATATGCGAATAAATGCGAGAATGGAAGACGTGACTCCGAAATCGGTGCTAAGTGCAATAAATCACAAAATGGGATTGAATTGCACGGTAATTGTTGTTTTCCCTCATTTTCCTAGCCTTCCAAGTTTTCTCAAATTCGATGAAAGCCGAATAATCAAAATGAATTGTGTTTATTTGCATAATTTATGACTGCTTCAAGAGTCGAGGATTGACATTAGTCGAATGGGCGAAGGAAATTCGCAACCGCATCGCCAAATCGAATCAACAACTCATTTTAGTAATCGACAATATTGAAGCGCAGGATTGGAGGTTGTTGAACGGCGAGAGTGGTGAATAAGAAAATGAGAATTACAGAAATGATCAGGATATGATTTGTGCACTTGTTGAGGATAGAAGTGTTATTAAATTAGTTGCAACGGTCGACCATGTGTATTCGACGTTTATTTGGAATTCGGTAATTTATTCTTTTGAAAGGCTGGAGCGCATAATATAAAAATAGTCAATTTTTTAAAATATTCAATTTCAGAGGCAATTATCTCTATTGAACTTGATTCATGTGACTGTGAATACAATGCAAATGCCCCTACATGAGCTCATTACTGGAGAATCGCGTCTTTTGGGTTTGTCTTGGACACTACTCATTTGCTCATTTTATCAATTTGCAGGCCTTGATGCTCGATCGAATCATTCTTCGCACACAACAGCATCACTTGATGCATTCTGGAAATCACTTGCTTCAAATCATCAGAAACTGCTTCAATTGTTTTATTCGATCTACTTCAAAACGAAGAAACCAGTCAGCTTTTGGGATTTGTTCGATGCTGCCAAGTTTGTTCATTTTTTTTTTGCATCCTAATTTATTCAGTCGAATTCAATTAAACGACGTTCACTTTTCGATTTCCTCTTTTCGTGAAATTGTCGAATGTGCATGCCAAGTGCCAGGTGGCTTTGCATGGGATTACGAATGTGCCCGTTTTATGGGCACAAACATAATGGGTGCATCCGGATTGTTTACGAACCAAACTTCAAACCCATTATTAATTACCGTAGTTTGAAAAATGATGAATGCGTTGCGCTTTTTTTTTTCTCAAAAAATACTTTTGAAATTCTCTCAGAATCTCAGGAAATGAAACATCGAACTATAACTGAAAATTTTCATTATTTCAGAAAAGAGTTCATCGCTTCAACTGATACAGTTTTGAGAACCCAGTTGGTAGAATTTAAAGACCATCGAATTATCAGGTATTTGATAGACTTAAAAAGACCATATCTATTAAATAAGTAATTGCAGCTGGACACGAAGCGATGACGGAAACGACCAGGTGTCTGGAACTGTCGACGAAACTTTAATGACTAAATTTTTGGCTTCTAAAGGAATGCCAATTGAACAAAATACTGATTAACTCACCGGAATCTCAAACCCATTTCTATGTTCTCATTTTGTCTCTAAAAATATTATAAACATTCCTCTCGTGTACAATTATCTCTTTAAAAGGCCCACAAAAGCACCTGAGAACACGGATCGAATTTCAGTTTGCGCTCACACAGCTTTTTCTTCTATTTGGTTCATTTTTTTTACTGCGGCAACTAACTTGATTTGTTGTATTTCGAGTACCTCTCAAGACCATTATTTGTGCTATGTGTTCACCTTTCTCAACACTCATTTATGAATCGGTTCGACTTCAAATATGTATGGAAAGTTTGATTGATGAGCCTGGAGGAAAAGGCCATTCGCGGCTTTTGCCCTTGGGTTTCCATGTTTTGCGCGGAGGGCGGTCGTTTGGTGACCAACGGAATTCTTTCATATTTGGGCGGCGTCGCAAGATTTAATTAAATCTTGCCACACGATTGCTTGACTCTTCATCATCCCTATTTTGGCGCATTGTTGCCAGATTTGCACTTTAATTTACGTTTCAATATATTCGAAATTTCTAAATTTTCATTATGAATTGATGATTACAACATTGATACTATTCATGCCAAAAGAAACAATTTTGAGAATTAATAGGTATATTCATACACAAAATAAGCAGTCCTACACTGTTTGCTTTTTAATTGAAATATTTATTCTATTCAAACAGGCGCTTTGATAAAATGAATTTGAGAGGAGATTTTTAGAAATATTAAAGATAAACTAAAATTCGCGCATGATACATATGAGCTATATAAATCTGATTTTCGGTTCACTCTTTCTTCTTTTTTTCCATAAATTGGTTTAAAAAAAAGATAGCCAACAATAAACTCATTCTCCTCGTTTTTTTCGATTCGAATTCTCCCGCAAAACTTTTTTTTGGCGGAAATAAAAGAAACGTCAAACACATTAATGATTTTCGCATTCGTCCTCTCATTTTTTGTTCGCATATCATAAACGACTCAACGATTTTGTCGTCGGAAAACCTTCAAACATCATTAATTTTGTGTAGCTCCGCCCATCGTTTAACACGTCGGACGCGAGAGATGACCAAAAAAGGCGAACAAAATCGGGTAGAAAGAAGGAGAAGGAAAATGAAATTTTTCTCTTCCCCCCAACGACTCTTTCGCTTTTTTTTTTTACTTTTATCTATTATAGATATTTTTTTTCATTTTTGGTTTTTTGGACTACTCTTTGATCAGGAATGAAATTCAAAAATTTACATTCGTTCTTCTTCCTGAAATCTGAGACATCGGGTTCGGTTTGTCTGCCTTCCAGTCTGTTTTTTTTTGAAATTGAATTCCATTTTTAACATAATTCGATTTGTTCTTCTTTAAATGATGATGTTCCATTCGAAGTTTTAGAAAATGCGAATAATTTCGCAAATTTTTCTACTTTACTTATCATACACAAATGCGCTTCTCGATTGTTTCTACGGATTCGTCGGACGGATGCAGGTATTAATCATTTTCTCGAATCCCCGTGGGACCCATTATGCAAATTTTGGGAGGGTTCGGATTCTGCGAAATTTATTAGACATAAAATGCGGCAGTGGAAGTTGCCAATGATGGAAGTTATAAGTTTTTCGCTTTTTTTTTGAAAGTAACAGAAAAAACGCGAAATTTGAAATATCTAAGAGTTGGGTCGCAAGTTTGAATGAACATATTTCCAGCCATCCCTCGATTCGAGTTATATTCACGTGAACGACACAGCCATGTGCTCCGCAATGCACTGTATTCGTGTTCTCATTCATTCAGGAATTGATGACGGTCAGCGTTGTTTTTAATTAACTATTCTGTGTCTCTTTTCAGATGGCATTTTCCACCAGGGGGTCTCGTCACGCTGCGCGTATACAGGCGGTGATCGACAAGTGTGCACAGCGGCCAACGGAGAATGTCAAAATATTTCATTCTACGATGGAATGAAAGGAAATGTAGGTTCTAAATCCTTAGTCAATACGGTCAAAAAATAAATATGTCTAAGCTTTGCGTATTTCATATTATCGTTTTCAAATGACTGATCGGCATTTTAAGTTACCCGAATTTTTCTTTGCAATCTCTTGCAGTGCATAGGCTTTGAGGTTCATGTTTGTACAGAGTTGTCTGGTTGTCAAAATGTACGGCGGCTCTTGTCCTAAACCACATAGGGGCGAGCTGTGTTCTGAGCAGGTGACCTATATTTTCAATCTTAACTGGAGTGATTTCATTGGAAACATCTGCGGACATTTTAAGGGGTGCGCTACAAACGCCTGTGTGTTGTAATTAGCGATAGTAGAAATTCAAACACGGGTCATACGGGAGCTTCTGGCCGATTCAGGCCCTGCAAGCGAAAAGCTGGAGAGTATTTAATATTTAGCCGCGCGTGAATTCGCAAATTAGAGGATCCTTATTGATTTATTGATAATTGTTATATTTGTTTCTATGAAGAAAAACCTTGAAAGCGGATTCCTCATTTTCAGTTTTCCTTCTGCTGCTGTACCAAAAACCGTTGCAACGGCGCCCCGGAAGAAGATCTCGAAAAAATCTACAGCACTCCGCTGAAGGTCTCGAAGCGACGAACATCTGCAGCAAAACAAATCTCCATTTTTACATTTGTTGCCACAACAATTTTTATTTATAAATATTTTTATTATTAAAAAAAGGATCCAAAGAAAAATGGAGGAATAATAATACAATTACATATACCAATTGATAATTTTTTAAAATAAAAAATGATCAAAATACTGAGTTGAAAGCAGCAATAATTTACAAACAAAAAATGAAATTAAAAGGAAAAATTGAGCAATATAGAATTGTCTGTTACTGTTTAGTGGCAAAAAATCCATAGGCAACAGATTTTATAGAAAGAATATAACCCGTGAAGTGATATCCAAGAAAGGGAGAGAGGGGGACGATGGATCGATTTGAACCCGTTATGTGGGAAAAAAGGTTAGTGGTTTGGTTTAAACGATTTGATAAATATTGCGCCTACGACGTGAAATTGTCATACGAAGCAAGATACTCGAAAGCGGCCTGATACAAAAAGTGATATTGCTCAGTGTCCTGAATCATATTCTGTCGCTCGGTACGCAAGAGTTTCACCTGAAATCCGAATATTGAATTTCACAATTTGGTGATTCAAAACGAATTACCGTTGTAAATACATCGACAACATGCTCGGATCGCATGCGATCCAAAATTATAGCCAGTGCAATAAACACCGCGGTTCGTCCAGCTCCTGAAGTACAGTGTACCGTGATTGGTCCACTGATTCCGAACTGGGAATACGCGCGGTGTACTTGAGAAACAAAATCAATAAAGTGCTCCGCAGAATCAGGCTTTCCATATTCGGGCCATTCAATAAACTGGAAATGACGAACCGTCCGAGTTTCATTTGTCTGAAACACATTAGATATTTCTTTTCAGTTGGGATAATAATGCAAAACCTGGAAATCAGTGAGCCTGAACTCTCTGAGGACGTAGTGCTCCATGTTATATTCCGCAATCGGCTCAACAACCAATTTGCCGACTTGTACTCCAGTTTCCAGCGGCCAGTACTCGCTGGACTGTTCTTGTCCTCGTTCCCAGGTATTCACAAGCATCACAATTACAGAGCTGTTGTGTTCCCAAATCGCACGCCAGAAATCAGCAGCTGTTTCATTGAGCGGCGCTTGCATTGCCATATAAGCTTGTCTTTCCTTGTACCCATCGATCCACGATCCATTGATATAATCAGATCCGTCAATTCCAGGAATCATTTGCAGAATGACGCGATTCGAATCGAATGGAACCGAGCTCAACACGCGATTCTTGCTGCGATTCACTGGCAAATTAGCAACTTGACATCGATTATTAGTCCATTTCAGTGTAGTCAAATGCTAAAATTATACAATTAGCATAATCGAATTGCTTTCATTCAAATTCGAACCCTAAACTCCATTTCAATTCCAGAAATTCCATCAACAGTTGGTTGCATGAGAGCTTGGACGTGTTGATGAAGCCTTGAAGCTGGAACTTCCGTAGATCCACTGTTAACCGCATCCAATACAGCATCATGGATGAAGATGTACTGTTCTTCCGTCTACAAATTTTGCCAATAATCATTTGTATACAAAATAGAGAGAAAATACCTGAACCATGTAGGATCTTTGAGTTCGCAAGTTTGTTACGCAGCCATAGATATCAACGGTGTTCTCATACCGCAGTCTTTCGAGCATACAATCAATGACTATGAATGCTCCGGTTCTCCCTATTCCTGCACTGCAGTGTGATATAATCGGTCCAGCGTCTGGTGAGTTCAGCGTCTTGACTCTCTTCAGGAAAACGAGGAATGGCGTCGGATGATCAGGAACACCATGGTCCGGCCATGCGGTATATTGAAGATGCTTAATCTCTCGAACTTCGGGTTCACCGGCCACTTGTAATCTCATAGTTCTCATGGTGTAATGCGCGAGTTGGACAGTCTCGAGGAGTGTCACTTGCACATCTCCATAAGTGGCACTGCCGCGACTCGGCCAGTACTGATCACATTTGACTCGATTTCGTTCCTCAAGATTCGTCAGCATCACAATTGTCGCCGATCCTTCTTCCCAAACCATACGCCAGAAATCCCCGAATGTTTCAGGCAAAGGACCTTGTGTGGCAATATAACTTTTCGGCTTGTCATATCTAAACACACATTATTGAATGGGAAAAATATGAAAATTTTCAATTACCCATCAATATAGTTAGCATTAATATAATCATATCCGGGTAGTCCATCGACATTTGAAAGAACAACTCGAGAATGATCATAAGCGGCCACATTTGCATATCTATTCTTATGCTTATTAATGTCAGAGCTTGAGTGTTCCCATGTGAAGTGTTGACCAGTCTCAATTGATTCAAATTCTTGTTGGAACCCAGCCTAAAAAATTTCAATATATCAATTCAACTCAACCTCCGCTTACGTTGTTGTTCATTCGAAGTCTCTCAATGTGGTTAGCAAGTTCAGCAATCGGAATCGGTGGATGAATAACTGAAGAGTTCGGTGTGGCAGCCCCATTGGTCGGTAAGCAGGGCAATGGAACTGGTACTGGTGCATAACCATTCATTCGATTAGTGGGAAGCGGATAGAGATCCATTGATGATTCCATATGTCGATTCTGATCGTACGGGTTCATTATCTGTCTTCCATAGTCCGTCGAGTTGGCGAGCAATTTACTAGTTTCTCCTGGCACATTCTGTCCATTCATAATATTTCCGGTAAGCGCCACTTTGGTGATTGAGCCATGTCGCGGTTGGCGTCCAGGCGATTTCTTATTGCAACGCAACCACCAGCAAATGAGCATTGCGACAATCGAGAATAACACAAAGAACGCGATACAGGCGCCAATCCATGGTGACGACTTCTGGCCAGCTCCGCGAAGTGCAGATCGGGTTGTGAACGGCTCGGTGAGCACTGAATCCGAATACATCTTTGACAATTTCTCGCTCATTGGTGCTCGTTGTTCAAACTGAAACAGTTCATTGAGATCGCGCGCAACAAAAATTGAGCAACAAACCGCATCTTTTTTGACATCATTTTTCGCAAAAACGCGCATCATTAAACGATATTGTGTGTTCGGCTCGAGCGGATAGTTGGTGAACCCGTCATACAACTGTAAACAACATGATATTTGCACTTGAATCAATAAGCCTGAGGCAATGAAGAGCGTAGGAAGCAAATGACAAAGAAACACATACATACAACGAAACGAGCACATCAAACTATGGATTCTCGTCGTCGTCGTAGAATGTGTGTATATTAAGATTGAAGTGGGTGCAATCATATTCTCAAGGGGGTATTTTCTCGAATTTTTTTTTCATCGATGCACATTCTATTCGAAATGAATTCGTTCGTCTAATGAGAATCGGAGGGCAGACAAACGACGAAAACTGATATCGCATGCATCAAAGTGATGTCAGCTGAGCTCAGTTGTTGTTCACTTGAATGTCTAATGAGATCTCGAGAAAGAATCACGAAACAAAACTATATTGTTGTGCAATCCAAAAAAAAAATGAAAAGGAGGAAACGAGAAAAGAACGGGGGAAAAAAATAACGGCTAACCTGTGAATCGCCGACAACAAACGGCTGATTATTCACATACAACTGTTGTACTTTGGTCGAACTGAGCCTAGCGGTGACATACGCGCCGGGTGCCGTCGCCCGCCTCGCACGTTTGACCTGCAAAAAGGGCTTGATTAGGTATTCAAAATCGCATCAATATCAATTGTTTGCAGCATGAATTTACAACGCCACTCACCTTTGGTCCATATTTGATGTCATCGCCTTCGTCATTCTCAGCACGTCGTTTCTTGAGTTTTCGGGCTGGTGACAGACTCACAGAGTTCGCGATTTGAGATCTTTTGTCGGCTGTTAGTTTTTCGAGTTCGATCGGGTCCAAATTGCTGATGTCTTCCTAAAAACGACAGATTTACAATAAAATAAATAAGTTAAACACATCAGCGCAGAAAGCTTAAACGTCGTTTAATACCAGAGTTAGCAGAAGCACGAGCCATTCAAATCATAATATATTTGTTCTTACAACATTTTTCAAAAATTATTTTAATTTTAGGGGAAAACCTTTTTCAAATTCCCTATCTTTCGACTAATAAACACTTTTTGCAAAAAAAAAGCTTATCCGCGTAATTAGGTTCGTGAGAAAATCAGTGCACTTCTGAGAAACTCCAAAAAAATGAAATTGGAGGAAATATAGTGTGGGATTTAGGAATGTTTCTCGAATATCTCGAAAGAGACAAAGAAAAATAATTACAAATCACTAACCGCACTGTAATTCGCCGGAACAACAATGATCCAATAGTGCGAGATTTCTCCATACTCTTCAGTTGCTGGCGACAACTTCACATATTGCTGTCCGCCTTGAGCAGCGCTTGAATCAATCAATGTTGGCGCTTCGACGTATGGTGGACTAGTTGGATCAGTTCGCGTCGTAACCTCTTTCGGCCAATATTTTCGAGCTCCTGGTGGAAGTGATCTGACTCCAACATGGAACGTGAAAGTCATATGAGGTCGAAGATTCGTCCACAGATATTCGCGCGTCTTCTCGTCCAAGTCTTGCCCGAAACCAGGTGTGGTCATGGTTTTGAGTTGAAGTTCATGGTTGAGGTATTCCTTTCGGCCAGTATGATTCACATAGAACCCCACATTTCGAGGCCCGTGATAGTCCCAAGTGAGCTGCACCGAGTTACTCGTCTTCCAACGAACTCGCAGATTTTCAACCATATAAGTTGGGGTGACAGATTCAAGAACAACTGGAGGGTCTGAGCACGGTCCTTGTCTCTGAAAACAAACATTTTCACCCTATATATATATATATGTTTGTTTTTTTGTTTACACAATTCTTTTTTTTAGTATAAAAATTTAATTATATTAGATCTTTAGTTAAGATTTTAAATTCTCAATGCCCATCAAAACAGCTTCTTCTCAAAATTCGATGCATGGCTTCAAATCGAAATGATGATTCGAATGAACATTTCACTCGTCAACAAACACACAAGTACACGACAGGCACACACAAACAATAATCCTCTATGTTGTCATGGAATCGTTGTTCGTCGACAATTGTGTGTAAGCGCATTTTGTGGTGCTTCGAACGTGTGAATATTCAAACAAATCGCCACTTTTTGCAATGCATTCGGCGCTCGTTCGACGCCCGAAAACTCACATTGTTTTTGACAGCCAAAACACAAAACGCGTATGGTTTGTGTGCGTTGAGCGATGTGACTTCGAAATGGCGCAAATGACCGGCGATCGGCTGCTGCGTCCATTTGTCAGTGTCCATCCGATTGCCGGGTTCGTGCATATACTTGACGACGAATGAGTCAACCTGCAAAAAAGGAAACAAATGATGAATGATTCCGATAGTAATCAAGTATTCAGGCGCACTACTCGACACGGAGTTCTTCTTACGCAATGCACTCATGTTCGTCTAGAAGAGAAATTGATTACCTGAGAGGCTTCGAAATCCCATTGGACGACCGCTGATGAATTGCTCGTCGCTTCGACGCGCACATTTGTTGGTGGACCAACAAGGGCTGAAAAGAAACAAATTGAAATAGATTAATCGTTTTTTTGTTGTTGTGGGAAGAACACAAATGTTGCATGCAAGTACAAGTGGAGCATCTTGTTGCTTGAAAACCAGCTCAAACCCTGATTTGAATAAATCGACTTAGCTGTAATGGCAAATATGCTATTAAAGCTTTTCCCTAATAGAATCAGACAGCTGGATAATAAACCTTTATTTGGTTCCTCTTTATGAAGCAATGTCTGAATAACAGCAGCGAATATGTTCTCATTTTTTCGAGTTGTCGCCGCCGCCGCCGTTTTGCGACTCGGTGATCGTAACATCGGCTTCTTCTGCTCGTCAATCTCATTCTCATCGAATACGTGCGCCGGCGAAAATAGACTTTTGCCGCTGAACGGTTGTCGAGAACGCACTCGTTCAACGGCACGATCCCAACGCATTCGCTGATTCGGAATGTCGAAGTTGTCGAATAACGTCGAAACAATGGGAAGCGGCGAAAGCGATAGCGCGAGCCTATTGTTGTGCGTCGAATTGACGCATAACCCTCGCCAAATAATAAGAATAAAAAAATAACAAAGTGACAAAAATCGTAGTGAATAATTCATCATCTATTCCTCGGCTTCATCTCGTTTCGGTGTTTCTTGACGACTGAAAACACACGCAGAAATGTGGACGAATGTGGATGGAAAGTTTTTGTCGTTTATTCTCTTTCTTAGAATAATAGCTGTGCGGGGCCGGTGAGCGGACAAGGTATACCGCCGGAAACCCGGGTCTTCGACGAGCAGCGCGGCACACACACCACCACGTATCAAATCCACGACGAGACACACTGCATTTCGCGTGCCGCGCATAAATTTGTGTCTTTATATGGGAAATGGCCAAGAAATGGGGAGCGAGAGCATGCCGCAAGAAAAACGAGACGAATGCGCAACGGCCGCTCTACAAGTAGTTGCTGCTCTGAATCACGACTACTACAAACTCGCGGAATCCCTCAATGCGCTCAAGCAGGTGTGTCGTTGAGTCCTCCAAAAAGTGGTGCCGTCTATTATATTTGACAAACAACGTAAAAGGACCACCATGTCGAGTGAAAAGTGCCACCAATTAGGCAGACGACAGCTGTTTTGTCGCCTTGCCGAAAAGAAACCAACTTCTTCCAACTTTCATCAATCTTTGCCTTATTTATTTGTTTTTTTTTTTTACTAAATTTTGTTGTCAAATCATCCAACAAAATTAGTTTCCGGTCAATGAGAAATGTGCAATTCGAGGGCTCCGGCTGCCGCTAAGAATCTCAAATTTCGGCACACGCGGATCCTCGAAAACATCTTGTCGCCCATTAGAATAATGATGGATGATTCAAAAAAGGCAGCAGAGCACTCAAATTCCACTATAACGTCGAATGTGCGCGGAAAACAATTCCAATTCTTGGATGAATGCAAAGTTTTTGCTCACTTCGATACAAGAGACGATGCATTCAACCGATTATAATAGGCCTATTTTATGTATTCAATAACATATCCGCTTTGTTCGGAATATTTCAGAAAATTGTACTACATTAAACTAAGTTATTATTTTCGACATATATCACAAATCTATAATATGATGAAACATAATTGAAGCTTTTTTGAAGCCAAAGAATGTTACTCTACCGTTTTCTAACTAAGCACTTTGAAAATAAACCGCATACTATTACTCTTATACTCTATTAATATTATTGATATTTTTCTAGGTACAATTTCAGTTTTTTAAAGCTTTATCGGAAAGCATTTTTCAGCAACTTCGCTTTTTCATCATTTGATTCGGTTTTCATTTTTTTGCTCCACTGAACACAACCGACAATCACAAAAAAACACACCAACATCATGCAAAACCTCAAAACTCTTTTTTTTTCTTCAAAACACCAACTTTGAATTTTGGCAATATGGTTCCATCCCTTGGTGGTAAACGGTAGTGTAACACCAATGAATAATGTTGGCGGTGTAGTGGTGGTGGTGGGAACGAATTTCGGCATTGGTGCCGTTTTCGACAGTCCAATCGAAATGGGATGCGCTAGCGGACCTGGCGGATGGTGCAGAATTGCGCTGTATACAGCGGCCGTCGAAATTTTCGACGGCTCCCATTTTTTTGCCACCGCCACCGACATATCTTCTATGTCGTCGAGACTGTCGGCGTCAAACATGTCTGGAAGCGATCAGGTCGCTAATAAATGAAAGTATATGCTGTGAGTGAGTGATGAGCAGGAATGAATGAATGAATGAGATGAGATGAGAGGAAGATTGTGTGAAGAGGGTCAAAATGAGCAACGGGGGCTCGAAGATGAGAATTTGATTAATCGAAAGCGCGTGTCGAACCAAAATAAACTTTTTTCTCATCGTTTCGTCTAGTGGATGAGGGAAAATCTTGAAATGAGAATTTGTTGTTCACCTATCAAATATCTCGCACCATTTAAAGAGTTTTCTTGTGGTGACTCTGGAAGAAAAAAAAAACCACATCGAAAAGACAAAACACATTTTATTGTTTTCTGTGGGTCTAAACATCCCCAAGGGGTGCCAAGAACCCGTCAAAACATCATTTTTGGAATGCCATGAGTCGGACTCAATAATCGATAAAATGCATGCAAAAAATAACCGCTTGGAATATGAAGCGAAAAAAAAAGAAAATAATCCCAAAGGCGGCGGTGGCAATAATTTTGATTTATTTATTTCTTTCATAAATTTTCCACGACAGCAGGTATTCAACCAGACTAACACGAATTTTGAGCATATTCTGTGTTTTATGGTTATATGCAAATGGGGGAAAAATGTGCACAAAAAGGCCGGTCTAAACACTTGAGAAATTATTTATTTCTTATGTCGCTTTTTGAGTTAGATTAGAAAACAAACGAATAAAACCACAATATGTGATTCAAACTTTGTTTTAAAAAATAAATCGAATATTACTTATACATGTAATCTTGGGGGTAAAAATCAAGAAAATTTCAAATTTTCTAATAAAACGGAGAATTTCTAAGTTTATTAGGGCTAAAACAAAACACAGATCAGAATTTTTCATTAAAAAAAGGTTTTATTAAATATTAATTTGAAATTGTATGTAGCTATTCAGATTTTAGAAAGAAAACTCGAAAAAAAAAAACAATTTTTTGTGAAATCTGCATTGCACAGTATTTTTTCTCGAAAGTTATTAACAACTGTAAAAAATGATCCCTTGGGATTTTTTGCTGGAAATTGGGGCTCTCTTTGCGATGGTAATATGAAAAATTGTTTGTATGGATTATTCAAAATATCTTGAATAGAACCATAAAAACGTGCACACGCTTCCGTAATTCATCAAAAGTGCAACAATAAATGAAAACGCAGTATTGAGGAGGAAAATGAGGAAGGAGAAAAAAAATGAGGAAATTGAAAATAAAGGATAAAATCGACTAATTAGCACAAAAAATGTAATACCTGTCATTTCGCGCTGACGCGTCATTTTCGACAGTTTCGATATTTTCATCTGCTTCTTCTGCTTCACCTTCACCGCCTTGCTCATTTTGTCGCGTGTTCGAATCTGGCGACGAACGCGGCGGCGGTACTTCTGGTGCTCTTGCAGCAGCAAAACGTCATTTGGCACCGCAGGCGGGACACCATCAGCGACGGCAATGACGAATCCTGTTGCGGCGGCGGCGGCAACCATCACAATAATCGAAATTTGAGCCGTCGTCGATTCGAAACGATTTCAGTGTCGAGTAATTAAATTGCGCGGCACATGTTCGAGTGCGAGCTCGCGGCGCTCACTCGAATAAAAAACAAAACCAAAACACCACACAAATTGCTGCGTCAAGTTGTGTTTGTTCGGCATCCGAGTTACGACCTTGTCGCTCTCAGAAAAATTACTCGAAACAAGTTTGAACGAGCCGTCCGATGACAACGACGACAGACTAGAAAATGAATGGGGTCTGATTAATTTCGGAGAAGGCTTCTTTTTCTTCTTCTTCTTTTCTTCGACGCCTTCTTATTCTTCGCTTCGTTGTCATTCCCACTCCGTCATGCTCCAATGATCCTCGACAACTTATTCCTCTTGCCATCAACAAATTAGGCAGCGAATGAGCGAGAACAATGCCGACGAAAAAAAAAGAACTCGCCCAAGGAGGAATTGTCTGTCAAATTCCGTGCATTCGGCGTTTTTGATGCAAACACACCGGAAAAATCTCTTCGGCAATAAATACGAAGCATAAGAACAAAAAACAGCAATAGGAAGCGAATAAGAAGGAAAAAAAAGACATGGCGACTAATAAAATATGATGTGTTTTGTGTGCACGATGTAATTCTCAGATAAGAAATTTGTGAGCCAAATCGTTTGAGTTATGTGATGGCTCGATAATAATTTCGGAGAGATGAGCATCTCAATTCACAATTTTCAAGAATTGCTCGTTCAGAAAAATGAGTCGCAATTTAAGGGACGACGAAAAATTACGCTTCTAAAAAAGGTTACTTCACTAAAACCCCTTGCAAAACAAGGCTTTATAATATATAAAATTATGTTAGGCTTATAAATCTATTCTTGGAATTATAATTATTTCGCAAAGCTAATATAATCTTAAAGATTTAATTAGGAAAACATATTTTTGTAGATTAAAATAAAAATATGCAGAACTTTGCACAACAGTTTCTGAAGAAGATTAGCAAAGTCCAAATGCGAATAGTTAGCAACTCTAAAACACCTGATTTTTTAAACCACCAAACCATTTTGCCAAAACTCATTCACTTGATTTTTCTGAGTAATATAATTTTCGCGGCCATTAAACACTCAATCACCTGTCATATGAGAGCAAATTCTTGTGGTCGCATTATCAAGTTTTAGCCATGCTTGCCGGACACCATCCGTATTGGAAACATGGTATTTCCAGCCGGAAGCGACATAATTCAAAAGATCCTCAAGTGAGTTGATGATGCCGTCTTTGCACGAGATCGGCGATAATTGAACACCGAATGGATCTTCGGTTGTCGTCGTCGCTTCTGTAGTTGTCGTCGTTTCTTCATCGTAATCATCTTCAAGAGCTTCATCTTTCGCAAGTTTCCATTCATCAGCTTCCATCTGTGCCAATAAAAGTTGCAAGCCGTGTATTTGAAAAGGTAAAAGCGAGGGGGCAGAGTAGAAAAGAGGCAACCAACAACTATAATGATACTGCAACTCAAATCGAGCTCAAGCTATAATAAATCCAAGATTTATTGTCCGGAAAATCAAAAACAAAAAGGAAAGAGGAAGACAATTGCGGTCTTAAAAAGTCACAACAATGAAAATGGTCCAGCAGCAATTAAACATCTGTAATATTTTCGCAATTATTTTTTCTTCTTCTGCCTTGAACAACTGTGACCTTTTTCACAAGGCTAATGCCAACAAAATATTGTTTTTGTGAACACCAAAAATACTTTTTGTTAGGTAGGAGCAGAAGTAAAAAAAAAACGAGCAGAAAAATAAACGAATAATTTATTACACACAAATTGATAATTCAATATTCATACACGAAGAATTTTACAGTTTTTGGATGAAGGGGAATTAATTAACCGTCCCATTCACAATTAGAAAACCAATTTCAGTTTTTTTTTTTTAATAAAACGATCAGTTTCCATAGAAAACGTCGTTCGAAGTACATGCCAAAAAGGGAGAAAAACAACATAGAAACGAAAAAAGCTCAAAATTTTTTCGCGCATCACTGATAATACGTTAGTGTTAATCTTATTGCATTGTCCCTCGAATATCGACGAGCGGATTATGAATCTCATCATAAACACACACAACGTAATAATTCGAAGCCAACAGGAAAACGGCAATGAGAAAATGTTCGTATGCAGTTCTAAGCCAAGTGCAAGACATATATGGTAATCGAAAATGCATAACAAGAAGGTTCATCATCAGCAATGAATGTATGAATCCGTCGAGTTCGGTGGCGACCAAAATGGGTCCATTGCGGTGAGATGGTCATGAACCAAGCAAACGGGGCAGGAAACGGAAGACGAATATAAACGCCCGGAGTAAAAAAAAAGTACCTAATAAAAAAACGTTAGAGCTTTCTATTGTTTATATGCATAAATAAGGCTCTGGCTGAAGTAGAGGAGCCTGATTCAATCGACGTGTAGGCAGCCAACAAGTCGAATAAAGGAGCGGAACAGGATGCAATAATCATTCGAGACCTTGGAAATATGGCGACCACCCTCAACAAATTTGGAAGCAATTACTAATAGATTATGCTTCAAAATTCTAGAAAATGAGTCATTTGATGAATTTTAGGGAATTAGACAGAGTTTACGTAGAAAGAAAATCGCTTTTAATCAAAAATTTCGAGAAATTTTGCGGGTTTTAAAATTAATATTATAGCTTAACCTTGTAAAGAACCCTTTTTAGTGGATTCGTGAAAACAGATAATGCGATTATTCGGAGAACAGTCATGATTGTCATTGGCGTAATCAATATTAAAATTAGGAAATAGAGAAGGTTCTACAAAATTAGAACCTAATCGAATTTGATTCCGCTTATGTTGCGACATTTCATATTCACTTTGTTTGAATTCGGAAAAAAGAAATGCTCAACTCTATTTATAAGCTCTCCAATTGACGTTTCACCAACAACAGCGTCGAAGTTTGTTGAAAAAAAAAGTCCTGAGCACTATTATTCAATTCGTCACATAATTATATTTCTTTTAATAATGGCTAACGGTGTAGTGGGAGTAGGTGGCAAAAACGCGAAAAACTCGACGACGACGATGACAGCGAAAACTGAGAAGAGCGGTGGACCGATGAAGTAGAAGAGCTCTCTCCACTCAGCGTTATTAAACCCAAAAACACACTATGAACAAAACAAGAAGCCCACATCGAAAACCCATTCAGTTGTTGCCAGCTAGCCAAAATAATCATAATTAACGCGCAAGGTGTCAATAGTTAACGATTATTAGAGAAACGCAGACGTTGTGCATGATCAACTCAAGCATAAGACCGACTGGCGGAAATCAAATTTCCGTTGGTTTGCGAAAAAAGTATGTTGAAAAGCGAAAATCAAAAAAAAAATGTATAAGTCACGCTAAACTGCCTCCGGACCAAATTAGTTGTGTCAAATATGGTTAGCATGGGAAACAAAATTAAAAATACACATACACATAATGTGACATTTTAGATTAAATTCGCTTCACCTTTTTTCCGCTTCTTCTTCAACTACTTCTTGTCCATTTTTTGTTGCGGCGCGCAGCAAACTCGAATGAAGAGCAAAAGTAGGAAATGTCAATTGCAGGACACGGCAACAAAGTGCGTTTTTTAGCGTTTGCCGTCCGTCCCGGTCAGGTTCTCTTCGATTTTCACGCAATGTTGAACAAAAAATATGAATGCGTATGTGAAGAAGCGGAAAATCAGCTAAACCGACAACATATATTTGTTCTCCTTCAATTGACTTTTATTGAATTGTTTAGTGCCAGTCAGGAGACGGGAAGTATAACGAGCAAGCGAGTAAGGTGTTCGCCAAACGAACGAAAACATCGAATTAGCCTTGATCATCTGCTTAGTAAAAAAATTCTCTGACGGGCTCAAATTAACGACTTGTCACGGATAATAAACAACATTTTCGTTATTTTTTCTAGAAATCAAAAAATAATGTTTCTCTGCGCAGAAAGAATTAATGCGGGCAAACAAGGTTACGCTAATATTCATTTTAACACAGAGTGTTGCAATTTTCGTCGAGGCTATCTCAAGAATGAACGACGACATCAATCACTAAGACATCAAACGTCCAACTAAACCGCTCTAATTATTGATCTAATCATATCCGAAAATTACGAAAATTTTTGTTTGGCTTCTACCCTTCACAAAAATTGATTATAATAATGGTGAATTTCAGCATGTCAGGTGAAATTTAAAAAAAAAACCAAGGCATAGCTAATTTTTGCGGGTTTTGGACGGAACACTTATACGTCATTATAAAAACACACATACACATATGTATCAAGAGGAGGGATCATCAGAGGCCGTTTTTTGACGTATGTCCGAAGCCCGATTTTTTTTGAAAATGCAATTTAACCGACAATCCTCCCTCCTCTACCTCCAAAAGGATGATATCATATAAAACCAACTGAGGCGGACAATAATCTTATGTATCACGTTTAAGAATTAAAACATATATCGAAGATTCAAAACTTTGTCATTCTCGCGGAAAATTTAAATGGAATATGACATAAAAAATTTGAATTTTCGACAGTTTTCACTTTTAGACAAGAGTTTGAATTTTGAATACACTTATGAAACTATAAACAATTTTCCAATTTTCTATTAAATATTCAAATTAAAAGCTATTCAGATTTAAAAAAAATGAGTACTGTAGTAGCGAAATTTAAAATGCTATTGTGAGAAAACGACACTACATACAGGGTGTCATTTAAGTTCCCGCACAAAAGTTTGACGCCATGAAGAGCTTGGCTGGCGCACTTTTCGTGCACCAATACAATTTATTTTTGTTAAATAAGGTATATTTTACTTACTTTCCAAGTTTCACCTCTTTCGGATGTGTTTCCGAGAAATGGCGAAGGCTAACATCCATCGCGCTTCCATTATCGAAGTTCATAAGCAAAATGTGAGCCCGAGAGACATCATTGAACGCCTCGCTGTGCCTCGTAGAACGGTTTGCGACACCATCAAACGTTTCAAGGAGCTAAATACGACCAGTGACCTTCCCAGACAAGGAAGACTCGTCTCAGTAACCACTCCTCAGAAGATAAACGCCGTCAAATCGAGGATCAGGCGAAACCCCCACAGGAGCATGATAAAGATGGCGTCAGACGTGGGAATGAGCATCTTCGCTATGGAACAAATCGTCAAAACGAAGCTTGGACTGACCCCATATCGTGTCCAAAAAGCGGCAATTCTATCGGCCGTCAACAAGCAGAGACGCTTCGAAAAAGCAAAACAACTTCTTGCTCGCACGCAGTCTGGAGAACATCTCGTCACTGTCTTCTCCGACGAGAAGCTATTCACTGTGGAGGCGGCATTCAACTCACAAAACCATCGAGTACTTGCCCAGACATCCCAGCAAGCTTCAGAGAAAAGCAGAACAATACATCGAGCCTCACATCCTGCCAGTATGATGGTTTTCGGTGCCATCTGTTCAACCGGGAAGCGCCCCTGGTTTTTGCAGATCAGGGGATGAAAATGAACAAAGAAGTCTACGTTCGGGACTTTTTAGAGGAGCATGTGATGCCCTGGACCCAAACGCATTTCGTTGGGCAGAAATGGGTCTTTCAACAGGACGGAGCACCCGCCCACACTGCCAAAACTACTCAGGAGTGGTGCCAGACCCATTTTCCCGACTTCATCAAGTCATCCGAATGGCCTGATTGCTCCCCAGACCTGAACCCGCTTGACTTTCCCGTGATGGGGTCTTGCAGGAGAAGGTCAACGCAAAACCCCACTCAAGTGTAGAGACTCTGAAGAAGACATTACTGGCGGAATGGCACAATCTTTCCATCGAATACCTGCGTACCACAGTCGCATCCTACCCGAAGCGTCTCTGTGATGTCATAGCTCCGAAAGGAGGCCGAATCGAAAAGAGTTAATAGATAAATATTTGTTATACTATAGATAAAAAATATTTCGAGTCTCGTTTGATTTGGACCTTTAGTTTCAGAAATATACGTCTTCAAAGTTGTGCGGGAACTTAAATGACACCCTGTATATGATAGTGGTTGAAAGGTGAAAGGGTAGGTAAGCGCAAAATAGAGAATATATATATTTAGGAAATTGGTAGCACAGCGGAAAAATAAATTAATTTCCGATGGGCGAAATTCGAGATCGAAGCCAACACCGGAAATTATGTCGCTATATGTAGGAGTCCACAGCATTCGGCGTTTTGTGCGCTTGACAGAAAGACAAAATGCACCGAAATATTTTGGCTCAAAAATCACAATTCAATGAACAATTATGTATTTCACAAATTGTGTTGAGTGGGTGCCAAAACGCAATTTACCAAAAAAAAACCTCAACACAATTCAGAAATAATAAGAGAAATATAAATGGGAAGAAGTCAGCATAAAAATAAACAAAAAATGAAATCGAAAATAGAAAAAAAAACAAAATAAAATTTGAGCGTACCTCAATAAAGTGGCACGGCGTGCTCATATATAAGCAGGTGCTATAAATGGCGCGCTAAAAATTTATTACTCAGAAATATAATCAAGTTTTTCACTTTCAGTTTCTCCTCTCGATATAAGTAAGAGTAATGAGGTTTTGGCACGAAACACTTGCGCATAATCAAACATTTTTTTGCATGCAATAACAAAAAAAAATAAAAAAAAAAAAAGAAAACCGGGAACTAACCTGCTGGATCGGGGTTGATGTTAAGCACCGGCGAGAATGGTCCGAGACCTTTCATTGTGGCAGCGGCGACTTTGAACAAGTACGGCCGGCGAACGTTCACTTTATACTTGACAGTGGTTTCCGGAGCGGTTACCTACAAAATATATCACTCATGAGTGGATCATTTAAATATCCTACTAATTGTTGGAATTTTGCAAAATTAGCAAAATTCTGAAATCTACAGCAACAGTCTTGGCGAAAAACTAAAAATGTAGATTTACTTTACGCACTAAGTTTTGGAGTTAAAAGCACACACGGCTCGCCAAGGCTGATTAATTTCTTAAATTATTTAATCAAAAGTCGTATTAGAGCAATTAAAAATATGTATATCAATTAAACTGATTATTTACAACTAGTCAGTTTTCTGTACATAATAAAACTTATTTCGGTCATTATTATGTAAAACAAAAAATAATTTTAATGAAAAACGTGGCAAGGATAGAGTTAAAGACGCACACTAAAATAGTTACCCAATTTTTTGGCAATTAGTCAATTTTCTGAAGTCGCACAACTCTGATAATAACATAATTGACAAGTGTTTTAATATTTTTTAAATTGAAATGCGCGCCTTTACAAGTAATTTGCGTGAAAATTACAAAATTTGAATACTGCAGATTTCGTTTAAAAACAGTAAATGAAAAACTAAAAAAAAAAAAAAAAAAAAAAAACATTGAAGACCCTAATTAGATTGCGCATTTAGTATTTTTCGAGTTAAAAAAAACTATAAAAAATTCAAATAAAAAATGCTCAATAAATCGCAAGCAGGCTTAATAGTCATAGAGGAAAAAATCGATTTAACAAATGCCTATATAATTATAGATGTTTTCTTTTTCGTAGATGCGAGTTTAGCCCGGTACCGGAACGAAAAATAATTTTTTTGGGAAGGAACAAAAGGAAGCAAGAATTAAAACTCTAGGGAGGACCTTTTTGGGGAAAAAATGGGCTCACTTGGTGATTGTTCATTTTCGAAAAGAAAAGAAGAAAGATGAGGGGAACGCACACTCAATTATTGAATAACGGAACTACATATATATGTATAATGAAAAAGACGACGAAAAAATAGAACTGGAGGAATGAAAAAAGAAAGAAAAAGAAATAAAAAACGAAATGGGAAGAACGAGAGCGGAGCTTCGAAGAATTTCCGGTTTGGATTCGAAAATCACACCGAATACATTTATTATTCGCCACGGATTGCCCTTTAGTGTTTCGATAAACAAAGATAAGGCGAGATTCAATTAAATATGTGCAACTTAAATTGAATAAAGCTCACACAGGAATACGATATGAAACGTGTTAGCTAAAAAAAGGAAATATTCGGTTTTTATTGGAAAAATGTTCGTCTAACTCGCAAGGGAAGAAAAATCACTATTCGAAATCGTAAATTTTCCGATAGAATAGCGAGAATAAAAATTTAAACTATTCTAGACTGAAATCAAATATCTGTACAGATTAACTTAATAGCAGAAAAATAATAATAATTTTGCAGTAACCAAAAATATAACGACATTCCCACCAGCTCATAATTTCATCCAAAAATATACGAAATAATTCCATTTGTTTTCATCTCAAAACCTAAAACAGCGGAAAAACGGCACGAATCGGCACATATTTGAGAGGTTTGAGAGCGCAGTGAGGAAATATTGAATCCGCGACGAATATACACACAAAATTTCTTAGTGGCGCACAATCGTGAGCTCAAATAATAATAAATGAAGCTAATTTTTATTTCAAAAGACATTTTGGCGAATCTTGAAGAACTACTAATTGAGTGTGCCGAAAATATTCCGACACAATTTTCTCCTAATTTGAGAAATTGGCAAACTCACCGTTTTCTCGTATCTGTCATTGCTCTCGTCCATCGGTGTCAAAACTGCTTTGTACATTGAAATATTGCCGTTTCGTTGCTCCTCAGGAGGCGGTCGCCATGAGACAACAATCTGGAAATCCACAAGAATATATACATATATGTTGGGGGAACTAATTGGTTTCGAAGTAAACGCCGGTGACTGAGGGATCATTTATTTTCTGCAGTTTTTAATTTATACCCATGCGAATAGTCAACGATTCTCGACGACACTTAATACACAAATCGATTCAAAAACCTATTGTGAAACGATCAACTTGAATGCGTATTAATTCGAACCAGTCACGAGAAGATCATTCCCATTATTGCGCTCAATACTTGTTTAAAAACGATAATCCACATTTTGCTTCTTTTTACAAATCGGATGAGACCTATTTGCAATTTCAGCAAAAGAAAACCAAGTAGCAATTGATTTGGTTTAATAGCAAATTACAAAAAGTTTAGTACATTCTGAGCTAAATTGCCGATAATAAAGTCGGAGCGCATTCGAGCACTTATAACGAAATTGCGTTATTTTCCGCCTTGTAGGCGACATCAATTAGATCTCAAAAAAGAAAAAGATTCCGTTCAATTATACGATCGAATGAGATATATGGACTGTTCACAGAATTGTCTCACAAATTGGATATAATTAAGAACTCGGTATACATATGTATATAAACTTTCATACCTTTTAAAATGGTTTCATACTTTTTAAAATGGTTTCATACCTTTTCAAATGCAGTTGACGTATGGAAAAGTATCAAAAATAATAGGAAAATGTCAGAATTTTTACATTTCATCATTGTCGAAATGCCAAGAAACATCTGCTCATAAAACTCGGGAATTCACTCGTCGTAGTGGGTGGGAGAAAGACGCGAACCGAACGCATATTCAACATTTTTTATCGCTCGGCCACCGGCGAATCATGCCTCTTCGTATAGTTTCGGATAATTAATGACAAACCTCTCCCTTCAGAATCTCGTACTGCACATTTATCGGCTCGCCATCGGGAGTTCCAACCGGCGTTGCAATCGATTCACTAGCGTTCTTCGACATTCCTTCGCGATTTTCAGCTCCAAGCAATACATCGTATGTCACGCCCATCCCTGAATACAAAAAACAGAATTAAATACAAAAATATGTCCTTGAAGAACGTACAAAGTCCAGAGATTGTTGCCGATGAATCAGTACCGGCTACCGTCTTCCTCTTTGAATATGAATCGTGATATCCTTGTGGTTTGAGCCATACGTTATACTTCTCGATGGGACTTTCGTTCGGTCGCATTCGTGGCGTCTTCCATTCGACTTTTACAACGACTGGAGCATCTTCTCTCTCCAAAACAACTGATACGATCTCCGGTGGTTCTGGTGCTAAAATACCATAATTAGAAAAAAAACACTTTCTGTATAAAAAAAATTAATAGAATGTCACGTTCTAATAATTAAACTCGTATAAAGACTTTAATTATTTAACTGAAATTTATAACTCGTAAGAATCCATGAAACCTATGACAACATAAAAAATGGAATTGCTCACCAATTCCCTGCGTGATAATATTTTTTCGTTCCGAGAATTCCCCATCGCCATTTCGATTAAACGCATTCAACCGAAACGAGTATTCCGTGTTCGGATCCAGATTGTCCATTTCATAATATCGTTTCTGTACAATTAACAAGTTCAAATTGGATTTTCGTCATAGGTTTACCGTCGAATCTTTGATCATCACTATTCGTTTTTTGTTGTTTTTCTCGACAACCGGCTCTCCATTCAACATTTTATCGAAATAAATATAATATCCGAATAGATTTCCATTTGGACTCGCAGGAGCCTCCCATGTTAATTTCACCTTAAAAATCGTGAAATTAAGGACACTTGGAAAAGTTAAACTACCGATGTCGCCGTTGTTAGCTCAACGTTGAAATTTCTCGGTGCAGATGGTACTAAAAATAATCAAATTTTAAAAATCCTTGATTGTTCGTTTCATTTGAATACCCCCCCCCCCAATGTTTGCTACTCGATGATAACTTTTCATCTGCGGGCCAAGGACAAATCAATGGCGACAAAACCATTAATTATCGGCTCATTCTCGACGATATTCATATGGAAATAATAAATTATGCGCATTATTCTTGATTTTCCTTCTTTTTCGCTATTTTCATGGACTTCATCTCGAAAATATCGCCAAAATTAGATAATCTTGAAGTTCTTTGTTCACGAATAAACTAATTTAGAAAAAATTTCTTGAATTTTGAAATGAAATTGTGAAAGATTCGGTTTGATATTTTGAAAACCAAATAGTATTATATATTTCGAAAAATTTTCCAACAAAATTTAGTTTTGGAAGGTAATTTTTCTCTATTCCCTACGCAATTGAGTAATAATTTTCGCAAAATCTCAAGTCATTGTGGCTCGAAAATAATTGCAACAAAATTTGAATACCTCTCTGTTGGGCGGCTCTCGACTGCTCAATGAATGTCAGAAATAATAAAACGAGTCGAAGAAGAAACGACAACGACGGCGATAATCGCTTGCGTTTCATGTTTTACGCGCTTTTCAATACAATTATTAATTGTTCGGCTTCTACTTCGTCTAGCTGCTTCTGCTGCGGTTGATGGTGGTAGGTGGCTGATTATAATGGTGCAAATACTTTCACCAATTCTTCATCTGTTAAAACGCAATTCGTCTGAGGAAAACAAGAAAGCGAAGTTTAAAAAAAAAACAAGAGATAGCTAAGGAAAAAGAATGACCAAGAATCGGACAGTGTCAACAAAAAAAAACTCGGGTTTCCTGGGAAAAGTGTAATAAACTGTGTTAATGATATTTTACGGAGGCATTATGCCGAGGGAAAAGTCAACAAATAAGATTCGGGTCAACTACGGGGATTTATTGCCTTGAAAACGGAATCTGGAATTAAGAAAATATCTACTATTCATGCTTCTCTAATGTTTTCAGATTTCCATTTTGTGAATTTAATATTTAGACTCCTTAATTCCGTCCATTGAAGTTTTCTTCGGTGATTTTATAGATTCAAGGAAAAAAAATATTTAACGGGACCAGTTCAACGCAGAAACAGATGAAAACCGATTTGATTTCTCCTATAAATCGAAAAAAATAGATCTCATGTGTGATAAGCGTGATACCGGCAATCTTGACCCGACCGGAAAAATATGTGTGAAACACAATGACAAACAGATGATGAGAGAAAAGGATGGGAGGGAGCGGCAGGAACAAAAAAGGCGCAAAGAAAAGAAGCCGTATATAGGACAAAAAGTCGCGGCATCACACACACACACACACTCAGGAGGAGAGACTTGGCGAGCTTTCGCATGGCCGAATAATTGAATTGTAAACACACATACACACGTTTTTTATTCTGTTCAGCTCAGGAAAGGATGTATGAGACAGTAGAAGGAGGAGCAAAAAAATGATTGCAAATCGTGTTTTATGCGCTAGATTTGTCAGAAACACACACGCACACATGAGCTAAATGCATCATGGTGGTGTGTTAATTGAATTTCTCGTTTTCGAATCGCCAGCAAATTTTTTGTGGAATCGGAAAAAAATAAACGAAGAACTTTGTGGAACAATATACTCGGAAATCGTTTCGAAACCAAATTTCAAGTGTTTTTCGTAAGACGTCGTTCTTGTTGGAAATTTGACGGAAACTTGGGCTTAAGAGACTCAAAATAATGTGATGCCAAAGAGTGATTGCGAAAATAAAATACGGTAACGCCTATTTTGAAAAAAAAAACATACTGTAACATAAGGACATTTTTGAAAATTTCGAATTGCGCTAGTTGCCTTCCAATTGACCTAGCAAAAAATGTTTGATATTCTCAATTTTTCATTTTTAGCTGAGTGTGAGAACAATTATAAAACTGAAGGTGGTAGCTTGCTCAATTACCCTTGTAAACGTCAAAATCCTTCATAGAAACAGTAGATTTATGTCTAAAAAGCAGGCAGGTGGTTTTTTGTTGTTGAAAAAAAGTGATTTAGGGAGCAATTATCGCGGCGAGAATTAGCAGATGTTCAACGAAATATTGCCTCACAAAGTGACTCTGTGAGCGCACATTTCAACCAACGATGAACCACCAATAATCAGCGGTGTGACGCACAAAAAAAAAAATAGCGAAACTATGTACACGAATAGGCGAGTTGGCCGAAAATGGAAAAGATGGATTGCAAAGATTAAACGAACGGCTCCGTTTTCATTTCCTTTCAAATTATGAAAAAAAATGAAATGGAAAAGCTAGCCGAGTAAAAACATTTGAACAAGAAACAGAGGAAGGATACTGGAGAACGAGGCGGAAGATGAGGAGGAGCAGCACAAGAAAATAATTTACAATTCGGCATCTTCGTGTGCTGCGCGATTCCAGCTCTCGTTTACACTTTTCATCGGCTCGACCAACTTTTTAGCAACACTTCATCCAATTTAGTCGTCGGACAACTTGAATACACCCCAAAGGGGTCACTAATGAATTCGTCGCCCTCTTCTTCCTCTCGCAGGCCACACTCCCGTTTTTAAAACTCAAGCTATTCAAAAAAGAAAATTTCGTGGATACGCACTAGCATGCTGAATGAATTTATGATGAGCCTTTTTTGGTATATATATGTGTGTGTATGTGTATTGGCAAAAACGTGAGACGTGTGCGAAAAAATATACGATAATTAATTCACGAATTAACTTCACGACGTTTCCACTGCATAATTTCGTTTTGTATTCTTTTTTTCCAAATAAATGTATCGAATTTTATTTTTGAGAAAAATTTTCAGTTGAGTAAAAGGAATGGAATTTGAATTAATTGAAAAAAATTATCGGAAAAATTATTTTACAAACTGCCAAAATCTATTCCACGCAGAACAATAACACAGTTTTTTTTAGTCGAAATGCTCATTTCACAATATATAGTGTGGGAAAATTTCATCTTTGACACAGATATTTGAAAACCGAGTTGGTCAGCCAAAAAAGGAAAGAAAAGCTCCAGTTTCATTTCAACTTTAATTCGCACCTGCTCCACGAGAAATAAAATGGGCGAGAAGGATGGAAACTGGTAGAAGCCAGCATCATTAAAAGGCTCGCAAAGAAGAAATTGAAAGTAAAAGAGAAACAATAAATCAAGGATAGAAGCAAGCGAATAAAAAAACATGCACACAAACACCCAAAAAGTTGTGCTTGTGCTGCTCAATTGGGTTGAGTACTACGAATTGTTGCATTCATCCATAACTGCTTTGAATGGCTGAATGGATGGATGGACGGAACACACTACGGAAGGGAAATGTCGAAAAAACGGCGGAGGCACGAGAGGAGTGGCCAAGGTGCCGGAGCCAAGATGAATCGACTCTGTCGCGCAAAAACGTCGAATTCCGTTGGGTGGACATTAGAACACAAATGACACACGACTGTGCCACTGTTATCGTTATTCCATTTAACAGTTTATCAACTGATAAAAGAATCGAATAATTAATTGACGATAGAACGGTGGTAAATAACAAATATATGGAATGAGAGAGGACAATGAGCAGAATAAATATATATATTGAATAATGAAAATTAATAGAAAAATGATACTATGTATTGCAATGACGAAAGTAACATTTAGAACGTGCAATTTCTGCATGCTATTGAAGGTCGATTGGACAGAACAAAGAGCGGGTGAAAAATAGCAAACTGGAAGTCATCTTATCATATATTTAAATATTCTGGAAACCGCAAAAAATGAATTATACCGTCTTTGCGCATTTAGAACTTGGTTCTCATAGCCATCCGGCACCTTACTTCAACGATTTTAATTTAAAAATTAGATATAAAAAACCTTTTCTTTTTCTAAACGAGCAAGATTGAATAGCAAAAACTACTGCAGCTGGAAACCAAATAATATATAGAAGATAGCACAAATTATGTTCAAAGGTGATTTTGCCGCAACTGGTGCTAATCATAATAATTTCTAAAATATAGATTTAGGCAATTCTTCTTATCAGACGTTCGAATTATGTGTAAATTTTACGGCAACGCACATAGACTCGTACGTACAAAGACATACATCGTACATTAGTGCGAGAGCGCAAATTCAAAATATTGATGCATGATTGTGATTTTTTTGTTGGCGAGACAAGGCGTCACAAATAATAAAACTAATAAATTCGCGTTTTAAACATACAGAATCAAAACCAGCTGCGAAATTCGCGGAATGTTCGCGTCCCTCTCTGTTTTTATTCGACAAAGGTCGAACCGCGATAAATGCGCGTTCGGACAGGCATAGTTTGACATTTTTTTCGCTAGTGATGCATACATTATGATAATTACGGCAGAGTGCGCAAAATTTGCACATATGTTCGCAACGTAGCTCATAACCATGAATCCTCGAGCAAAAACAATGCCCATAAATGCATAGGGAAGCAGCGAAATTAAATAAATGATCGATGCGAGATGTGCATTTTTGGACATGTTATCGGTCGGCGAGCCGCTGCCACCGCCTAAAACCTAATGACCTCACGCGAATTACTCGAGAACGCCTCTCAAGTGTAATTAATTTAGTCCGGTCGCGGTGGCACATATATAGACGACGAACTCCTTGCCAGCCCAAACTCGCCAATTTGATATATTAGCAATTCGGATGGCGGTATGAGTGCGTGCATGTGCCCCCGAGAAAACGAAACGATGCGGTGGGGAGATGAACAACAAGAAAAATGGGCGACGATCAGTTTTATTCGAAATGAACGGATGGCGCGAACTGACTGAGAAAAACCCCCCCAACGAGGCACGGGCGAGTCTCATCAAATTTATGGGTTTTTTACTTGGCCAGATTCCGTTACTAACTAAATCGTTTGGTTCTAATAAAAAAAATAGAGCTTCGACGCGAACGAGTAGGCCGCGCTTGATTTTTGGGAAGAAGCGCTAATCGCGGAGGGAAGCAGCTGACCGCCAAATCAACTTAATTTATGAGCCTCGAAGACAATGCGAAATTAGTTACATTTCGGTGCATTGCCAACAACTAAATGTCTGCTACTATTCAATTTTGAAAAATGAAATTCGATAGGAATAAAACTTGTCTAGAGTATGAAGAACATTCTAAAAAAGAATGCGACTGGAATGTTTAAAAGTTTCAAGCGAAAACAAAATTTTTGATATCCGTTGGTTATTTTTTAAAGAAATACGCTGAGATATTGAACCGGCTACAGTTTTAGGGTAAAAACTATTAAACATATCGGAATAGATGTAAAGAAAAAGAGCAATTTCGAAGTTTTAATGGAATGATAATGGGTCTGGAACAGAATTTTACGCAAGAACACATTTAGTTTTGTTTAGGTTTGGTAAAACTCTAAAACAAGTTTTTAAATCGACGACGAACGTCTTTGAAACGGATAAAAAAAATAAAGACTCTTAAAAATTTCTCGAGTTCAACAAAAACACTCAAATGATAAATCGGCGGCGACTGAATGAAACGTCTATGCAAATGTTTAGCACAAAAAATAAATCGAAATGTCAATTGTTTGCCAATTCACGACGGCATTTCAGCGACAAAGTGCTCATCCTCTCAAATGAGAGCCAATTTGAAGCACTCGCCGCGAGTATTTCGGCAATAATAAAAAATAATATTGATATGAAATCGAGGAATATGCAAAAGAGGCATAACGACGGGAACAGGCACACAGTAAAAGACGAATCGAAATCAAATGATCCGTGGCTAACAATATATTCGGGCAGACCAAAGCGGCTTGCTGGTACACCAAATTGAGACACACACACACACATATTGTGCGAGTGTTTGGAAGGGGTGAAAGTAGTTGAAAGGTGAGAAAAAATGGGCGCAACAAAAAACGCATAACGAAGGAGGATGCGTCAGTTAGACACCCAACCAACGCGCTCATGCCAACCCGTGAGCGGGCGGAGAAGAGAAGACAGTGACACACCAACCACCCAATCAATCGATCGATCGAACCACAAAAAACCAAAACAGTACCTGTCTGCATTGAATGTGCAAGGTGACGCAGACAGAGATTGCGAGTTGCGCAACATTCAATGGGAAGCGAACGCCACGATGACAGGAAACGAGGCAACGGGCTCCCGTGGTGCCGAACCTCATGTAATACGTCGGCACTCTTTTTTGGGATTTATTCGAGACTCTTTTCTATTCTTTTATGTTCAATGGTCTTAAATCAATTAAGGATTAACCAAAATACTTAAAGAAAATCTTATGTTTCAAATTAAACACTAGAAAAATAAGACTTTTTTTGTCAAAACTCCAAAGTCAAAATATCATTACCATGAATTGGGTTTCACAAAAAAATAATTTTCTGTTAGAATAAAATTATTCAAACGAAGATTTATCTTCAATAACTAATTTTTATAGTTTGAATCTAAATGATAGAAATTTCCTTCTATGCAGTAGAAGTTTCAAGGTTAACAAAATATAATAATTAATATTCCCAAATTTAATGAAGGATTATATAAAAGTCATTAAAAAATGTGTTCTCCGCAGATTGGTGTCAACTTATGATAGGAGAAAATGTAAAGAAAAATCGAACCAATTCGACGACTAATCCTCAGAACAAAAAACCGAAAAGTGTGAGACTAAAAAAGGCGCGGTGAGAGCACATTTATTATAAGCGGGGGGTTAACGTGGTGCGCGGCTCTCGCCGAATTATTTGATATATGATTGAGCGTTGCATGGACGACGCAGCGGTCAGCAATGTCAACACACGATGATATGCAAAATTTTGTGAGCGAATTCACTTTTTTTCGCAGCTCTCTAGTTAATCATCATGCACAAGAAATTCGATATTCGACGGTGTGCGACCGGACCCGCATAAAATATACATGGACCTCATGCTACCCAATATGGTGATGACCCTCGAAAAAGACCACACTAAACTGAAGTGCACATGTGGTTTTTTGTCCGAACAGCTGATCTTTGCATGTGTTGTTCATAAGTGTTTCTTAATAATCGTTAAATATGTACGATTTACAGAAATGTGGTAAGAGAATTCAATAATATTTTTATATTTTGAAAATGAGATGGCGGGACTTGAATAATTTGAAAAGAATAGTATTTTTTGGCCAATACTCGTCCCTTGGTATTTAAAGAAGCGAGCGAAAAACAAATAAATAAGTAAACATCAATTTTCTTGGTAAAAATATTCGAATACTATTCATTTCTTGCTAGGGAAGCATCCCAATTACATATAAATTGGGTTTTGATACAAATAAATGAACACAATCTTGGCCACGAATAGAGAATTTAATTTCTTGCAACTGAGCAAAATATATGAATAATTTGATTGCTATGGCATACTTCAAGGACTCCACTGGGTCCAAATTAGCATATTGTTGCGAAATGTAACGAACGAAGCTATGAATTATGAGGAATTTCAGGAAAATAGAAGAAGGAAAGCAAGAAAAGTATTATTTAAATAATATTTTGTGGCGTAGTGTTAAGTGCATAGTGCAATCATCGGACGTAAACTCGCACAGTTTTTGCTAGGCGACAGCTCGAATTAATTCGATTATCTCGCGCACCATCTCATAATCCACTCCGGAATACGCTATTAATGGAGTCGGCGTTTGTCTCATAGATAAGCGCGCTTAAACCATATGCCATTAATAATAAGGCAAGGTTCGATCGTATGACAAAAACTCGAGAAATAATGCAGATTTTTGGAAACCGAATCTGAGGAGATGTTTGCAGGCGAAAATGTCATCGTGAGAAAAAGCGCCATCTGTCAAATATGTATTGAAGAGTAGATTTGGAGACGAACGGCTCCTTCACATCGTGCCCGCGCTCATCCATTATTTGTGGAAAAAGGGCAAATGTATCATTGACGAGGACGCTGTTAGATGTGTGACATGCAAATTTTTGAGGGTCCGCCTTTTAGAGATTTATCGCCGCAATTGTTATGAAAAAACAGTTGGCAGCATGTTTGAGTTTAAGTAAATATAATATATAGAATTAATAGCGTAAGATTTGGATTTTCAATTTTGTGCAAAAATCTTAATTTATATTCCACCGTAGATGCGCCATTCAATTATTACTATATTTACCATTATTGATATTTTGTTTATTTGCTTTTAATAAGATCCTCATAAGGAGAATTTACAATGTTCATTAATTTGCTAGCAACTTTATCTTATTAATTAAAATGGAACTTCAAAATATTTGCTCAAGACGCATATCAGTGTATTTGAGGAGCGAAAATTTCGTATCATTTCAAGGTTTTCAACAGTTTTAATTATAAATTTGATAGTTATTCAGTTTTGAAGCCTTTGGTCAAATGAATTTTGAAACAGAAAAATAAAGAAAGAGAGAGAGAAAAATGGACATATGCAATAATATTCTAGTCGATTATAAATTGATGAATAGTAACGAAGAAAAATTGGCGGTTGTTCATCAAAAGTGGGTGATGATTATCCCATCACCTCTCCACTACCTACCACCACCTCCGCCTCGTCAAAATCTGGTGGGCGCGATTCAATGTGACAATAATATCAATGACTGTCGGCCCGCAGCAGATGTTTCATTATTTCAATCACACGTTTTTTTCCCGCAGATGTTTTTTGACCCCAATGTCCTTCCTACCTGGTGCCGAGTTGTCTTCTTCGGATCCCGCTGAAAATTTTGAAATTCCAATTAACTAACCGTCTTCATGCGTTTTCACAACACTAGATTCACTATTCGGTCCATAGCCGTGCTCAGTCGCCGCTGCTACCGTAACCTCATACGTGGTATACGGTAGCAATTGGTTCAAGATAAGCGATGATTCGTTTCCACTAACAACAACAACACTATATTCAGCATCGTCAACATCTCCATCCTCTTCTTCGTAGTCCTCCGAATCAGAATATTGAATCGATTTCCTGCGCTCCTTTAAGATTCGATAGCTGACGCGAAATGAAGTGAGGTTTCCGTTCAAATAGGTTTTCTCTGGATTCGTCCAATGAACTTCAACTGATTTCGAAGATGTTGCTATACATTTCGTAATTTTTGGTGATGCAAGGGGTACTGTAACGGACAACACAATAAAAACCAAACAAATGGAGGCGCGAAATCGGGATTTCAAGAATTGATGCGAAAACTTACTAGAAGCAATTGTCTTTGCAATTAATGCTTCCGAAAACTCTCCTTGTCCTCGATCGGAATAAGCCGCCACACTAAAAAAAAAGTAGCTGATAAATTAATCAATTTTTTTTTTCGAATCCCAAACCGAAAATAATAATAACGATCCGGTTGTAATCCAGTAACAACGTGCTTCTCATGCGGAACAGTGAGCGTTAATTCCTTTTCCCCGTCGCTGGTATTGTAGCGAATAGTGTAACCTAAAGGAATAATTAGCATTTCGATTAAAATTGCTGATAGTTTACCGGAAACAGGCGATGAAAACAATGGTTTTTCCCAAGAAAGTTGAATTCGTCGAGAATCGAGAGGCTTCGCGTGAAGTTCTGTCGGCTGACCAGGTGCTGAAAATATAAAATATACAATCTATTAAAAAAAGAAATCATTTAAAATATATTGTATAAAGCTTGTTCACGTCATTCCAACACGTCGAATAAGAAAAGAACTGTAGGTTTAAAAATTCATAAATGAAAATCGCACTTCCTTGTCGAGTCGAAACTGTCACCAATGGTGATAGTGGAGAATCGCCAATAGCATTCCGAGCTACAATACGAATGTAATATCTGGTGTCAGCTTCTAATCCATAAATAGTCGTCATCAGCTCATCAGATTTAGCTTCTTTCTGAATATCGGTGTTGATTTTTTGAAAATTCGAATTCAGTTTATAATCCTTACCATCTGCCATTTCTTCAATGGCGTACTCTCCTTTTCATTGGTGTAATACACCATATAGCCAGTGATAACACCATTCGGATGATCGCATGGTCCCCATTTGACAAGTACCGAATCTCTTCCGAGACATCTTGCTTGTGGATTAACTGGACCCGAAGTTGGTTTGCCTGCTTGGGTCTGAGCTTCGATCGGAAGACTTTCCACGCCCGGCCCAACTGGTCCCACCGACCTTACAGTAATCTCGTAAGTTTGAAAAGCCGTCAGATTAGTGATCTCAATGCTCGTTTCAATAGTGTCCAAGGTCTTGCCACGACGAGAATCCGAGTATCTACATAAAAAAAAACGTCGACATAATGAGTAATTATTTGTAATCGATTAGACCAACCACAGCACTCATTAATTAGTAAAGTAATTAAGATGATTAAAAGTTACCCATCGTTGTTATTTTTTCCGATGCCTTTTGCAACGTTTGGTTCAATGAAATTTGAATCGTCCGATCTGAAACACACAGATTAAGTTGTTCATGCAACACGGCAAATCACACAATCATCACACAATAATCGGATAAATTAACTCACTTTGGCTTATATCTAACAACGTATTTGTTAATTGTTTCCTTGGTGTTTGGTGGAGTCCATGTCAAAACAATCGAATTCGAAGTAATTGATGAAGCGAGAATATCGTCTGGCGGAGGCGGCAGTTCTGGAAAATTAATGATGTATTTTCCCCTTAAATTATTTGGAAATTAATGCGAATAATATATACATATTCGAACCATCCATTTTATTTCAGACTACCTTTTGCAATGACAGTTGTAGTTGCTTCAATGTTTCCTAGGGCACTCACGGCGACACACGTAAAGTTCTCAGTTGATTCCACGTTCGTCAAAGTTAACACATTCTTGCCAATCGGAGCAGAATTCGGATCATCGAGGAGTTCTGAGACCCAAGATTCATTTAAATGATGAATCATCGTAGTCGTACCTTGATCGGTTTTCTTCCAAAACACCCGAGGCATCGGATAACCAACCGCAACACATGTCAAATTAATGCTTCCGCCAATTCCTACCGTATACTGACGATCGAGCGGATATGAGAAGTATGGCGGTACGCGACGAACTGCAAAGAGTAATTCAATTAAATTCCATAATTAATTTTCTTTTTAATATTTCTCAATTCCGAACTCGTGGATTCCAAACCTGTTGCAATAGTCGTCGTCGTCGTCGTTGTGGGAGACGGTTTCTCCTGCTCATTGAGATCTTTGAACAAATACAAAGGAAGTGTGTTTTCGAGAAACGCCTCAGCGAATTCCGCCACCAATAATGGTAGAAATACAGCGAAAGTTCGCATTATTTCAACAATTTTGCATATCTACAAGTCGAATTCAAGCAATGACGAGGAAGCTAAAAGAGAAAGAGCGAGAAAAAAATGGTGAACAGATTCGATTCAGCGACGAGGACCACTTGAAGAAATCAAGTGAAGTACTGGAAAACGAGAAAAACGGAAAATGAAGACGGAAAAAAGAAACAGGCGAAAAGGAATTAGTAACCGAATACCGGGGTTCAGTTTCTCTCGTGCCAAATTTGTTTATTTCAAGATGACAGATGTATTTTAAGTATGTGTTTGTGTGACCAAAACGAGCATCCGAGGCCGAGTGTTGGAAGGCCACCGCGATCAGATGAATGCTCAAATTCGTAAAACAAAAAATTAAATTGTGAGGTTGCACGGCGGTGGTGCAATTAATTGATATAAACGTCGCCAATTTTTCGAATCGACGAGAAAATGTGACAATTGTTTCAAAAATCGCTCATCGGCGTCTCCCCGAGAATCACACTATTCGCAACATTGAGGAATGAGAAGAACACTGTGTAGTGATAGTGGCAAATTGGACATGTACATACTATTCAATCTAATTGATCTCAACATTAAATTTAAAGAAGCAAACCGCGAAAAGTGGAAAAACACCAGAAAAAAAATGGAAAATCGAACATATAATATCGGTGGAGAATATCAGTTTCTCATCTAATTGGCCTAATCTACACTTGAAATCAATCGCGCGCAAAATTCATTGGACCATGAAGTCGGGTCACAACTTCTGGGGTTTTTTTTTTAATTCTCTTCAATTGTTGTATATAGTTTCAAAAAATGTTTGAAAACGAAAATTTGGATGAAAAGCAATGCGGCACAATATTAATTATTCTTGTTTCGGGTGGGCTTCGCCGTTTTTCTTTTATTTGTCTTGACCAACATTTCACGTTGTTTTTTTCTTCTTACAATTCGATTTATTCTAATATCCTTCGTTTTATTAGATGAAAAATGAATGAATGTTTCAACAAACATTTGAAGAAAGCGAACAACGATGAGTACGAAATGATGACGAGTTTAACGATGTGAATTAAACGATTCTGGATAGTGAATGTTCGTTTATGGAAGCAATGCAAAAAGTAGTTGATTGAGAATCTCGTATTGACTGCATTGATTGACAAATTGAGAAAAAATCATGCTGACAAATTTCTAATAAACTTCAAAAATTAAAAATTAGATTTTCTAAATTATTATTCAAATTAAGCAAAAAAGAATCCTAACAAAGAAAAATAAAAATTGTAAGAAAAATTTCAGAACAAAATGGGGAGTAGAATTGTTGGACAAGAGCTCGTTGAAGGTGCAATTATATGAGACAGAAGTCGAATAAAGACGGCGACGACTTCCGTTAAGCATTAATATCGTCAAATAGTTCACTCTCAATAGTAATCAATTTTTGAAGCCAGATGCGCGTCTCATTTACATAAACAAATATAGGCATCCGAGATGAGGATAATGGAAAGAAGATGGCGAAACGTTTCTACTACCTATACTAGTTTTACACATTCTTGACAGTTTTATGCGCTCGTTTGATGAGGTTAATGGGTGCGAATTGAAGAGGGCGGCGGAAAATGTTTGGAAGCGAAGAAGAGAGCTCGAATCTGTATGGAATTTTGAGCGACGAATTCGAGAAATACGCGAGACATTTTTGCAATTAAAACGTAAAACTAATCAGGAAACTCTGAAGCTGAAGGGAAGGCTTCTTCCGAACCGCCCATAACCATAAAAATGTGATGTCTTGAAGAATGCACATAAAGCACACATGTCGACACAGATGACCTCTCCAACACACACGATGACGACGACACACATATTCAACTAATTTTTATTGCATAACATCGTTCTAGAGGGGAAGCGCGAAAAATTCGGGCGCCAGAGCGGTTATTAATCAAATCGCCAAGATTTATGAGGCAGCCGGAGCCGCAAAATCGCCGACTCGACTTCATCATACCCGATTGTTCATTCATCATGTTTTTTGACATTACGTCGATGTTCGTCGTGAGCACCAACTGTTGCAATTTCGAGTTTGAATATGATTGGTTGAACAATTGATGATTATAAAAATAATTCAAAAATCGATTCAGATAAAAACTAATAGAACATTCTCCTATCAAATATCTACCTATTTTCTGTTAGATCTATTCAGTTTAATGCAAAACAGCCGAAATACGTAGTTCGACAAATTTTACGTGTTTGCATTGGAAAAACGACAAATTCGATATTTTTTTAACACCGAATACATCCATATTAAATGCATATGTATCATATGAACTTGAAATCTAGACGTTTGAATTTTCAAAATGAATGGACGTGGCCGTCGACTATCCCTTAAGCTCGTCCACGACCATCTCTTCATTCAGAAAAAAAAAACATTTATGAAAAAATTTTAAATGTCCTAACGTCAATATTTAATTTTAAATTTTTATTTCTAGCAAATTTTTTGTCTTCGACACAACAGAAGGATTTCAAAATATATGCCGAATTCATCAACCAGACTGGCTCGATATTAGGAAACTGACGACGAAATCAGAAAATTGTATTCGGAGATAAATGTGAGAATGTTGGGTGGTTTTCCGCAAATGATGTGAACAAATGCTCAAACAAATGCAAATGAGGAATCGGGTCGAGTCGGCCCGTTGCGGGCAGGAAATTGACCTTGATTGAGGCTCTCGATTTTTGAATAGTCATAAAAAAACACTTGCGCGTACCTTTGACATAAAGATTCGCGGATTTTGAGTGCGCGACGCCATGTGAGTTGCGCGCGATGCATTCGTATTTTCCCTGATCCTCTTCCTTCGCATGCTGGATCATTAATGCGCCCGGATTGCCGATGGTCGATACCGAATAACGGCCGTCTGCTCGCACATCCAACGGAATCAGGTCTCGAAGCCACAAAACTTTTGCTCTTGGTTCGCCTTTCACCTAGAGAAGCTCAGTATAACTTTGTGTAAAAAGATGAGGATTACCCTGCATGAAACGTAGGCTGTTTTTCCTTGTTCTACGGATTTCAAAGCCGGATGAAGATCGATTCGTGGGAAGCCGACTGGCACATTGTCTAAAAAAATGTTTGAAATTCTGAATTTAAATTGGGATTATTGAAACCTTTGGATAAAACTGTGAGCACGGCTTCTGCAACCACCGGATTTGCAACTCCGTTGTCCGCAGAACAAGAAATGACGGTCGCATTGTCTTCTCGAGTGACCCTATCAAACCTAAGTGTTGACAGACCAGTCGATAATGATTTAATTGATATTCTACAACAATTAACGAGTTTAGCGGAAATACAAAAAATAAAAATACCTAGAGGGGTCTGATATCGGTTTTCCGTTGATCCTCCAAACCACATTCGGCAATGGATTTCCATCAGCTCGACAGAAAAATGAGATTTTCGATTCCTCAATAACCGTAGAAGAGTCTGGACGAACAACAAGACGAGCGGGGTCTAAAATATGAATAAACGACTATTATCAATTATTCACAGGGCAGTTCTTCCGGATGTTGAGGACGGCTCGAACTGTTCTCGACATGCTCCGCCCAAATGGGCGAATTGCACCCGACACCCGGACGAACTGCACCCGAAATTCGCTGAGTTGTAGATCAAAAATAAACATTCATTCTGACATGTATTTTCAAAATTATTGAATTTAATCTATAATAATATGTTTCAATGAAACTTACAAGCGAGTGCCTGAATATAACTTTGATAAGATTCAGCGTATAGCTGGTTTTTGACAAACTCATCATTACGGACGAGCGGAATTCCTCCGCCACCGGGTGGTTGATAGTCTTCATAATCGTCGGATTCACTGTCATCAGTCTTACCCTCATCCAAAGTCGCCGATGTCGCATCGCAAATTATCAAAATCAGAAGGACGACGACATGCGGTTTTCGTCGCGCGTTATTGCGTAAATGTCGCGATAACTGATCGTTCATTATATTTCCCGCGATCAAATTTTTCGATTCTTAAAACGCGTTTAATGGTTTTCATAGGAATTTTCGAGCATTTTTTCGTCGGCAATTTTTTGAATTTGTTTTACGCGCGCGATTTTGACAAGGCTTCTGAAAATGTTTACGATTTGAACTGATTGGAGAACAATTTCGAATATCCGGAAACGAAAAATCAAATATGGAAAAATGAGATGAGCTATAGAAATGAGAGTGTGAATTTTGGGAACGCCTACTTTTGAATAATTGGAAAGTGCCGAACAAAATGAATGAATAGGAATTGCTTCGAACTAATTTAGCCTCCCTCCCCCAATATTCCAAAAAAAAATCAAAAAATTTCCAGAAGTAAAAATTCAAAATTACGTAAAGAAAATGAGTTGCGAAAAATAATGAACATAATTTTCTTAGAGCCAACTTCTATTAACGTCTTCTTCAAAAAAAAAGTTGGGGGAAATACAAAAAAAAACTGGGAAAAAAGTATTTTCCACAATCTGCTTATTGATTTAAGGAGTTATTAAAAAGCTTGTAATTATTTTTCTGCCAAATCAGCATATTGTCATGATGAAAACCATTCGATGTACGTTTAAGGTAAAATAAAAGTTGCAAAAAGAAAAGATCGTCGAGCAAACACAATGGCGAAAGAAGGTGCAGTTGGTGGGCGATTAGAAGAACAAGAATAACTATAAATGGAAAAGAAGGAATTGGTCAACATTTGTTGGCGAAAAAATGAATAGAATAAAAGAAAATGGAAGTAGACTAAGTCAGGAATGAAGAAATTAAAACAAAAAAAAAAACCGACATTTTGTTTCACTCACTTTTTTTCCGTCGCAAAATACATTGGTCTATTGAGTTTTGTTAGGTCGAAGATAACGCATATATATTTGACACAAATATATATATGTCGACTAAATGAGTTTTTCCTTCGTTTTTTTTCTCTCTTTCCCGCCTTTTTATTTTTTTATATATTCGTCTTATTCGCAACGCACTTTCAACATATTGCTTCTAATATGAAACAGAATGTGAATGACAGCAATTTCTACAGCCAAAATTGGCAGGAAGGATAGCCAAAAAATAAATGGACACCGCCACAAAAAATCGGATGTATTCAACAAATGATATCCCCAAATGGTTCGCCGATAAACGGCTTCTTCATGGTGTCTTTTCTCATGATCACCATCTCTGATTTCTTTTATTTTTTAAACTAAAAAGTTCGACCAATTTGACCCGTATTTGAGTTTTTTTTTGGCAAAAAAAACGAGACAAATAAAACGAGAATTGGTCTATAAATGCATATTTAAAAAAGGATATTTGGGACGAAGAGAAAGTTTGATGAATCGATTGAAAATTACAGAATTTATTGAAAGAAATCATTTTTTTAGATTGAAAATACGCGGAAAATGAATTTTGATTAAAATTAATATTTGTTTGAATAAATATTAGAAGCCTCTTAATTTTTTAAAAATAGGGAATTTTTTTGGGGCCTTTGAGGAAAAATCAAAGGAATTTTAGCTCAATCGATCTAATATGAATTCAATGGAGTCGTGAAGATTTTTTTCAAATCGAGCAAACATTCGAAATGAATGATTAACTGAATTGTTAGCAATTTTAAATATACATACATAATTGAGAAAGCAACCTGTAAGAATATTTGGGTGTGCTGGTGGGACTGATTCTGATGAAATGATGAAATGTGTACCGTAACCATTTAGGGCAACAAAAATCGGCATATGAAATGAGTCGTTTTAAAAGAGGGTAGGTATAAATAGTGCAGCTGTAAATCACAAAGACCGCCAATTGCAGCAATTTCTGTGTGACGCTGCTCAACTTATTCGTTTTGCGCGCGCCGTCGTCGATCGAATAGCAACAAGAGGGGCAGCGTAGGAGATTGAGGTGTCAGTCATATTTTATTCAATGTTTTTGCCCGACTCTTTCTGTGTTTGTGCGCGCGCCAAGGTTACCCCCCGCCGAAGCGAACAGGCTCTTTTTTCCGCTTCTTCACTCTCACCTTCCTTATTAATTTGTTTTGTTGCTTTTTGTTCAGTTTTCGCTTTCTTATGAAATGATATGAGAAAAGAAACAAAACAAAAATGGTTATGAGTTGACTCGACGAGCCGCGCAGGCGGCGCAATGATTTGAGCTGAGCCGGGCCGCCCAATCAAACCCACACTTTGCAAATTGAATCAAATTTTCGCGCGCACTGCCCCGCATCTGACCAACAATTGCCATATTCTTCTTATTATTATTATTATTTTCAAAGGTAGCAAAACGAAAATTGTCAACACAAGAAGCTGAAATTCCAGACAAGTGTTAAGAGGAATTGTTGCGAAAAGCCGATTAGCATCAATTTTTCGAATTCAAGGACCAATTTGTTTTTTTCAAACTTCAGAAGACAAAGAGAAACAAAAGACAACTGAAATTGTTTGCTTTTGAAAATACGAGAGAATAAAAAGTTGCATTAACCTGAATAAGGTTTCAACCAAATGTCATTTTTTTAAATGATGAAGCCTCTCAAAATGACATCATCTAATTTTATATCGAGCCAGGTGTTGAAATTCAGTAAAAAGCCAAGAATCGGAATTATATGTTTCCGAGAATAGTTAGAAACGATACGGCTTCTCGAAATTTTTATCGTGGTTTTCAAAATTTCGTCAAAATTCATAATTTTGATTGATGTGATTTCGATTAACCGACAGCAAAATCAAATATATAGCGTATTTTGAAACACACTTTTCCGAGGCCAATAAAATTAACAATAAAATATCAATTGGAATATTAATTTTTTTAGGAGAAAATGAACATTTAACGAAGAAGGAAATGCGGAAGAAAGTGACGAATCGCGAAGGCGAAGGATGTGATAACATTTGAAATGAATAATGAGAGAAAATTTGCCGTACTCGAGCGCCACTCATTTGCATTTTCAGTATAAATTGATGGGCGTGCACGCGTCGTCGGAGTTAACCAGTGCAAAATTTTGCGCATAATTCCGGTAGCGGTTGGGCTCATTGCGGAAGGAACAAGATTCGACACGGAACATCAATAAAGAAGCATTCATAATCTAACAGGTGCTTGACGTATTTCGGTTTTTCCGATTCCGACCAACTCGACCCCCACCAAACACTCATTAATCCACATTTCCGTCGAGCTGCGCGTTGATTTTTAAAAACTCAGCGCTTCGCTCTATTAGTCAAACGTTCAATAAGCCAAATAATATCAACTCTGATTTTAAATGCCATTTTGGGATTAAATCTTCTAAAATTGATAGAAAAATGACGCGCCTCAAAAATAATATAAATGTTGGGATCATTTCTCAATTGATAGACCTATCACATCACTCTGCAATATTTTTTTATTAATGAGGAAACCTCTAATTCGGTCATATTAGGCGTTGGTCTTCAAACTATTTGATCTACCCGATTAAACATATCATTGAAAATGATTTACGAGAACAATGTTCCAAAAAAGAGACATATTTCATTGTGAACATTTACGATTTTCGAATAATTCGCGATTAATAAATCGCGATGACAAAATGTTGCAGATTTTCTAAATTTGGGTTTCTAGCTCTTAAAAACTTGCGAATAAATTAGTACCCGGAACAAATTATGCGTAATTTTCAGCGACTCTACACGTGCATTTTCTAACGAGGCCCCTATAAATGAGATTTTCGAAGTCGTCTTGACATTGATCAAAATAATGTATAATAGATTTACGAGTTTTTGGGGACGGCAAGTTGACACCAATTTTAATCAAATTTGCGCCAATTGAAAATGTGCACCACAAAAACAATATATAAACGGAAGAAGGCGAAGAAAAAAAAAGTGCAAGTTTGCAATTTTGTCGACCACATCTGGCCATCGACTCAAGAAGGAGATGGAAAAGAAGAAGAAGCACGACGATGATGAATGGATGCCGTGACCTCCCCTCGAGAGGTGCGTTTCGATATTCAAAACACGTTGCTAGACGTTTTTTGTTGTCCGCGGAAGGCGCTAGTATGATAGATTGGTGTCACAATCGGTGATGAATTGATACATGGGTTTCTCTTGTATAAAACTAATTTCTTGAAACAAACATTGTTGAATGATAACCAAAAGTCTTTCGAAAATATATTTCTGTCTGAATTTTATCTGACTTAATAATTTAAAATTTATAACTATAATTACCATATACAGATTCTGTTTAAAAAAAACTGAAAAAAAATCCACTACAGAAAAACAATACTTCGAGAATCTGCATAGTGCCATAAGATTTCCGTTGCTTATCGCCTATATCGCATACGCAATTCAACATGATTTTTTTTGTAAGGAAATACGATTATAAAATAGGAAACACAAAAAATCCGATGGGAAATAAAAAAATACGCTCGAAATTCCAGCATGTTTGTGAAAACCACTCATTATCAAATGAATACGGTCATTTTCAATTTTCTTGCTTCAATGGGAAAAATAAAAGAATTTTGCAGTTTTTCAAACAGAAATTCATATTTGTTTAGAATTTAGGTTAATCGTAAAAAAACAGAAATTTGATGGTTATATTCATTTCGAGAAATCGAAAAATCGGTAGTTTACTAATTTTTTTTGGTGGTTCAGAAATCAGCATTCTAATTTTGCGTCCCTCTTTTGCTGAGAAATGCAAATTTTTAAAATCAGATTTGAGGGGGAAATGTCAAAGTGAATCAAGATAGAGTGTCAGCTCATTTGAATCGAGAAAAAGAGAATTATTAAATCAATTAATGTCCAGTTGAAGACGGAAAAAAAGAGCCGCTAGTGGAGGTCAATGACAAGAAAATTGGGGGTAGAAATCATTTAAAAACACACACTCACCAAACGGTGGGTGGCGACGACAAAAACTACGAATTAATGACGGAAACGGAAAAGCTTAGATGGCGAATTTTGATGAATTAGGAAGAAATTGGAGGCGGTCGCAACGACGACAGGTTTCTTGAAGCGAAAAAAAAAGGACGAGCTCATTAAATTTCGAAAAAAAACACA